TATTATAGCTATTATTATTTAAGATATCTAATAATTAATTAATAATTAATAAGCTTAATAAGTAAATATAGTTATTAGATAATAAGCTTTCTTTCTTAGGAGTTATAATTATAGCTAGATTATTTATATATCTAGCTATATAAATAGCTCCTATTATTAGAGTTTTTAAAGTATTAATATCTATATTTAGACTAAAAGTATTTAATTTTAATTTTATATTATAATATTAAAGATTTAGATATAAACTACTAATTATATTCTTAAAAAATATATACTAAATTATATATTATTTAATTTTAAAATATATTTTTATTTATAATAAAACTAATAAAAAAAATAGTTTTTAAAATAATTTTTATAATTTTTAAAATAATCTTTATAGTTTTTAAAATAGTTTTTATAATTTTTAAAATAGTTTTTTTATTTTTAAATATAAAATTTAATATTTATTATATATTTATTTCTATATTTATAAAATTATTCTATATAGTTTTTATAATAACTTTTATAGTTTTTAGCTATATATAGATTCTAATTAGAATAAGTAAATAAATAAAAAATTATTAATTTAAAGAGATAAATATATTTAAAACTATTATAAATAATATTAATATTTATATAAAAAGAGATTAAAAATAATTAAAAATAATATATTTAAAATAAATATTTAGAATAGATTTATTTAGAAATAAATATATATTTAGTTATTTTTTATTTTATTTTTTTTAAGATTTTTACTATATATAAAAAATATTCTAAGATTAAACTATATATAATTAGATCTATATAATTTATTTTTAACTAAGTTTTAATCTATATCTAATTTTTAATTCTATTTTTTTTACTTTTTTATTTATATAAATTAAAATAAAATAATAATATCTTTAAAAACTCTAAAAAAAGCTTATTAAGTATATAACTTAGCTATAAATTCTAAAAGAGAATATTTATTATTTATAATTAATTATAATATCTTTCTAAACTTATTATTACTATTACTAACTATCTCTTCTTATAATAATAATAAATATTTTTAATATTATTATTCTTTATAGCTAGAGTCTAGTTATTATAAATAACTAGATTTTTATATATATAATAATTATTATTAATAAGAACTATTAAAATCTCTTTTTAGATATTAATTATTTAAATTTATAATCTATTATAGATTTATTTATAATAATAAAGTTATTTTCTTTTATATAGATCTAGTAGTTATATCTATTAGAACTATTACTCTATCTTCTTATAGCTAGTAATAATATAGAGATAGATCTAATTATTAATATACTTATAGAGAATTATAATAATATTTCTCTAGTACTTAATTATTATTATAATCTAAGTTACTATATATAATTCTAATAGATAATATATTAGATTAAATTAATCTAGATTAAAATAATTCTTTAAGTTTAATATTTATTTTAATTAGTAATATTAAATAAAAGAGAATTAAATTAAATTAAATTAAATTATTAAAAAGTTTATTAGATTAAAAAGTTAAATTAAATAAGATTAATAAAATAGTATTTAGAATATAGTAAATTAGTTAATTATTATAATAGAATATTAATAAAGAAAAATATAATAATTTATAAAGTTATTATATATTAATTAAAATATTAAATATAGTTTTATATAATACTAGTTATTTATAATAAAAATAAAAAGAAAAAAAATTATATTAAAAAGATTAAAAATTAATAAAAATAATATATTAAATAAATATAAATAATAGATAAACTATTTATAGAAAAGTATTATTAATTTAGAATAAATTTATTTAAAAATAGTAGTTTTAATATATATTAGTAATTAATTTATTAATATATAAATATTATTTTTATAGTTTAAATAAAAAAGTAAATATTTAAAATAATTTTATTTAAAAATATTAAGCTAATTATATATATATAAATATTATTTTTATAATCTAAATACTAATATAATATTTAGAATAAATCTATTTAAATTATTTAATATTATTACTATTTATAATAATTAGATAACTTATACTAAACTAGGTTTAGAATAGATTAGAGTTAAACTAATTAGAGTATTATTCTAAATAGTATAATTAGATTATTATAAGCTATATAATATAAGTTACTATTAATATATAAGTATTATAGAGCTAATAATAATAAATATATAAATAATATTAGTTTATTAATAACTATTTAAAAGAGTATTCTATCTAGTAAAATAAATATATATATATACTAGAGAATTATTAATATTTATTAATAATCTATTATTCTAAATTATTAAAGTTATTATAAGATTTTAATAATCTATTAATAATTAGTTAGAAAAAGTAGAGTATATTATATAACTTTTATTATATAGTATAACTAAATATATATAAATAAATATTAGATTAATATTTAATTTATATTATTTTTAATAAAAATTTCCTATAATAGTAAATATATATTATATTTATAGAGCTAAATTAATTTATAATTTTTAAAATAATTAATTTTTTTATTTCTAAATATATATAATTTTAAATTAAATTAAAATAAACTCTAATATATTAATATTAAATTTAATCTAATCTAATTAATATCTTAATCTAAATATAATTAAATATAATATAAAACTTAAATAATTAATTTTTAAAAGCTATTTTTATTCTTATTAATTTAATATAGTATATAATATATTAAAACTATAAATTATATATTAAACTATAATAAGTTTATATAAAAAAATAGTTATTTTTAAAATATAATATTTATTTAAATTAATTTTAATTCTCTATAAGTATTTATAATAGTTATTAATAGTAGATTATATAGTAAAATAATAAATTAAATAGATATAACTATTAAACTTATATTATTAAAAATAGCTTTATTATTATAAGTAGATTTTTAACTAATTAAAGAGATATATAATAAATATAGTTAGTAAATAGCTATATTAAATTATTTTAAATAATAGTTATTATTACTTTAAGGATTTTATTAATAATATTAAATAAGCTCTAAAAAATTAGAATATTTATATTAGATATTATAACTATTTAAGATATCTAGTAATTAATTAATAGTAAGATATAATTTAAATAATTAATTAATTAAAATAAGAAAAGATAGTTATTATTATTAGATAATAAACTTTTCTTCTTAGAAGTTATAATTATAATTAGACTATTTATATATCTAGCTATATAAATAGATTCTATTATTAGAGTTTTTAAAATATTAATATCTATATTTAGACTAAAAGTATAATATCTAACTTTATCTTATAGAATTAAAGATTTAAATATAGATTACTAATTATATTTTTAAAAAAATTATATAATCTAGTTATATATTATCTACTTCTAGAATATACTTTTATTTATAGTAAAATTAATATAAAAAAAAAACTATATAACTTTAATATATAATAATATAATTTATAATATAAAATTCTCTCTTTATTAGTTATATTTTTAAAACTATATTCTATAATCTATTAGTAAATCTTTTCTAATTTAATTTTATATTCTCTTTATAGTTTATAATAATATCTAATTATATATAGAAATCTTCTTATAAAAAAATCTTTTAATATAATACTCTTATTAATATTATATTATTTAATTCTTTAATAATATAATTAGAATATAATTATTATAAATCCTATAGTTATAAATACTTTAGATTAGAAGGTTTTTTATTCTATTATTTCTACTATATTAAAAATAATTAGTTATATTATAATATTTAGAATCTTATATTAAGATAATTAAAATATATTACTAATTAGTATAATAAATTAGAGTTTAAGCTAGAGATAGTAGAGAAAAAGTATTATTATATAGATATAAAAATCTAGTATCTTTATTAATAAAAGGAATTATAGTCAAATAAGATAATATAGATAGTATCTTATAGTATTAATTCCAATATTTTCAGATGATCCATCCTTGTTTCAAAATCAACCCTGCTGTATCCAGATTGTTGCACGTCCATTTGACGATGAAGAACTGATCGAAGTGACCGCGGTGATCGATGCGGCTATTAAAGGTGGCCCAAAGAATCCTTTCCCTGCAACGTCCAGCTTTGGGACATACGCCTCTAAACTGTAAATCTACAATCGAGGCGCAGTAGATAGTCAAATGTTATTGTTAGTAGATGCAATGATCATTTCACGCCCTATCCCAGTTATGCAAACTAAATCATTATTGCTGTCCATCGATGATGGGTCCCTCGTGGGCTCAAAGCTCCCCGAATTTAGCCTAGACCAAGAAGACCAATGGGTCTCAAGTCCAACGTCCCTTTCTTCGTCTCACAAAAGGGCATGGCCACGGCGGATTCACGATAAATTGTGCCACTTGAATGCTAGCTCAAGCCACGAAACAAGCAGCCTTCACTTAGGATACATTCCTTATCAGTTGGAACCCCCCCCCCTTATTGTGCTAGTCTCTTCGTGAAGAATTTCGGCCACGCTTGTCGTCCTAGGTCTGATCCAGTCTAAGGAAATCGTAGTATCCAGTATATCTACCGCATACGCCAGTGGCGCCAAGAGTCTTGCTTGCGGCTGTTGCAAAAATACCGCGCGGGCATATGCAACTCCCACACAAGGCCCACTCTCGCTGATAGCATTGCCAGATGGGGAGAGGATCTGGATTGGAAGTCCTGGAATAGGAGTTACGTGTACGTGTGACAATTCGAAGTAGCCCTGATGCACCATGTGATGCATCATGTGGTGAAGAAGTCCGTCCAACGTTGATACATTTTTATAGATGAGATTTGGCCGTGATCGGCAGAGATGAATATTACTCGACAATACTTCTATGTCGGGCCATCAATCAATGGTTGGGTGAACGTGACACTCTCAAGCTATAAAGCGATCTTTCCTCTCCTCATCACACCATCTCTTCCGACCATAGTTTCGGCATCAAAGTCTCTCCTATCAAACAAGCCTTGCCCCACGTCCATGCACCACCCCTCTACCTCAAAACGGTCATCGTGAAGAAACCCCAATTCTTCAAAATGGCGTTTCACTTCACCGAAGAAGTATTCCAGGAGCGAAGGGACCGCTTCATGGATCTCCTGAATCGCGAGAATCTCGATGGCTTCCTGATAACCAAACAAGAGTCGCTATACTACCTCACGGGGTATGACACCTTTGGCTACGTCTTTTTCCAGGCCATGTACTTCCACAAGGATGGAAGCATGCGCCTCATCACGCGCATGCCAGACCTGAGGCAGGCGCTGTACACTTCGGTCTTGAGCAAGAAGGACATCATGATTCGCCCCGACGCAGCCAGCGCCAATCCCGTCGCGCTGGTCCCAGAGGTGCTGAAGGAATTTGGCATCAATTCTCCATCCAAGAGGATCGGCTACGAGCCCGACTCGACCGCATTGAATCTTCGCGTATGGCAGCTGCTACTGGAAGCTGTCAAGGGGCTTTGTACACTAGTAGATCACACTACCCTTATCGGTTGGGAGCTACGAATCGTCAAGTCTGAGACGGAGATGAACAAGATCCGCAAGGCAGCCTACCTTGCCGACTTCCCCCTTGTCCGCGCTCTCAACGTGGCCAAGCCCGGGGCGTATGAGGGAGACTTATGGCGCGAGATTGTCGGCACCGTCTACGATGGCGGTGGCGACGACCCGTCAAACGAGAACATTTTGGTTTTCGGCAACAAGGCTGTCCTGCCGCGCTACTCGGCCGGAAGGTCCAGGGTTGATCGCCAGGTCACGCTGGAACACGCAGGTGTGTACAAGCCCTACCATGCCTGCTTGATAATTTTCAAAATCCGAATCTCCAAGCGTAAGGATAACTCTACGCTTAGCCTACTCTTCGTCCCCAACCTTATACTAGTGTAAGGTCTTGGGATCAACAAGCACCTGCTTCCCAACTTGAAGATCCTGGGCAGATGATTCCAGAATGTCTAGATCGAGAAGGCTTCAGCTGTAAATTGTTAAGAGCCCGCTGATCAAATCAAAGGTCTCTATGAAGCGATTGTGATAGTAGGGCATCCAATATTTCGTAATTCTTAGGCAAGAAGTGCACTGCCCTCAAACGCTCGGGTGCGGATAACCCCACGAGCCCCCACCCGGATGGCCTAAGCTAGGTTTCCGGCAATCTTGTTGCAGGAACCTGACGACCGGAGATGTGAGCCGCGGTTGAGCTCGTACCCGGCCGGAGCTCATCCGCAGCGGAGATATAAGCTCACGCCCAAGATGTGTGCTGCCGATTATCGGAAATCGGTCAAACAATCTTCACGCCATTACCATCAGTCGAATACCGGGTTGGGAAAAAAAAGATAATACTCTCTCAATGGCGACGCAAACACTGCAATTACCTTGTGGCGACAAGGTCCCCATGGTAGGAAAGTCAATCAGGCTGCATGCTCGAAAGCGCTGACCGGCTCTAGTTAGCCTATGGCACCGGGACTGTTTGGATGAAGAGCGCAGAAGACGATGTGGATAGGGCGACGGTGGACGCAATAAAGGAGGCAATTGATCTGGGTTATCGCCACCTTGATGGCGCGCAATGTATTTCGCCGGTCTCTCCGTCTTCCCTTTGCCGCAAGCCAACTAACGCAGTGGAACAAGATTACGAAACTGAACCGGAGCTTGGGCTTGCCATTGAGGAGTCCAAGGTCCCACGAGCGGAATTTTTTGTCACCATGAAGGCTGTCTCGCCGATCGATGTTGAAGGGGCACTAGTAACGAGCCTCAAAAAACTGAGAATGGAATATGTCGACTTGTATGATCCACCCGCCAACATTGATGCCCTGGTGGAAAGAGGTTATTGATGCATGACTCAGGTACCTGATTCACGAACCATTTTCTTCGGGCGGCAGCGAAGAGGTCCTCCAGGAGGCGTGGAGGGGCATGGAAAGGTGCCGTGAGAAAGGGCTGGCTCGCTCCATCGGTGTTTCGAACTTCTTGATACCTCATCTGGAAAGTATCCTTAAGGTTGCCACTGTGAAGCCAGCTGTCAATCAGATCGAATGCCACCCATACCTCCAGCGCTCCGAGCTTCGTGAATTTATGAAGAGGCAGGGTATCATTGCTGAAGCCTTTGCTCCCTTGACTCCCATCACCAAGGCCAGTCCTGGTCCTATCGATGCGGTATGTGGCGACCTAGCTAGAAAATACTCGGTCTCAAACTCTACCATTCTTCTAAGATGGGTCATTGACCAAGGAATCGTCGTGATAACGACGAGCGGCCAACGGAAGAGATTACTGGAATATCTTGAACAATTATCTAGATTTAAACTCTCAAATGAGGAAATACTTCGGATTAGCCAACTAGGTAGAGCAAAACACTACCGAGCATTTTTTGTAGATGGGTTTGGGAAAGACTGTTTTCTCTGATTTAGGTAGTCTACCTAAGGATCAAATAATCCATGCTGGCCAAATTTGAAAATCATATCCAAGCATCTGGCATTTAACAGTAGCAGCTACTGACTCCAATGAACGACGAAATTGTGAGGGTTCCCAGCCGCTAGAGGTCACCTGGTGATTGAAGCAGAATTAATTGAAGACTTGGATTGTAATTTCTCTTATCTCAACAGGACTATGACTAAGCTGTTTATCCATTCATAAGAAAATGCCATCACATGATACGTTCCATGGGCTGGCCTATTACGTCATGGGACTTGTGTCGACATACGAAACCGTTAGCCTTACCCTATGCTTACACTACTCAGCGAGGAATCAGCGTTCAATTCTTTCGAGTTGCCTGAATGTACAATTATAAGTATACCAAAGCGGAATTTAGTTCATGCAGATAGAATTAGGCATAAAATGGAATAAAATACGCAGCCAAAAATATCATATAGAGCCATCAGACGCCTGAGTTGCGATACTAGCTCATGGCGCATTTTTGGATAGCAAATGCAGGCGTTCGATAAACATTGAATAGGAGAACAATCGATCACGAAAAACTCAAATTGAATAAGCGACAAACAGGCATGAAATTCTCATTTCATGGGCTTAATTATTTACTTGTTCCATAAAGCTGCTTGGCCAATTAAATGAGGAAATTAGAAGAGCAGAGAGGTCCCAAGCGTGCTCCTTTATCGGACCATGTGCGCAGCCAATCACCCTTGAGCGATTGTGCTCCATTTATGATAACAGTGGCCTAAATAGGTATAACGCCCTCAGATACGGCGTCATGCTTAGTCAGTGGCCGTGCAACCCTGACGCAAAAGTGAAGCTATCGAGAAGTCCTAATACGGAAAGTGATTGTCTTAAGTGGATACATCAACTCATCGACCACTTCGATAACTTAAATAGCAAGAAATAATCAATGGGAAAGAGAGAGCTTTCTCTGTTTAACGAAAAGGCACTTAATGTATTAAAAATACCTCCATAATTTGTTATCAATGTGACTTGGGAGGATAACTAATATGAGATTTTGGCTTTACTGATGGAGTACTCGAATTATAGGACAAAGGGAGATATTAGTGCTAGCAACTATTCTTTTTTTATGGATATGGCTATTCTTGATTCATTATAACAATCTTGATATCTTTGCGGCTATGCTGTGCTTCAAAGGCCTCTCCGCATTTCGTTAAAGGGTAGGTGGAAGTAATCAAGGGCTTCAAGTCTACCTTTTTGCGGCTGAGTAGATCGATGGCATCTGCAAAGCAGCCCGGAGTATATCTGACCGTACCTAATGAAATGACCAGTTAAAACAAACTCGAGATAGGTAATGTTGGCCAAATTACCTTTAAGATTTAATTCCTTTGCTGTCAATAAAAACAAGGGGATTGAAGTCAAGGATTTGCCCAAGCCTGCTTGAATACCTGTGACACAATTAACTGCTAGTTCTAAGGACTGCTGAAAGCCAGGAAGACAACTTACATGTTCCACCATTCTTTAATAGACAAATAGCCATTTGAGCACACACTTCTGCACCGCTGGCCTCGACACTCGCGTCAAAGCCTGAACCCAGACCCAAATCCTTGATTAGGCTAGACGAGTAGTCTTGGGCAAAAGAAAGGGGCTCCACTGACTCTTCCCGCCTCGGAGGGACAATGCCAGCATCAGCGCCATATTTGACGGCAAAATCCACTCGCGATTGTTCAATGTCGAACATGACAACTTTTCTCACACCGTATGCTTTCGCAACGGCCAAGATCAGTAGTCCCAGAGGGCCGCAACCACTAGACGCTTGTCAGCAACTCCATCGCCTATTGGTCCCCTATATAAGCCCTTACAAGATGGCAAGTGTCTGGTGCGAGTTAAGAGAGGCTCGTCGAGCAAGCTGTACAGCGATTGCCAGGGGCTGAATTGCGCCAGCTTCCTCCCATGATACATTCTCGGGGATCGGTACGGTCATCGACGATCGGCAGGTAAAGTATTGACACAGTGTTCCGTCGGTGGGGTCGAGCCCGCAGTATTTGAGGTTTGCGCAGATATTAGGGTTTCCTCTGACACAGAACTCGCAGCTGAAAGTAAGGCTCAGTCTCCGGCTGCGATATGCTTTTCGATGGGGTTTTCAAATGATTGATTTTGACTCACGTCATGCAGGCGAAGCCTGGTTCAATAGCCACCCGCTGGCCAACGACTCGGTCGGTGACAGCTTTGCCCACTTCTTTGATGATGCCAGAAGACTCGTGCCCAAGGACCAACTGTCTTGACACTTTGTCGCTTTCCCAGTTGTGGCAGTCGGAGCCGCAGATTCCTGTCGAGATGACTTGGACAAGGACATCGTTGTCACCGACTGGTTCAATGGGTCTTTCTTGCACTTCGACGGTTTTCGCTGCAACCCACACGCAAGCTCGATTGGAGGTTTCCATCATGACTGATTGACTTGGTAATATTGCTAATATAAAGAAATAGCGAGAGCGAGGAGGTGTTATATAATATCTGCTTAGGCAAGGCCGGCTCGGGGGACGGGTAGTGTTAAAATATCGGGATCTGGTGGTCTGCACAGAAGGCGTCAGCACTCCCTGCATGAATGGGCTTGATAAACCAAGATTTCGAATGCAGAAGATAATCCTGCCTCGGTGGAAGCAAAGCAGGCCGTATCAAGGGCTGCTGTGACATTCGGTTCGGAGCCCGGCCCGCGGAACCCCGGCTGCTCCACCCTACCAACAGTGTGGGATCATGACTCCGCTTCCCCAGATAACGATCCCTTTCCGATTACTCTAGCATACATTTCTCTCTGCATGATTTAGTCTGGAGTAGACGATTTTTACATAAATAGGCCTCCTGAGGACCTTTGCGATCTTTCATCAACTCATCGTGTTGAGAGTTTCAAGACCAGTCAGCGACTCTCTTTTGGTTTCGTGTTCTTCCCTAGGTAAGCTTTCCGGTAGCCAGGAGGCCGGTGATTACAAAGATAAGCACAAGTCTGACACACGACAGGATTTTCATAAAATGGACAAACAAAAGAAGCTAAACAACGACCTTGTCGAAGTCACCACGATTCGATCTGCCACAATGGCTGAGACATGGGGCCCAGACGAAGAGAAGGCCCTCGTGCGCAAGATGGACATTCGAATCTTCCCAGTCATGATTGTCCTATTTATTCTCAACTTTATCGATCGAAACAACTTTGCCAACGCACGCCTTAGAGGCTTGGAGAAGGATCTTAACCTCACCGATGTTGAATACCAGACCTGCATCTCCATCTTGCTGGTTGGATATGTCAGCATGCAGATCCCTTCCAATATGATTCTCAATAAGTTGACCAAACCTAGCTGGTAGGAATTCCGTGAATCACCATGCTGTTACGTCTCTTGTTAATCGGTTAATCGTTCGCAATAGGTATTTGTGTGGTTGCGTGGCTACGTGGGGCGTTATTTCTGCTGCCACTGCAGCAGTTCACAATGCCACGGGCGCCATCCTTTGCCGATTCATCCTTGGCTGCGTCGAAGCTTCGTTTTTCCCAGGGTCCATATACTTCTTGTCTCGTTAGTATACAAGGAAAGAGATGCAGCTGCGGGTGACCATTCTGAATCTCGGCAACTTGGCAGCACAGGCCTTTGGAGGCCTTATTGCTGCTGGAATTCTGGCCAACATGGAGGACAAGGCTGGTATCCGTGCTTGGAGATGGCTCTTCATCATTGAAGGTGTTTTGACTGTCGCTCTCGGCATTGGTGCGGTGTTCATTCTGCCAGACTACCCACACACGACAGCTTGGATCACTGAAAGAGAGAGGTTTATCGCAGAGAGAAGGCTAACCCTCGACATTGGTGAATCTGACGAAACAGAAGATAAGAGTGCGTTCCAGGGCCTCAAGCTTGCTCTGGTTGACCCCAAGGTTTGGCTTCTCGGACTCACCTACCATGCCACCATCATGGGACTTTCGGTAAGTTTTCAAACCACACCATTACATGGGCAGCGTCTCTCTAACTGCTCGAAATCAGTTTGTTTTCTTCTTCCCCACAATCACCCAAGCATTGGGCTATGGCACCACCACCACTCTCCTTCTCACTGCACCTCCCTGGATCTGGGCCTGTTTGGTTTCTCTGCCGAACGCCTGGCATGCGGATAGGACGGGAGATCGGTTCTTCCACTACTTTGGGCCAGCGGCGCTTTGCATCATCGGCTATATTATTTCTATGACAACCAAGACTACGGCCCCGCGATACTTTTCTATGTTTCTAATGACAAGTGAGTATCCCACATCATATGATGCTGGATCTTGATTGCTGACTCCTGGGGATAGCTGGGTTCGCGTCTGGCTTCGTCATGCTCGCATGGATCTCCAATACAATCCCACGTCCGGCTGCAAAGAAGGCTGCCGCCATCGCCCTCGTCAACGCCATGGGTAACATTGGCAGCATCCCTGGCTCATACATCTGGCCTGCCAAGTTCGGCCCTCTCTATGTCCAGTCCTTTGGTGCAGAAATTGGCATCCTGGGCCTCGCATGCTGCAGCGCCTTCCTCTTGCGAACTCATCTAAAGAGGCTCAACAAGAAGCTCGAGGCGGAGGAGACGAATATGGCTACATCAGCTGTTGCTGGGGAAGCTTCTAATAAATCTCCGGGTGATGAGCTTAGGCCCGCCAAGAACTTTAGGTACTTGTACTAAGAGGTATGCAATGGCCGAAAAGTGGTAGCAAGGGGACGAGTGGAAGCTGGGCCTCTTCTAATTGGTCTGATTTACCCGGATAGTCACTTTTCTATAATATACTTTGTCTTGTCTCCTTTGATTTAAACTAAACATAGGACAGTAGCATGTATTTGGATGAGAACAAGACTATATCCGTTAAGTTTCAAACAAGAGCACTTTGACCCCACAAGTGGTCGGTAGGAAGAAAAATACGAAAGCAGCCTGGGGCGGGAAGAAACAAGTTTTTGTACTTGTTGGGCCTAGAGTGTAGAGATAGTTTGCCTTGAAATGAATGGCAGTAGAGGAAAATGAAACTATTTGAATGCAGAGAATAGGATTAGTTACTGCTAGCTAATGGACGTACATGAGGGTTGACCGACTTTGCCAACACCTCTTTATTTACCTAACATACGGTGGAAAGACCGAATTCTAGAGCTCCTGGTAGAATTATCTGTCTAATTGTATTCTAGCTGTTGCCCATTCCCGTTGACATGTTTAACTGAGGCCTCATCCTCCACTCCATCTTTTTTGGAGCCCTTTATACTATTGGTTTCACCACTGCTAGTGTTTGTGGGGTGAGAAGTTAGTTGGCTAAGTGTGGTCATTGCAGTTCCCATCCAAGCTGTGATGGCCACGATGTCTGCTCCACAATTGACAAAGTGAAAGCCTTGGTGATACTTTTGCGCCGCTGCATATTCACCTTGAGTCAGCCCTGCTTGATTCTGCTGCAGAATCGATATCGCTGAGATCATGGGACTTACCAATCTCTGGGCTAAGAGCAAAGTGTCCGACGTATTTTCCTGCATCGAGGCCTGCCTTGAGGATTCTCTTTGTTGCCTCCTGGACTTCTGGGATCGATGCGTGATCAAATGCGATATACCCCATCGATGAAGCCAGATCGTTGGGGCCAATGAAAAGCATATCTGAAAAACACCCACAAGTATTGATTAGTGATTCAACATGTACACGAGGCGGAACTGCTCTTCCTTACCGATTCCTTCCACGCTAGCAATAGCTTCGACATTCTCAACTGCTGAGCGACTCTCTATTTGTACACATATCATTACATTCTCGTTGGCAGTGAGTAGATATTCGCGACCGTTCTGGTTGAACGCGGCAGGGGCGAACATTGCACCGGCGCCTCGGACACCAGCTGGCCATTTTGATGACGGGTACTTGCATGCCCTCACGATCGACTCGGCTTGTTCCTAACGTATTGAGAGTTAGACTATAGATGGAATAATGGAAAGATCTATATCACGGATATAGCATACTTTTGTTTCACACATTGGGACCATGATGGCATGAGCGCCAGCATCGAGAACTCTCTTTATCATCCATGGTTCACTCCCGGCTATTCTCACTATGGGAGATACTCCCGACGAAGAGATGGCTCCCACCTGGAGATACATCGCATTGTCGTCGATGTTGCCATGCTCGCAATCGACGAGGACCCACTAGCATGCACGTAAGCGAGCTGAGGAGGTGGTCTGAGGCAGTGGACTTTAACTCACATCTTCACCCAAGCCCGCCACCGTCTTGGCAAGCGTATAGCCTGGGAACTCCAACCACTGGCCAACACTCGGCCCTTGCCGGGCTTTGGCCCGCTCTAGTGACTCGCGCAGTCGGGTTTTGACGGGGGATTGGGTCATGTTTTGGTCGGTACCACAGGGGCGGCGATATATTGGAGACGGGATAGTTAGAGAGAAAGACAGAGGTTTAGTGGCGCTCAAGATTTTTGATAAAGCATGGTCTTTTTCTGTCTGACCATTTGCGCTGACTGTTCTTGGATCAACCTCTAAGATAACGTCGTACCGGCACGGATCTCGGCCCGACCGAACCTTTCCAGGTTGTGGTTCCCCGCAGCTTTCTCACGTCCGTTATCCCCGGGAGGGGATATCCGCTATCTTCTATCAAGTGACAAGTGGACAACAGCCTAGAGCAATGAAGGGGCATATGATGCTCTAATCTAGATCAATAGCATGGCTGCGGAGAAGTATAGAGGCACCTCGGTGAGATGATGCTTCAAATTTGATTCACTAGCTACTTGACCAGGTTTGTCGTCTTAGATTCCCGGTGATGCGTGTGTAATGAGTGAGATGATATTTATTTGCTTGTCATTTCCCTACGCACGCCTACATACGTGACGTCTCTGTGTAACAACTCATATGTACTATGTAGTTTAGTAACATGCAGACTGATGAATTATAATTAGATGGCTAGATAGGGTGGTGTGGACCTGCATTATGCCTTATCCGATCTAAACATATAGACGAACATTCGGCAAAGGGTAAGAGTCCAGGTTGTCCAGTTGGCCTGTATGCAAGGAGCGATGTCCGGAAGCGGTTTTGAAGGAATCACGTGCAGCCCCAGAACTAGACCGAATCGCGGGGTTTGCCACATGGCTGGAGATTGACATTGTTTCCTGGGTTTTGATGGCTGAATTGAACACAAGCTATGTTACTTGCCTTGCCAGTTTCCCCAACAAGGCCAGTTAGATCTCCCCCAATCTTTGGTCTTTTGTAGCAATCTCTGCCCCATGGCCGATGGAAGCGCAGACGCGGCGCCTTCGAAACTGTCGTTACCCGTCGGGTTTGGCGGCAGTAGAATCAGCCAAGCCTGCCTAGCATGTCGCAGGAAGAAGGTAAAAAGGGACCCGGCTTTTTCTTCTTTTGATCGATCATTTGCTCTATTAGCTGACGCAGAGAATAGGTAAAATGTGACGGACAAAGTCCGTGCCATAATTGCAGCTCACGATGCTTGACCTGCGAATATCCGAAATGCAGTGATAACGCGTCCTCCAGTCGACAGTAAGTATCCGAGCCTCCCCTAGAAAAAACCAATCTTTTCCCTATTGTTCTCTAATAGACATGCACAGGTACGCTAGCTCTCTCGAAGAAAGATGCCAACAACTCGACCAGTTCTGTGGCAGACTCGAGTCCTTGTCCATTGAACTGACAGAGTCCATCCTCGAGATTAAGCATCTGAGACACGCCCCTCTGGATGTGGGATTGGCAATAGATGACGAGCTACAGCAGGCAGCACATGCCCTCCAATCTCTTCCAACTCTACATAGTGGTAGCATACCTGCCATGAATGAGTTATCCATAGAGCTCAATGCTACACCCGATGCTGGCCAGGAACTAATCTCGGAACATGCACAAGACAACATCAGTGACACCAACAACGACCAGGACATATCGGATGAGAGCATAGATGACGATGGCTTTGGCTTGTCGAAGGACAATGGTGAAATCAAAGGCATGCCTAGCAAATTTGGATCGCTGGTGACGGACTCGTACGGGAAACTACGGTAAGACTTGCTGTTCCTCAGTTGACAACATTGTATGCAAACTGATAGAGTGCAAATAGGTACTTGGGTGGAGCGACTAATAACGTCTTGGTCGAGGCTGTCAAAGGACTCTCGCCTGGTTCTCTCACTTCTATCTACAACTCATCGCCCGGATCGTCGAAACTTGGGCAAGCCTCATTCAACCATACCGAAAATGCTCCCCCAGAATTCGAGATTCCATTATTTGTTCGTGGTCAAAAATGGCAGGAATTGCCCTATCTTCCACGAGCCGAAGACGTTCCTCGTCCCCCAAAATATGTTGCGGACCTCCTCGTCAATCTATACTTCGACCAGCTACACTACACCTTTCCTGTTCTTTACAAACCGCATTTCATGTCCTGCTATAGACAAATGTTTTCGCCGCCCCCAGGCTCCAACAACAACGTGGATGCCAAGTTTCTGTCAGTATTCTTTGCTGTCTGTGCTTGTGCCTCGACGCTTATCCCCCTGGATGGGAAATCAACGTCTTTTCCTGGACTGGATTACTACCAAAAGTCATTGATCCTTTACTATGCATCGACGGGAGAGGCTTCCGTTGAGAGAGTGCAGTGCATTGCCTTGCTGGCAATGTGCGCTGGAGGCTGGAATACGCTGACCCAAAGTTGGACGTTTGCCGGACAAGCCGTCCGGGCGGCGCAGGACTTGGGTATGCACCTGAGCAGCCTAGTAAGTAATAATACCATTGTATGCTCTGAACTTCTCTGCCCTTCTCTAACTTGACAGACTGCAGTCTCTACCGAGCCCTCAGACATGATAAAGCAGCAATTGTTGCGAAGGATCTGGTGGTCAGTTTACTGCCTCGATCGGTAAGTGGTGTTATGTGAATTGGTGCGTTTACAGGCAGTCCATAATTGATGATTTCTATACAGAGTCACATCTATATGTCTAGGCCGCCCCATGGCTGCCGACGACGCAGACTGCCATTGCGATCTCCCCCTTGACAAAAAGGATGAAGAGTTGGAGGTATATTTTCAGAATACTGAGCCTTCTGTTGAAAGCCCGACTATGACAACATCTTCTCCGATGACTGGCTTCGTGGCATTCATCCAGCTTTGTCGCATAGGGGGGAAGATACAAAAACTTCATTCACCATCACGGATAAGAGAACTCCAAGATGCTAAAAAGGCGAGAAAATTCCTCCGCTCCGTTGTCTCTCTCCAGAGAGCCTTAGACCGGTGGCTTGCAGGTCTGCCAGATGATATTCGCTTCTCTGCAAATGCTGCCGAGAGGGCTCCCAATCTGACCATGTGTGTCATCATGTTTATTGTCCATGCTGGATCGCTTTTGAATCTTTATCGGTAGGCTCAGTAAACATGCTAGCACTTGAGCGTGTCAAATTGTTAATCGTTATAACAGGTCATTGTCAGGCAGTGCCGCACAAGCAACACTGGGTTCTCATGGCGACGAAGCCATGTCTCACTGTGTCAGTGCGGCTCGAAGTTGTATAAACGCCGCAGAACTTGTTCGAGAATTGGTTCCTCCATCGCACCATCTCGCTTTTTGCGTCCATTATCTAACTCTATCGGGTTTGATCTTGTGTGTTCCAGTACTGTCTTGCAAACTTTGACATGGCTAAATACTGACGGTTCGCAATTAGACTCAGAATACCAGAACATCCGCGAGAGAAGGCCCATGGAGATGTTGAGAAGTGCATCCGGTTCCTTAAAGGCCTGGAATCAACGTGCTCTGGAGCCAGCAAGGGACGGGCTATAATTGAACATTTGCTCAACGATTCCTCTGCCCCAGACATGGACGGATCATTAGCTGACTTGCTCAATGATCCTAATACGTCGTGGAACCAATTACCGGGCTCGGAGTTGTTTAGCTATAGTTCCTTTAGTCCCGACTTCCTTAATTTATAATGTCCTAATTTAAAGTACCGACCTGCAGCAATTCTCAGCCACACTTGCCAACCATGAGAACAGCCTCTCCAGCACTTATCATTCACCACCAAAATATTGGAATAGGATAAATAAGAGACATAAGAGTGTTGTTTGTTGTATTGAATTTTTAAGAGATGTGAGATTGTTCTGAACTCCTAAAAATAAAAGCATTGTAACACTAGAAATAATAGCGGCTGCTAGAACACAATACTCCGATCTATAACTTTTGAACCACCTTGCTGAGCACAGACTGCCTTCTCTCGCAATCTCCAGGCTCCTCATTCAAGTAGCACATTCACCACAAAGGTTCCACATCTTCGACATATAGCTTCTGATCATGGCTGGAAATGGCTTGGCTTCTCTGCCTTCGCTGTAGCCAGCCGGCCGGGTAAATGCCCGTTTTCTCGTCACGATGAGGGTCGGTGGTATCTCGCTCCGTTTGCTGGTTGGTCACGGTAACCCCATATTGCCTGGAACCAGGACAAGAATGAAAGTAACATACTCTTGTTTTCCACTGTGCATCATACGATTGAGTCATGAACTGAATTTGATTTCTTCTGAGCAAATCAACCTCCTACAATTTCCAAAAACTGTAATAATAAAATGCAACCAAGAAAACAATATCCGGAAGGTTTTCAGGGCCCACAGAAAAGTAGAGCAAACCCCCCTTGCTACCCAAAGCCTTTAATATTAGTATATTGATTTCATAGAGAGTGGTAAAGCTAGGACCTAGTTAGAGTATAGAAACCGCAGGATAGGAACTCTAGATATTTAAGATTATTTATTAAGCTTTATTAGTAAGCTTATCAGACTCTATACTATTTATACTAATAAAGATCGGTTAATTACAATATAGAATAAATATATATCTATAGATCTATTCCTAATCCCTGCTTTTCTCAAACTATAAGCCTCGGAGATTCTTATTACTTGCCTGTGCCCGGATTCCCTGGTACAGAGTAGACTTATTGCGAGTGTGGGGTCTAGTGATTGGACCCTTGTTATGATTTTGGCGTTACTGCGTGACAATTGATGAATACAACGCCAAGTTAGTATATATTCATCCTTGCTATAGGCGAGATTTTTCGACCATGGTCAGTTATGACAGTTTTCGCTAGGTCCCGGGGAGCGATTCGGGCCTTGATCTCATTTTTCCCTGTTGGAACTAGGCCCATATGCTACCTAATGAAGAGGTGGATTAGCCCAAGTAATGGATATGTGTTATATCGCTCAATTATTTCTTTGTATGGGTCACTCAAACCACCGTTGAAACAATCAGGTTAGGCTGATTGGAACCGATGACATCCTGCGGATAAACTACGATATAACCATCGCCAAACCATGCTTGGAGGTAGCTTTAAGAAAAGTATGCCCGGTATGCCACCGACATCTTCCAAGATATAGGCATATGGCTCCAATAGAGTCTTATGACGAGACCCCACCTCCACAAAACTCGAGTCGAGCTTCTCCGCATTCCCCATAACCTCCGCATTTATTCCCCGCCTTGGTATAACGTTCCTTCATCAGGAAAGTTGTACTAGGCGATGAGGTCATGAACCCCGAGACGCTGTTGCTGGTAAGCTAGACGTAACAAGCATATTTAGAGGAATAAGTGTCGTGCAAAAAGTAGGGGAGAACCCGGTGCCTGTCATTGTTTATTTCATTCTGCCCTCAATCACCATAGTGAGAATTTCTATTGGCGCCGTCATCGCGGCCTTCTCGGCATCTCTTGCCGCAGCTTCCCTCACAGAGTATCCGTGGACAGAAGCTGCTATATCCGCTCCTTCCGAGGGGCGATATCTTTACAAGACTGTTAGTGGTGAGCCTTTCACCTGGGTTGCTGATACCAACTGGGAGTTATTCCATCGCATGAACCATACCGACGTGGATCTCTATCTCGCAGACCGTGCTGCGAAGGGATTCACCGTAATCCAGGCCGATTTGTTATCCAAGTACAATGTCACAACGACTCCTAATTTCTTTGGCCACCTTGCCGTCAACAACAGTGACCCAGCTCAGCCCAATGATGCCTACTTCGATTTCGTTGATTGGGCTACTGCAAGAGCAGCTGAATATGGCATAATAATCTGCCAAGTCCCAGTCTGGGGCCGATATGTCAGCGGTGGCTGGTACGGAACAATTGGTCCCAGGCTATTCGACGAGGCCAACGCGTATGCTCTCGGCCGTTATCTTGGTAAACGCTACCCTGGCGTTCCCAAGATGCTCGGTGGTGATACCAATGGGTTCTGGGCAAATAATGTCCCGCAGGCTCGTGATGCTTGGAGGAAGAACCCGGAGAATCCCGCGATTACATTGGGTCCCATTGAAGACACTCGTGCTATTTGGGCTGCCATGATGAGAGGTTTCATTGAAGAAGAGGCCAAGCAGGGTTATAAGGCTTTTGTTGCCTTTCAGCCTACCAGCCCTTGGTTCTCCGAGCCCGCTACACCGCTTCCTTACGGACACAACGTGAGTACAACCCATATGACCCTTGCATCAATACAGTTCGTCTGATTGGAAAAACTTAGTACATTAATGGGAGCCTCGGAACTCTCTCGATGGATGCCGTCCAGTCTGGTCATGAGTACTCAGATCCAGAGGGCATTGACTACAACTACAAGGTTCTGACTCCCTGGGACTCTAGCAAGAACTATGATAATATTATTCAAATGCGTGATCAGTTCCCGGGCCCGGTAATGGATGTTGAGAATCACTACGAAGGTGCAAACCAGGGCTTCAACACTTCCAAGCCTGCTTTTAATGTGTCTGAAGTTCGCCACGGCTACTATCCAGCTCTTCTCAGTGGAGCTTGTGGTATCACTTACGGATCTCTTCCCGTGCAGCAAACTTACGAGAATATTTCCCTCGTGGCTAGCCCGGAGCACTACCACGAGCATCAGCTCAACCTGTCGCCTAATGCTAGCTGGCATGAGGCACTGCACTGGCCTGGAGCTAAACAGATCGGATACGCAGGTGCTATCTTCAACGACCTCTCCAAAGATGCGTTCAACACTCGCGAGCCTGCTAGAGAATTCCTCTCGTCTCCTCAGGGCCCTTCGAGTAATATTTTTGATTACGTCGGTGACCGTTATATCGCAGCTATGATTAGAAAGGGCTACTACTGGGTTTATTTCGGCTGGGGAGACGCTTTTCAGGTGGATCTGGATAGGGTTTTATAGAAATGGGGCCAGCCTGGTGTAGGTTATACCGCTCAGTGGTATGATCCTCGAACATCCAAGCTTCAGGCTATTCAGAAGAGTGGCAAGGGATTTGCAAAGGGTAAACTCGTATTTACTCCTCCTAGTAGCGGAGGTGTTGACTGTGATTGGCTTCTTATTATCAAGTCAGAGAGTCGTTAATTCAACGACCACAGCAGGCAACTCTAGGGACATGATCAACTGCTAGCAGATACCAGATAGCGGAATATATCTTCGACATATACTTTACAAAAGTTTTCCTTTTTTTTTTTTTGGCCATATACAAGGGGTGTATCCCAAGATCGGGCCGCACGTGATCTGTTGCACACTGGTTTTTTAAACCAAATTACCGTCCATACCCGACCTTCAACTCTTCGTTTAAACCTTGACTTTACATACATACTTACAGAGGATATAACGTAGTTATCTAATTTTGTCAAGGTATGTATGTGCCTTAGTTGAAAGTTTACCTAAGGCAGTACAGCTAGCAACTTGCCGCGATTCTATGTTAGCTATGTGTGCTATGAAAAAGACTCGAAATTGGCAGTAATTACCCCAATTATGTGGACCGATGGATGTGATGAAGCTGTGGAGTTCAATTCCTCAAGAAAACCCCAACGGTGGGAACAATCCACCTTATCTGCGGATATATGCCCACTTTCGCGTCGTGGAGCGCAATGCCCGAAATTCCGCAACGACCATCCGCGACTCCATTTACTACTCTGAGTATGATGCAACCTTGGGGAAAGGCTATGTCCTCCACCAAAGGAAAATAATGGAATTGCCTTGAGATTTGTTCTGTACTTCATTTGGTCTCGTCGCTATGCAGCTAATCAGGACTTGTGCGGCAAACCTCGCACAAAAAACTAGCATCATATCACGAGGTCATCTGCGTCAAGCTATTACTGTTACTGTCGTTTCTCGTTCTCAAGCTTGAGGATCAACTGCCGCCAACCTTACATCAAACTCGAAGTGTACACTCGCAACCATGGCCAACCGGGCTCAAATTCCGGCCAAGATGAAGGCGATTCAAATCAAACAGTTCAACGAACCCTACGCGATATCCGAAGTGGCCGTGCCCTCACCAAAACCTTACCAGGTTCTCATCAAGATCAAGGCTGGTGGCTACTGCCATACGGACTGTATGGCTCATGAGAATGCTTTCGGCACTCAATTGCCCTTCATTGGATCACACGAGCCCGCAGGGGTTGTTGTGAGTGTAGGTTCTGAGGTGAAGGGCTTCAAGAATGGAGATAGGGTAGGATGTATCAATTTTGATAGCTGTTGTGGTAAGTTTTGATGTGAGAAATTATCCCATCCCCTCGAAACTGGGCTAAGTCGTGCTTGTAGGGGTATGCCCCGACTGCCTGGCTGGACGACCAATCTACTGCGATAATCCCAAGATGAAAGGGCTGACTACAGACGGTGCCTGGGCTGAGTACATGGTTGCGTAAGTACCGAGATACCGGAATGTTGGTGTAACAATACTGACGTGATGGTAACAGCGACGCACGCTTTATTGTGAATCTCCCTGATTCGATGGATTTCCCGACAGCCGCGTGTCTAATGTGTGCCGGCATGAGCGTGTACGGAGCAATCAAAAAGGCAGAAGTACCTGCGGGCGGCTCTCTCGCCATGGTAGGAGTTGGCGGATTGGGACATATCGGTACACAGGTGGCAAAAGCAATGGTGAGCTTTTGCGTCCCTCATTATGCGTGTGTACAAGACTGACGTCGGATTTGGATGCTAGGGATATAAAGTTGTCGCCATCGACGTGAAGCAAAGCTCCCTCGACCTAGCTAATTCATACGAGCTCAAGCCCGACGTGAATATTCTTGCAACGCAGCCAGCATCAGAGGCAATGGAAACCATCACGGAGGCGATAAAGGGACATTACCCCGGTGTTGACGCGGCAATTCTCGCTACTGATGCCCCACCTGCATTTGACTTTGCGGCTGCTATCACAAGGAAACACGGAACTCTTGTTCTTCTTGGGCAGCCAGAAAAGGGGATAAATATGTCATATGCCAACGTCATCTACCGCGATCTGAAGTTGGTGGGCTCCTTGGTCGCTGATCAAGCTGACACGCAGGATCTCGTGAATCTTGTGGCGAAACACAATATTCAAGTGGAGATCAAGACTTGGGAGCCGGAGCAGGCAGAAAAGATGCGGAAGACGTACCTCGAAGGATCCGCCTCCGGGAAGAATGTCATAGTCTTTGAGTGACGTATCAAAAGCATGTAGATGAGACAAGTATTAACCAAATTCACCAGTTGATTTCTCTGCTACGCGCTCCTTGGTTCCAGTCATTGGTTTTTAAGAGTCAAATCATGCACTTGGGGAATAGTGGTGACCTGTTTTTTTTTTTTGGTTATTTTCATTCTGAAAACTTACACCGGCATAAAATACTTTAATGGCACTTTTGATATTCCATTATAATTCAAATTACTATTGGATTCGACGAACGCTGAAAGCTAGCACCAGAAACTAACTGCCATGACATCATTAATATTACACAAAATAAACAAACAGATGAGGATTTAGATAGAAGCTAAAGAAGATTGGAGTTGTAGCACGGTCCGATATTCCGACCGCCTATTCCGAAACTCCTGTGGTTTGTGGAGAGAAAAAGACGGATCCCTGGTAACCAAGTTGGAGTAAGTTACGCATCATCAAAGCTTTGCTCGGGGTTGGATGGACGTGGAGGATACCGGAGAGTCAACTTAATGTTCTTTATGCTATGAATTAGCATAAGAAGTAGCACGTACTGGATTTCTTTCCATCCTGGATGGTGTTCGTCTCGGTTGACCACGGGCTGAAATGCATTCCTTTCTCACTTCATTGTCACGAAATTTTCAAAACGTCATGCGCGTCAAGAAACAAGCATTTTCGATATTACACACAAGCTACCGCGCTTTTGCGACAAGTCGGTGCACCATGGGAACAATTACAACAACCGCCCTATATCCTCGCACCGAGGGTAAGAAATTCGATATCGATTATTACATTGGGAGACACCTGCCCTTGGCTGAGAAAATTTGGGGCCCGTTAGGCATGAAAGATTGGTCTGTCGTGGCTTTCAAGGACGATAAGGCCGGCAACAAGCCTCTTTACCGATACAAGGTCGTGTCACGATGGACAAGCATTGATGCCATCAAGAAGGCCACAACGACTGCTGAAGGAAAGGCAGTGCTGGATGATGCTGTCAATTACACTGACGAGGTACCGATTGTTCTGGTTGGGGAGGAGAACTGGAGTAAATCCGTTGATCTTGCTCGTGACTGAGCGTTAAGCATGTCCTTATTTACAAACAATTCTATAACTGTGTTTAGATATGTCTCTTGTGGCTAGGGACTAGGTGATTATTTATGAACTGTATTTACAGAAATTCCATCCCATCAACGTTGACGAAAGATCTTTGGCGACGTAGAGTTACACGGCTTCGTCAATGCTCACATCTTCCCACGAGAGCACCGGTTTTATGGTCTTGTCATCACCAAGTTAGAACATGATTTCTTTTGATATCTTCCGATAGTCTTACCTCTCCACTGTGCATGGATTTGATGGCTTGATTAATATGTCGTGCTGAAAAGACTCGGCAGACCTTTTCCAACGGAAACTGCCCCTGTCGGTGTAAATCAATGAGAAAAGGGAGAAACTGTCCATCGAATCAATATTCATAAGCTTGATCGGTTTGATCGAGAGGATCACGTACGCTGTGAGGCTGAGCTCCTCCCTGGATGATGCCATGTATCGACTTGTTGGCGAGAAGGAAATCAAGAGCGTCGATAGAAAAAGTTGACCCGGGTTTGGGAACTCCTAGGACGGTAATATGACCTTGAGGAGCTGTTGAACGCACAGCATCCTCGACGATGCTCGTAATACCAGTACATTCAACTGTATGGTCTGCGCCTCGTTCCGTCAGGGCTCGGATGGCTTGAGGCACATCCGGAATCTCAGCAGCATTAAGAAGATCAGTAGCCCCTAGCTCGGCTGCAAGCTTCAGCCTCTCATTATTGAGGTCTACGGCTATGAGACGTTTTAGACCAATGTACTTGCAAGCCATCAGGGCCGCTAGGCCAACAGTTCCCATGCCAAAGATGACCGCGGTTTGGTGTTGCTGCGGCTTGGCCACATTGAAAATGGCGCCGGCACCTGTTTGAAATCCACATCCCAGAGGGGCGTAGGTGGCGAGTTGATCTGGGTAATCACAGCGCACGACAGTATCTTCGTGAACGACGGAGTGTTTAGCAAAAGAAGAATGCCCGAAATATTGAGACCGTACCGGCGTTCCATCCAGCAGCCGCGCAGGAGTCGTTCTGTCACTAAGGCGAACAGCGTTGTGGTTGACCTGTGGGTGGTCATGACAGAAGGCACGTTGCCCAGACAGGCAAGCTGGGCATGTCTGACAGGCATTGTATGATAAAACAACCGAGTCTCCGACTTTGAGAGACTTGCTTTTGACCCCTTCGCCCAAAGCCATGATGGTCCCTGCACCCTCATGGCCAAGTACAGCAGGAAACTCGGTCATATCGAGCATTCCTTTAGAAACTGCAATATCCTAGGCGCTCGGAATCAGCAACCTGCAATTTCAACTTCATGCGTATAGCAACCCTTAATAAGACATACGGTATGGCAAATTCCACTATACCTCATCTCCACCAGAATCTCATTGTCTTGCACCTCGTCCAAGATAAGTGACCGCAGTGTAAAACCAGCACTCGGCTTATCGGTCACCCAGCCAGCGGTGCGCATACCCAGCGGGATGGCTTGGCGCAGTAACCTTGTCGAATACATGGCAATGGGTTCGAGTAGGCCGCCAGTCTGAGTGGTAGGAATGAGAAAGTGACTGAGACGAGAGGGTAAGCCGTTATGAACAACAACTCCTTCATCGGGCATCCATTCACTGGGGTTCACCAAACCTTTTGGGACTCCCATAGTTCGGAAAAGTTGGTATAATTGCGTCACACAAGGACTATAAGCCAAGTTTCTACCCCATCCACCCTGGCTGGAGTTGGAGTAGGAACTTCTTGTCGCGAATGCGAGCTTCCCCAGTCCCAGCTCGTCGTCCATGACTCGGATTGCAGGGGCCCCGCCTTGTCCTAGCCATGGATGGAAACACCGGGTGAGTATCACAACGACAGGCCTTGCTCACGCCCCGGTAATCTGGAATTGCCGAATGTGTAGCTAGGCGGCCTTTCCAAATACAATTTAAGTGTGGCTTCACGCTCTGTATCTTTGAGACTTTTTGGATCTTGAAAACCTTCTGCTCACTCCTTGTCCTCATCTGCAAGTAGCCAAACCGAGATGTCTTTACACAATTTGACCGGCGTGACACTGCGCATACTAGTTTTTTCTACAGCTGGCGCTGCGTTTTTGCTTTTTGGCTAGTAAGTAACTTCACTGTTCCCATCTTCTGCGGCCGACCGCCCAAGTTCTTTCATTGGGGACTTTCATCCATATTCTACGAGACGGTTAACCACACAATATGCAGTGATCAAGGTGTTATGGGAGGCCTCATCAGCCTCGAGTCATTTACCAATCGATTTGACAACCCTTCGCCTGGTATGTTGGGTTTCATGGTGGCCTCGTATGATGTACGTCCTTGCAAAAATATGCTTTGCAGATCGTCACTCGACACTAAGAAGCTAATTAGGGGTGTAGATTGGATGTCTGGCAGGAGCCTTGGCAGCCTTTATCTGGGGTGATCGCTGTGGCCGCCGCTGGGCCATTATATATTCGTGCATGGTCCTCCTCGTTGGCGCAGCTCTCCAGACTTCTGCGTATTGGAAAGCTATGTACATTGGTATGTGAAACCTTTTCTCTTCGGTTACAGCATGGGCCGACTTTGACGACTGATACACGAGTTTGTTATGCAGTTGGCCGCATCGTGGCCGGAGTAGGTGTTGGGTGTATATCAGTCACCGTCCCGATATATGCGTCGGAATGTGCACACCCGTCGTGGCGTGGCAAGCTTGTTGTGCTGGAGACGACAATGGTTATCATCGTAAGAAGAACTAATTCAACACATACCTAGGCCTTGAATGAACCATGAGTAACCGAATCCTCTCTAGGGAATTGCCATCTCGAACTTCACCAATTTTGGGTTTGTCTTCGGTCGACCCGAGCTCGACGGAACAGAGGCGCAGTGGAGAATCCCACTAGGACGTAAGGCGTACCTCCATCAAGGCAGGAGTGATGCCTCAGACAAGCGCTGACTGTACTTTAGTTCAAATGATCTTTCCTCCTTTCGTTTTTGCCTTGATGCCGTTCACGGTCGAGAGTCCACGCTGGCTTGCTGCTCGTGGCCGCCACGGAGAGGTCGCCCACGTCCTCGCCAGGCTTCAGGGCCAAGGCTCGACAGCCGAGTCGCCACACATCCAAGAGCAGGCCAACATCATCGTACAAACAGCAATCCACGAGGCGGAGATCGAATCTTCATGGAAAGAGGTGAGAATAACCATGCGTGGACTGCAGTCTTTGCTGTTCCCTTTGCTGAATTTGATGAGTAGTGCTTCAGTGGCGGCGAGCTGCAGAACTTCCGCCGCCTGATACTCGCAGCAACGACGGGCTTTCTTCACCAGGCAACCGGGATCAACGTTGTCATCTACTATGCCCCAGTTATCTTCCGCCAGGTCGGCCTCGATGATAGAAACTCGTTCATCCTTAGCTGCGTCGGCTCCATTTGCTTCTTGCTGGGGTCGGTCTTACCCATATTCTACATCGAGCGCCTCGGACGACGCAAGACTATGATGATGGGCGCGGTGACTTGTGGTCTATGCATGGGTATGATTGCCTGTACTGGTGCGGTGGGCGCCAACTTCCCGGAGAGGGCCATTGCCACGGGCTGGGCTGGGGCAGCTTTTATTCTCCTATTCCAGTTCTGCTTCGGCATAGGGTGAGAGATGGCCCCATTTCTGATTTGATGGCCACAGATTGACTTGACTGCAACACAACAGGTGGAATTCTATGAACTGGCTGTATTCGAGCGAGATCGGTTCCTTGAGAATGAGAAACAAGACTTCCGCCACTCAATGCTTGTTCCATTGGGGCACTAACTTCCTCACTGTCATGGTTGCCCCGTCTGGGTTTGCTTATCTAGAATGGTAAGTCATCTTCAAGAATCCACATCTCTGAAACGTAACGTTGACTAGAAATGATAGGAAATTCTACCTGGTGTGGATGGCAGTGACTCTCGCTGCAATTCCCTTTCTCTTGTTTTGCTTCCCTGAAACGGTAAATGGCTTGCCCTCCCATCTTTTCGATCTCGACTACGGGCTTGCTGACAAAAATAGGCCGGTCGAAGTCTCGAGCAGATGGACGAGTTCTTCAAAAGATATCCACAATGGAACATACGGCAAGTTGCGCATAAGACTTTCACTGAATCAGCCGTGGTCGAAGGGAGTGAGAAGGAGGCTGCAACTGTCCATCATTCAGAAGAGCGAGTATAAAGATGGTTCATGTAGGGGTACTGGCGGCGTGTTTGCAGCTACGCGGAGTTTTGGGTGACTGGCCCCAGCATCCCAAGTTCTTTATGCCGATGGTTCCCCAGCGTGCGCTCACACACATGTTCAGACCAGATGATTGGAGTCAAGTACCTATGGACAGCAGCTATTTGGAAGATATTATATTGTTTGAGAGCAGGAATCGACCTATTCCAAGGCAGATGATCTGTTAATACCTATAATGATCTAGCCTAGAGGTTGATAAAACCTATTGATACGGACTGGAGAGGCTATTGCGGATCTTTAATCAGACGTGGTGTTGTGCTAATAGCTTGTAGAGTGCAATCACTAAATGCACTTCACTGCATGGCTTGACAAGCGTTTTATCGCTCACAGTAGGAGGGAACTTTGGGAGACGATGAAATCTGACCTGGACTATGTTAGAAGTGATGCCAGTGTCGAGGTAAACATACTATAATGCTGGACTCTTTTCGGGCTAGCTACGTATTGCATATCATCGATAGCTTTGGCGTGGTCATAAAATCCCTTGATCCCATCGTGGGCAAGTACACTAAATTTGTATCAAGGGCAAACCTAAAAAGTCACAAGTGATCTTTCAGTAGGTATATAGCTACTATCATTATGCGTCTAGACTATTCGATTTGTCTAATATTGTCCTTCTAACGTTAGCGTGCCAGTCTTGGAAACTAGATATTCCTCAAGGGCGACGTCTTTTCCAGATTCCTTGCCATATCCAGACTGCTTCATACCGCCAAAAGGTGACTCGGCTGCCGATGAGTTTCCCGAATTTATCCCTATCATACCAGCTTCCAGATTTTCCAGAAGTCTCCAAGTTCGATCAATATCTTTAGTGAAGAAATAGCTTGCTAAACCCATACTAGTGTTATTCGCCTGTTGTACCACTTCATTCTCGGTTGAGAACCGATAGACGGCGAGGACTGGAGCAAAGGTCTCTTCGTGACTGATGAGCATTGATGGTGAAGCATCTCGAATGATTGTTGGTTGGAAGAAGAATCCTGGCCCCTCAACACGTTGCCCACCAAGCACAACTTTGCCACCGGCTTGCACGGCGTCGTCCACATGAGCCTGTGCCTTCTCTACACCACGAGGTGTGGTAAGTGGTCCAATTGTGGTTTGGGGATCCAATCCGTGACCTTGCTTGAGAGTCCCTGTTCTCTCCACGAGCTTCTTAATGAATTTTTCATAAATCCCAGCTTGGACATACAATCTGTTGACGGTGACGCATGCTTGACCGGCATGGCGCCATTTCAACGCCATGAGAGCATCTAGGGCTTGGGTTTCATTGCAGTCGTCAAAGACTATGAAGGGACAATTGCCGCCTAGTTCCAAGGATAGTTTCTTAACTCCTTCAGAACAGTGGCGTGCAATCAATCTCCCAATGCTCGTCGAGCCAGTAAATGATACCTTCTTGACTAGAGGATGCTTGCATAGGGCCTCTGCTACTCCCGGAGTGTTGCTAGAGGAAGTGGGTATAACATTGAAGACGCCTGGTGCGAATCCGGCCTTGGAAGCCAGCCGCGCCAGGACCAGACAGGACAACGGTGTCTCCGGGGACGGTTTGGCGATGAATGTGCAACCAGCCGCTAATGCTGCTCCCGCCTTGCGTAGGATCATGCTGCAAAGGTCATGTCAGAGCCATAGTCGAAGAGAGAATGAAACAAGAGTTATGGAAACTTACGCAACAGGAAAATTCCAGGGAACCAATGCCACACACACCCCAATCGGCTGTTTGATGACAATAACACGACGATTGGGGGCCGACGGCACACTGACATTGCCCCTGACCCTTTCTGCCTCGCCAGCAAACCACCAGGTGAAGCCAAGGGCATAGTCAAGTTCGCCACGAGCCTCGGCAAGCGGCTTGCCCGTCTCGTGTGTGAGGATAGTAGCCAAGTCCTCCTTGTTTTCCGAGATGAGTCGATGCCATTCCAGCAGCTTCTGAGCGCGGGAGCGTGGGTTCTCGTGTCGGTATGTTTGGAATGCCTCGTGGCTCGATTTGACAACGGCCTCAATGTCGTCTAGTCCGTAATTGGCGCATGAGGCAACTACCTTGGCATTTCCAGGATCTGTAAAGATTTAGCCGCCGAGCTTTTAGGTATTGTAGAACATGTTTTTTCCAAAACACTTACCTTGAATGTCGAACCGTCCGTTGTGCACACCAGGTTGCCACTTCCCATGTACGTAGCCCTCGGTTTGTAGGAGGTTGGGGTTCTTAAGCTATTTGTGGCACATGTCAGTGAGTCAGATTTGGTAGACTGACATGTATAAAAGCTACACAAGATAAAACAAACCTCGAATGAGATGTCGTTGGACGCCATTATGGCCGTATGAGTTTGCAGTTGTAGTAGGTGTCGGCTCAGCGTCCCTGCAAACAACCAAATTGAAGCCTCAAGTCTCAAAAAAGGAAATTTGCGTAACAATACATAAGCAGCAGGGAGGCTCCCCCAGACACCAGACCCCGGTAAATATCAATGCGATAAATGCGGGATCGGTTGGAGTGAAATGGTGCCGGTATGGCGGGCACATTTGGGGTAAGAACAAACTCTGACTTCTCGGAGCCGCCGAACTCTTCGTGTCTCCGCATTGGAGAAGTTTAGGGAATGTACCGTGGCGTACGTTTCATACCAGTTCAATTAGGCGAAGTAACTCCTTGCAACCAATATCAACTGGGAACGGCGCAACGGGGTAGAAACCTCAGCGCCCAACTAGGTGATTTTGCCGGATGTACAGTTTCCCTTGTATCGGCCCGGGAGTTCCGGCTGGCCTAGGGGTGAGGACTAGTCATATGCCCAATTTAAAGTCTTTCCTAGACCATTATAATTGCATAGCAATCTTGCTACTTCGTGAACTAGTTCGTCAATGAGTACTAGGCACAGACGGCATTGAGCGACAGCAAATTTCCCATCAGACAAACCGAACCCCTGTATTACACGCAAAGATGTCTGTCACTAAGGCTGAGGATGACTGGAAGAATCTAGAGGTCGTCCTGAGCTCCACTTTGTCGTCTTTACAGTCCCATTTGAACGGGGACAGTCAGCTTGCAGCGTTTACTGACACCGGGATCAAGGAATGTGTGGTCTTTGGTTGGGCTGCCGCTGGGCATGACCAAGGCGTCCTCTGCTCAGTCGGTGGCGGTCAAACAGCCATACGGACCGGTGCAGTGAAAGATGCTTCGTTTGTCCTTTCGGCCCTGCCGGAGCAGTGGGCCGAGTTCTACTCGGCGACACCAAAGCCACCTTTCCAGAGTTACTGGGGCATGTTTGGTCAAAATATTCACCAGGATGGTGTCGAGGTCCGTGGTAACAAGAACCTCTTCCTAAATCTGGCCCCGGTCTGGCGGCGCGTTTTGGAGCTGAGTCGCATTGCGTTTTGCGGACCCATCCAAGAGGAAGAGCATGTGGCAACCCCAGAGAGGGATCTCATCTCTGGCGGCTACCTATGGGCAGATCTGCCATGCTGGGGGAGGACCAAACTGTTCTACGAACAGAGCGGCGACAAGTCGAAGCAGCCAATTCTTTTCCTGCATACGGCGGGCTCCGACGGCAGGCAGTACCATGGTGTCATGAATCATCAAGACATGCTGGACAGATGCCACATGACTGTATTTGACATGCCAGGCCATGGAAGAAGTTTTCCCGGGGAGAAACAGATCCCTGGCCAGCATAGCAATAACGAAGATGCTTATATTGCCGTGATTGCTGCCGTGGTCAAGTCGCTAGGTCTTGTGAGCCCCATTGTCTGCGGTGCTAGTATGGCTGGCCACATCTCTCTTGCGGTGGCATTGAGGGCTGATGAGGTCGGCGCCGGGGCGGTGATCCCTTGCCAAGCGTAAGTCAACGTACCGGATGGAAAGCGTCTGACGCGAAGGTTGCACAGGCATGAGGCTAACTTGAGAATAGATGCGAATTCACCGACATGGAGCGCAACTACTGGTCAAGGTCACTCTTTGTGAACCAATCTCTTTTCACTCCTGAATATATCTACGGGGTAGGTGTCCTCCATGTTGACGGCGGTTTACTGCCTATTCCTACGGCCCCAAGCTAACCCTAATACTGTCGTATACAGATGATGTCTCCAATTTCGCCTTTGAAAGATCGCAACTTGGTCTGGCACACATATTCCGCTCAGGCGTTCTCGATGTATCATGGCGATCTCGATTTCTACTTTGGCGGTTGGGATGGCCGCGGTCGAGTGGAGAAGATTGACACAAAGCGGTGCCCTGTGTATATGCTTACCGGAGACTATGACTGGAGTACGACTCCAGCTATGAGTGAAGCCACGGCACGTAAGATTCCCGGTGCCAAGTTCCGCTCAATGGAAGGGCTGGGACATTTTCCTGCCACCGAAAATCCCCAGAGATTTTCTCGGTATCTTGTGGAGGCTGTCGACTCTGTCTGTCACTCAATGAGAGCCAGTAGGGAAAAGTAGATTCAACATATGAATGATTCAAATCCTAGACCGTGCGGTATGCTCGATCTCATTGGGCGCGTAAAATATGTCAGTGTTGGAGGTTTGGTGTTAATTCCTCTTGCCTTAAGCATGAGACAAGAAACTTCTAGTTTACCGGATTTTATAAATGCATAAAGTATAACCATCATGCCGTGTTGCACCCCATACCATTAATGAAACCGTTGATAAAGGTCATGTCATGTGATTTACTCTAAGATTGTTTCTCCATGTGCTGTGCCATGCCATGGCGAGAGGGGTGAGGGTGCCAAGGATCATCCGGGCCACAATTTCTACAACGTTGTTAAAATCTCCAAATCAATGGGGCTTCCCAGATGACTAACGAGGCGGCTTGGGGAAATCAGGTATAAATATTACTTTTGATTTCCCAAACTCCCCTTGTGGATCAACATCTGGTAAGATCAACCTTTGACGATTGGTATAGCGACTTGGAAATCAACGGCAATGTCATCTGGTAACCGAAACTTGTTTGACACGGGGCTCCAAACTCGTCGTGAGGTAGTCGGCAATGTGTACGTCGATCGATCATTGGAGAATGGATCAACAGAGTTCACGTACCCTAATCAGCAACTGGTAACAGAGTATGATGAACCCCTTTCCATGAAAGTATAATAGAGTCATTTGGCTAATATAATGTGATACTAGATGGTGTTGGGGCAACATTTGGTCTCGTCCTGGCTTGGAACGCAAGCAACGGAGCCTGTTGAGTGCGGACAATGTTTGTTTTTGTTGTGAAATGTAGGCTAACCTAAGCTCCCAGACCTTGGCATGCTGATCGCCTTGAAAAGCTGGCCTGAGCTGGGGATCCACGTTCGCGGGTCAATTAACAATGGCCTCTCAGAGTTGGAGATTCGTGAGGCCATTCTCCAAGCATCCATCTACTGCGGCGTGCCGGCTGGAATCGAAGCTACAAAGGTCGCCAACAAGACATTGGACGACATGGTGGCCAGTGGGGAGTATAAGAGGACCTTGGCAGGAAAATCGGACGATGCTTGACTTGCAACTTTTAACGGGTGATTCCAGCTCAGAATCCGAATAGACATCAAACAGAGCGTTTCTACAACATTAACGAGAACGAAATTGACATGTATAACGTTTCAAGTAAGAAGATGGCTTGTGTATTGCCCCAATTGAACCTGGACTCTCGTTTTATTGTCAATACAAGGCACACACTGGAAGAAATTATACTACACTTACGGGATCAAAATTTGAGAGCACTCTATTTATTCTAAGTTTTTATTTGGTTATTTATTATAAATAATTATATTTTTAAAAATTAATTTAGAAGCATTAATTATTTATCCTCTATTAATTTTATTATATCTAAGATAATTTTTAGATCAATTATTTAGAAGTTTCGAAAAAGCATTTAGTAGGCTTGGTAGGTTTAGGGTAAGGCACTAAGCCGGCCACAGAATTTGCCACTAAAGATAGGTACCTGCTACTTGCTGGGGAGTGGGTGTGTAGAACGTCCCCATTCCTTTCCAATCGACCCCAATCCTACTCTCCTGCACAACCGAGCGAGATACAGCCATCATCATTTGCAGCCCTTTGGCACAATGCGCCCCAAGTTGCACGTCCCTCCCTGCAAATTCTGCTCGAGGAAGTTCCGTCGGCGGGAGCATTTGCATCGCCATGAACGCACCCGTGCGTAACCCTTATCCTCACCCTTGTCTTTGGTGGTTACACCCGTTGGGGTTCATTCCAGCCGTGGCCTCCAAATCTTGTCCCTGTTCGTGTCTCGAGTGTCCCGTGCTAATACAGCAATCAATTGTTTCTCAGACACTCACGAGAAACCATTCCACTGCCATTGCGGGCAGTCATTTTCTAGGCGGTTAGTTGTGACTCATATGATATGTGCAATCGAGATGGACGCCTGTTGTGGTGCAGCATTATCCACTCACGAGGAGGCAGAAAGTGGTTGTACTCACGACTGATATTGACTCCATCCATAACAGAGATCTACTTTCTCGACATGAGCGCATATCCCACTCTAAAGATGCCAACGGCATGGATAGCGACGAGCCTCGCGTTATGGATGCTACTACGACAACCGTAAATCCTACCGAACCACGAAGCCTAAGCATAGACGGCACAAAGAGCTGCTACGCAAACATGGAAAATTACGTGCAAGCAGACACGTTAGCACCGGGGGTTATACAAGAGGAACCACCAGGCATGTCTCCTGCTGTGTCAGGTCAACCAACACCCTTGGAGTTCTCAGCTCCGATGAATTCACAGTTTCGCCTTCCACCCGACCATGTCACTGAAGATCCGGTGGAGCACGACACGCTGCCCATAAACGAAGCAGAGCAGGGAGGGGATCAGGCAGCGCAGCCTCTAAGCATTGGCGATAATCTCGACCTTCTCTGGAACGATTTTGATTACTCCTCTCTGGTCATGTCTCAGTCGTTCCCGCTCAATGACGTGGCACTCATGCAGGCTGGACTGTCCGTTCCTGGCCAGGTGTCTTATGGGAACCCAAACGAAGCCTACGAAAACCAGCATATGTTTGCAGGACAAGAGTGCGGAGAACAGGGCATCATGTCCCGATTCGAGTCGCGTCTCCCTTCAGTTGAGCCAGCTTACCAAACTCAGAACGATGCTGCAGCAAGTGGCAACAACAATCATGAGGCCGAGGTCCGGAATGAGAGGCTGAACGAGCATCTGCCGGCTCAAACAACGCTGGTGCGTCGACCTGCCGTTCCATGGCGCATATCGAAACAAGATTATGGCTTGATCCACGCTGTCATGGTCAGCTATGCGACGATTTTGCCGCACGACTTTGTGCTCCCCTCGCGGCACGCGCTCTGTCGATACGTTGAAGGTTTCTTCTCTGGCTTTCATGAGCATTTACCAGTGATCCACGTAGCCACATTCTCCTTGGTGACTGAAGCTCCCGAGTTGATACTCGCCATCCTCTCGGTCGGAGCGAGGTATCGGTTTCAGCATAGGCAATCGCACAGTTTATATGTGGCAGCGCAGCTATTACTCAAGTATCAAATCGAGCAACGTGTTTCGCCCGGGACCAGCTCCGGAGAAGGACCCGTCTGGACCACACCGGGGATGCTCTCACAACATAGCAATCCTGTACCGCAGAAGCAGCACCATGGAAAAGGCCAGGGCTCGGAGGCGTCTCCCGTCAACGATCTACATGGCGCGGCCAGGCCTCTGCCAAGGATGCTCGACCCAAGCCGAGCCACGACTAGCCCTGACCGAGACCTGCAGACCATGCATGCCATGATCCTCATGATCGCCCTTGGCACGTGGAACGATCGCTCGCTCCTCAAAGATGCGTTTTCCATGGCGAGCCATCTGGCCCTGCTTTTGCGAGAACACGCCATGCATCCTGATGCCAACGGCACGGACCTAGCATGGCCCGAGTGGGTGGCAGCAGAAGGGCGAAGGCGCGCCATGATTGTTGGCTTCTGCTTCCTCAACCTTCACTCGATCGCGTACAGCGCGTCGCCAAAGGTGCTTGCAAAAGACATGGGCCTGCTCTTCTTGCCGTCCCCAGAGTCCCACTGGCGCGCACCCAACGACGCCGCCTGGAGGGAAGCACGCCGACGAGACGTGCACTCATGTTGTCTACTCCGCGATGCATACGCCGGTCTACACGCTGCGCAGACAGATAGGCCCAGCCGTCACGAACTCTCATCATTTGGCAACTACGTGCTGATCCATTGCATCGTCCAGGACATCTTCTTCACGAGGCAGGTATACTTTATCGGGGGCACTACGTCTTCTATAGCATCGGGGGCATTGAGCCACCTCGACCGGGCCTTACGGAGCTGGCAGCACGGCTGGGAAGCGACCAAGGACTCGTCATTTGATCCGTCAGCGCCGGGCGGGCCGCTTAGCTTTAATGCCACCGCTCTCTTCCGTCTTGCATATAGCAGACTTCACACCAACATGGGCGCCCATCTCCTGCTCGACGCCCGTGACCCCAGCACCATCGCCTCTGCATTCCGGAATGCCATGGCCATTGAGCGATCCCTGTGTGTGGCCTCCTCGGTCGGCAGAGCTGTTTTGCAGTGCGCCCATTCCCTGAGCATCCCCGTCCGGATTGGTATTGAGTTCGTCGCCAGGACGCAGACACTCTCATGGAGCATAATACACAGCCTGTGCAACCTGGAATGCGGCCTGTTCGTCAGCAAATGGCTCCAGACCATGGCGTGGGCAGTACGCGACGGGGAGGCCTTGCGCGAGGACGAGCGGCGTCTGCTGGGCATCATCAGCGCCATAGTCAGCGAGACGGAGCTGGCCTCGGCTGTCCAGAGTGAGGCGGACGAGGTTGGCAGGCTACTGAGGCTCTCCGCTGCTGTGCTGCGTCTTTGGGCACACACCTTCCAAGGCGCCCACGTATTCGACATCATGGGGCCCATTGGTGCCGGTCTCGACCGCTGCGCCGAGCTGGTGGTGCAGGACTTGAATCCAGCAAGGGGACTTGCTAGCCAATGATGGCATTGGGGGCGTGTGCTGACCAAAAGGAGGTTTGGCCCCATGGAACTAGCTTTCTCGCCCCCAGAGAGGTTTGGGGCACATTCCAACGGAATTGAAAGAGAGTTGCCTTGATAGTTCCGCGACTCCGGCCTTACTATGGATTAAGGAGTGAGGTCTTACCAGCAACTGGTGCACTAGTTGGAGTACCTACATGCAACTAGTATGGGAAATGCTCCCCAACAAGTGTTGGAGTAAAAACTCTCCGGGGGGGTTTATGTCCTCGCCCAGCCGAGAAATCTCTCCAGAGCTGCGGGGGAGCTATTGTGCTCTCTCGATTCGTTGGCCAAGGTGATGAAGCAGTGCTGAAAACAGACAGTTATTCGGTCACTGTCGAAAATTAAAGGCTGACTTGGCTGGAGCAGATAATGTGGTTGGTTGTCATATAACTCCCCGTACCTGACCAATTAACAGGTGCAACAATTCCCACCTTTGCACTGATCACTTTGAACACCTTGTGTTGCCCGTAACCGACTGGCACACAGAATGGCGCCTTTGCTAGACATCCGACTCGGTTTCATAGGCCTTGGGGCCATGGGCCAACCAATGGCACGTCGGCTCCTGGATGCCCTGCCGGCAACTGGACAATTAGTAGTCTACGACGTAGCGACGGACGCGATAGATGAGCTGGCCTCGAGTTATCCAGGTCGGGTGTACAAAGCATCATCGCCGGGGCAAGTTGCTGAACGAGCTGTAGGCACGCCACTCATCCCCATGGCCTCTCAAGTTGACATTGATTAGGAATTCATCATTACCATGGTACCCGAGGGCCGCCACGTCGAGTTAGTGTATCTGGGAGCCGACACTGGCTTGGTATCGACCGACCTGTCCAAGCACACCTTGGTGGATTGCTCGACAATTGACATGACCACGAACCGACTGGTGGCACGTCAGCTTAGAACGCGTTTCCCAACGGCAAAGTTCTTTGATGCGCCCGTATCGGGAGGCGTCATTGGCGCCGAGAAGGGGACCTTGGCCATTTTTCTTGGCTGCGCCGAGTCTGACAGCTCCTATGAATCAATCTTGGGCGTGCTCGGCATCCTGGGCAAGCAAATCATCCCCTGCGGCGGGCCGTCCCTGGGCCTGGCGACCAAGCTGTCCAACAACTACCTCTCCGGTCTCATCGCGATTGCCACCTCTGAGGCTCTCAACATGGGCATGCGAGCCGGACTGGATCCGGCGACGCTTTCCAGGGCCTTCAGCGCAGGGACGGCACAGAACGCCATCTGCGACAGGTTCAACCCTGTTCCCGGCGTTGTTGCTGATGCCCCGTCGAGCAAGGGTTATGCGGGTGGCTTCAAGGTGCAGTTGATGCGCAAGGACTTTGCTCTGGCCGTCGAATTGGCCAAGGCCGTGGGAGCAAAGTTGGTGCTTGGTGATGCAGGCTTGAACACGTACACAGCAGCGAGCAATGATCCCATGTGCCACAACCTGGACTCTAGAGTGGTGTATAGGTACTTGGGAGGGGAGGAAAATTGGCAGCAACAAGTTTATGAAAAGAATGGGGGCACGTCTGCGTCCTAGAGGCTATGTATGTTGAATCCGCAGCCTCTGGTCCTATTTTGCGTGAGGTTTTATAGAGAATGGGTGATTCAAACAAATACTCATGATATTCATCATATTGATATGCGCAGGAATTTCATGTTGCAGTCTGATTTGAGTCCTTGATAATTGTTAGTCGCATTAATCAACGCCAACATAGGTAGGTAGTAGAGGTGCAACCCTTGGCGGAGATTGAACCTGATGATTTTATTAAGGACAAATTTCATTCAAGCACGGTGGGATACTATACTTAGTAATAGTATTACTCAAAAGTGCAACTTCAAAGCTTGCTAGAGCCACACTTCCATTCCTCATTCTGTCTTCACTTAGGTGTTTCAACGAAATCCGAATCCCCATCCCAATGTAGTCTCGTGTGGTTACGATAGATGCCATCAAACAGGGGTTTCCGGCCCTCCGCCCGGCCCTTTGGCAGTTCATTTAGGAAATCCCATCTTGATCTGTCCTTTATGCCCCATGACTTCCAGTCGTTGATAATGTTGTTTGGATCTTGGTTAAACAATGGTAACAACTCCATCAGCTTGCCGTCGTGCGCCAGGCAGATTAAGACGTGTGGGTGTGCATCGAGGGGCTGCAACCTATTGACACTCTGCTGTGCTAGTTCGGCAAACGTATAAGCACTCCCCTTGGCTCGCGATATTTTATAAAAGGGCGTCGTCCTGGTGGCAGTTGCTCGCTCAAGGTGGTCGAGCCCCGTCTTGTCATGCCCCCTGCTGACTACCGCGTGGCTCGCCTCGAATACGGAGCAAGGGCATGGAGTTGGATAAAACTCATCCAACACTCCTGCAGGAATGTGTATTGGCAGTGGTGCGTACGGAGAAGGGCGAAATACCCCCGTGAAGTGACAGCAGTCGCCTCCCAGAAACACGAAGGTGTCTGCTGTCGTTCGTGCAAGCCCGCAAATATGACCAATCGCATGCTATGGGCAATCAATGACATGTAATCACCAGATTGAATAGTAGGTAGTTCGACGTACGCCGGGAACATTCAAAAGATAGAAGGAGCCGTCGCCAAAGAAATCATATGCTCGGAATCCTGCAACGTCTATATCAAAGACTGGCTCAAATAGTTCGTGTCCCCTGCTCAAGCAAAATGTCAGTCCTTGATTTCCCATGGTTTTCTTGGCGAGTGAATGCTGACTCCATATCTTTGGCTAAGACAACTCCGCGGGGATCTTCCGGGTAGCCAGGAGTGAAATTCTCTCTGAAGCCAGGTCCAACGACAATGTCAACTGTGGCTGGAAACTTAGAGGCGTCGCCAATATGGTCCCAATGCCAGTGGCTCCATACTAATGCCTCTGTGCGATCTATTGTCAGTATTGAGACACGTTGTAGTATATATCAATGAACTGGCAAACATATATATGGAAACATACTAAGCTGGGCGAGGTCAAGTCCGCCTTCTACTAGGATCTGATCAACACCCTTTTCGACTACCAGCGCCGGCACGTGGCCGCCAATCATCCTACTAGCTGTAGGAGAGCCATTCCAGAAGTCTTTGCGAGAGCCACAGTCAAATAGAACGTATTCGGAAGCCTCCGAAGTTTTGTGCTCAAGCAGAAAGCACATGGTCTTCATGTTAATTTTCTCATGACCTGGCTGTGTAGGCTCAATAAAAGCAAAAGCATCACAGACTAGAGTCGTTGTTGTGTCAATGGCATGAACGTTGATGACTTGATCACCTTTGGGAAGGTTGAGATCTGGCAACGGTAGAGCCGCCATATTGTTTTTGTATTTGTATGACCCCATTGTCGAAGTTGCGCTCCCATGACACAAATATAGAGCCAGGTCAATAAGCGGTTGTACCTCCAGTTGTACCTCCTTGCCTATTCCCGAGTCATACTTGCAATTCGCACGCCGACCGTTTACCCCATGTGGGGGGGGGGGGGGATCAAAGGTATCTACTCCAACGTGTTCCCACTCCAACCTGATCATGGGCTGCTCCGCCGATGTCGGTAAGCTTGATGAGCCAAAAGTCCGGGGGGAACCGGGCACCTACACGGGCAAGAGAGATAGGACTGTCAAATTTGGCTTGTGCATGTCGGCTCGTGGTATGGGATAGAATTAGTCATCTTGTGTAGTAATCAATTCTCACAGTAGTCTTTTAGGCTTAGAAGCAAAACTATATCGAGTACTGGGCCGGAACGGCATGCCGTTCTCATCTACTGTCGTAACACTGAGCCTAGCAACTTGTGTCTCTCCACGGCATTTTCAAAAGTGCGTAAGGCTTACCCTTAACATAATTGTGATGAAGTCTAGCAATGTCCTGCCCTACCAGTGGTAGATCTTGATACTCGTCCTTCGCCATAGTCTCAACTGGACTTGATATAGATTCACTACTTGCCTCTTGTAGCTAGAAAGATGGAATATGTCGATGAAACTCTTGTTGACTAGTACCCATTAACATGCCTCAAGATCTGTCAAGGGATAAGAATGATCTTGTGAACCTTGCGGCTGTCGAACAACTGATATGCCTCAACGGCATCCTCCAAATTCATTTCTGTATCGCAAAGAAAGGCAACTTTATCCTGCACTTTGACTAAACACTCTAAAGAGTCACTGAAAATGCCATAGACAGGGCATCTACCCCATTCAATCGTAACATTCTTGGCATGCAGCATTGGTCCGTCAAAGGTCAAGTCGTGCGGCTGCACGCCGACACTACTGATAATTCCAAATGGCCTGATGAGGTTCATACATAGCTTCATCGGCTCTGGGCCTCCAACAACTTCGAGGACAAGATCGGCACCTCGACCATCAGTGGCAGCTTTGACGGCGGCCACCGGGTCATCATCCAGACCAAGGGGTATGGCGCCAATCTTTGCCGCCTCAGCGAGACGCTCAGGCACAAGATCGAGTGCGTAGACCGTATCGCAGAAAGTCAACGCACTGGCAATGGCGCAGATTCCCACCGGGCCACAGCCAACTACAGCCACGACCGTCTCCTTTGCTTCTGCAGCTGGCATTGGCTTCAGGAAGCGGGATGCACAAAAATAGCCGGTAGGGAAAATGTCACCCATCAGCACCAATAGCTTGGCGGGCAATCCTTTTGGCGGACGGGACAGAGATGTATCAGCGTAGGGGATCCTGACGTACTCGGCCTGTCCGCCATCGATATCGCGTGGAGATGAGCGGTTACCTATGGTTTTCCTTAATTAGTATGTGCCAAGAAGCGTCATGATCGCATTGAACTAACCGAATAGATAATACTCGGGGCAACGACTTGTCTGGCCCTTCCGACAATAGAAGCATTTGCCGCATTGTGTTGAGAAGGATGCCTTCGTTACATGTCAGTCAACCATCCAACAGTGAGGCAGCACATATACGTACAACAACAGAATCTCCAATCTTGAATCTCTCGACCGCACTGCCCACTTCAAATATATTGCCAACTATTTCATGGCCGGGGATGAAGTCACCAGGGATTTTTTGATGACCACGGAACCAATGGAGGTCACTACCACACAGCCCTGCGGCGGTGACCTTCAAAATGACATCTCGAGGATCCTCGATCCGGGGTCTGGGTCTGTCTTCAACGACTACTTTCCCTACACTCTTGAACACCACAGCTTTCATCATACTTTGGGCGGCTGGCATGGCTTAGACATTCCGATCAACATTGATAGGAATGAAGGCACTGACAAGGCAATGAATATTTTAGGTTTCAACCGGTTTCTTATATCAATTTTTCTGTCAAATTTGGAAACCACGCGTGGAGGAACCAACCTCCACAACGTTTGGGGTAAAAACAGCAACTTTGGGGATGCTTTACAAGCCCCACTACATACCTACAACTTAAAAATGCTGCAAAACGCGAATAGCGAGGTAGCTCAACACTATTAGATTGGCCTAGTGATTCTAGTCGTCTTGCACTGGAAAATTAAGGATGAAACCAACCAAGTGCTAAAACCCACTGAATGTAAAGCTCTTCAAAACATACGTCAGATGGTGACAATATGGTTGACATTCAGCATCTCAAACTTCGTAATGCTGGGCAGTTCCCACACCAGGTTCTTTGTCATTCCCCTTAGAGTCGATTCGGTGACCAGGTTGTAACTCATCCGCGCCTTTCCAAGCAGGAGTACCATCAATCTCGTCTCGCCTGGATCTAATGGCGGGTACATCGTCTCCAAAGGCCCCTGCTATCTCTTCTAGGGTGAGCCTCTTTGTTTCTGGGAAGAACTTCCAGAGGCATATCGCCCCCACCAGCGGTAAGGTAATGAAGACCAAGTAGTACCGCCACCCGATCTGCGCAAAAGCAATCGGCGCAACCTGAGTATAGACTAAAGTAGCAGAGAAAAGTCCCGAGACACTGAACCCGGTGCCAATAGCCCGAACCGGCGTCGGAAAGATCTCTGAGCAGTAGACGTAGGATGTAGCGTCCATTGTCGCACCATAGAAGAATACGAAGAGGAAGAGGAAGAAGACTCCAAATCCGTTGCCAACGCGATTCGATGTTCCCCCAAACTCGGCGACCATGGCGGTGAAACAGCTTAGGGCTATTGCACAACCACACTGGATGCACCACGTTAGTCCTTCATCTCCTCATGAACCAGAAACTAGGTACTCACCAGTCCAATTACCATTATGCGGATTCGGCCAACTCGGTCCATGATGAGCGAGTTGATCCAGTTCATAAATGCCGCCAAGCCATTGTAGCAACCATTCAGCGCCAGAGGAAGGGATCCGGAGATACCGAGCCCTTTGTACAAAAGGACCTGGTAATTATTCACGACGAGCACTCCAGTGCTTTGGGCAATCACCTGTACCGCGAACCCGAAGAGCAATCGTTTGCGGTAACTCTTCTTCTTCATCATGCCCACGAGAGATCGAGGGGCATTACCTGCTATCTCAAGATGGTGTTGTTCCAGAATTTGATTGAACTCAATTTCAGGCGCGTTACTGGTCGGATCGTTCGCATCGCCGTGTAAGAGTTGTAGCACTTCCTGCCCTTCTTTTACTCTGTCCTGGCTGATGAGCCAGCGGGGTGACTCGGGCAGCCTGTGAAGTGCTTGGTCAGTCTTGCTCGTTGCCAGAATATCGGGGTGCACAACTAACCAATGAGATCCCAAACACAAAAGGAGAGGTGCAACAATTTGAATGGCTAAACACAACCGCCAGCCCACCGTAGGCTCGGCATAGTATGTTCCAAAGCCAACAAACCCAGCCATGCTGTAACCTGATACAATCAGGACTCCATGAGTCCCCACCATTCGTCCTCGGCTCTCAGCAGGGGACACTTCGGACTGGAACACGGGAATGGAAGTATTTAGCATGCCCACCGAGACGCCGTTCAGAAAACGCGCAAGGAGAAACATGGCCTAACACCAAGTTAGCTACAGTCGGTACATCTAGACATGGGTGTCTCACAATGTGCACACTTCCTGACTGTAACCCAGCCGATGTGATGGCGACAAGGGATCCAATTTGCAGAGTCCTTTTGCGCCCCAGTTTCTCAAGGAGCCACGGGACAAACAAGCACCCGACAACACCGCCTCCAGAGTAGAGGCCATTGGTAGCTGAGTGGTTAGGTTAGGATGGCATAATCTTATTCGCACAGGGATTCTGCAACTCACCTCCAGTAATAGAGTTCCCAACATCGTCTTCGAGGCTGATGCCAAAGTACTTGAAGAACTCTGGTAGTCCGATCACCACTCCCATAATCCTGTTCTAGTGAGCCCAAGATTCGTTCAGTATCACCGTTTGTCAGGGGACATACGCGGAATTGAAGCCATAGGTGAAACTCCCCAAGGCGACAAAGGTCACAATGAGGAAGTTGAGTGGAGAGGCTTGCTTCGCCATGTTCAATGTCGCTTTTGTGCCAAGTGCAATGTTCATTTGGTGCCGACGTTTGTTGATGGCAGATGATGTAGGCTCACAGTATCTTGCTTGCGGTGAGCATAGTATATATTAATTGCCCGGGCAATCACAATCTTAATAACAACTAAGGAAAATCGTCTATCGGCTCCTCTCCTTGTTCAGCTCAACGACCACCCTCCTTGACATTGCCGTTGGCCAGACCGGGTCTAGACCTCCAGACCGTTGTGGAGTCTCAATGGTACCAAGCCCATGGGGTAGGTAAAACCCCAAGTACCTTCAATTAGTTTAAACCCCAAGCCGATGTTAAAGTTTCAACTACAGTAAATTGTGCAGTCATCGGCAATACATCAAGAAAACAGTACCAAGTATATGCTCGCTTCAATCTACGCACATTTGGGCCCCACCTTGCATTTAGCAAAGGGATCCCGGCAAGAATTTCCCCAATCTCTTCGCCTCAGCCTCCCAATGAGCGTCGTGCGCGAACACCACCTCGACCTTGCCCAAACCAGACTTGCCTGCCTGGGTGTCTCTGATTAGGCCAAGTGTCCTTTGTGCAGCTTGCTTGTCTGTATGAATGCAGCAAACCGCTCCCGGATACTTGTCGTCGTACCAAGTGGCAATCTCCTTCTCTCCGGACAGCAGCCTCGCATCATGACAAGCATCTCCAGCTAGATACACATATTTTCCACTTGATAAGCGACATAGGAGATTTATGTGCCCATCCAGATGTCCAGGCGATGACACTATAAACAGGCTCCGGTCTTCAAATACATCTATAGCATGCTCAAAAAGTCCGACTGCCTCCCAACCCCGGCTGGCCAGGCGTGTGGTGCCTAACAATTGTTGCGTGGATTGTGAAAGAGGGACTCTCTTGCTTGAATGTGCTGCCGTTGTCGAAGTTGGAGGCAGCTCTATCAGTCGGTCTAGAGATATGATTTCATGCTCAAAATGGTTGTGACTGCCGACTGCAGCAGGACGACTACCGTCAATAAGGCCTGCCGCGCCGGCTCCGACGATGAATGAAGTGTTTGGGAAATCCGACGGCATTCCGATGTGGTCCCAATGCAAGTGGCTCAGGATTACCATGTCAATGTCATCTGGTACAAAGCCACCCAACCGCAGAGACTCAACTACATCGGGCTTCCCTGAGCATGGCATACGTGTCAAAGCATGCCTGTAGATAGATTCAGCATAATCTTCCAAGCTTCTCCTAATACCCAGATCAAATACTATCCTCCGCTTCCTTGCAGTGATACTGTCGGTGTGCTGAATAAGGAAGGACAGAGAGGGGACAGTTTTGCGAGCTGTTGGGTCGTCCAGTGGTGATACAAAGAATGACTCCGGCAAGGTTAAGTGACCGGCGTCCAGCGCATGAACCGAAACGAACGGTGGGTCAATGGAATCCATGCCTTGGCGGGTTATTCAGAACACTGGACGGGCCAGAAGGAAAAGGCTGAAGTTTGACGAAGCTCAAAGGGTACTGTTAAGAATAGGGTTGACTTGGTGGCACAGCGTTCGGTCACAAGTTTGTTGTTACTATCAGCTTTTTTTGACGTAACGTGTGGGTGACGAGTTGGAGGGACTTGCTTGCTCACGGCGTCAGATAGCAGCTGAATCCTCTCCATCGTGTGGGGTATAGAGGCTTATCCCATTTTAATTCTTGTAGCATTTGGTCGCAAGGTACCATCCGCCACTTGTATGTTGCTCTAACTAACACCTTGTTCAAGACGTAATACGTGCAAGTCAAGGGTTTTGCTAATTATAATTCACACCTTCATGTATTGCTCTACAAATGGAAAAGTTACATAATCCATATGAATCTACATTATTGTATACAACTTGACTGCAGCTGTATTTGCGACCTGTGAACTCTTTATTGTTCTCTGTATATGTATGCACTTTTAACCCCAACTGCCAAGGTTAGGATTGACAGGGGTTTATCTACCCCAGTCATGAATCCACACAACTAGCACATATTGTTAAACCTACCCTAGATTGTGTGCACATGTCATGGCTTTGAAGAAAGGTGTTGAATGCCAGGGTCTTGAATTAGTTTTCGTTCCTTCTTTAAAACAAATGTATAGCTAGTTGATTTCGTTTTTAATATATGATAAGCTACTCAGTAGAGATTGATAGTTGCCGCGGGTTAGATTACACTTTAAGGCGGAATTGAAAGCATTTTGACAACAACGACCACGACTGAAGAGCCGAGTGTCCTCTTTTTGATTGTCACGAGGTCTTTCAAGTGGAATCAGAAAATTGGGCGAGTCAAGTCTCCATGTCCAGGTCACCACGCTTCACTGATTAGCCACGTAATGACCCCTGTCGATACTTATTATGCAGTTGCCCAGGAATAGTCAAGAGTGTATTTCATTGTAATTTTGTAAGATGCATACAGTATTTCACTTATGAAAGTTCTTGCTCCTCCTATTGGTTGTAAGTCTTGCCTAGACCCAAAACCCGATTTACTTATAGCTGAGTCAACACAGCTTTTTGATTCCACTTACTTCGGGTAACCACCCCAACGCACTGTTGCGATTATAGAATTTAATATAACTTGTGCTTGTGCCCCTTCTTGGTAGATTTTACTATGAATGGTTTCTATTTCTGTTCACCACCTGTCTGCTTCGCCTGGTAGCAGGACACAACTTAATGATTTTGTTATAGATGATAATTCATTGTGTGTCATAACTAATGGTGTGCAAATGGGCATCAGGTTGATATTGAATCTGTATTGTTCTAATGAAAATTTCTTACTGCGGCTAAATCCCGTACTGCGCTTGCGGATATGAACTTAACTAATAACATTAGCAACTAACTTTTCTATTCCCGAATATATATAATCTTAGGTTAAACTGAAATAAACTCTGATACATATAGTAATACTAAGCCCAATCCGACCCGACTGATGCCCCGATCCGAATATAACTAAAAGTAATACGATAACGGTTATTATCGCTTTAAGGGTCTTATCAGCAGTGTTGAACGAGCCCCGAAAGGTTGAAATATTTATATCAGATATTATAACTGTTAAAGGTGTCTGGTGATTGATTAATTAAGCGATTAAGTTAATAATTGATTAATTGATAGTATAATTTGATTAATTAATCAATTAAGATAAGCTTTAAAGTTAGAAAGGAAAGGTGGTTATTATTATCAGATAATAAGCTTCCCCTCTTAGGGGCTATAGCTAGTTATATACCTCTGGCTATATATAACTCCTATTATTAGAGTTTCTATAAGATTAATACCTATACCCAGGCTGAAAGTATAATATTTTGACTTTATCTTATAGCATTAAAGATTCGGGTATAGACTGCTAACTGTATTCTTAAAAAAACTGTGTGGTCAGATTATATGTTGCCTGATCTTGGGCATACCCTTATTTACAGCGAAACTAACAAAAAAATAATAGATGATAATTATCAGTTATGCTGGAGCAGGCAACCCATGTTGAAATACACGGCCTTGGTCTCGGTGTAGTTTTCCAGTACTGCCTCCCCACATTCTCGTCCTAGGCCGCTTTCCTTGTAGCCGCCGAATGGGATGGACCAATGGACGAACTTATACATATTAACCCACGTCGTTCCTGCATGAAGGGCACCTGTGACACGCAAAGTTCGCTCGTAGTCCTTTGTGTGGACAGCAGCAGCCACCCGTAGACGGTATCGTTGGCAAGCTCGAGCACTTCCTCCTCGGACGAAAATTTGGAAATCGCCACAACTGGCCCAAAGATTTCCTCCTTCATGATCTTTAAGCTCTGTTAGTCATTTTTCTTGATACGAGACGAAAAGGAAATACTAACCTTCATTCCGGGTTTGACGTTTGTGAAGATTGTGGGCTCGATGTAGTAACCACCTGACTGGCCCGTCTTGGATACTCTGCCACCGAGATGGACTGTGGCTCCCTCCTGCTTGCCGCTTTCGATATGCATCATGCTATTCTGAGGACCCTGGTCCGTGGTCGAGTCGAAATTATCGCCAACCTTGAGCTTCGACATGCGGCTAGAAAATCGCCGGACAAAGTCCTCGTAAACATCTTCATGCACAAAGGCTATATTTTTAAGCTTTCGCATTCATTGTGTTGAGTTGTCGGGCCCTGGCAGCTTCATTGTTGTTAAACTCTATTCTCTTTCTCTTCCAAGGGACACGCCACCAATAGTGATTGTCTAGTGATTACCCAAATTAGTAAAACAGCCGCTGGCTGTAAGGTGGACAAATGCCGACTTGTCTTGAGAATCTGGAACTCATCAATGCCGATCCTGCCGCCCTCGCGCCCGAATCCGGAATGCTTGACACCGCGGAAAGGAGCCACGGGATCTGATATAACACCCGTATTGACCCCGACCATGCCAGTCTGGAGTAGCTCAGCGGTTCTCCACGCCTGGTTGAGGGTATTTGTGTAAACGTAGGCACCAAGTCCAACCTCGGCGTTGTTTGCCATCCGAAGCAGATCCTGCTGATTCTCAAACGGGTAGATTGCCACAACCGGCCCAAAGAGCCCTTCCTTGCTAGCCTGCATCGAATGTGTCATGCCTTGGAAAATAGTTGGCGGGTAGTAATTTTCTGGATCACCGGAAGATCGTGTCCCGCCCGTCACTACTGTGGCGCCCTGAGAGCGGGCGTCGCTGACGAGACGCTCGACCTTTTCAACTGCCCTGACGTTGATCAAGGGACCTATTGTGGTGCCAGTTGACAAAGGGTCGCCCTTGACGAGCTGAGTATCCACAGCCTGCTGTAACTTTTGTACGAAGACGTCGTGGATTCCCTTTTGGACATAGACGCGGTTGGGGGACACGCAAGTCTGCCCCGACCCGCGGAACCTGGCTGCCATCAGTCCTTGTATGGCGACACACTCGCCGATGTTTCCTGGAAAGATCATTATTAAGGCTTCCCTTTTCACCCATATTGTAGCTCACAAGGATGATGTTTGTGGGGAAACGGCAATCAAATGGCTATAGTTCTAATATCACCCTTGTTCATTTTGCTGGCCTCCCTTCTTAAGTTAGCTTTTCAAAGAACTCGGTATTAAGAAATGGAGAAAAGTTACGTTGTAGGTAAGATATAATATTATATATATTATGATAACAAATACAATGGGATGTTAATTGAGATTCACTGTGTTGAGCTGTCGGGTCTGATCGTTAACGCTGATCGGTACTCGACCTCCTTCCAGGAGGCCCGGAACCCCACGAGCTTCTACCAGGATAGCTCCAAGCGCGCGTAGGAGATTACCCTCGAGAACGAGACCAACTACCAGCACTTCATGTAGTGAGGGCGTGAGAACCGCTACAGCATCGTCTTCGACTCGTGGCTCACCAGTATGACCATCGCCTTTACCATCGTGGGCCGCGCCCCCATTAGCACCGCCCAGAAGCTCGTCCAGGCACGTGCGTACGCCCACGGTCTCACACTAGCCGTTCTTAATATCTCGGCCGCCTTCGAGGTAAATGTCGCCAAGAAGGGCAGCAGCCGCTTCCAGACAGTTAAGGTCCTAGGCCCTAGTGATCCCGAGCACAAGAGGCTAATCGAGAAGAAGGTACGCAGAGAGGAGTAAGAGGGCCAAGACCTCTGGAAGGGCAAGTTACCTGTTGTCTTATTCACATCTGCAGGGCTTTAGTCTAATCTTACTTTATGATGATGATTTTGCTTACTGGACTATTTAGATATGGTCGAGGCAGAGGAGCACCGAATCGAGGCCAAGAAGGCGCAAGACGCTCCCAGGAACAAGTCTAAAGGCCTGGTCTAACAAGCCTTTCTTCAATCCAAATTCCGTCGCAATAGGTTCGTCGCGCGGAACCCTCGCGATGGCTACTATGGGATGCAATATAAACGCGCTTGCAAAACGATTCCAGCATGAAGATTGTTGCCGCAATACCCATATTCTCTATGCAAGTCGTGCGTTCTATACAGCTAGTATGCGTCACACTGTGACACAAGACGCCTGGAGTTTATGATGGGCGAGTTACCGAGGGTTACAAGGATGTTATAGATGACTAGATCTTCCTGCCGTGTCTTGGTACCCTGAGTATCGGCAAGGATTCTTGGGCCTGAGCTGGTGATATGCTTAGAGCTGAATTGGCCAAGGGTGTATTCGTTATTGGCAAGGCCTCGTAAGGTGTCGCTTTGTGCAGCCATCTAAATATAGCTGAGTGGGAAATGGATTCTCAGTGTTGCTCTCATCTTGACAGCGACCCAAGCATCCCTTCAACACCTCTTCTCATTTGTGTTCATATCTCTAGCCAACCCCCTAATTTAACAGCGGGGTGGGAGTGTGGTCCCGAGCCGGCCGTACATCCGGACAACTTGGATAAAGACCCGACCCCTTCGGCCCCACGAATCTTCTAGTAAAATGAATTACTTTAGAAACGAAGCATAATACGACATTTAAAAGCGCGGAGAATGTGATTTATAAGTCATAATAGCGTTCGAGGTTCAGCTTTATATTGTAAAATTCATATTGTTCAATTTCTAATCTGGTACAAATACTGCGAAACTAAATATCCATCGCTACAATGTCGCTCAAGATCAACGGCTTCAATGTCCATGTAGGCCCGGTCATAAAACCTGGAGCCAAGGAAGCTGGTCCTTACGATGCATTCAACCCCTCGATCAGAGAGTTACCCAAGGGCCACCAGCGAACACCTGCAAATAGAGCTTTCGAGGCAGACACCATCTTTGAGAAAGATATTGTGCTACCTACTCGTGATGGTGCCAGGATATACGCTGATGTCTTCCGTCCCAAGACTGACGACAAGGTACCTGCGATTCTCATTTGGAGTCCATATGGCAAGACTGGAAATGGTAAGTGCTATCTAATTGAGGAGAAGAAAGTCTTGCTAATTTATGCTTAGGGCCCCACGGACTTGGTATGATACCTGGTAGATTTGGTGTTCCTGAGAGTCATGTGAGTGGTTATGAAAAGTTCGAGGGTCTTGATCCAGCGGTTTGGCCTGCCAGAGGTTACGCTATTGTAAATGTCGACCTGCGAGGTTCGTGGGACTCTGATGGAATCGTTCCGTAAGTACCATGGCGTATATGACAACAGCAAAACTCAGCATATTTGATGTCTGATGTCGATTTACCTTCAAAAGAAAACAAGCTGATTAATGCAGATGGGTTGGCAAGCAAGACGGTGAAGATGGTTATGATGCCATTGAGCATGTTGCCAAGCTCCCTTGGTGCACGGGCAAGGTCGCATTGGGCGGAAACAGTTGGCTTGCCATGGTGCAATGGCAAATCGCGTCTCAGAACCCTCCGTCGCTAGCTGCTATCGCTCCCTGGGAAGGCAATGCAGACTTCTACCGCGATACTCTTGCCCGTGGTGGTGTGCCATACCCTTACAACGCCATGTGGAAGCTGCTCCAGGATAGCATGGTAGGGCACACGGGGGCCGAGGCTCCCATTACAATGTTGGAACAGTATCCCCTTTATAACGAGTATTGGGACGACAAGAACGTCAAACTCGAGAAAATCCAAGTTCCTGCATATATCCTTGCAAGTTTCTCCTCTGCACTCCACACGACTGGCTCTATACGAGGTTACCATGATATATCATCCAAAGATAAGTGGTAAGTTATATTTTTTTTCTTTGCCGTTTTTTTTTCTTGAGACGGCATATGGCAGAATAAGAATCCTGATCTAACTCAATAGGCTCCGTATCCATGCCAGACAAGAGTGGTCTGACTTGTATCATCCGGAGAATGTGGATGATTTACATAAATTCTTTGACTACTTCGTCAAGGGTATCAAAAACGACTGGCCAAGCACTCCGAGAGTTAGAGGCTCACTTGTTGGGTTTAACTTAGTAGGTTTCAATCTAAGCATATCAAAACTCGAACTTTACATTAACAACACGCTAGCACCATGTTGTAAACATCCCTCTGGAATCTTACCCTATCCCCAACACGAAACACACTAAGCTTTACCTCGGCTTTGGCCAGAATCTTGACTTGTCTCCTGAGAGGGAAACACAGACCCTTTCTTATGATGCTTCCTACCATCCTAAGCATCCGCTTCAAGGTGGTGAAGAGCTCCTATTCAAGTATAAGATGCCAAAGAAAACATGGCTCATCGGCTATTCATGGCTCAATATTAGTGTATCTAATGATACCGATGATGATATTGATGTCTTTGCCCAGCTGGGAAAACAAGACGTTTCTGGCGAACAGCTGGTCAATATGAACGTTGCTCTGAATGAGCTGATCCCACCCGTCAACCATCACACTGAGGCTGCCGACACATGCTTTTTGAAGTACTTGGGACCTACGGGCTCCATGCGAGCTAGCCACGCAATCACAAAGGTGGAACCCAGGCCCGGAAGATTTACTGGCGAGTGGCCCGAGTACACCAACACCACCCGCAAGGCCATTCCTGCCGGCACTGTTGCGAAACTTGAGATACCTATCTGGCCTACTGGTATCGTGTTTGAGGAGGGAGAGTATCTGACCCTCAAGGTCTCAGGCCATTACATGAGCTTCATGGAGTTTGACTTCTTGTATGGATCTTCTCACGCCAATAAGGGTCGTCATACCGTTCATATCGGAGGTGATTTTGACAGTCATTTGGTCGTTCCTTTATTGGACCCTCTTGCTTGATGCCTCAAGGCAATAGAATAGATAGCTTCGGGTAATTTCAATTTTGAGATGCTTATCGGTGATATAATTCCACCCTATCACCCTGCAGCGAAATGCATAAAAAACGTCTTGAATTATATGCAAAATCTTCTTATCCTCTCGAGTAGTGGTTTAATAAGAATAAATCACCGTCGTTGACTACGAATTCTTAAAGACTACTTAAATCTCAGTAATTTTCTAGATCCTCAACCCTTGTTTTAGTCCATGAGTGGGTTTATAAGAATTGGCGCAAAAGCATTATGGAGATTCCGTGCTGAAGCACTGAGCAACTACTGTAGATCAAAGCTAATGCCTAATATTTAACACGTAATATCTATATTTGAAATTCAGTAAGATTAACCTGACGAAGTGATAAGACAGCTCCATGACATGCTTTATTCAACATGTCTTCAAAGATCCATCCCAAATGCAAAAAGAAGCATTCCCGACCCCGACTAGAACTCCTCCGCTGCCCATTAGCTATGACTGCAGCTGTGAGTTAAGATTAAGTCGTGAACATTCTATTAAGCTCTCGGGATGACTCTTCGACAGTTTTCTTTCACAAACTGTGTTATGTGGCTACATCACACGTGGCCTGCATCCATTTGACTTTTTTTTTCGGGCTTCGTACATCACATAGGAGAGCTCTGCTTCATTTAGCTCGATTGCAATGTTATTCTCTAGAGCTTATATGAAACACCAGAACACATTTATCTTCGTAAAATCATTTGAAGTCCATCTTTCAACTGCTGCCCATGACCACCATCCACTCTTGCGCCGCGCCATGCAATGAAACCATCAGGTCGTACGAGAATTGCCTCACCGGGCTTCAGACGGCATTTTCTCCCCACGTCCCCCGTAGGATCTCTATATGGAGATGAGCATGCATTCAAGGTGTACATGTCGAGCAAAATAGGGCTTTGCCTAGCCGCAGCAATCCACGGTGAGTCGTCGTCGATGGTGATTAGCAGGAAATTCTGCTTGACTAAGTCAATTGTGGAAAGTGTCTTGCAGAGCCCCTTGGTCTCTTGGATATAAGAATGAGGGAACCGAGATCCAGGAACTGCGGATGGACGGGCAGGATCATCATAGGGCTCTATAGGAACTGGGTAGCTGTCCTCGAGGACAAAAGCTCCACCCTCAGGATATCTATATCCTAGCTCAATAGACTCGTCGGGGGCTTCTAAAGCTGGCGGCTGCTGGAGAACGATACGGTTTTGGAACCGATAATAAGCCTGATAAACGGTAAACTGGTCAATCGGTTGTCGTTCTATGTTATAGGAAGCAAGAAGGGAGTGTGAGGCTTTTCCGGATAAAACGTATGCGAGCTTCCAAGCAAGGTTATGAGCATCCTAAGAAAACGTGTGTCAGTAAGTTGTTGAATGTGGCATGGCGGAGTGACTTACGGCCACTCCTGTGTTTCCACCTAAACCTCCAGTTGGGGGCATGGTGTGGGCCGAATCTCCGGCGAGGAAAACTCGACCGCCTTTGCTCTCGAGCTTGCCTGCATAGTACGCTGCCATCGTCCAGTAGTTTATTGAGACAATTTCAGGGGTGACTTGGTCAGGTGTAAGGCCGGAAAGTTGGTGAAAGTATTCCTTAGCGTCGTTTTCAGTAACAGATCCTGGTTCGAAGCTAGTCTTTGGCCCGACATTGTTGACCATGATGATGCCATCTTTTCCCTCGTTTTCGAGTCGAAAGCCGCCACCAATCTCCTCGTTTGCAACGTAGACAACGCCATGTACCATTCTTTTGCCTATAAATGGACTCAGGTCCGATTTGAAGCGTACTCCGAGACTGTTTCGAAGAATCCCGGGTCCTTCCCAGCTGATGCCTTCTTTTTGGCGGGTTGGGCTGCGGTTACCGTCGCAAGCAACGACATATATCGCCTTATACTTCATGATCTTCCCAGTGCTTAACTCCCTCACAACCACAGCTACATGGTCTTCTTGTTCATCGTATAGGAGAACTTCATGCCCGTGGTGTTGCTCGCTATTGAACTTGTCTGCGTTTGCGCCTAGGATCGGTTCGAACATTCTTTGAGAGATCCACAGCCAATTCGAAGGAGTAAACGTTTTGAGACGCTCAGGATCATGTTCTTGGATATGCTTGATCACCCTGCCTCCAACGAGTTTTTCAACGATGAGCATGCCAGCATTAAGATCAAATTCTTTTCCGCTCTGTTCTAGAGTAAAGTCTTCCAGTCCGAGTTGGCGAAGGATCTCGCTCGTTCGGAAGTTGAGTCCAGCCGCTCTAGGATGAGCACCTGCCTTGGAATGGCGGTCAAAGGAAATCGATTTGACACTGCGGAGCGTTAGCGTCAAATTCCGCGAAATAGTACACATATCACCGATATAGCCGCACCCGTGGTACCCGAGGAGAAGACTGAGAGTCTTTCCGACCATACTAGAGCCAATGATGATGACGGGCCATTCTTCCTCTTCAAATGGTATGTTGGAGTGCTCAATTGGAGTGAATTTGTCCTTTGACAAATTGGCCTCAGAAAGAGTTTCATCAAGTTGTTGCGCGGTGACGGTCATCCTGACTGCTTCGCTCTTCCTAGCACCTCTTAGAATACTTTAGGTGTTGCAGGGATGTTGGGTTCAGACACTGAATTTAGCGGACAAATTAATATCAGATGCGAGGTTGACTTTTTGGTTCAAGACATTGCCACCTTGCCACAAGATGTATTGTCATGCCGTCTCCCGCATGCCCGGACCCTCACGAAGTGGCACGACCGTTCCGGTGGGGTTGTTGTCGGTAATGTGGTGGCCCGGCACGTCTAAGCACCAAATAATGAACTCGAAATATGGCCTTGAACCTCGTGCTCGGCAAGTGAAAAGTGAAAGACGAGAGCGAGACTTTTAATTCTATTCTTAACGTGGATGAGCCATCTTGGCAATAACCTCCAGTAGCTTAGATGCGGCTTCCTTGCAAACTCGAATGCAGTGCATGAGTTACCAGTTCCTTACCAAAACATCTTGAATATCAGACAAGGGAATGTGTTGTAGACGAGTGTCTATAATGGGCATTCGCCATTAAGAGGCGACGGTGTTACAATGAGTACCATTGATGCTATACATAGACCTGGGGGGCGTTATATTTCAATCCTGATTGCGCTCGATATCAATTTATAATTGCCAATATTATTCAGAAGCTACATCGACAAAACATGATCTTGCTCTTCGAGCGCCTTTTGCGCATCCTGGAGAACGTAATTGTTCCACAGATAGGGAAACATGTCCGGAGGCAGCACCGCATCGGGTACAAACTTGTGAAGGTCATCCATCATCATCCCTCGTCTCTCATCATTAACCTTTGACATGAACATGACGGTGACTGCTCGCGCGTACCGGACTCGGTTGTAGAGCTCGAGTCGCCTGGGGATGTCATCTACGGTAGTGTCTGCCGGGAACAAAACTCCAAGAGCTGCGTCATCTTCAAATGATTGCCCTCCGCCTTGTCCTTGATCTATAGATCCATTAGCTGAAGATTTCACCTAGAAATAATATGGGACCAACATACGCGGCAGCATAGGGTGAGCAGCATCTCCTACCAAGACAGTCTTCCCCTTCCAGAACTGGGTGGGAGGATCTCTCGTGGCTAAGCTCCACAGCTTCAAGTCCTCGGCGATTCTGCACAACTCGCCGAGCACAGGCGAGAAATCCTTGTAGACATGAACGAGGTCCTCTACCTCGCCTCCTGCCAACCATGAGGATTCAGAGCCAAGACCGTCATCGTTCGCTGGATGTACCGCAACAATATTGAGCAGTGTACCCCTGCGACAGGGGTATATAACAAGTCGTCGATCTTTTGCTATGAATACATGCTGCCAATCAAAACCAAGATCTTTGAAGAATGGTCCCGTTATTGGATTTGCCAGAACCTTGTCAATTGGAACCAAGAATCTGAATGTATTCTGCTTTGTGCCCACACTCTTGGGTTTATGGCCTGCAACGGCAGCAACGACTTTGGACTTTGGCTTGTTATTTACCGTTCAAGCGACTAGTACAAAACAAATGATAACTTACGTGAACACCATCTGCTCCAATTAGCAGGTCGCCTCTGTGCTTAGTTCCATCACAAAGCGTGATCTCGCCAGTTTCCGCGTCCTGTATTCACAATCAGTCCCTGATAATAATCTTGCTCGAGACAAGTCATATCCATACGGCTGAAGCAACTTTGCTTGCAGTGTGAATCTTGATCTTGTGGCCACACGCGATACTCGTAGCAGTCTTTAGTAGAGCGCTGTGTAGGTCAACACGGTGAGTCAATATCCACTCGTCATTAGAGCCGATCTTCTTCTGGAGTTTTTCATTGTCCTAATTCGTAGGAGTATGGTTAGCATACATTCAGGAGTTCTTGGTGGAGAGCTCTTACCACAGGGACAGACATTAGCTTCCCTGTGTTGTCATAGAGCTTTATGCCGTTGCAAAGGACCGCCTGAAGATCATCGAAATCAACGCCCCAGGACTTTAAGATCCTAGTGGCGTTGGGGGCAATGTGGATTGCAGCGCCAACTTCATTGAGGAAACTCGATTGCTCGAAGATCTAGACGAGTTAGCCATGTTTCTTACGACATCTAGGCAATCCCTGGTGATACCTCGACATTATGGCCGGCGCGAGCTAAAGCGATGGCAGCACCCAAACCTCCCAAGCCCCCACCAGCGACGAGGATGTTAAGAGGCATGACAAGGATTATCGAGAGACAGAATAATTATCGTTTATTATTTTCTAACCACAAGAAAGCCGTTAGGTTGAAAAATTCAGTGGGTAGTTATAGTTCTAATACCAGCATTTCCCGAAAAAAAGGTGTCACGAGCCAATAAATCGATTCAATTTAGCAAGGCTCTAGCAAGATCTTCGATTGTCCATGTTACACTCCTCGCCTTACTACTCGTAACTAGTCTAGTTTGTGTAGACTTACCAAACCACACCCAAAAAAAAGAGGCCTGTGTAGGGTAGACTGTATCGGCTCCACCGGTTATGGCCGCTCTACCACCTTGAGGTTATTTAGTTACCCAGTTACCCCACAACCTCGGCCATCTCCACACGGCTATCACCAAGAGGAGAGAAGTGCTAACACAGGGGCAGATGTCTGCCTTCACGTCTTGATATAGAGACTTTCCATCCTATTCGCATATATGGCTGGGTGATTTGAAAAGGGTATGCCGATTTTCCTTCAATTGGATAAATTATATACCGAGACCTAAATCTATACGAGCTTTAGCCCATTTAAGTTTTCGACAGCACTGTTCCAAAGATGGTCACTCATGAGCACGTCCGAAGAATTTTCGATGGGCCAGCCAAGGGCGACATGTCTAGCTTTTGGCCCCATGTTGAGCCCAATGTTGACTGGATTGTAAAGGGTATATTTGATTCTGAGTTTGCGGAATCTGAGTGGAGCTAACTCGGTCAAAAGGCACCCATTGTGCGATCGCCGGGCACTACCATTCTATCGAAGAGTTCCAGCAAGGCACCAGGGCTCTCTCATCAACATGGGCCGGCCCTCTGCACCTCGTAATTCAAAGCATAATCATCGAAGGCAACCAAGCGGCTGTTGAGCTCAAGGCCGTTGGTGTCAAGACCAAGAGCGGCGACCCATTCCCTAATGAGTACACGTGGCTCCTGGGCTTCAGCGACGACGGCAAGATTGCGAGTGTCAGGGCATATATGGATACGTGAGTTCTCATTAATTTCAATTGCTTTATTGCGCAGTATTAGCTGACATTCGGTAGCGATCTTGTCACTCGCGTTATTGAGAAAAACGCCACTTAGATTTCCGAGGGTGATGGATGATTTCTTTAAGGCGTGACTATTATTACTAGCAATGAGGAAACTATATTCCAATCAATGACTGTTACAGTTGTAGAACTAACGTTGATGGACACGTGGCTTATGATACGGCTTTTGCTGGCAAGATATTTCAGACAACATACACCAAAGTGTAATAGTAGCGGCTTAGCTAGACTGTCTATTGCTTGGAATACTCAAGAAAAGCGATGCTAAAGATGATACAATGCAAGTTCATGTTGGATCATTTGCCATAGTAGCTTCGGAGCATCCTCCTCTCGCGCATGAATGGCCTTAATTGGTAGAAACAAAGATGCTCTATGTAAAAAGAAAAGTTTCCATCTGGCAAGGAGATCAGTAAACCACTTACTAAACGGCTTGTCTGAGATAAACAGTATTCGCATATAAAGGTGAGAAGACATGTAAAAGACCTTTTAATCGTAAGAATTCATCATTAACAGATGTTTCTTGCATGGTAATGGGTTTTTACATGTGGACCAGCGGGCTTGTTTATCGGAATATTCATTTCTGGAATTGCTTACATACTACAACTCAGTACATGCTGCCTAGTCCGAGCTACTTGCTATCCATTATTCTCAGGGAGGTATTTTTCAGGAACGCCAGTTTCAGTGACGCTGATTCCATGAACCATCTTCTCGGATGGCAACAGTACAAATATCACACGACTCCATTCGTTTGTCAAGTTGTTCCACTGATGTAGTGTCTAGCAAAGCCAATAGGTTAGTAATGTTGTAACAGAGAATGCCTTGGGAAATGGCACTTACTGCTTGCTGTACAACAACGTCGCCAGCATGAACGATGGTCTTGGAGCCATCTGAAAGAGCCATTTCTAACTGCCCCTCAATCACAATGCCATAGTCAAGAGAGGCGGTCCTGTGGTTGTGACCGGAAGAGTTTGGCGGGAAGTCTACCACTCGAATAAGAGAGCCGGGGGCATAGATGACAGGACTGGTGCTGACAGGGTCTTTGTCAACGAGTTCGGCCGGATACTTGTCGTTTCTCCAGATAGTTACGGCATTGCTGCCGAAGCCAGAGGAGAGCTGGATTTTGTCATCTGACAAGACCGCAGAGCTTGATCCATTGTGATGGGTGACAACGCGTCTAAGGGGAGTTCCAGCACTAAGACCCATGGCCATCGGAGTCCTATATGGTCAATTCAAACAGTTTTGGAGGATACCACACCACAAGTGATACCATATTACTCTCTCTGACAAGTATTGTGCCTAATACTTAACTAATTGAGTTGGCCTATCAGTGGCTCGGACGGTATCAAACAGCCGGATCCACGAACCGGTTCGCCCACACGGCCCCGCAAGGTTTCTAAACCCCACAGGCAACAACTGTGGCCTTGCGGATGTCACTGGAATGTGGAATACCTCCGAATCTCCAAAGTACAGGTCAGCCTGTAGTTGTCGGTCTGTAACTACAGATGCATAGGATGTAAAAAGTATTATGTCTAGTTGGACAAGGGCAGAGTTTGATCGCCACTATCTCAGGGTTCGCTTGTACTAAATGGGTGTGAATGGCTCTCCTAGACATAACTGCTTAAATGTTTTGTTTTATGTAAAACTGGATATATAATATGGAGGGTGAAAATGGCATCTACGAACACCATTCTAGCTCAGCATGGAAAGAAGAGTCACAGATATGACGCAAGCTTTCAACAATGGTATTTTCTATTTACACTGACTTGTTCTCTATTTATTTCTCGTTTTTGACAAGGATCGCTTTGAAGACACGCAAAAGATCTAGTTGAACACCGTGCGGTGAATGGCAAATCCAGCGCCTGAGATAGTAAGCAGCGACAGAGTCAAACCAACGATCAAGCCGCGCTCAAAATAACTCAATCTCCCGCCCTTTGGTTGTTGGATCTTACCCAGCTGCAACTTTTGTAAGCGAAAAGGCCATACAGACTTAGCACTAGTCGTAAGAGCTTGAACTGGCTTGAGAGGCTCCTGCGTAATGGGCTTGTTGACAGAAAAGTCTTCTCTGCGGTATGGCAAAAGATCAGCAGCATTAGATGTGGACGGAGCAACGGCAGCTGTGTAGAAGTGCGGTCTTAGCAAAAAAGAATATCCCTGGTTTACAGTGAGTGACCTGAAATCATACCTAACGACCACCGAGGGATACTATTGATGAACACTTGGAGCGTGTTCGTGAATAAAGCGACATAGGAAGATGCCTTGGGGGCTGCAAATACATAGACGGCTTGGGAAGGGTTGTTGGAGTTTCTGGTTTCACTTGATCAGACTGGAACTTGACACGCAGCACTCTGCAAGCTTACATCTTGTTCAGAATGTCGATCCCATGGTCTAAGCTTCTGGTAGAGACCAACAGCAGGCCATTGGTGCTTTCTGCGAGCATCTCTACTGCTTTGTGGACATTTTCAAATACGATTTCGCTAGCTGAATTGTTAGTTTCATGACGATTCGTCTATACTTGAGATGGCTCATACTTGGAGTCGTGCAACGTGATGACGGCAGGTAGACGTCCATCCGCTGTAGATATCTGTCGAATAGACGGGAGCGTTGACTGGACAAACTGGACAAAAGCCTGAGACTTGTTTTTGTCGTTGGGAAATGATAGCTGCTGATTTGCACCGGACCCAGCATATATCGACTTTTCCAGCTGGTCGATGTGTATCTCATCCACAAAGACCAAGCGCGGTATTCGAAGCGGATTGGCTCGTGGAGCATTGGGACCGAGTTGGAGGAGATGGCTTGACACAGCCTCGAGATCCTGAGCGGAGCGATCGACAAATACAGCAGGGATTCCAGAAGGCGGCGAGAGAATTCTAATCAGAGGATTCGCCTTGTACAGGGATGCTGAGAGTGAATCTCGCTCAGCCAGGTTCTGGAGAGCAGCAGCACCGAAGTACTTTGCGCCTAATTGCTGGCGGGTGCCAGTTGAGTCATCCTCAGTTATAGCGAAAGCTTCAAAGTCCAGACTCTTGGCGATAAGCGCGCGGAGCTCGATGTTTAGTGTGGGTGTTTGCGAGGGGGCCAAGATGATCGCAGCACTTCCGGCTGCAACAGCGGCGGCGAGCGGCGCAAGTACGCTTGAAAAAGGCGAGTATGGAGAAGCATCGATCAAAATAGGGCCCAAGGGGACGAGATTGTCCAATGTGCTGCCGCCGTTTCTAACCAGCTTTTCCTTGGACAATGTGCCTGGGAAGTCGAGGCTGTCATAGAGTTGTCTAATCAATTTGAGTGTCAACTCGAGCTCATCGGCTGCGCTCACGTCCGAAATCTGAACATCTATGTCAAAGTCATGAGTTCGCTAGCTGAGATCGTGTAGTTCTCCAAGGCATATTTACCATGACATATAGCTTTAATCAGGCCAGAAGAAAATTTCTTAATATTTGTGTGCAATAAAGCAAGTTCCTTTTGCCGCTGTAGGACATTCTCTAAGCGGCCCTCGGTCCACGCCGCGTTGACAATGCGATACTGGTCCAGTACAGAAGTCATGTTTGTTTTGTTATGGTATTGCTAATTAACAGACAATTTGAGAAGAGATTAACAGATAACGATGGAATTGGGCCGGTCTTAGAGCAAGTACTTTCCAGACTTCCAAGTCTGGGTACGGTACTTGGGAGCTTCGGCTCGGCTCCACAGCGGAGGACCGAGAGGTTGCATCACGCATACTCATTACAAACCCATTTGCTTCTCAACACACGATTGCCATGAGGAAATCTTGGATTAGAGGATTAAGTTCAACTATCATCTATAATCTATAGATTTCCACGTGACTGAGGGTCGTTTGCTTGGTATTGGAAGAGGCATCAATATAACCAAGATGGACAGCACACCAACACAGAGAAGGCGTAAATTCCTCCCCCAATGATACCGTGACAGCGACACCTAGTGCTAACAAACAATATTCTGGCAGAGCCGACGCCCGTCTTTCTCTTTGCTCATGGGTCTACCATGATGCTTGGAGAAGACTCAGAGCCTGCAAGGATCTGGGAGAACGTTGGCAATGAATGCTTACGCCGGGGCGTCAAACGTATTGTCATGATGGTTTGTAAAGCCATCTTGTCTGAAAACTATAGATCTAGCATTGCCTAATATTCAATAGGGCGCCCACTGGGACTCTCCCTATGACATTGTCCGAGTCAGCATGAATCCGGCCGCAAAGAAAGACCCCGTCGGGAGCGTCACAGAGGCTCGCTACATGCCATACAAGATGGTGGCTGACCTGCAAGGAGGCGAGCGTGTCATCAACATGCTGCAAGCCGCCGGAATCAATGCCCAGGCTGATCATCATTTCGAATGGGTGCATGACACATATCTCATTGTCATCCGCATGTTCCCCCACTGTCTTCCACTGCCAACGACAATCGTGTCGATGAATGCTCGATACGATCCCCACCTACATGCTAAGATTGGAGCTTGTCTCCGGCCATTGCGATATGAAGACACAGTCATCATTGGAAGCGGAGGTTCAGTTCACAATCTCTATCAGAACCATTGGTACCAGATGATTAAGTATCGGGATAACTTTGCCCAACCCGTTCCTCCTGGAAATTGGGCCCTAGAGTTCCGACAGGCAGTGGAAGATGCTGTAACGCAAAATAAGGGCCCGTCATTGAGGCGGGCCGCGACAAGACTCATGAAGCATCCTCGATACAAAGAAGCTCATGGAACCGACGATCATTTTATGGCCACCATGTTTGCGGCTGGCGCAGCAGGAGACGAGGAGGACCAGGGCCCGAACACATTCATGGGCGAATGCTGGGAGCTAGTGAACATGTGTAATAGCCAGTATCAGCTTGGAAGTTGGGATTAGTCTTTTTTGGCATGTACGTCAACCGCAGAGCCGTGTTTTTTTCCATCCTCTTGGCCCAATTCTGTTTCCAAATTGGGCGCGATAGCGACTGTCTCACACTGTGGGACCATCAGCTTAGATCTTGCAATAAATATCCTTAAATACATTATTTGTATGGGACGTTCGGTAGAGAAGATATGGATTTTCTAATGGTTCCTTTATGAGTAACCCAAGGTCAAAAACTCGACTTCATTCGCACGTTTTATTTGTATCCTCTAATCACACAGAATGTATCTTTTTAGGTCTCCTATCTGGCTTAATATTGGCCATGGCAAATAATAAATAGATATTGACGTGCGTAATGTCCAAGCCATCTGCTATTTACTCTTCCATCGATACATCTACCACTCGCCACCCACGTGAGATTTACCTATATCCGTCAGTCTTCCCGCCGTATTTCTCCAAAGTTGAGCCCAGATCTAGACAAGAAAGTTAGTGAGAGCAGCGAGATGTAGCATTCAGATGACGCACCGAAATGAGCCAGCATCCTCTGACCATGATTCCACCCACAATTGTAAACAACAGCTTTTGACGTCGTTCGTTGAGATCTAGGTTTGTATTGATGGGTCGGTAATTAGGAACACGCCTAAAAGTGTCCGTCCACCAGTCGGGATCCGAAACAGGGTACGGCACTAGCGGGTGAGGAGCCAGGCTGGAGTCAAAATCGTCTGGCTGAGCCTCGCGAGCAACACCAGCGACAATGACAACGTTGCGCTCGCCATCCTGCTGTAGGGCTGCGTATTGTTGTTGACTCGAGTGGTGAATTCGGTAGTCTTGCAGCGCATCTGCAATCGAGGCATCGAGCCGAAGTTGCGAATTGTTGCTGGTACTGGCGGCGTCGGTTTGTGTTGTTGTCATTGTGTAGATGGTAAATAGAGCCCATGCATCTACAGGTGGTGTGAGTAGCAATTGGCGAGCTGAAGGCGTGTTTGAAATTAGAGAGAGTACACAAGGAGACCGAATCCGCTCAAGCCCTTCTGATTTTCTAAGAGTCCTTCAAAAAAGTGTAGTGGTAGATTGGAATTGTCAGCAGTCCTTTCTGAGTACGCGTGGCTACCTTGTGGGTGCTCTTCGGCTCGGGACCACACGGCAAGCCACAAACGCCGAGCATTTTCCAGCTATTGGATTAGCATTCGGTGTTTGCAGTGGATCCTGAGAGTTGGGCAATAATAGCAGTGTGTTAAAAGCCTAAAGCAAACGAAGGTTGGTGAAGCCATCCTAGTCTTACCATTGTCTTGGCCGTTAAGCAATCTCAAGTTAGACAATTCGCAACCATGGCTGCAAACAAGTTTTTAACAATCGACAAAGATAACTTCAGCTACATTTTTTTCAAAAATATTGATGTTCCGCTCAAGACTTTCGAAAAAGGATTTCTTCGCGCCAATGTCTACATGCCTAAAGATGCCGTTCCGTTTGGAAACAAGAAATACCCGGTCATTGCTACTTATGGTCCTTGTAAGGCCACTAGTTGCATATTGTAATTTTAGTTTCTTTGGCCACCTGCTGATATCTATTATGTAGATGGAAAAGATGTCCCTTACGGGGTCTTCTACAAGAAAAGCTGGGAACAGCTAAACCCGGAGATGAAATCTGCGCACGCAGCATGGGAGACACCAGACCCTGCCTACTGGACAAGCAATGGCTATATTGTTGTCAGAACCGACGAGCGTGGAGCTGGACAAAGTCCTGGCCTGCTAGACACCATGTCCCGAGGTACTAGCGAGGCCTTTTTCGATGTCATAGAATGGGCCGCCGAGCAAGAGTGGTCTTCAGGCAAGGTTGGACTACTTGGTATCAGCTATTATGCCGGTACTCAGTGGCGTGTTGCCGCTCGAAAGCCAAAAGGCCTAGCTGCTATTATTCCCTGGGAGGGAATGAGCGATTACTACCGCGATAGAGTAAGGCACGGCGGTATCCTGTCCGACAAATTTATTGGTGAGCTCACAACTCCATCCCATGTAAGCGCTCAATGGTGCTAACATATCGACATAGACTTTTGGTGGAATAATGGAGTAGGCCCCAACCAGTACGGCAAGCCAGGACGAGCTGCTCGAAAATGGGGGGAGGATACTCTTGAAGGTGATCTAGATGAGGAAACCCTACTGAAAAACCGTCGGGACCAAACCCTGGACACAGCGGTCCATAAGTTTCGTGATGAAGAATACTACAGTACTCGCGACTTTGATCTGGAGGCCATTGAGGTTCCTCTACTTAGCGTAGCCAATTGGGTGAGTTTTCTACTACTCCTAAATGTCTTGTCACTTTCTGACCGGTGGTTCTAGGGTGGAATTTTACTCCACCTCCGAGGAAATGTTCTTGGTTGGACGCGTGCTAGCTCCAAGTACAAGTTTCTTCACTTCATTGTAGGGCGACATGACCTACCTTTCTACTATCCTGAGTCGTCCGAGTTGCAGCTGTCCTTCTTCAACTGTTTCTTGAAGGATAACGATATCGATGGTTGGAAGTCTGGGAGTCAACCTCGGGTTCGTCTAACCCTGCGTAAGGGAGAGGCCGGGGTGGATGATCCCGAGAGAGAGCGAGAATTTCCCAAGAGAGATGAGGCAGACTGGCCATTGCCTGGGACAGAATACACAAAGTTTTACCTCACTCCAGAAAACATGCTAAGTAAGACTCCATCTTCATCCACGAAGACAGTCGAATACGATGCGCTCAAAGGGTATGCCGATCTCCCTCTCTTGTGTTTTAATACAAACCATTGCACTAACACTTGGCTCCCCCAGCGCTCCCATTCAGTTTCATTACAAGTCCTCGTCCTCGCTTGAAATAACCGGCCACATTGTCGCCCACTTCACTGTGTCCTCATTTCGCAAAACTTCCGGCGCGTCTCCCCCATCAGAGATCGACCTCTTCGTCACCCTTCGCAAGATCAACGCCAAGGGAGAGGAGGTTTTCTACACTGGAACGATGGGTGATCCTGTGCCTGTCGTAAAAGGATGGCAGCGAGTCTCACTACGGAAGGTAGATGTCAATAACACTCTTCACAAAGACTACCTCCCTCACCGCAATTACTATTCGACCGAGGTACAGCCTGTGCAGGAGGGCCAGAAGTATGAGGTGGATGTTGAAATCTGGCCAACTAATGTGGTCCTGGAGCCACAAGAGAGCCTAGTGCTAGAAGTTGCTGGCCACGACACTCAGGGTGTTGGCAAATTCTCTCACGAGCATCCTGATGACCGTAACCCAAAAGTGTTGGACGGAATAAACATCATAACTGTTGGCGGAGAGGCCAGCTGGCTGACTCTTCCAGTTATTCATTCTAGCAACTAGGTAGTCCGATAGATACCTAAAATGAGTCTGATGGTTCAATGAAATTCACTAGAGCTTAGAGATCTTATCTAGTCCAGAAACCAATACTTTCCTTCCCACGTTTTTGTTCTACTCTTTATAGAAGCCTCATGTATCATTGTTGGTTATTAACATGATTTAATTAATATAAAGTTACGCACTTTGATTAAGAATGAATAGCTTAGCAGTTTGGTTTAGGAGTCAAAGTTATCCCAAGAGCTTGATAGAGGGTTCACGACCTAACTTAACTTCCTAGATCATTCAGTTACCATCAAATCTCAGCGCCGTGACTCCCTTGACGTAAATTGAACTCTATTGATGACAGTTAATGCCTACTTAAGAGCCCTACCCGAGGTCTGCTTGAATGTCGCCCAAAGACTCCAACCACACACAACCCCACAACCTGAGTCACCAAACAAATATCTCGTCTTTCTCATAGGCTCTGATTCAGAGAAATCTCTTGGCACCATATCGGTGATGAATAAAAGAAGCCTTTGTCCGAATCCACGGCCCAAATAGAATGAGAGCCACAGAGAGTGCGGCAATCAATACCCACTGGATAATAGCCATCTGCAAGAACAGTCTCTCGACGCCGACCCTCGTCAACCAGTCCGAGGCAGTCTCTACCAGACCAAAAGAGATCAAATGCGTCACAGCGTTCATCAAAGCTACAACTTCCGATGAATCGTACGGGTAACTGTCTATGGCGTAAGACAATACCGAGGTAGGTATAAGCATCAGGCTGGCGGTCTCCATGGCGTACCCAACCGCTGGTCCTACATAGGAGCCTTTGGTGTATGTATATCCGAACAGTAGAAGGCCTGGTGAACAAATCACCAAGGGGACTACCAAGGTATAAAGGCGATACTCGGGCATATGCTTGCCTTTTCTTCGACCAAAAAAGGAAGAAAGGGCGTCCGTTAACGGGCCTGCAATAGGAAATGCAAGGAAAACCCCTATAAGGCTAGTGCACGCCCAATTCCCAAGTTGAGCTGGGCCCCAAAGGAAAGGTGGCGCAGCGAATAGCTGGTTGCTGATGACCGAGATAGTAGCGACCCTAAGAGATGTCAGCAGGGTTTGGGGGCAGCTTTGAAATAGTGATTGGGGCCCTACCATGCCAATGCGATCCCCCACATGCCCGCGGAGAGTAGAACGATAGGATCAAAGGCATACTCTATCTGCAACAAGAATGAAAGCAACCATTGTCTCGCCCCCCCTCCACGTACGTGCGGGTGTCTTGTGTAGAACGAGTTCTGACGCCAAGTCTTGATTGGACTCTGGCTCGGGCCTAGACGGCCAGCCTGGTCAAAAATGTCCGCGTCAAAATCTGCGCTCGTAGCGCCTAATTCGACCCGGACGTTGAAGGCTGTTTCCGGGCAAAGAAAGAGAAGGCTAAGAGAGTTTACACCGCTGAGGATGGCGACAAGAATAAAGAACCACTGCCAGCCTTTGGCAGCGATGAGATGGCCAGCAATAAGGGGACTGCCCTGAGCTCCAAGGCAGAGGCTTATTGAATATGCGGCCATGGCTTTCGAGTAATTCTTCTCAAGGAATATCTCTAGAGTAGAAAGAACAATTAGTTAGAGCGAAGCTGGCGGGCGGTGAGTAACGGGTCTTACCTCCAATAACCGCAGGACCGACAGCCTGGACTGCGCCAGCGCCAAGCGCGCCAACAATCCGGGATCCAAGAAGGCTATTCATGGTTGAGGCTTGTGTAGCCCAGATACAGCCAGCCATGAACATGCACTGCGAGGCTAATAAAACCGGCCGTTTTCCAAAGACGACAGCAGTGGGAATCCAAAGAAAAGCACCCAGTCCAATGCAAAGGACACTGTATGCGACAACCTTGCTTGCTTCTTTGTAGTTACTATTGAGGTCATGTACCACGGGAGTCAGTCCTGCGGAGATACCAGCCTATTCAAATATACGGATTAGGTTCAGCTCAAGTGCATCTAAAAGTTAGGAAGTTATACCGAGTAAAAGTTGCCGCAAAAAACCATGAAACAAATATTGGTGAGGACCATCGCCTTGAGAATCCAGTTCCATGTCTGTATGTGTATTAGTGGTGACCTGTGTCCAGTAGTAAGGTAGTGATGAGTTACCTTGGGGTGATCACGCAGCTCCTGAGTGTTGGAATCATAGCCAACATGTTCGACCCGGGAGACCTCTGCCTTTTCCACGTTTGAAACCTCCATTGCAGGCGTTTTGGAAATCAAATAATTTAATGTTATCTATATGTCAAAGCTAGAGAGAAGAGAACTTCGGTATTTAAGCAATATATGTATAGCCTCTTTTGCGCTAGGCTTATTCGTAGCTTCATTATACCAAACTATTGAACTTGCTTCTCATCCAAGCCCCTCCGCATACTTTCCCTTACCGGTGGGGAAGTAATTTTTTCCTCGCCTTGGCTAGTAGTGAAAAGCTCAACTACATCAAGCTTCACATGAGGATTATGCGGGTAAGCTTGTGTTTGTCTAGGTTGATAATCAACCCCGCACTTTTCGGCTCCACGCCAACCGATTTTGCGGGGGTGGAGAAACGGAAACATGACCCAGATTTCCGAGCATATATTCCGAGCATGTTCTTCCGAGGCTTCACTCACAATACCTGACTTTGTTACCTTTTTATATGTACAAGTGACCAAAGCATACCGGGCACGCCGTCGACCATTTTCAATACGCCAAAGTGTCATTTGATCCTCGTTAAGAACGCACTCCCATTCAACACGAAGCCTCCTCATTTGTAGCACATCCATATCACGTGGAAAATAGCAATGGGGATCAACCGTATCGTCCAGTTTCAATTCAAGTCAGACATCGGCGACGTTGCTGTCGACGAGGCTAGTCTTAAAATCCCGTAACTCTCCAGAACAGTCATTTACTGACTCTCGTATATTTAGATTTCTGCCAAAATCCAAGGTCTTAAAGATCAGTGCGTACATCCTCAATCGAAGAAGCCATACATTCGCAGTGTCGAAGGTGGCGCCGATAGTGCGCCAGAAGGTCTTCAGGTAAGCTTTCTTAATATCTATATTCAGCCATATGTTACACTCCATTCCATGCCTATTATTGACTAAAAAACTATAACAGCAAGGTATTACTCATGCCTTCGTGATTCAATTTGAGAATACAGAGGACCGCGATTATTATGCCCTCAAAGACCCCGCCCATCTTGCCGTCGTGGCAGAGCTTGGCCCCTTCATAGAAAAGGTGCAAATCATTGACCTACCGAGGCATGACTGAATACATTATATATTTCTTGAGATCTTATTAGATTCCGCTCTCTAATTGAATTACTTAGAGAGTTTTACTTGGAGAGTCAAACTAGATAAAATATATAACTACTAATGCCATTTGGCATTGTTCACTTCAAACACTCTATACCATGTACTCTACTAAATGCTAAAATAAAATAGATTTTTTTAAATATTACACTAGTATTTAGCGCATACTATAATATAATTTGCCAGAGGACAGAGTCAAATTCATTCCTTAATACTATACTTGGAAAGAATAACCATTAATATTCTATCTATGTTTTATTATTTCTAAGACGTGACTAATGCCGAGCTACCTTTGCAGCAACCACCTTTGACGCCTCACGCTGGCTGATACGCTCCGCCCATGCTGCCACATTCTTTCTCGAGTCAATAAGCTCACCGAGCAGTAAGCGGTCTCTGAGGAACCCAATCCAAGGAACGTGGAACAGGTCGACCAAGGTGTAAGTCTACGCGGCATTAGGTCAGCACAAGGGTTAATGCTATACAGATGTTAAGGTACGAACATTTCCAGCAAGATAGTGTTGCCTGTCCAAAACATGGTTGTAGTAGTCAAGAGTTGTCTTTAGGAGAGCCAATTGTTGGTCAACAATTGCTTGATTGGTCTCTCCAAGCTTGAAGAGTCTAGTTCCACCCCGAGTCAGTTCACATATATCGAAATTCTACCTGACGCTGATAATCGAACCCACTTCTTGAAAATAAGCTCAAAACCGAGAGTTGAAACAGCAGGTTCGAAATAAGCATACTCGACACTGGCAGCCTGCTCAAAAGCCACCAAAGCCTTGATGTCATCAACTGCAGGGACGAGTGGGGAATCGTTTCTTGCAACTAGGTATCGAGCAATTGCCCTAGATTCAAAGATTTCTACTTCGCCGTCCTGGAAAACAGGTACTTTGGCGAATGGATGGTGCTGCTTCACATATTCGAAACTCTGTGTGTTTTTCGTAAGTTGATGGTTTCAACTGTATCAAAATACATCGCTCTCTGCCTTACCTGATGCTGTCCCTTGCCGAGGTCAATCAGCTCCAGGTCGTATTTGATCGCAAGCTCTTCAAGCGTCAACAAGACTTTTTGTGTACGAGTTGAGGTGACTGTTCCGAGCACCGTAGGCGACATGTTGGTCAGATAAGGCAAGACAAGACAAGTGCAGTAAGGGGGGATAATCTCATAATCTATTCAGAAATTTTTCAGTAACTCCAGATAATTAAGTACTAGTTCTGGATGTGGAATGTACCAGACGCTGATACATCCGCATGCCTCTTAGAATTGTTTCAACCTCAAGCGTGGAGCCGATGGAGCCGAGCGCTAGCCGAAGGTGCTCTGGACCACCATCGCTTATACAGGTTAATGAAAAGAGAAATTAAAGTTACTCAATGAGCAAAGTCCTATTAATAATATATATTTATAGGACTTGGCCTTCTACAATGGGTATCTTTCTTGAGCCACAGCTGCAAGCGCAAGCATGAGTGAAACGGTTGAAGCTGTAAGAGACTGGATTATATTATCTTGTTTGGAACCAGCTCCAGGCAATATTCATACACTCACTACCTTTAGCCACTTATTCTTCTAAATCCCACTCACTGCATGTACCGTGTCGCGAACAATAAACTAAGCTTGCACACGCATCTGGCAGCGACATGCGGCGTACTTGTATTGACCCTATGCTAGCTTATCGCCTTCTGTTGTAGATGTTGCCTCCTTAGCTCGGAGACGTAGAAGGATCTGTGCATATATAGTGCTGATTCCCCAGCCCTTTAATGATTTCATCAGCACCACCGCATCATCCAGCAACTTGGTCCGGCCCTCTGCACACAACAAGTTGCCGATGCCCGGTAGCTTGACTCGGCTCCACCCACTGTCGATCCAGACAGTATTCCCCATGCTATCGAGCGATTTCGGTCCCAGTACCACAGCAGGTCCCGTGTGGGGATACAGAAACCCATCGGGAAAACGCTCTACGATGGTTGAGTAAAGCCATAGGGCTAGCACAGCACGTAACAACCAGACGGGTGCCCCGAAGTGTGAGCAGCGACTCGACCGCACAACATGAAGGATGCGTGCCGCATAAAAGCATCCCAGCCTTCCCTGGCGCGGTGCGCTCTTCCACCGGTCTCTGATTTGCGCCCGATCCGAGTCGTCAAGCTTTCCGTAAATGTCTCTGACGACCATGGGAAGAAGATTTTGGATGGGGATGTTATGGGTCATCAAAGCAGTCAGGGCCATCATCTGGTGCGCCGTGGATGCCTTGGCCTCGTCGACGGATTGTTCTCCCTGGTCATTCTCAACAAGCGCTAGAAGGTCGGTTACTATGTTTGAGGCCATTGGACCATTATGGCGAGAGAAACTCAGAGTGCCGGGCTGGTTTGCGATTTGATCCTTGATGGCATTGGAAAGATATTGCAACATCACCTGCTTGCCCAGGGTGTTAGTTCTTGACCAAGTAGACCGCCAACTATCATCGGCAATCACGCGCTCCATGGTCGGAAGTCCTCTAGCACCGGAGTTGCCTTGATTTGTTAGCACATGGTCCCCTTGAAACCAGAGATTTTCTGGGTCGTACACGAACCGACATTGGAGAAGCTCGCCCAGCACTGGGCCGTCGATGCATTCCAGCAGTCGTCCGGCTGAGGTAGCGAGATCTGCAGCTCGGAAAGATTCATTAGACCCGGGAGGTCAAAATGCGCATCAAACGCTGAATCCAAGAGCTATGACGACGTTCAGCACAAATCAATGCATGACTATTGAGCGGGCCGCAACTTGGCTGGACTCACCCAGATTGCAAATCCAGCCCTCCGCCGTTCTTCATCGAGCAGCCAGATCTGCCACTTTTGCGTGCGTGGCAACTGGAGCTGGCCGAACTTGTTCATTGGAAACATATCGGTAAAGAGGCGCTTTCTCCGTCCAAGAGTCACCGGTAAGGCTTGCAAGAACTCTGCAATTTCCAAGGACCTGCGCTCGCCGCCATATCGAAGGCCGATGTGATTGAGAAGGATGGTCTGGGACATCCACAGCTCTCGGCCATAAGAATTTTGGTGTTCACACTATAACCGTCAGCAACAACCATTTATTGGCACATTGGCGTGATTCTACTTGCCATGGTTGAACTTTGTCGACGAATGATCTCATGCATTGCTCTTGAGCAAGCCAGGCTTTCTGCTATACTAGAAAATTGCGCACCGATCGCAGCCACCGTGAAAACAAGCAGCCAGTGTTGCTTGTGTGAAGAAAAGGTCGACTTGTGCAAAATGGGCAAGATTGGATGAAAGTACTCAAAGTACAGCTGCACCCAAGCATTCAAGGCATGCGTAGGGGGGATCGACACATGCCTGAAGCGCGGATAGTTGCTGCTATTCTGCATGTCCATGACCGCCTGAGTTGCTCTCTGGCTGACATGTTCGGAAATCTCATCCACGTGAGCCAAGTTTTCCTGATCAACGTCTTCTGCGGTAAGATAAGAAAGATCAGGGAGAGCCAGCTGCGCGTCAACCTCGATGGCGACTGGTAAATACTCCCTAGGTTCAACAGCATCCTTGTCGATGGATGGGGAGTGACTGCGACTATACAGCTCTGCGACTGCTGACTGATCCATCATCGAAGAGGCTGGTGTGGGCAGCGATATCATAGGTTGCTGCTGTTGCTGTTGATGCTGGGCCAAATGATGAAAATTTTGGTCAAACCAAGTATCATTTATAGCACGTAAAGAGAGGTCATTCTGGAGGAAGAGAGGCGCGAAGGACTGGTCGACATCACAGTTGAGCCAGTCTGTGGTTTCGAACGGAATGCCAAATAATAGGGACGGTGTGGGTATGATTTTTCCAGCATCGAAACCAATGGGAATATCATCGTTGTCGAAAGTAATGTTTTCTGTGGCTTGGTTAGTACAGTACCAATGCATCGTCCAGTGTATGCGTGAAGGCGCAGACCTAGAAGCGGATCAATAGGCGGGACATTGACGGCGACGCCTTCAGTTTGGGGCGGCTCAGTGAAGTGATCTTGTCCAGAAACCATGCACGCGTCATCCTCATCACCGAGCTCACGAGAGCGGGTATCGTGGACAGATGCTGTGGGTGACATGAGCGACTTGTTGTTAGCGAGGTCGGCATCGACGTTGATTGTTTCATCAACATTGACGTTCAAAATACCGTCAGCTCTGTCCCGCTTAGTGTTCGACCTGTCCGAACCGGCCTCAGACTCGGACATTTTCCGCTTCGCATGCGGCTCATAGTAGCACTGAATATCCAGTCGTCGACACCGCTGGCACGGACGCTCACCGTCGCATCTCACCTTGGAGACACCACAGGGTTTGCAAGCTTGGGATACGCGACGGCGCTCGTTCTGGCGGTCACGAGTGTCTCTACCATCAGCGCCTAGGTGAAGGGCTGTGTGATGACGAGCGAGAGAGTCACTGCAGGATCGACAAATGTTAGCACGTCTCGCTAATTGAAGAAAAGCAGCCGGTCAGTCCGGCTGCTTACTTACACCCTGCCGAAGCTCTGCCCACACTCTGAGCATGAAAAAGGCTTCTCTTTTGTGTGGGTGCGCAGATGCCGCTGATAATGCTCCTTCCGTTGAAAGGGGATGTTGCATGTCTCACAGGACAAGGCTGGCGGCGGAGTCATAGTTCAGACAAGTCGACGACGAGAACCATTGATTGAGAGCGAGAAGGTTGAGCGTGTGTCCTGATGCAAATCATGCCCGGCTAAGGAGTCGAACTCTGGGAAATTGTGATGTTATGCTGTCCAAATTGGTGTGAGAACAGGCTAGAAAGAGTTCAGCCTAACGCGTGACCCTTGTTCAACCCCGCATTCGGGGAGGCACGAGCCAACATGAATCCGGGGACATCAACTAGGTCACCGCGATTGCTGCAGGCAATAAAGCAGTGTGGAAGCACAACCCTAGTCCACATAGCCAATGTGAAAGTCTATCAAAGGGAGTTATAGAAGGGTACACGGTCTCATATGTCTGTAACCGGACCTGCTGAAGACGTCTGATGTGGAGATGAAGACATCCGTTGCAGCGAGAACAAATGATTTGTAAGCGGGATACTCATTTCTTTAGCTTGCCATCGCGCGAGGAAACTCGGAATATGGAACACTTCCGAGGGCACTAGTAGGATGACTTTAGTCTAAGGAGGGTCTACGCATCTGCTGTCATGTCTACCCCACATCGGCTCCTCGGGCAAATGCAGCAATGCCTGTGAAAGAAGAAAACTCAATACTGGTAGTTAAAATGCTTGGCCAGATAACCACTTGCGCAAGCAAGCATTCTATCACAGCTTTGTGGTCTTTTTTCAGCATTCGAAATGATCATCGACCAAGTGAATCAATATTGCATGGCATATCTCGTCCTTGTTGTCATAGGCTTATTTGTTACAAAGCTTCTCGCGAACAAATACGCCAATGGTTTAAATCAAGTGCCTGGGCCAGTTTGGCATCTTTTATCAACGTCTGGCGCTTTTTCGACGTGTAGAGAAGACGACTAGAGTTGACACATATTGCTCTTCATGAAAAGCATGGCAGCGTTGTGAGATTGTGTCCCAAGGCAGTCTCAAAATCGGATCCAGGTGTAATACAGACAATCTATGGACCCGGCTCCAGCTACACAAAGTCCGATTGCTAGTACGTCACTCACCTAAATGGAATCATTCGGGCGGCTCAAAGCTTAAGTTTCATATCACCGTTCAGCAGACCATCAACAAGAGCAGAGTTCCCCTCTTAACTATTTTCACTTCATAAGATGATGCGTTTCACTCTAAAATCTTCGGAGCTACGTCCAATGCTTATGCCATGAGTACTTTGGTCCTGTTTAAGCCCTTTGTTAACCTGACAACCACCGAATTTTTCTAGCAACTCGACCAGCGATACAACAATGACGATACTGTGTTAGACTTGAGCACTTAGCTACAGTTATGTGACTTTGATATGATTGGTAAACTCACTTACTACAGAAGACCAAGATTTGTAGATCAAGGTAAAGATATAGACAATATCATTAATAGTCTTAAATGGCTATGGAATTATACTACACCCGTACATCTTTGAGCTCTTATAAGGCATTTTACTAACATGCTTCTCTTCCAAATCGGACAAATACCATTTTTAACAAACCAACCCTTAAAAAATCCAGTAAGATTACGTTTAGCAAAATAGGGGCTTTCCAGCTCTTTATCGCCAGTTGACGTCTTTACTCGAAATCGCATGCTTGCCCGAGCTGATCCAGAGAATCTCGGCGACAAGGAATTAATTTGGTGAGGTCAAGGTTGACGCGGCTTCCTTTCGAGATTTCCCGAAGCCCACCAGAAAGATTCCGAGTTTATCAGCAACGATCGCGTTCTCGTTGTGACGGTCGCCAACATGCTTGCTGGATCAGACACCACGACCATTATTCTACGAGAAATTTTCGATTATCTTGTGAAGAATCCAGCGATATGAGCGCTTTACTCAATGAGCTTTCCCAAAAAGAAGACGCGGGGAACTTTACTCATGACGGCCTGTTGGGCTTGAACGAAGTTCAAGTCTTTACTTTCTTAAAGTTGTAGTCGAGGAAGCCCTGCGATATTCTTTACTATAGGGAATAATCAAGCTTTTAAAGGGTATATTAGATTTCTGCTTCAGAGGTTCCTTTATTTAACTAGCTAAGCTAGCTCAGCTGTCAGTACCCACGCTAACACAAGTTGATACGCTTCCTGTGAAAAACAGGTCTTATTTAATAGTATTATTGACAGCAATTCAATCCGAGATTTTCCGCAACTAGCTAATATTGGTTTAAGTGTAGAACTAGTTAATTGCAATTAGCTTGTTTGGGGTTTCCATAAAGATTTACTTCATTAATTATTAAGGTTATCGCAACTTACTATGTAGTTACCTTCATAGACATAGGGTAGGATAACGTGTTATCAAGTAGTAGATTTACCTCATTTCCCATCTGACAGGTATGAGTTATTACTAAGCCGTCGCAAGGGATGACGGCTTGGCCAGACCCAATCTTCAGCTTGGTATTTCGCTCGTCCAGGCCGCAAAACCCGCCTTGATTTTCGTGATAGCCTCAAACTCGCATTTCAACTTTCGAAATAATAACCCCCCCCCCCCCNCCCCTAAGCATATTAATCAACTAGAAATTTAGAAACCTTTGATCCAAATTTTATACGTTGCTGATTTGATACCGTTCTGGGTGATTTGATTGATTAACTGCTGCTCACCGACCTTGGGCCACTCGATTATGTACCACATCGGTTGCGACAAAGTTAGTGCGTTGTAAAGGTATATGTAGGCAGGTTTAGACTTGTTCGGCAGATATCGTCGCTTGCTCCCTTTCTGCAGAGGCCCATTCGGGAGCCAGGTGTTAGCCACCCGACGAGATAATACCATCCACCAGGTAGCCATGATCGATAGAGTACATTAGACCACTCCAATACTGCATTAGGGTACACTGGAAACTCAACTAAGTGAGGGTGTCGGTCTTTCCGACCTGTGGGTACAAGCCAACATCCAGTTTGATGTGAACAAAGGGTTTACCATTGGAGTGGAGCGTGAATCCGTCGCCTCAGCCGCCGACCGATATCTTCCTCTCGGCTCGATCTTGTCGGAGGCTCCGACACTGGAACTGCGTCACGGTCCGGTGCTTGTCGCAGCTCCATATGAGCGGATAGTGACAGTGCTACGGTAGTTTTAGACTGTCTCGCAGTTAGCTTTTGAGCGGTTTTGAACAAGACTAGAATCTGGTCGGCGATAAAGGCGATTTCGCTGCCATGATTTCGCTGCCACGATTGAGCACCTACATATTGCACTGTCTGCTTGTATGTCCATGAAGCTGCGATTGCCAAGCTTGAGGTGCAATCATATGCCGGAGTCATTCATACCTACTACGATAAGACGCACCTCCAAGGACAAATCATGGAGGATCAGAAGGTCCATTCAGAGGCTCAGGCCATTGTCCAGAAGATGACAATCGAGGACAAGGCGGCATTTCTCACAGGCCATCGGATGTGGAGGACACACAGCCTTGATCATCTCGGGGTGCGTGCCCTTGTCATGACTGACGGAACTCATGGCGTGCGCTACTCCATCCCCCAGATTGACGAGGACCAGCCGGCTGGGCAGGACTTTGAAGCCTTTCTTTCAATGGTGAATCGCAAGGCAAACGAGGTCGAGGTCGCCTGGGGCACGATGAAGCCGGCAACTTGCTTTCCCAATGGCTCAAGTGTCGCATGTTCCTGGGACGTGGACCTCGCCTTCGAGATGGGAGCTGCCCTTGGGCTGGAATGCCGGGCTTTTGGCATCGACCTTCTCCTCGGACCAGGTGTCAACATTCGACGGACACCGCTGGGCGGCCGGGTGTATGAATACTTGTCTGAGGATCCCATCCTGACTGGTGATCTGGCAGCAAGCTTGATCAAGGGCGTGCAGAGTCGCGGCGTCGGCGCGTCGATTAAGCATTTTGCCTGCAACAACAACGAGGTCGAGCGCACCACCATGAACAACATTGTTGACTCTCGGGCGTTGCGGGAGATCTACCTCCTGGGCTACCAACGGGCCATTAAGAAGAGTGATCCCTGGACCGTGATGAGTTCCTACAACAGGCTTAATGGAGTTCAGGTTGCTGAGAATCCATGGCTGCTCAACACTGTGCTTCGCGATGAATGGGGCTACAAAGGCCTAGTTATGTCAGACTGGCACGGCATCAAGGATCGCCCGGCATCGGTGGCTGCCGGCAACGACCTTGACATGCCCGAAAGCAAAAGTCGGCACGAGGATCTCCTGACCGCCATGAAATCCGGCGATCTTTCCATGGAGGCGGTTGATCTATCTTGTCAACGGCTCATCGAGCTGGTCCGTAGGTGCGAACAAGGTTCCAAGATCGCTGTGCCGGCGCTTGATGCGGATGCCCACCATCAGCTTGCTCGGAATATTGCTGGCAGTTCTAACGTTCTCCTGAAGAATTATGGGGGAATTCTCCCCTTACGGCCTGAACACGTAAAGTCCATCGCTGTGATCGGTGAAGGCGCGGTTGAAGCCGTCATCCAGGGTTCTGGGTGTGCAACGACAGCACCAACACAAGTGGATGTGCCTCTGGATGAGATCCGTGCTCTTGCCGGCCAGGCGCAGATCAGTCACTATCGAGGAACTGGTTCTCAAGATGCTTCCAATGAGGCTATTGCAGGAGCACGTGCAGCCGAAGTGGCCATAGTCTTTGTCAACACCGAGGTTGGCTGGGACGGCGAAGGGTCGGACCGCCAAACGCTGGCGCTGGGCGTCGGTCAGGATGAGTTGGTCAAAGCCGTCGCTGCTGCTAATAGGAACACAGTCGTGGTGGTGTCCAGCCCGGACGCAGTGGCGATGCCATGGATTGACAATGTTGCGGCAGTGTTGGCGACCTTCTTCTCTGGACAAGCGATGGGCGGCGCGGTGGCCGACATCTTATTTGGCGTGGTCAATCCCTCGGGCAAGCTTACCACCAGCTTCCCTCGTGCTCTTGAAGACATCCCGGGCTACCTACATTATCCCGGGGAGAATGGCGAGCATATCTATTCCGAAGGTCTCTTTGTCGGTTACCGTACCTACAATACTTGCAACATAGACCTCCTTTTCCCCTTTGGCTATGGACTAAGCTTTTCAACCTTCGAGTACAGTGGCATGGCTGTGAGCCAATCTACGATTCTTGACGGTGATACGGTCAAGGTCAGCTTCAATATTACCAACACAAGTGGCGTCACAGGAAGTGAAGTGACCCAAGTTTATGCCCGCTATGGCAAGCCACGTGTCCGTCGTCCACGTCACGAGCTGAAGGGCTTCACAAAGACGGTGGTTCCAGCGGGTGAAACAGTAAAGGTAGATATATCGATTGATGCAGATGACCTGCGCTACTACGACACGCTTCGAAAGATGTGGATTCTGGATAACGACGATATCATCATCGAGGTTGGCGCATCGTCACGCGACATCAAATTACATTCTCAAGTGTCCACCCGTTCGCCGATCGCTCGCTACCGTGAGATCCTTTGGGACACGCAACCACAGATCATTCTTGAAACGCCGGTTGCTCGGGAAAAATTCCGTGCCTACCTCTCAGGTCGCCTTTCCATCACTGATGACGAGGCTGAGAAGATGTTGATTCACTGCGGCTCTTCGTTTTTTGGGCTAGTGACGACGCTTGATCGTCGTTTGCGCCAACGGTTCCCCGCGACAGAGATTCAAGCACTGCTAGACGACATCAATTCGGAGATTAAAGCTAATGAAGCGGCCGGTATTTTAGATGCACAATAGCCTAAAGGTACATATGGGTGATGCTGTGTGTCCTATGTTATTAAAGAAGTAACATATCCATTATCAAGAACCAAATTCAACAAGTACCTCGAAACGTCCAGACGTAGGTATTCAATGGTCTATATTGCCGATGGACTCTATGTGACAGTTACATCGGATATTCCATTGGTTCTTAGTAGGCACAATGCTCCAAGTTTGAGATTCATGTTAGCTAGTCAACAATCTTGATAGATGGAAATGTAATACTAAAGAGTAAACTGGGAGACATGAAAAGATTTTCAAACTATCCCACCTAAGGATTATCTAGTTAGAGAAGTTGATAAATGGTCAAGAAGTATTTAAAGAAGCTATTAATAATTCATTGATTTTAGTATAGAATAAACTTGCATCAGACAGTGATTATAGAAAGGCTGGAGTTATTGATTTAGTATTTCCAAAGCGAATCCTTTAGTGACAAGCCCTGCCCAATGATCGTGCCTTTGAAACCTCTGTCCAGGTTCTCAATTTTTGCGATCCTCCTTCTCACAAGTTTCAAGCTCGGTAATGGGCTTACCTCCGTCGTAAGCCTCGATGACGTCGAGAACCTCGCCACGTGGGATGCCTTCAAAACGCTGGGCAATTTGCTCCAAAGTAAGACCCTTTGTTTCGATGTACGTGAAGGCTATGACAATGGCGACGAAAACGTTCCAGCAAACGCCGACAATATAAAATCTATTTGACAGTCAGAACAATCCGCTTTCGACAAACCTGCCAAAGTTTGTCAAGGGGACATGCTGCTCTTACCTCCAGCCAATACCGGTGAGACCGATGGGAATGACATACTGGTTGAAAAATCCAGCAGAAGATGTGATGACGCTGTAGAATCTATGACGAAGCAAGTTAGCAAGCACCTCTTTGACTTTCCACATAAGAATACTACATACCCCATGCCTCTTGCACGGATGGTAAAGTTGAGCACCTCGGCGCAATAAGAGAAAGACAAGGGGGTCCAGGTCGAGGAATATCCAATCTGAAACAGGAAGACCATTGCTATTATTCCATTTCGTCCCATTTCGTTTCCTGTCTGAGTGGCTGTGAGCCCTGCCATGCAGGCGAGGACCAATGCACAAAAAGAAGTGCCCCCAACAAGCATGGGAACACGGCCAAGCCTGTCAATAACACAGGTGCCGACGATGGCGGCGGCCAGAGCCACACAATTTTGGCCAATGTTGATAGCGAACTGCTGTGATTCAGAGGTGATGCCAGCTAGCGTGAGCACATTGCTGAGATAGTATGTTATGATGCTCGAGCCAACGGTTTGCTCAAAGACTCCGAGAGACAGCAAGATATACGCCCGGAGAAGGTTGGACTTCTCAGAGGCAAACTTCTTCCACCATGCTCTAAACGATTGCGCGTGCTCTGCCTGCTCCATTGCGATCGTCTCTTTAATCTCCCTAAACTCCGCAACAACCAAGGGGTTATCGGTGTCGCCGTTCCCATGAAACTTTGCTAGTACTTTTAGCCCCTCCTGCTCGCGACCGCGTGAAATGAGCCATCGGGGAGACTCTGGAATAAGAACCAGAGACGCGATACAGGACGCGGCCGGTCCCGCCATGCAGATGCAGATTGTTCGCCAGCTCCAGTCTCCCCCAATGCTCCTGGCTCCGTACCCGACGCCAGCAGACAGTATGGCACCAACGAGCCAGCAAGTCCAGTAGAGACCAGCGACGAAACCACGGCGACCAGGGGGCGCCATTTCGACAAGATACGTCGGCACTGCGGCGATATCGACTGCTTTGGCGACGCCCACGAGGACTCGGCCCACGAAGAATTGGGCCCTGGTGGTAGAGGTGGCGTGGATTGCACATGAGATCAGAACGAGGATAGACGCTACCAGAATGCCGCCTTTGCGACCCCATCTATCGACGACGAGACCGGAAAAGAGACCAGCGACGATGGCACCGAGGTTTTGCACAGCAGTCAAGAGACCCTTGAGCTGGGCGTCGAGCTGGAACTTCTGCTGGAACGAGTGCTAAAAACGTTTTTCAAGTTGGTAAAGAAGCAAAACCTCCGCAGCAAAGGGGTTCCGGGGCATACCAGAATGTTTAGTGAGCTCATCATGCTGGAATCATATCCCACACTAGCACAGTTGAGCGCGGCCACCATGCACACGACGAGCATCACCCGCTTGTGCCCCATGGTTGCCAAAAAAAAAAAAAAAAAAAAAAAAGGCTGGCGAATTCAGATTTCGATTATCCTTGTTAGAAAAGTGTAGGTGATGGAGAATGTCACTGGTGAAATATGAGATGGGTATGATGCCTGTTATTTAACATGTTCTTCTTAAGCATATCAGGAACAAGGTTATCTTGGGGACCCCGGATCTGGAGAAGCTCAAGAAACATCGTGCAGATACTATGGAGGGTCTACAGGGTCTGGAGCCTCGCTTGAGTCATGTTTAGTCTAGTTCGTGATATTGGACAGATTAGGATGATAGTCCTAACGCTCAACGTTGGTCCCTACCAATCTGAGTAGCATCGGAGCCTCCGCCCTGATAAGATTGGCATAGTGCCACACTGGATCTCAACTACATAGCTCTTAGGTAAATGCGACGGCTGAATTAGCCGGGAACAGAGACAAAAGTATTTTTTTACCATTTTACTCGTATACTAATAATCTGTCTGTTCCCCATACACAATTCTGAGGAGCTGCCGGAGACATACTAGTCTTCAAACATCTCTGACAGGGTCAGCTTCCTTTGTCGGTCAGCCCGCCAACGCGCTCTCAAACTGACTGTCGGACTAGGACGCCGGGGTTTGGCTTCTTCTGTCGGACAACCCGCTCACGCGTCCTCAAGCAAACAGTCATCAGACTAGCTTGACTAGCCAGCCCGGGATATGACTCCACAGAGCTACAGAACAATGAGATTCTCCAGTTTTGTCTGGAGCCACGATTTGCCCTATCCCTCCCGATTCCCATGATAGTGTTACAGTTCAAGCAGCATCCCCTTTCACCCTCCTATAATAAACAACCTCCAATAGATAACCTACGAGCAACGGTCAAACGATTTATATATGCAATATGCGCAAGACTCTTTCTATTGAGTTTAACCAGACAAGCCCAAGAAAACCTGTTTGAGATGAAAGTAAGACGGTCTATCGGACAGTGCGATGAGGCCGTATTAAATGATATTCCCAACGTTAGAACGACATTTGAAAAAAAAAACACTATTGCGTTGCGGCCTCTTCAAAGGAGTGGGGCTAGACTACCTTGGATTTTGGATCAAATCACTTGATATCGCCTATCTCCTATCTGCAGGCGCGGTTGATGATACTCACTGCAGCCTAAACAAGGATTCCTCTCTACTAATCCCATTAATTGAGCTGATTTGCTAAGCTGATATGACCCATTGTACACAAACGCTGTATATGCTGAAAAAGTTATCCAAGGCTTATCTCTCGGCCAAGTCTAGCTGGGCTGAATGAAAAGGCACTACAAGATTCGAGCCTGTTTGGTTCTTTGATAGCTGGCGATTCTGTAACAGTATGTAAAGATAGTATCCAGTGTCTAGACAGCGGTTGATCCGTCTGGAGGATCGTGTGAGTGAGTTCGTTAGTATCATTAGCCCTGATATATTCTAGAGCCGCTTATCAAGAATTCGACCCCGAAGCTACACTTGAGACCTATATGGATACTTGGTGTATGCAGGGAGCTTACATTCGTTTGTGGGATGCAATCGGGAACAATGTTTGACGCAAGGGGAACTATGGAACCATTGTCCATTGGGTGATTGAGAACAGACTTTCCTCGTTCTTTGGAGATTCTGTAGCCTATTCTGAGACTTTATCGTCGCCCTTGACCTTAGGGTCTTCGTATGATGCTCATAAAGAAGAGTCTAGCTGGGTAGTACAAAATCTGCGACTCTGAGATCAGCACCACACCGACTACCTACCCTACATCATCAGGTGAGGAATCCGCACGAAATGGCTGAAGCTTCAATATCACTCCTTAGCAGGCCAGATTTGAAATGGTATGGGTTCGATGCGAATGGCGCAAGACATCCTAGGGTTCTGAGTGGATCGAGTTGCTACGGAAGGATAGGCGCATGGACGAGGGAGAGCATGAAGTCGTCACTGGCTCCGAACAAATTACGATGTAGTGAGCTGCCTAACCGAGATGGACCGTGGCTCCCTCCTGTTTGCCACTTTCGATGTAGCCCAGGACCTTTTCCAATTGCATCGTGCTATTCTGAGTGCCTTGGTCCGTAGTCGGGTACGATGTTACAAAAGCTTGCTCTTAATTACGGCAGAGAAATAACAATAGATGGTGTTATATGTGTGAGAGTTTGAAACAGCTTGACTCGTATAGAAAAAAAGAGCAGCAGAAGATGCCAGATAAGATGTCTGAATTCAATGAATACGAAATGAAAAAAATAAGCTCTGCAGGCCCAAGACTACAGCCATGCAGAACGAAACTCTGTAGACCCACTCTCTCATGTGCAGGTGATCGAGAAGTAAAGGTGGCTGACGAAATTAGAAAGACAAGCTTCCCTACTACTCGAGGCTAGTGAATACATCATGATCCTGTTCGCTCTTTATCTGCGGCAGCAGAAGTTTGCCACTGAGGAGGAGGCGATGGCAAAGAGAATCTTGAAGCTGAGGAAGCAAAGGGCTCATCGACCAAAGATAGGAGAGGGAAAATTCGCACACTTTTCGCATCCCATTGTTAACCCTTAGCAACAGGTCCAAACCGTGAAATCAGGCTGGGTCCTAGGGCAGCAGCCATACTCATAACCAAATGAAACATCGCCGCCGTGGGAAGCCAATAATTACCTAACTTCTTTACATCTTCTGAAACCCTACAGAGTGACGATATAGAACGAATTGATTTTATTGTGATACGTCAAATAACGTACGAAGTAATTTACTAGTTCGTGCTTTTCTCTCCTCTACACCTACTCCTTAGAATGATAGTAGGTCTCTGCATCGAATGCTCCATTTGGCCCCTGGTGTATTACACTCTCCGTAGGACGCCCCAAACGCCTAGCCGCAGAGTAAACACGGATATACACATCAAAGTTCCACGGCCGGACGCTATGGCCTTGGCCCGTCAGTAAAGAGAGCCACTGCCGATTCTCAAAATTCTCTCCATCGCCAAGCTCTCTATAGCAGGTGTATCGCGCATACAACCAACCACCGGTGCACAGCTCCAACACGCACTCTGCGTCAGAGTGGCATATTTCGCAGGTCACCATCTGGACATGCTTACCACGAAGACTACTCCACTGCTCCGTAGGGTGACTTGCACAACGCTGAGGCCGATTCGTGATCTCCATTTTGACCTCTTGGAAGCCATTAGTGGTTTTGAAAACTGGCTTGGATAGGTGAAGACTGTTGTGAGGACAACATTTGAATGATTCACCCCGGTTCTTGTGCAAATAAACCATTCTGTAGACAACTTCTTGTTTTTGCAAGAAAGTGCCGTTGCCGTAGTATATGTCGTTGCTCCAAATATAGGTAGTCCCCCCTGCAGCCGTGACTTCGTCCTGACCACATAAATCTGTAACTAGAACCATCTTCCTTCGTGGGCGAAGACTTTGTCTACTGCACTTAAGATTCTCAAATGAGAGGTGGTAAGGCACGACTGGGTGTATTGGCTTGAGTGTGTAGGTCTGGAATATGGTCGAAAGTACTCCCTTGCGGTTGGGAAGGCCAAGCTGCGGCGAAAAGATTGACGTTGGTCTGTTGGGCCTGCGCGTCGATCGATGCGCTGGGCAGCAGCCTCGATGGTGTTGACAGGTACATAGCTTCTTGGGATGTGATGGTTGCTGCGTATTGGATTGCGACTGCTGCGTAGACGAATTATCCCTTCCTGATGGTCCATCACCAGAACCAAGGAGTTTCGAAGCACGATGGGACTTTGTAGCCACAATTGATTCTTGGCTGACGTTATCAGGTATCAGAGTTATCTCACTGCACGAATCATCGTGAAGTGTTGCGTTTTCGATGTCATAGTCTTGCGACATCATCTGCCCCAGCCGCGGTGGGAAAAGCCACGTGGCAAACCGACTGTAGCCCCAAGATATGACTGACATCGTGAGAGTGTTTCTCTAAGGAGAGAAATTATGCCAACTTGGAAAGAAGGTCGACTCCAGAGTTCAGAGCGACCATTTAAGTAGATGACTTTTATTCAAAGGCGACGTACAAAAACAAAGCTTGACACGGAAAGCTACGACACCCCGCTTGCCGGAAGTTTGTCTGAATGAGCCAGTCAGGAAGTCGGATAGCTCGACAGAGACCCGTTGCTTTGCAGAATGCTTTCTGAGCCTTTCCGGTGGCCAACAACAAAGTTTGGTGGTACAGTAAGTGAGGATCTAGAGTGACTAGTCTCATCAGGATGTAGCGAATTGGACTTTTTTAGATCCTTTGTCGCTAATGGAGTGTCAAATTCTTCAGAAGAGCTTATTTTCAGCGTCGTATGGCAAAAAGCAAGTCAGAATCCGGATCCACCCTGGCGAAAGTAATGGGGACGATCAACATGAGCAACATCGTCCGCTTTGTTCGTAATGCCGCCGTGCCTTGTGTGATCAATAGCCGAAGCGAGGGGATGAATATCTATCTTTGATAGATTGAAATGTCTTGTCGCGACGAAGTGTCGCAGGATGAAAGGTTGGGGGGCTTCCCGAAGCCATCACAAAACAAATTAGGCTCCCGAGCTGGCCAACTGGCGGCTGATTCTGACGCGTAATGTCTCGTCGGTGTCTTTTGGTCGTATTCTATTTGGTTGACTGATCGAACTTGCTGGGATTTCTTTTCTTGAGAACTTCATCTGCATTAAATCCACCATGACAGTGTCTCTTTGCCGTAGGCCTGGGGATAATGTCTCGAATATATCTTCGTTTGTCAAAAGGATAATGTGGTATTCAAATCGTGGAAAAGAATGACGCATAATGCCCATTTTTGTTCGTCGCATGATACCTAGATTGTAGAGATATCGATGAGTGACTGTATGCTAGAAGCGCAAGACTTCTACCACTGCCTTTATGAATTATAGTCAAACTTACCATGATGAAAGAAACTCCATTGCTTTGAGGAAGAGAGAAGATAGATGAGATTGAACGGAGTTGAAGCCGCACGTTCGATGATGGTCGAATTGGCGCGGGCGTAGATTTTGGTCGCCTTTACACCTGCTCTTTGACTGAGAGAGATGATGGAGCTGCTTTAGCTTCGGCTTTGATGATGATGCCTACTAGACCTGAATGGGTACGCGAATGATGAAAGCGTCTGACCCACAGTCTCCGTGATTCAGGCCCCAGCCAGACATGAGCTCTGGCTGAGGTGGCGACCTGGCCCTTTGGGGGCGCCAAGCGGGCTTCTCGTTCTTCTCTTTCTTCTTCGTCTTGTTCTTCCTCTTCTTCCTCCTCCTCTTCTCATTATGGGCTCGTTATTTTATAGTGATTATCCTGCTCAACACTTTTATTATTGCCCTTATTCCTAGGCAATTGGCGGATTGGTGACGGATCCGCTTGGAGGACGGTTGGGAGATCGACGGGGGATGGGCGGGGGGAGGGAGGAGTCAGAGTCGGAGTCGTCGGCCGGGGAGGGGACGGCCGGGGAGGGGATGGCGGCGAGGGGGAAGTCGGCGACCGGGGGAAGATCGACGGGCGGAGAGGAGACGGCGACAAGGGGGAAGACGTTGTCATCATCGCAGTTGGGGCACTTCTCGCCCGGATCACCCTTCGGCCCAGGTGGGCCAGGTGGGCCAGGCACAAGTTGGGGTCCCATCCCCAGGAAGTCGGCGTAAACGCAGCGACAAAAATGGTACAAGGCGGCCAGCATGACCGCCCACCCGGCAAAGAAACCAGCAAGCTCGTACTGGTAATGGAGCCACTGCTCCGAAAAGATTGGCCCGGGAGCCATGATCGCGGACCAAACCGCCGCGCCGAGGATCACCACCACCAGGAGGATGGCGGTGATCATCACCATCATCGTCGTCTTCGTCATCTTCTTCTTCTCCGTCGTCATCGTTATCGTCGTCGTCGTCGTCGTTGTCGTCGTCTTCGTCGTCGTCGTCGTCGTTGTTGTTGCTGTTGTTGCTGTTGCTGTTGCTGTCGCTGCTGCTGCTGGTGTTGCTGCTGGTGTTGCTGTATTCTCGTTCACGAGCGGCCAAAGGAAAAGAATCACCATGATTCTGCTCGTTTCGAAATGCTCGCTTTGTTGGCATCTGGCACAGAGGGAAGGAGCTCTCGACGGCAGGTGCTCCTGCCATCGTTCTGTCCATCATCCCATACAAGGCAACTACGCCACCACACCACTGGAAGTTGACTTTTCTAGGCCATTCAGGAGCAGTATTTGCAATCAACTAAAATCATCAATTCCAACGGCCTCGTGTCAATTTTGTCTGGGCGTTGCGCTCCTGGTTGGGTACTTGGACGGTGCGCCATGCTAAACGCTGCCTCGGCCGCTTCATGGAAAACCGGAATGTGGAACTTCGTGTCGATATGATTACTGAGTCATTCTACATTCTGTAATAGCAGCGAATCAACACCCGTGCATGCTCTCACTTCTTGTTTAATCAGTGTCTGCAGGGTCTGGTCCTGTGCTGGGTCAATCCAGGGAAAGATGAACTCGTAGAATGTGTCTCTATCACCATTTTTCAGAGAATTGTGAGTTCAACAAGCCGTCATGCAGTGCCCATGGCCCAGTGGACTCTTTCCATCTTGGATTGAATGCAATTTCCACTGCGCAAAGGCGACAAACCAACTTTCCATGCGGCTGCCAACGTATCTAGTGAACAAACGAGTACTGTAGACCATGAGGAGATATAGCAAGACCATATGCATTAGACATAAAGACCAAGTTTACATTATGAATTCTTCCTGCCTAATGTATATGTAGCTACCTCAGTAAATTCACTAAAGTTGCAATCAGCCGCCTTTAAAATTAGAGAAATTTGGTCATAATTCGACGGCTTGTACAAATTAGATCGCCTACTATCGACAGCCATAGGATAAACTAGTCCTCCAAGCGATGCCAGATTCCCCGAACCGCCCCTGCCTTCCACTGGTCTAAGGCAACGTTCTCGAATAGTTTTCAACTTGTTGTTTAAGACAATAATATATATAAATAAGTGACTGAAAATCATTCATTATATGTTTCGAAGAGTTGCTTTGTCAAGGTTCTGCTTCTTTAAGAATAGCAAATTTAACGAGCTTTAAATTATAGAATAGTGAATCATATGCTTGAGTGCGTTTAGAACGATATATGAAAAAGAAAACGTCAATTTTTTAACAGCTAGGTCTATCAGTTCAATGCTTGGCCACAAGATGTTAATGTCAGATCAGCCTATAGTTCGTTATCATCAATCTCTATAGTAGTGTTTGTCTCCAAAGCCTTCTTCACGGCGTCGCAAACAATCAAGGCAGCTAATCCTGTCCGGACAGTGCAACTAGGCTCCTCCGCCCCGCGGATAACCTTGCTGAAATGATCCAGCTGCAGTTCGAAAGGAATGCCCGGAATGACTGGTGTCTTTTGAGATTCCATCTCTGAATGCCACGACAACTTCTCACCCTTGTATGACCATAATGTCAAATCTGGGACACTGAGAGTGGCCTTAAATCCGAAGATACGATATGAATCCTGGCCAGTCTTGGGGATGAGTGGGTTTTCACCCGTTCCAGACTCGAAATTGTAGGGTGAGCACACATTATCTGAGATTATGAAGGTGCCTACAACACCGGACTTGAATCTCAACGTCAATGCAGCCCCTTCCTCGGCCTCAAAACCTCTCTGCGACATTGTCTTCTCAGCATGGACTTTGGTGATGGGCCCAATCAGATGGTGAAGCAAATCCACCTCATGGATCAGGTTAATTAGCACAACTCCACCCGTCTTGTGCCTCCTCCACTCCGTAGGCGCATCGAAATAATCCAGGGGCTTGAGTGTCGCCCATAGTCCACTGATTGCGATGATGTTACCCAGCGAACCAGATGAAAGGACTTGTTTGGCAGACACAATATACGGGTTGAATCTGCGATGGTGGCCAACAAGGACCTTGACCGGTTCGCTTTGAGATGTTCGATCAGTTCCCGACCGGAACCAATATCAGTACTCACGGGCTTGTCAAGGAGAACGTGGATACCTGCGGCCGAAAGTTCCTTGGCCACCGCGACATGGGTGTGATTGGGCGTGCAGACAATAGCAGCCTCTGGCTTGTCCGGAGAAGCAACCAAGTCTGCAATAGATTGTCTGCAATATATTTGTAGTGTGGGACGCCTAACTCGGACGCCAGAAGTATACCCGGTGGAGCAGGGTCGACGATGGCAACCAGCTTAGTTGCTTCTAAAGCCGAGGCTGTCCGGGCATGTCGAGGACCGATGAGTCCAGCTCCTATGACGGCGATTGTGATTGATGCCATTTCTGTTGATTTGATCCTTATTTAGGGGAAACTAGAAGACTTGGCCGAAATGGAATTCTGAACTGATGAGCGATGGATTATGCTCGAAATATGCCAGGAATTGACCGACGCGGAGTAAAACCTTTAGCCCTTGTCTTTATCAAAGGCCTGTTGAGACGAGAAATGTTCAGAAATCCTTTCCCGACTAGCGCATTCCCAAAGTTGTAGAACCGTTTATCAGCTTGCAGGCTAAGCATTCACCCATCTACCCCGAGTGCATGGACACTAGGCGTATGTATGTTGAGGGTTGGGGTTTTCGGATCCCCGCAAACCGGCAAAGATCTTAAGCCGCGTCGCTCCACTCTCGCTACACGTATCGGGTAATTCCCCAGGAGTTTGTGGAGAAGACTACACACCCCAGTCAATGACTCGTAAGGGGTAATTCCCCGGGTTTTCTTGGAGACAGAGTCTGGACCCCATCTCAGGAATTTAGTCAATGACTCGTTAGAATAAATATTTGATCGCCCCCATACCCTTCCCTCTTGGTGAAGCACCTAGAGCTTTCAACTTCAACAAAGGCATCGATTCTATCCTACCTTGTCCTTCCTCTTCTTTCGTACATTCGTGTGTCATTAAGCTTCAAGATGCGCCTCTTTCCCAAAGTCGAGGAAGATCGACCTACCCCCAAGGAGGTTTACAACTTGCGAACCTACCTGTTCGCTGCTATTGCCTCTGCTGGTGCTGCTACTATCGGCCATGACAGCGCCTTCATTAGCGGCACACTTGCCCTACAGTCCTTCAAAGACGAGTTCAACTTTGAAACCATGTCCGAAGATGAGGTTAATCTTCTCACTGCCAATATTGTGTCCTGCTACCAAGCAGGTGCCTTCTTTGGTGCCATCTTTGCCTATCTAGGCGGCCACTACCTTGGACGTCGCCTAGGCTTGATCATCTTTGGTGTTCTCTTTGTTATTGGAGCCGGTATTATGCTCGCATCTAACGGTGCTCGTGGGTTCGCCCTCATGTACGCTGGTAGAGTTATCGCCGGCCTGGGTGTCGGGGCTATCTCAAACCTTATTCCCATCTACATTTCCGAGCTCTCAACCCCAGCTATTCGTGGTCGGTTAGTTGGTATGTGGGAAGTTGGATGGCAGTCTGGTGGTCTGGTCGGCTTCTGGATTAACCTAAGTCCAACAGTCTGCGCCGTATCTTTTCACGAGGCGGTTGATACTAATACTTATTTGGATAGTATGCCGTTTCCCGAACCATCGCCCCCTCACACAAGCAGTGGTTCATTCCGTTCGCGATTCAACTTGTCCCGGCCGGCATTCTTGTCATCGGAGCCCTTCTCACTGATGAGAGTCCTCGATGGCTGATGGCGAATGGAAAGCGAGAACAGGGCATCAAAGTCCTATCTAGGCTACGAAACCTCTCTGCCGACCACCCATACCTCCAGGAGGAGATTTCTCAGATCGACCAAGGCATTGAGATGCAGGCCCAAACAATCGGTCTTGGCTTTTATGCCCCTTTCAAGGAGGCGAAGCGTAATAAGTCTATGCAATGGCGTCTGTTCCTTGCCGGTAGTCTATTCTTTTGGCAAAACGGTTCTGGTATTGACGCTATCAACGTGTGTCCTTGCTACTATAACTCCCTTCTTTGGAAATAGCAGCATGGCTAATATTTCTTTTTCTAGTACTACTCTCCTCGTGTATTCCAGGCCATCGGGCTTGTAGGTACAAATACTTCATTGTTCTCTACCGGCATGTTTGATCTGATTAAAACTGTCGTCACCGTTATTTGGATTCTCTTTATGATTGACTATCTCGGCCGACGCAACCTTCTCATTTGGGGCGCCTTGGGCGGCTCGATGTCTCTCTGGGTGGTTGGTGGTTACATTGCTGTCGCCCAGCCAACGAAGAATCCCGGCGCTGCCAATACTGATGGTGGGAGGATGGCGCTTGCATTCTTCTACATCTTTACAATCTTCTATACCCCTTCATGGAGTGGTACGCCCTGGTGTATCAGCAGTGAGATCTTCGACCAGAATATGCGAAGCTTGGGCCAAGCCTTTACTGCTGCTAACAACTGGTTCTGGAACTTCATTGTCGCCCGCTAATTTTCTCCATTCGTAACTAGATTATTTCGAGTTATGTGATTGGGGCTACTAGATTTTTCACTTCCTGTCTATAGATAGGCGTAGAGAGGATAAGCCATTGCAGTAGGACATGACACGACCGGATCAGCCTCCTGATGACCAAAGCTCTTCCAATGCGATACAGAAGGTAACTCAGAAGTCCACTCATATTTAAACAGCTATGAAGCAGGAAAAGCTGACGCCCTTCAGCTCATGTCAAGCCTACGAAGTATTAGAAGGCTGCCATTGAAGCTCGGCGGGGACGTCCCCGCGATACCCAACGTTTACCTTAGTCATCCAGAATGTTCCGTGATGGTATGTGATCTTGATCCCCTGCTTACAAAATATGCCATGCTCGGTTGCCTAGTTTCCTCACTCTCCCTGCTCCACTACTCATTCCTAGTTGGCGGCCATTCTTATAAGCCCAGTGTCTTCTGATACTATTACAAAGGTTTGTGAAAACAAGGACAGAAGCAATAGATATTGTCATGACTAATTACCCGATTGGCCTGGAAGGCAGGCCACATAGAACTAACTTGGCATGCTCCATTTAGCGTCTCGCAATACTCAGAATGACTTCGCCCTCACCCTCGCGTTCGCGTTCACCGCCACCTCCTCCCCACCCATATGAGATCCGTGGGTTTGAGATTGGCGGCGACAGTTTTGACATCAACATACGTGTCAACAGCGTGCGCTTCGATATCCCTCTCTCGCCTGACAATTTCGAGCGTTCTCCCAAAGCACTCGCACTCTTCAAGAAGATCTTCAGCCTGGTCAAGAGCGATGATGATGGCGATCCCGATGTGTGGGCCTACGCCAGAGAGGTCGCGGATCATTTCTTGCCGGAATTTCAGCGTCTTGCGCCGAAGAAAGTCCATACCGGCAAGCTGACTCTTGCAGACCTCAAAGCAAGCGGCTACTTTGAGTGCGAATACAAAGTCGTCAAGGAGCGACCAACCATAACAGCCGTCAAGCCTTGGGGGCGGCAGGATGACGATGACGGTCCTTGCGCTGACAAGGAGTGGGATATGCGTACCTACCAGTCAACGTTCCCACTCTATAGTCTTGAAGATGTGGAGATCCCTTACACTGACGGCGAATCTATTCATGATATCATCCCCCAGAGGGTGTTTGTGAATGGGAAAACATGCTTTTACAAATCCTGTTACTCACCATGGGATGCACTTGAAGAGGTGACCAAGTATTGCAAGCTTGCCCAATCAGGTCTTTCAATATCCGACCTTCGCACTTCAAGGCTATCGGGCATTGTGACCTATCGCGATGGACTGGCCAGAGGGCTCCTTTATGATTGGATCGAGACCAAAGACCCAGGAACCCTAACTTGGGCAATTGAAGATGATGTCCCACGCTCCCAAAAAAATAAGTGGGCGCTTCAGATCCGCGATACTGTGAGAAAGCTTCACAGTTTAGGGGTTGTGTGGAGTGATGTCAAGCCCGATAATGAGTTAATCGACATGGACAAGAACGCGGTTGTGATTGATTTGGAGGGAGGTACGACTAGGGGTTGGGTTGACAGGGAGCTACTGGGAACTATCGAAGGAGACCAGCAGGGCTTAAAACGGCTTGTTGATTTCATCCTCAATGATGAGTCCCCGTTGCGACTCCGGAATCGGATCGGGAGCGATTGTGAATATGATAGTGAGGAGGAGGAATAGGATAGCATATAGTAGTAGGATTCACAAGGTAGCCGGCTCTTAAATGTATAACGCAGTGTTTCTAATATTGTTATAAGAAGCACTCTTTAAAGAACACCTTAATCTGTTGGAGGTCATATCCCTCGAAGACACAGCAATGGCCACCATCAGGAACAAAGACAAGTTGATATCCTTACCCTCTTCTCGAAGTCGCTCAGCGGGTCTCTTTGTAGCGGCAGGATGAACGACCTTGCCATGTTCGCCCACGACTAACATATGATGACTCCCATGCTCTATCTTGGGAGCATAGGTTATCTTCGAGTTCTCAATGTACAAATCATCCGCCGAGTACACCATCCCTTACTCATGCCACAAAGCAGCCTACCTAGCTAGAAGCTTCTGTTGTTTCGTACAGTCGTGCCAGTTTGTCAGACACTTGCGAGTTTAGCCTCGACAGATAATCCAGCAATCCAAAGAAGTGTTTCTTTGCCCTTGCAAGGACCTGAACCGATTCTTGCCCTTGCATCACCTCAAGCAGAGTAGCGCAGATGTACCGAAGCTTCTCAGCCTGTGACACTCCGAGATTAGCAAACAACCACTTCTCGCGCTTGTCTGACTTCTTGAGAGCTTACCCCAGGCTCACCATTCGCATGTAGCGCTTGCAGAGGAACTGTTTTCATTAAATTGAGTACCTCATGCGCGATGTCAATTTTCTTCCAGTCTATCGATAATCGATCGTTACTCAATCCTAACAGACTAAGAAGGTCAGCAGCTGCAAAGCGATTGAGAACGAACAGTTGCAGAAAATAGTATGAGAGCAGGATGTTGGACTTTTGAATCCAAAATGCGAGTCTTTGATACTTCTCACGCAGTTTGTCAGGGTTGCAGATCGTCGTTGGTGACATAACAAATTCCGGTACATCATCGAGGATACTGGAGAAGCGCAAAAATGAATCCGTTAGACTGCGCATCTGTGCAATATCTAGAACCCGGTCGTCAGACACCCGAGAATTCGCAGACAGGAAAAGATCCAGATCAAACAAAATGCCAAAACCATGTCTCCAAAGCTCATAGTTCCTTTGAAATCCCATCATGAGATATCTCTCAAAACAGCCTTCATTCTCTGGTCGATGTCGATCAAGCAACGATATACGCTCATCAAAACTGAAGCCAGCGATGACAGGGCTTTGCAAGCGCAATTCGTTCAAGTTTTGCTTTTTGCCGTTTAGCGAGGAGTTTGACCGGTCGAGCGAGTACAAGTATCTGAGTGCGTTGCGTCGCAGCGTCGCCTCACGGGAATCCAGGCCGTCGTACGATTCCTCGTGGTGAAGTCGCATTTGGATAGCTAATCGAACAGCTTCATCCACTTTATGCCATGACAGGACGAATATCCCGTCATTTGATAGCAGGAGACTTGGAAGATGCGTATCGCAAGCGAGGCTGCTGTTGGGTACGTGATATCGTAGTCTATGAAAGCCCGAAACGTTGCTTGGGATAATTCTAGGAACAGGGAAGAAATAGTGTCGTCTTGAGGGTGTTTTTTACAGGGGTGAATGTGAGCAACGAGTGCGCATAGAGATGTGGTCAATGCATACGACCGGATTGCACCGATCGACTCCTGTATCCAGCCAGATTGAGAATGTGTTGTCCCAGTCATGACAGAAGGCAAAATCAATGATGCGTGCGAGCGAAGAGTAGGTTCGCAGATAATCGGTTGGAGAGGAAACACAGATTGCATGTAGATGCTTATACAGCGCTCGACGGTTTCCTGGGGTGTACGGCCTTCGGCTGCTAATGCTGAAAGCAGAGTCTGATGGCAAAGAGCAAGTGAGTTGTTAAAATCATTTGTAGAACCAGACTTGTTTCCCCGGCTTGCATCTTCGACGGGGGCAGTGCTCCCTGGAGTTGCTAGGGAACATGACATTCCATGACCAGGCTGCACGGTCTGACGAGACCCGACTGCCAAAGACCGATGTCTAGGTTTCGGGCCCCTTTTCCGACGTGGCTTGTAGTAGCTACAAAGTAGACCAGATAGCTGGCAAGGGGAGCACGTTGGCGACAGTTGATCGCACTATATCCTAACTTAGGTAATGTCCTTCGATGCAGTTTAGCCTCCAGCGTGGACGTACCTTGACTTTCCGTTGTCTGCATGAATCGCATGCTTGCTTCGACATCATTCCCTCAAGAACCAATAATAATGCATTTGCCCGACAATTGAGTGCTTGGAGGTAAAAGGTGGTTGATGGTTTGATTACGGCCAAATTCGGAACTCTCGGGACTTGTTCTTCAAATGAGAAACGCCGAGGGAAACGAGTGGATCGGGTATTTCCCCGAGATATGGTGAGAAGTCTGGTGAGCGTCGGCGTATTATAGCCATTAGCCCCTTCCACGGTGTTTCCGCCACTATGTCTGCAACGCAGCCAAGCAAGGGCCTTGTTGCCTACGGATTGCATTCCTTTCCTGGAGTTTTCGTACAGTCTACAGGCCATACTTGAGAGCGAAATAACCCCGAACGTTGACACAACGTGGAGAATCCATTTCGATGATTGGTAAGATCTGAGAGAATTGCTGTCAACGCTCGACCAACTTGGGCTATATAAGGCCCAGAGGTAGGACGCGGGAATCCCAAAAGCTCAAGTATCTTCTGTCCAAACAATTAGAACACGATATGTCTCCCAAAATTAGAGTTGCTTTTGCAGGTGCCTCCGGGGTAACCGGCTCCTCTGTCATGAACGCCCTACTTGCTACCCCTGAGATATTTGTAAGTTAGGCTTTTTGCCCTGGCTTTATAGCAAGTCAACAATTTGCTAAAAATGGTGCAGGAAGTGACGGCTCTTGTGCGGCCCCTGTCTTTGGGTAAGCAAGTATTCGTCGAATATTCCCAGCGAGGCGTGGTTGTCAAGTCAGTCGAGCTAGATGGGCCATCGGACGTCGTTGCCCAGATCCTGCCGGCATCGACGTTGTTATATACTGCATGACTTTGCGGCAAATGAAAGAAGAAATCGTACTCGTTACGGCAGCCCATGAGGCTGGTGTGAGCCGCTATGTGCCTAGCTTCTTCGCTCCAGTTTGCCCACCCCGCGGCGTTAAGCTAGCTAGAGGGATGGTAAGCAGTATCCCCAACACGATGCAGCCCGGAATACGATTATCATTCTACAGACCCCAGTTAACAATTACATGGCTATAGAAGGAGAATATTCTTGACCATGTCAAGAGGCTGTACCTTCCATACACCATTATCGATGTTGGCTAGTGGTAACAACTGTCCTTGCCACCTTTGCCATCAGGAAAAGTACGAGTCAAGGAAGAATACTCAACTGCGCAAATCATTGGCGACGGTACGAACCCTTGGGCGCTTGTCGATAATCGCGATATAGGAAAGTACGTCGCAAGAATCATCGTCGACCCTAAAACTCTGAACAAGCATGTTTTCTGCTACAGCGAGATATGGGCTCAAAATGATGTGTACGAGTCCTGGGGAGCGGTTACTGGCGAGTCCATCGCTAGAAATCCTGTAAGGATCACTTTACACTTACGATTACACCCACCATTGACTGACCACTGCCGCATTTTAGATCACCAAAGAAGAGATACTGCACATAATCTCAGAGGGTGAGGCCGAGATGGCACACGGGGATCTCGAATCTGCGGCCGTGTTGAAGTTGGGGATGGCGCAGTACAAATATCTGCTCGGCATCCGAGGGGATAATACACCCGAACACGCAAAATACCTAGGTTACCTGGACGCGAAAGAACTTTACCCCGATATTGTGGCTTCGTCTTTCGAGAACTACATGAATGATTTATTCACAGGAACTATCAAAGCCCCTTACACCTAGGGTAACAGCTCAGGAGAGTCAGCGATACTCTGGGGCATCTTCCATGTATGGTAATTCTAGCAATATATCAAATAAAAGAAGAATCAATCCCGGCAAAAAGAGCCTTCCAGTCAAAGTCATCAATGTCAATGCCATTTTCTGGACCCTGCCATAGCCCATCTGACAGCTGTTCTTGTGGCATTTCATTAACTAGGGCTACCTCTGCGGGATTTACGGCACCTGGCACTCTTATAATGTCCGAAGAGGCTCTGCCATTCTCCCCACTATTCAAACCATCCATCTCCTTTTCGGTAGTGGATTGATTCGCAGGGAGCGAGACACGATGTTTGCTCAAGAGATGCACCAGGGAATTGAAGAGTTTCTGTGCAGTGGGCGAGTACTCGCTCGCATTCTTGAGAACTCGGTAAGCCTCCAGAGTCTCTCTCAAGGGAGTTTCGTGCCTTCCCGCTGCAGAGCCAAGACACCGGTCGAGCAGCAAGACTATACAGGCAAGGCATATTATGTAGAGAACGCCGCAGTGACGGGTCATGTTGGGGAGAAATGGGGGGCAGGATCTCTTCTCCAGCGCGAGTTCGATGCGTATGATCTGCTGCGCGGCACGCAAACAGGCTTTTCTGGAGTAATCAACGGCAGGATCGACAGCCGCTCGGAAGAGATAAGGCAGGTGCAATTTGCACAGCTGGGCTTGGATACTGAGGTTAAGCATGTATGCTTGAGTTGCTAGGACACGCGGCGGAGGGCAGTCGTGCCCACGATCCTGGAATGACGCGTCCGGACCTAGTTGAAAGGCGGGTGCCAGCTCACGAGTGAACCTGTTGAGCTCGGCGTCGGAATGCATAACGTGGCCGTATCTCATTTCGCTGTACAGCCCTCCGCCCAGAAACGTATGCTCGGCGTGTTCACGGCACAGTTCAGCAAGCCGTATCTTCAGAATGTGAAAAGTCATTGGCGACAGGCCGCGGTCCGGCGCTTCATTACGTTCAATATCATCGTCACTGCAGTCCCTAGGTCGGTTTACTGCCATCTGTTTGGGATGCATGAGGTAAAAGTCCGCGCGTGGGTAGCAATGCTGCGCCAGAAGCCTTTGCCTTCCTGTTAGCTAACCGTCAACTGAAACATTTACAAGCCCGACAAACGGGTGTTGTGGCATATACTCGTACCAGTCGAGCGTCACCACACTCCACCACACCCTCCGGCCCATCTCGGCTGCCAGGACGCTGGATCGAGTGTTTGGTTTGTAGTCCATATTCACAGGCAGGTCGATGACGTGCAGGCCAAGATTGCGGGCAAAGGTAACTGTTGTGCCAAATACTGAGCGCAATTGTGTCGAGAAACCTTCAAGGTGGAACAACACATAGCATGTGTGGAGAAGAGCTTGGACATGTTGAAGAGAGTTGGAGCCAACACGAGCCGAGTAGTCGATAAGGTCCAGTATGGCTTTGACCCATGATGTAGTTTGCTGCTTCGCCTCAGGAGACGAGGGGAACAATCCTGCATGACTAAGGTCGTGACTCGTCCAGTTCTGTCGCACGGTTGCGATTATGCTGAGAAGCAGGGCCAACGGTCCCGTGACTGCATCATCTCGCAAGTCCACATGTCTATACAGGTCATCGATCGTAGGTTGCAGCGACGGTAAGTAGATGATGTGACGTATGTAATCAATATCTTCAACGAACTTGTCTGTAATGAGCGTTGTCTCTGAATGTTCTGGGATCCAGATGCATTTGACGGGATTGGCGATACCAAATGAGCTGGCAGAAGGTTGGAATATATAGGTAATAGGGTTGGTAAGCTGGCTCAAGGTGCAAACCTTGAAGGTGAGGCTATCGGAAAGTGCAGATCCCTTTTTTTTTTCAACAAATTTAGTTGCGGGTGTTCACTGCCAACCGGGATGATATGAAAAAGACAGACTTACCAGAGAGCTCTGCACCTTGCACAGCTTCTCGAGGCTGACAGCATCGGCCTCTAGGTCCTGTATCTTGGGCATGATTCCAAGCGAGTGCCGGGGAGACTGAGCGTTGTCGGCCTCCGGGGCTACCGATCCCGAGCCAGGGGATCGCAGAGTTGTCCCGATGTTTGGGCGCTCCGCCAATATGTTCTCAAGACGAAGAAGGCGCTCAAGGATGTCAGGACTGGTAACATCGAGCTGGCGGTTGGTTGCTGTTACCCTCGCGGGCCGGGATTTTGGAGCGGGCTGCTGGCAAGAGACATTCCGGCTCACGCAATTGGAGCATGGAGATTCACGGCTGCAACGAAGCTTGCGAGACTTACAGGATAGGCATGATGCAGGCCGTCTATGGGTCGATGAACGGTTCGGATGCCGGTCGTGGCTCGGCATTTTCCTTTTTCCGCGGGCTTCTGAGCCCGGGTGATAAAAAATGAGCAAGCTGAATTGTGATTTCTCAAGTAATTTACGGTAGTAGCCCATCAGCTACCTATCCGCATGAGACTGTAGGCATACATGGTCGTTGGAGTCGGGAAAGTGGACTGACAGTGAGTTGAAGATACACGGGATTTGGTCAGGGGCTAGACTCCGCGGGCCCGCGGGGCCGAAAGCAAATTCTCCATTTTTTTAGCATATTAGCCAACCAAAGCATTTGAAGGCCATTGAAGGTGGGCTCAACGATGTCTGGATGTATCCCAGAAGGAGCAGAATCCACAGTGAATTGCTCCCAAGAGACGACAGCCATAACGGCCAGATATACATCCTAGACCAGCGAGATGTAGCTAGTGATAGAGGAGGAATGGCGTTGCGGTGTGGACGAGGCCATGGAATTCGCATCAAGCAATCCAGCCGCGGATATCTTCGATCCCGGAAATCCGACCACATGGAGAGATTATGGAGAGATTCTGTTTATTTAATTCCTTGATTTCCTCAAAGATGATATAGCCATTTGAATCTCTCCACAGCCCCATTGTCCGAACAAACATTGACAGTTCTCTCCAACCATGCATCACTCTCATGTTCCTACCGAAGCTACCGACCGCGTCGCCTGGATGCGTGGGACCCATGACAAGATCAAGCTCAACCCGGCCCAGACCGCGCATGTCGTCGTCGATCTCCAAGTCGGCTTCATGGGCGAGGGCTCCCTGCTAGAGGTACCGAACGCACGCGGCATTGTCGACAACGTCAATCGCGTGTCACAGGCGCTGCGGTCTGCGGGGGGAACTATTGCCTACGTCCAATACAAGTTTGATGCCGACGAGCCGCATCGGTGGGGATCTCATTACGACCGCATGACTCCGGATGCCGTTGAGCGGATTCGAGCGGCGTTCGGCGTCGGCAAAGAGCAGCACGCCCTCTGGCCCGGCCTCGACGTCCAGCCAGAGGACTTGATTGTGCCAAAGACGCGGTGGAGCGCCTTCATCCCGGGGACCTGCGACCTCGACGCGCTTCTCAAGGCCAGGGGCATCGACACGCTCATTGTCACGGGCACCACCACCAACATCTGCTGCGAGTCAACTATGCGGGATGCGATGCAGATGGGCTACAATGTCCTGTTCGTGCAGGATGGAAACGCGACCCGCGACGACGCGGTTCACAACGCCAGTCTGCTGAACATGCTTTTCTTTGGCGATGTTGTCGCCGCTGAAGAGGCAATCGCGCGAATTGAGGCAGGGCTACGTCCCGAGAATCCCAAGAATGAGGGGTCCGGCTTTTGAATTATTTTCCCATGTTTTTATCTAGAATGTTAGGATTTCCCAAGTGAGCCAAATCTCAAGATGACAAACTTTGTGAATTTCATGCTTAGTAAGATGTATAACAAGTATAGGATTTACCTACCTTAAAAGCTCTAATATAATCCATAAGTAAGCTGATTATATAAGTAAGCTGATCACTTCTACCTATCCCTTATATAATAAAGTTAATTAAAATAATAACAGCTAATTATCTATAATAATAATACTAGAAATTAATTTATTAGACTTCTTTCCAGCCTTCCTATAGGTTTAGATATTATAACTAGGCTTTCTATAATTACTATATTATAGAGTCTTTATATAAGCTTACCCTTTCTAATTACTATTTCTATAATCTTCCTCTCTTAACTGCTTATCTATATCCTTCTAATCTAATAGATCTATTCTATTCTATATAGTTAGGAACTCTCTAAGCTATATATAGCTTTTTTTAGCTCTTTAGAACTTACTTAGTATCTTATTTACTATATAAAGATTATAGATCTTAGTATATAAAAGAGCTATCTAATATATTATTATAATTACTCTTTTTATAAATTAATCTATTATAGTTAGTATAGAGATTAGAGAGCTATTTTAATAAACTAAGATTTAAGATTTAATATACTTAGACTATATATTTATCTTATATATAGTCTATAATATCTTTAGAACCTAGAGCTATCTTATTTTAGATAGGATCTCTAGTAGTATTAGTATTTATAGTACTATATCTAGCTTTAAAAGAACTCTTTTTAGATTATATAATATTAAACTAGATCTAATAAAGCCTATCTAAATATTCTTCTCTATAAAGAAGTAGAAGAAGATTATATAAAAGATAGAAAGAAATTTAAGCTTACTAATATAGGTAATATATATCTATATTAGATTTTTAATCTCTTATTTATATAATTACTTAAGTAATTTAAAGTAGCTAATATCTAGTAGCTAAAGAAAGTAGGAGAAGTAAGAAGGTATATAGATTATAATAATTTTCTACTCTTAATAGTAGATCTTAAAATTAGCTAAGTAATAGCTCTTATAGCTATTAAGAATTAATATCTAATATACTCCTTTTATATAAGGAGCTATATAGGAGTTAAAGTATTTAATCTAATTCAGATTAATCTTATTAGTAGTCTAGTTATTCTTAGTTATTATAAGCTATTAGTTATATAGTAGATTATATTTCTAATATTAGTTCTTAAGATAATATTAAGTAGTTAGAATAATAAAAGAAGGGATAGTCTAGCTAGTTATATTTACCCCTTAGATTATAATTATTTACTTCTAATTATTAAACTGAACTAGCTTAGTTTTTATATAACTCTCTGAGATTATAATTACTATTCCAGAGAAGATAATATCTATTATAAAGCTAGTCTTATTAAAGTTATATAAGTCCTTATCTAGAATACTATATTTTACCTTTAGATTATATATAAAACTAAACTAAGATATAATAATCTTTAGATCTTTATATTTAGCTCTCTAATAATTATATTTCTAAACCTAATATATATAAAGCTCTAGTTACTACTTAATAAAGTTAGAAATCTAATTAATACTAATAAGAAGTATATTATATATATATAGTAGGATATTAGCTATTTCCTTAATACTATATATCCTAGGAGGAAATATATATATAGATAGCTTAAGTATATATAAGATAATAGCTTTCTCTTTAGATTTTAATAAATTTATTAATTTTAATTAAGTATTATATTTTACTATATAATTAGTATATTAGTTATAAAAGATTATATATAGAATTTAATAAACTTTTATTATTACTCTAATATTTAATTTTAGATTTTAATTAAGAGCTTAGATTATAAGGATAATATTTACTTTATATAAAGTTATATTTATTTTATAGTAGAAAGTTATTTAATTATAAAGAGAAAGTTCTAATTTCTAAATAGAAGTAATTAGCTTACTTATATAATCAGCTTACTTATGGATTATATTATTTATAACTTGAACCTTCCTGTCTGAATATCACTCTGAACTGCTACAAAAGGCATTTATCTCTATCCATTGCAAATGACTGGATTTAATTGAATGAATAGACATCTGTTAGATGTTTTCTATTTTTTTTAAGAGAGAGTTATATGACATCGGCATTGTGGCGAGGAAACCATAGAGAAAGCATGCATTAAATGTGTTGGCGGTAATGAGATCGTTATTCAGCGAAGCATTGCCCTCAGCAGCATTTGTTACAAATTAGGCTCATTAACATACTGGAAAGGTAAGAAGATACTGCTTGTATTGATTTCTTTCATCCCTGTGGCCAACGGCTTATTATATGATATTAAACGTAAAACGTAACTACAGCAGATTGATAAAGCACCTGCACATTGAAGCTGGTGGGGCCAGTTACCAGTGAAAATGTGGTTTTGTGAGGAAAGGGGTCGATGTGTCATCACTACATTCCATCCAAATTGCGTATGTATTGACTGACCACGTCATGATACGGCTGATACTGCAAACACAACAATTACCATGGATTTCCCGAACTCTGTACCTACCCACCCTGACGCGTCATCTACATCGTCACATTTCTCAACCCTCTACCTCAATCGACCATAGTATAGTGTAACGGTCTTGATTAAACCCGTCGGATCGAAATTGATCTCAGCTTCTGATCAAAGGTAGGTGTAAATGTATTGCATTTAGGCTCTTTTCGCAGTTAAGCCTTGACTGGTCGTGCTGAACTTCGCTAAGCATGTGCTCTCAACATGGGAAGCTCAATAGTTCAGTTTTGACATTAATTGACGATTCATTGCGTCATTTATGAGAGGCAATTATCGCCGTCTAATGAAAGATTCCATTCACAATATTGCTTCCAACCGTCGCACCGGCACCAAAGATGACAGAGTGGCCGAACCGCTTGACTAGGTCCCCGACATAGTGCTTATGCTACAAATAGTGAGTATAGGAAGTAGATAACAAGGTTATAGAGTGAGCGTTCGAATGAGACGTACTTCTGGGTGGTCCTTGTGGGCAGGATGGTCCGGATTATCTCTGTTGGCTTTCGCTTCGTTGAGAAGCCTTTGATCCTCCTCGCTGAGATTCTGGTGCTCGTCCTGTCACCGATTGTTATTAGCACCGGTCTGCTATATTTTTCAAGAACTCGTACTACACACTCCACCCATGGCTGCTGAAGTTGCTTTTCGAAAATTACCAAGTCTTAGATAATCTGACTGGTAGTCCGGTGAATTGTAAGAAGGATAACCAAAGCACGTACATGTGCGAGCATCGGAAACATATATATTCATATTTTAGAGTTTGTTTCCCCGAAAGAAATTGTGCCTACGTGATAATGATGTAATGGCTTTGTCTTGTTACTAGTTTGTTGAACCTAATCTACGTCTTGATTACGGAACGGCCGGATGCGGAAAAAGGATACGATCTTAGGAGCTAAATGTATTGTGAAGTCTTTTCAATTCAAAACAGGCACCATTCCAGGCTATCCTTTTGCATAATGAGCGGACAGGTTCTTCGAAATTGAACCCTTTGCCCACACAGAGCGTGATTAGAGTAGAAAAAAGAGTTTAAGTTGGAGTAGTTGTTTCCAAAAGTTGGGGCAAATCCATTCGGAGAACCTGGTGCTGGCTGCCTTGGGGAAACATTAACAACGATGGACATTCTGGTGATCGATCTGCGACAATGGCCAAGAATATCAACAAGATTTGACCCCATAAAATCATGCAGATAGCATCTCTTGAGGACACCGAATGCGCACCGCGCTAAGGAGACTAGCTCATCGTGTTCTGCTGAACAACTTCTACTCATACTGCTTCATCCGCCTGTTACACGCAGAATACACCAAGCTCACCACCTTGCTGCCCATTTGATCAATTTCTGGATTTCAATTGCGTCTTGATATTGGCTGCCCTCCAAACCACCCCAATTTCAATGCAAAACGTCTCTATTAAAGGTAAGTGGGAGTGGAGTAGTTTGAGATAAGATGGCTTGCGATTATTCTCGTGGCATTTGCCGAAATTTTATCACGTTCTCCGCTTCTGAACATGCGCCGGCGCATGGAGTAAAATCAAGTTCATGTGTTTTTCTTCTTCTTTATGAACTGGTTTCTTCTTCTATGTTCAATACACTCTCAACATATTAATATGGGTTTCAACTCTATCACAATCATTGTCGCTCCTATCATGTTGGCGTCTACGATTACCGCGTCGGTGGCGGCCCTCTTCGCCTCCTTTCCCATGGTATCGACCGTGATTTAGAGAAAATGGCACCAATCTCTTTAACAACATTGGACCTGTTGATGAATTTGAAGGCGAGATTTGAAGGATGTTTGAGATCGTCCGCCGTGTCTCCGACACTGTCTATAAGGTCGTCAAAAACGAGCCATTCCCTTTGGTCCTTTCCGGCAACTGCTATGCGAGCGCCGCGATCATGGCTGGTTCTAATAAAGCAAGGCTGGAACAGACCACCTTGAGCCCAAGGCCCGGAGTCCTGTGGCTCGACTCACACGATGACCTTGATGCTCCTTCGACTCATGAAAATAGCTACCTCGACGCCGTGGCTGCCTCCATGATGACTGGGACGAGCTGGCATACACTGATGAAGACGGTTCCCGGTCACGAGCCAGTCGACGTCAAGCAGGTCCACTATTGTGGGCTACGAGACGTATCTGAGATACAAGCCAAGGCTGTCAAGGATGCGGGGATGGATGCAGTTTGGGGCAAGGCTGATGCCAAGGTAGATTTCACCGCCAGTCTTTCTCAAATTCCGGATCGGCCAAGCGATGCTACGCATGCCTATACCCACCTAGATTTGGATGTTTTGGATGAGTCGTTGGGTCGTGTGAACGAATTTCGTTCTCCCGGTGGCTACCTACCTCAAGATCTATTGAGCTTGATGCAAATGATCCCCCTCAGGGTCAATTCCGCCTCTCTTGTCGTCTGATCATAGAAGCCTCGGCTCGAGGGCGGTGACACAGTGGCTAGGTTTGTCTGTCAAGCAATTTACAGATTTATCAAAGGCATGCTTGCTAAAAACGCACCTGTTCAGACTTAACATCAATCTTGAACTCCACCTCCCGTAGAAGAAAACAGAATCCTAAAAGAAAACATTTGAGCGTAATGGAAAAAAGTGAATTGATCAAAGTCTTAGTCGTGCATTGCAATGTCGTTTTTATACGCCTGTGATTTTCTGTTTCTTTGTTTGGCCCTCGTCTTGTCTAATTGAGCGCCGACGCTATTTGTAAACATCGCTAGGAGAATCAAGAAGAAATATTGCATATTGATCGTTCTCAGAATTTAGATTTCTGCTCTGTAGATCGGTCGCTAAAAGTAAATGGTGCATAGGCAAAGCATATCCTTTTCAAGCAAGCTATTGGCGCCAACTCCAAATCGTTAAATACTGATCGTTGTAAGGGTGGTGTAAAGTACTAAGTACCATGGAACTCCGACGCCACTCCAAAATTCTTATTCTTTCAGGCCTGGATAAGTCAGAAAAGCAAATTGGTTATCATACCTCTTTGGTAACTGGAGAACCATATAGAATACGTGGCATATACCCAGACACTTTTCACAAAATCTGTATCTAAAAATAAAACCTATCTGGACTAGCTGCTTTTGCAGAATCCTGATGGAATCAAGTTTAGAATCCTTTGGGAGCTCTATCTTACTATGTCTGATTCACAACTATAACAAAGAAGTGGTAACGAAACAGTTGGTATAGGGAAAATCTCCCTTGTTAGAACACTGGTAGAATCAGAGCAAACTAACTGGCTCAAAGCGGTATTATTATGCAGGAACCCAAGTTTAATCTTACTAATTTTATAACTTACCGGGGCTATAACTATATCGGCAAAGATATTAGTATTTCTTAGGAATTATAATATAAGAACTAGTAAGTAAAGCTAAAATAATAATAGATAATAAAAGAAGTAAGTAAATATAATAAAAGTAAGATAGTTTTAAGATAATACTATATAAACGTAATATAATAAGCTTTCTATATTTTCTATAAGGTTATCTCTTATTATTATTATTATTTACCCTAGGTACTAGGTCTAGCTAGTCTCTAGTCCCTCTATCTAATCTCTAATAAGGGAAAACCTTATATACAGGATAAAAACCTTATTCTGCTTATTTCCTCTGTAGCTTTATCTAGATACTAATACAGCTCCTAGTTTCCTACCTTTCTTTATTTATCTACTGTATTTCTATCTTAGCTCTTACCTGCTAGTTAGTATAGATAGGGTAGTCTTTAACTTATATCTATATAGGATATAATTTAGCTCTATCTTAGGATTAACTTCTTATAGCTAGCCTTAAATAATTAATTTAGAGGGTATTTTTCCTATTATCTGATTAGTTAGTTTTATTTTCTGCTTTCTAGCTTTAATTTCCTTTTTAGGAGTTATCTAGATAGGATTTCTTTATTATCTTTATTTTTCAGTTTATCCGATCTATTCTCTATATACAGTTAGTATAGCTCTAGCTTAATTCCTTAGCTTTATATTCTTCTCTATTTAACTTTTTTAGTTATAGATTAGGGAAGTATAATTACTATACTGGTTTAGATCAGTTATAATATAGATTCCTTATATATTTACTATTACTTATATAACTTTTTAGTATTTAGTATATTTTCCTTATAGGTTCTCAGATTACTTAGATTACTTATACCCTCTTCTATATCTATAAATATCTCCTTTCCCCCTAACTTTTTTTTCTCTTTTCTTCTCTTTCTTCCTTATATAATTAGATAATTAGGTAAGTTCTTCCCTTCCTCTATATTAACTCTAATATAAATAAGATTCAGAATAGATCCTACTCTATATTATTTCTATACTTCTTCTATTCTATCTTACTCTCTACCCTCTACTACTATATAGATCCAGTCTGTTCCCTTCTTCTCTATCTTATCTCTAGCCCGGCCTCTAGCCTTTTCTAGTTCTTACTATCCTAGGACTAGTTACTAGTAGTATATTAGTAGTATAGCTACTAATAGGTATACTGCCTGCTATACTCTCTAGTTCAGTAAGTTTTCTATCTACCTCCGGATTAGTTCTATACTAACCCTATAGTAAGTCTTCAGTCTAAGTCCTGCTATAAGTATTATAGCCTTAAGATCCCCTACTTAAAGGTAAGTCTATATCTGGTCCTGATCTCTTCTAATCCTAACCTGTATAGTATCCTATTAATTATCCCTCTGCTAAGTATATAACTTACTTATAGATCTATACTATTAATATTACTTCCAGTACTAAGGAATTCGATATATATCTTATATCCCTATCTAGTACTCTTCTGTATTAGCTTCTATTCTAATCCGGGTTATAGTAAGCTCGATAGGATATACTTATTTCAGAGGCTATAGCTTACTAGCCTGATAAGTCTGCCTGTATTCTTATCTCTAGTAGTACTTAGGATTATACTAGTACTACTACCCTTAGTAGCTATATTAGTTCTGCTCTGGTTTTATTCCAGGCCCTATATAATAATAAGACTACTATTACTACCTTAGAGACTGAGGGTAAGAAGAATTACTAATAGATAATTACTCTTAGTACTTAGTTAGATATACTTAACTGAAATATCCTTAACTAGAACCAGCTCTTATATAGACTCCTGGCCCTTATAGCTATAGCTATATCGGAATTAGTTTAATCTATTCTTAATACCCTTATAGAGGTACCTCCTCCTAGTAGGATATTTAGTAAGAGTAAGGTTAAGAGTAGTAGTCCTAGTAGGTTTAAGAAGTATATTCCTAGTAAAGCTACTGCTAGCTATAATACTGATATATCTGAGAAGCCTTAGATTAGTTTCTGCTCTGGGTTTACCCTGGGCTCTAATTAGTTCTATAGCTTAGAGTCTTTAGTTTATATACTTAATACTAATATTCTATTCTTCTTTACTACTTTTATTCTTTTCTATACTTATTTAACTATATATAATAGTTCTATTATTATTTATATTAGCTAGGTCTAGGTATTATCTAATATATTTCCTATTTATATATAGATTAGGTTCTACCCGGGGTCTCTATATATTCCTCCCAGTATATCCAGCTTCTTAGTAAGTTTATATTATTCTAGTATTCTAAGATCTAAAACCTATCTTATAATTTTCTATATACTTTATTTTCAATCTGTTATAATATTAAGGTTATATTAGATCTGTATTAGTCTTTTAGTACTTAGTTCAGCTTATTAGGTTTTAAATCTAGGGTACTATAAGATAATATAATATATATCCTCCTTCCCTTCTCTGTATTAGTATATAGGTATATTTATCTCAGGGACTTCCCTTATAAAGAGAAAAGAGGCTAAGCCTATCCTTCCTATTCTTACTTATATTAGGAAGGAGCTTTTATATTTTTACAGGAGGTTATATCTCTTAAGTACCCCTCTATTAAATCTAACTATTATATCTACTGCCTATATTTATCCGGGTCTTCTTTATATTATATTTACTTCAGTTTCCTATCTAGCCCTCTATTTAGCTTCCAGATTAAAGTTTTTTCCTTATCTCTAGTACTAGCTCGCTCTTAGTAGCTTTACTTTTTAAAGTCTTTATCTCTACTAATTTATTATTAACTTAACTACTATACTAACTATAGTCCAGCTTATACTTATAATCCTTCCGGCCTTAAACCTCTTTTCTATTTCTACTACTCTTTTATTTATATAGAGATCTAAGGGTAGTATTAGTACTTCTATTTTAACTATTCTTAGTAGTATAGCTCTATATACCCTAGTTATAATCCGGAGATACTTTAACTACTATCTAGCTAAACTCTATATAGGTTCCTATAGTTTACTCTCTTTCTCTATAGGTTTATAGAAGATAGATACTCTATATATTATTATAGATCTTATTATAACTTTATAAACTGCTCTTACTTATCTATATAAGTATCTGTATATAGATAATATAATTCCAGTTAGAGCTAGTATCTATCTCTTAAGTTTCTTCTGGAGCTTTATTATATATATCTTCTATTAGAGTTTTCTATCTAGCTATATACTAAGGAATTTAACTGCTTTATATAGTTTAACCTATATACCTCCAGTCTATATCTAGTTCTTTATCTTTTTCCTTTTCTTTATAAAGTATATAAGCTTGCTTTTTATTAGGTTAAAGATTAATCTAGTAGCTCTTAACTATTCCTTATATTTCTTCTATATCCTGAGGAGTTCCTTCTTTACTATCTCTATATTAGATCTAAAGCTTAATATATTTATATTATTAGTAAACCCTACTACTAGTATATTAGGGACTTCTTTAAGGGTTTTATATAAAGTACTTATATATAGTATAAAGAGGATTAGTAATAGTAGGGACCCCTGTAGTATATCTGCTCGGACTAATATTACTACTATTATCTTACTATTAAATCGGAGCTATACTATTCTCCCCTCTAGAAATATTTTAATCTATTTATAGATATTCTTAGGGTACCCCTTTACTCTAGCTACCTCGAGTAGCCTTCTGTATAGTACTATATTAAATATACTGCTTATATCTAGAAGCAGTAGTATAACTAATCCTTTAAGTCTTTATACTATTCAAATAGTTTCTATATATATTTTTAGGACTGCTTCTATTAACCTATTATATCTATTTCCTATCTGGCTATTAGGGAGGAGTTTATATACTTCTGCTATAGTTATAATATAGTCTCCTAGTACCTTTTCTATTATCTTGTCTATTATACTTAGTAGTAATATTAGCTACTATTCTTTTAGGGTCTTTCTTTCTGCTAGTATTTTTCTGGGTTTCCTTAGTACTATTATAAGGGTAGTCTGGAACTGTACTGGAAAATAGCCTAGTTCGAAGCTCTTAGTAGCTAGGTATATAAGTATTTAGTAAAACGGTTTTCTATATACCTTTAGGAAGCCTGTTAATATTCTATTCTCTTCTAGTGCTTTCTATAATAATATATACTTAAGTATATTCTTAATCTCTTTAGGGGTAATTATTATTTATATTAATATTAGATCTCCTTTCTTTTATTTTAGTCCAGGGAGTAGTTCTTACTTATATAATTCTTTTAGGAAAAAGATCCCTACTAATTTTTATACTTTTCCTCTGTAGGTTTATATTAGTTCCCCCCTTTCTCCTATTATATCCAGTATCTTTAGGACCTTATATAGTTCCTAGCTTCTTAGTCTGGCCTATCTCTCTAGAGCCTAGAGCTTCTTATTATTCTAACTTATTTCTTCTAGTATAGTTTACTATTACTCTTAGTCTGATTCTGATATAGTTCTCTCTTCTGATTTCTCTATCTCTTTTAGATCTTCCTACTATTACTAGCTAGGATCTACTATATATTTCCTTCAGACTGCTTTAGTTATTTTAAATATCTTAATAACCTTAGGAGTTTACTATTCTTTTCTATCTCTGGATCTAATCCAGAGCCCTATAGAGACTACTCTATCTATAATCTAATTCAGATAATTAATAATAAAGTCTACTAGTACTTCCAGTTATATAATATCTTTAACTTCTAGCAGTAGGCCTCTAAACCTATTATAGGCTTTAGCCTCTACTAGAGGGATATTAGTTCTCCTCTACTTCCTAATATTCTCTACTATCCTGATCTCTCCTGCTTTAGATCTATTTCTAAACTAAACTCTTTATACTATATAGTTAGATCCTATTAGTATATTATCCGAGCCTATATATCTTACTATTAAGCTATATATAGCCTATATTAAGTTAATTATACTATTCCTCTTCCTATAGCAGAACTATATATATTCTCCTCTTAGTATTAGGAGGCCTAGTCAGGCCTATTCTATTACTATTATAAATTTATCTATTCCTATAGTCTTTTAGTTGTATTTATCCTATAGTAGATTATAAATATTTATATCCCTAAGAAATATATTATATTTATCTAGATCTAGTTTACTAAGAGCCTGGATTAAAGACTGGATAGAGACTGGGTCTAGTAGGTTATATATATTCTAAATCTTAACCTTATACTTTAGTATTCTAACTATATACTAGTTTTTATTTACTTCTGCTTTCTATATCTCAGGTCTATATATATTTTATATATATATTATATATCTCCCTCCTCTATATATTATTATATATTCTGATCTTACTAGGTATACTGGGGTATTTTTATTCAGGAGTATTATTATCTCTTATACTGCTATTATATTATATTTAGCCTGGGCCTGGAGTACTTTCTTTATATTACTTAGTATCTTTCTTATATTCTATATAACTATATCTAATATTATTAGAACAGGCTTAGTTAGAATCCGGTTATTACTTATCTTAGGGGGCTACCCGGGTTTAGTATATTTCTATTTTATATTTAGTTAAATATACTAGTAATATTTACTCCTTATATTATATTAATAATAGTTCTTACCTTTCGAGGTATTCTGATTATAACTTTTAATCTTTAGTTAGTTATTCCTACTGAGCAGTCTAGTCCTCTTTTTAGCTTAGCTATTAGATCGGATAGGGTTTATTACTACTACTATATAGTTTTAACTCAGTATCCGGAGCTTAGCTCTATATTATTTCTTTTTAGTATTATAAATTCTATCAGGCGATTACTATATACTTCCCTTATTTTCTCTTTCTCCCTACTTAGTACGGGGTAGGCTTATACCCAGGCTGGATATAGTCTTTTATACAGTATATATATCAGTATATCTCCTCTAGCCTCTACTGGGTAGAGCTCTCCGGTTAGATATATTCCAGCTGTATATTAGCTATACCTTGCTTACTTATTATAATAGTATACTATATAGCTAATCTTATAGTAGTTATAGTATTAGTATAGTTATACAGCTTTATAAAAGAGTTCGTATTAACTGATTTTAATATCTATAATTATTCCCTATTTATATAGTATATTTACTTCTTCCGGTAAGACTATACTTAGGATCAGATTCTACCTTAGTATAGTTTTATTTTATTTCTATATTAGCTTTACTTTTATAATTTTAACTCGGTTTATCTAGCCTATTTCCTTCCAGAGTACTTTAGTATTCTAAGTAATTATTATAGCTCTAATTCCTTTTACTACTACTATATATTATCTCTAACTTAGTTTTACCTCCAGACTGAATACTATCTTTATCTATTCTTTATTCTTTATATTCTATTTAATCTCCCTATAGAATATAATAATTATATTATTATTTCTTAGTTTTCTAGCTATAACTACTTTAGAACTAGTCCTCCTATATATATTAATCGCTTTAACTATATCCTTTAGATCTCTATCTCTTATATTTATTTAGTAGTCTTTAGTTTAGATAGTTATCTTATAGGTATATTAGGCTAGGATAGGCTTTAGTTTGTTATTAGTATATATATATATTAGGTTTATACTGAATATAATCTGAATCTAGATTAGTTCTAGGCTTTCTCCCTTATTATTAGATATCTTCTTAATTATTTCTCAGATAGTTTTAATAATTATTATCTAGATACTCTTTATAGCTTCCTAGATTATTACTTTTATACTTAGTTCTATATATTTATATATTAGCTCCACCCTGAATAGAGGTTTTATAATTTACTATATCTGCTAGGCTACCCTGTTAGATACTAGTTCAGTAATTTATCTATAGGCTTTCCTTATAGGGTCCTCTTTAATATACTTCTCTCCTAGGTTTATCTCGGGTTCAGTATATCTCCGATCTGATAGAATATTAGAGAGGCCTCTCTAAGGGTAGTAGATATTTAATTCCAGGCTATAGTACCTACTATTAACTTCTATTAGGTAGTATTCCATACTATTAGGTTATCTTCAGTATAGTATCAGTTTTAGATCGATTTGACTCTATAGAATTAATTACTGGGTTTATTTTTGATTTTAGTTAGCTCCCTGTAGCTATATCCGGTTTGCAAGCAAAATCACTATTATTATATATTATCTCTTATTAATAAATTAAATAGAGGTGCTAAGCTTCAAACAGGAAATTAATAAAATATCCTAACTAGTAGAAATAAATAAACAAATTATATTTATATAGCTATATAGCTAATTATTAGATATCTCACTAGAGAAAGACTAGTATTGGTAATACTTCTCTTCTAGCGAAGAGAAGCTAGAGAAAAGGAAGATAGTGATTCTGTACCCGTTGGATTGTGGATAACAGAATATTTACTGGTTGCTCCATGTTCAAGTAGTTTTTTGACCATAGGCTGGCTATAAGCGTTGTGAAGAGCTGTAGAAATTGTTGTATGGGACCTGACCTCAACTACGTCATGGCTCTTGTTGCAGATTCCACGGAATCTATGGTCGCTGTTGTACATCGTAGTACTGTATCTATAATCGGGATATCCATAGCTAGAATGGTACGATAGAGGCCTCATCGTAGCCCTGTATCCATCATTGGAAGATCCATGACTACAAACGTACGATAGAGGGTTCTTGATTATTTCCCGTGAAGTAGAGTGGCTGGTGGAGGGTTTGTTGACTTTGGCTCCCCAATTGAGTAGTAGGCTCACGATGATCAGATCATCTCTCTGGGCGGCGAGGTGAAGTGGCGTCATGTTGTCCCAGGTCTGGTACTTAACACCGCCGCAATTCCACTCCTTGTGACCATTGACCTCAATGTCAACATCGGCCCCGGCTTCCAGCAGTGCTCTCACAACCCCCACGTGCCCTTTCTTCGTTGCCCGTGATAACGGTGTGTCTCCACGGATATCCCTACGGTCTGGGTTGACATCATTCCTGGCCGCCAGCACCCGTACTACGGCCTCGTGCCCGTTTTCTGCTGCCAACAACAATGGCGTGCGGCCGAAGCTGTCTTCCACATCTGCAGAAGCTTCACAGAGCAGTTGCACTGCGCTATGAATCCCAAAATATGCAACCAAGTGTAGTGGTGTTAGTTGCCTTGTATAACCCTGCCATACTCCCTCAGAGCCTAGCATTGTCTCTAGCAGTTGTGCAGAAGCTTCAACCTTCAACGGTTCTCTGAAGAAACTCATAACCTCGTCACATAATACTAACGATTGTCGTACGTGATGGCCCCAGTTATGAGCGGCATAGTGAAATAACGGGTTTGACTGGAGACGCTCTGTAAATTCCGCCTTGCGAAGACAAGCTCCGCTCCCAAAAACGGCCAGTGAGAGGTACGAAAGGCATATAGTACCGAAATATCGATGCGCGTCGCACCACGCTGCATGGTTCTTATGTGCATCAAACACAGTGACGCTGTCGGGAATCGCGGGATTGACCAAGGAGGAAAGGCAGGCGGTGTTGTCACGCAAGTACTCTAAAGCTGTGTGATGGACCAGCCTGATGATTCCGCTGTCTTCTTCGACCATCACCAGGCCCATGCATACAGTGACAATAATGAAGCCATTAGGAATGTCACCTTTGTCAAGTAAAGAGTGGCTAGGCCTCACGGCAAGAGCATCTCCAAGCTCTTTCATTGTTAGGGGCCTCTCTGCACACGCGAGAAGTGTGAGAACCTGGTTTGCAAGACGCAGGCGTGGCGGAGGCTGAGTTCTTATTCTCTTGATAGTTTTCCCATATGCCTCATCGTATGTAAGTGGGCCTTTTGGTAGTGACTTCAGCTCGCGAAGAATCTCGTTTCGAGTAGTCTTATCAGCAAGTGAGTCTATGTAAAATCGTGCGAGGAGGAATCTACCGGACGAGTTAGCCGGATAGCGCCTGACTCAAACTGTCGGGAGTTTACATACATCCCATGAACGCTTTCGGTAATTTGCTGCTTCATTTCTGCCCTAAAATCCCCCTGAAATACTTCATCATCTGCTTCGACTGCTACCAGCTCGGATGCACGCTGGTCAATGTATATGTTCAAATCTTGGACTGTGGCCCGAATCTCTGCGAAGATGCCTTGTTCTAACCTTTTTTTCATGTCTTTATCAGGGCGTGAAGTAATAAAGAGATTTGCGCCAGTCATATTCTGGATTTGCAAGAGTTGAGACACAAGTTCTTTGGCGTCCGGGCATTCATCTAGAGCATCAACTATAATAAAAACTCTCTTGTGCCCAGAAATAACACGTACTATTGCTTTCGAAATATCAGCAGTCTCCAAAAAAAGTACGTTGTCGTGTTGGTGCTGGCTGTAAAGGTCCCGCACGCCATCAGGTGTGATAGCCAGCTTCGTAGTCAACTGTTTCAAAACACTGACTAGTATATCTATTGTCATCTGCTGGGCCCGTTTCTGGAAGTCGCAGTATATATACGCGACACTATGGGAGCCTTGCTGGAAATGGGTCTGAAGATGTTCAACGACGACAGATGTCATGATTGTCTTCCCTGCACCGGGAAACCCCTGGCAGACCAGCGTCTGGTTGGATGCACCGAGCCACTTCTGGAATTCTGCCGAGTTGAGGAACCATTGACCAGTTCCTGGGTGTCGAGTCCTGATATAACGATCTTGCTGAGGGCTGTAGTTGATTGTTATCAGCCAGCGAAGAATATCTCCACGTAATTTTTCTTGAAAATGTCAGTCCCCGAAGAGAAAAAGATGTGTATATGTCATGTTGTCAGTGTGTATCGAATACCTAGCAGGTGAAATATTGAGAAATGAACGTGCTGATTTAATAAACCCAGCTAAGAGTTGTCATGATGTTTTTCGTCGTGTAGCGTTGTTGGGGGATGAAAACAGGCGATAAATAAACTTACCATTCGCTGTAACTATTACATGATTTTTGAGGTCGCTACCAATCTCATCCATCTTGTGTTCAACTATGACTTATCTTTAGACATTTTTCCATGTACGATGATGAAGCCAGGACTCACGTGCATCTAATACCTTCCTCATAAGCGCCGTCTCTTTCACTTCTTTGCCATTGATCCTCCGGAGAAGTGCTCTGGCATAGGCTGCAGCGACTCCCGCGGCATAATTTTGCCAATCATCGTGTTTGTGGCTGTCGCCGTAATCAGATATTCCTCGAACTACCAGACAGGGGATTTCATCCATGATGCCAGCTGCTTCCATTTCGAAGCACACGGCATCATCCCGGCCTCGGCGTAAGCGGTCCTTATCTTCATTGTTTTTTATAACACCGCCACCTGAGAGTATGAGACCCCTGTGGACCTTGGGTTGTTCACGGATAGGGCGACTTATGACTTTATCGGCGCCGAGTTCCTTGCATGTGATACAATTATCACCTTTGACATGGCTGAAGTCCGCCTCAAAGAGAATGTCCTCACTCGTTGGGCGAAAAAATGATGGTTGTTTGGTGATTCTCGAAATTATCTTCTCTAGCGGACTCTTCTGCTGTATCTCGAGCTCCTCCAATGCACCGTCTGCGTTAATCAAGATGGGAGGGGGTTTATCAAGGCAGCCTTTCAGGATGAAACTTCCATTCAGCTCGTATTTGCCGAAATCGTATTGGATGACTCCAGGGTGATCGTCTCGAGGAATGCTGACGGCGATGTCACCAAGACGGATATCGCGCTTAGCACTGGGAATGCCGGCCCCAATACCGACCATTAGAGCGAAGCGGATGTTCTGAAACTGTTGGGTGACAGTCGCGGCGCATTGAGCGGCTTTCACGGGGCCTACTTGAGGTCGCGCTATGACAAGGTGGTGATCTTTGATACGGCCAAATGAGTATACGTATTTTGCTGGACCCCAAGTAAATGGGTGGCAGTCGAGTTCTTCATCCAGGCAATACTTGACTGCCACGGATTCGAATGGAAGGGCACAAAATACTGCCACCGTAATATCATCTGGAGGAATCTTCCTCAGTTTCTCCGTGTCGGATTCGTCGTCTGTATCTCTCGAAGCTGGGCCCAGGCGTATAACTTCTTTGGAAAGTCTTGACCCCTGCATAGATACTCCAGGATGTGTTTCCTCCATTGCTAGTTCTCTCTCCTGTTTGGGCATCTCGGTTCCATTTTCTGATCGCTCTGCCTCCCTATACATAGTTCCTAAGAGTCTAGTGAGCCTCTAGCTCGTTCTTTGAGTGGTAATTATTGAGAACGGAAGATGGAGTCAAACGCGTAATTTGATACGCGCTGTGTTGATAAAAGGCTTTTGATGAGACGATATCTCCTTCATTCGTAATGGTAAGCAAAACCTGCGTTAGGCGGCGATTGATGCCTAATTTATTAAGCTGAACAGAGGGGATGCCTTGTGGTCAGCCTGCCATAGTAAAGTGCAAATATCACTGTACCCGCCAATTACAATGTGCTGTCTATAGTGGTATACAAAAATGACGTGATATACTGTACCCGACTTTAATTTGCCTCAACTCAGCGCAGTATTCTTGCTATAGATATAAATATTCTGTTTTAGGAGCCTATTTACTCTCTTGATATAAAGACCTTATTTTATGGATACGGAAATTTTGCCAGCGCTAAGATCTGGACCTTCGATGTCAGCCGAGAGCGAGGATCTTTCGAGTCCAAGCAAGGCTTTGACAATATGCTAAAATTCACATAAAGGGGGTCGAAGGTTCGGCAGCTAATTCGTAAGCCTGCTTGGGCAGCTAGATCAGGGCTGCAGTTACCGATAGATACTTTTTGATATATAGTACCGGGGTTAGATATAAAATACAATAGATTGGATTAAAACCCAAATGGGTTGATTGGGAGATCTACTTTTGCCTAGGTAGTTCAAAGTAATTGAGATAACTATATAGACAGTCACAGATATAAGACCATCAAACTAAAAAAATCACATGGGAGTTGGATATGTATAAACTAGGACAGGGAAAAATTATAGTTAAAAAAATAAAGATGTAAGCATGCCCTTTAAAGCTGATGGTTTTCGAATCTACCGACAAGCGGAAATGCCTGTTTTTAAGCTCCAATGACAGGCCCCGCGCAAAGCCCCAATTCACTACTAAGCTGGGTGTGATAGCTCCTCGTCCTTCCGTATTTTGGCAAGTCGTTTTCGTGCGGTAAAGGAGCCATACATTGTCACTATTGAGGAAATCAAGGGTAACATAATGAACAGCCCAACAAGCGCGGCGCATAAAATCATGGCGAATATTGCGAATCCGTATGCTGCTTGTTGAAGATTAAGATCTGGACTTTTTGAGTGCGCTGACAATGATAGATTGAAAGCCGACAGAATAATAACAATGATACCAAATGCTGACACTGCGTTATTGTACTGGTCCATATAAGGCACATAGCTTTCGGTCAAGGCATGGGGGAAGCCTTGAAGGATGCTGGATATGGAAAACTTGTAAGGCGAATATCGGTAAATGGTGTCGAGCCGATTCAACCGCAACTCGCCATATTGGAATCGTGTGTCCATGATATTAGAGTCCTTGGGGTTGAGATTTGGTAGTATTATACGGGCAAATTCCGTCCAAGCTCGGTAGTCCAAGTTCACATTGACCAGACGACTTTCTTGAGCCACCTGTAAATCATGACCAAAGCGAATGAGGCCACAATAAGAGTATAGAAGCCCGCATGCTGCTCGGTGTAATTGAGGTTCGCAAGATATGTTCGCCTCCCAGAAATCGTAGTTGAGCAGAAAGTCCGGGAGTGGTTTGATAAATATTCTCGACTTCGCCCAAACAAGATGGAGGTCCAGTTCTTCTGCAATTACAATTTCACGGCGCAGGAACTTCTGGTAGTACAAGGAGCGTGGAGCTCCATGGACGGCGATTAGCCATAGCATCTTCCGTATGGCATTGAATCGAGAAAGATCGAAAAAAGCGCAAAGAAATCTATGCACATCGTTTCTATGCTCAAATCTCAGTAGCTGCAGTTCCCTCGCTAGAGGAGATATATCGTTGAATGCCGCAGGGAGAACTAGGTCGTCCCTAGCAATCAAGGAAGAAGTCGGTGGGAATGGGGGCAAATATGCTGGCGAGGCGATCTTCTTCTCGTACTTGTCCATAGAGAATGTAGTACGACGACTTTTATGAGAAAAATTATAGTTGTAATAAAACGAGTCTGTTGAAAGCTCTTTCGAGGAGTTGGAAAAATACTGTGAACGACATTAACTCGCAATTTATACTTCATAGTCTCGCAGTGGCTAGTATAGCTGACTATATTATGACTCGTTAATATGTAACCAGGTGTTTCATAGTCATAATTGCATCATCTTTCGTCATTATTATAATTTTCCACGACTGGAATATGTTAAATGAGTGAGGGTATATCAATGTCGTATTTGTGACATAATTCGTTAGGGTAAACTTAATAGGCGATATTTACTTAGACTGGCGATATTCAGCAACCGGAAGTATCTACCGGCAAACGGGGCTTGTACAACGGCCGAGTTTCATTATATGCCTCGCACAACTAAGACCTCAAGACTACTCAGCTTGTTGCTGTCGCCACCTAACAGCTTCCAGCTTTACAGGTAAAAGGGATAAATTGAGACTGTTGCTTCTAACTAGTAATTACAGAGGGGATCCGTGGCCCCTTATATCCCTGGGAATCCCTGGATCGTATTCTCATGCAAGTAGCCCAGTCTCGGGCTCGCAAAGTCCTTCCGCTATCTCTCCGGCTAGTAATTGCTAGGGATATTCATATCCGGATGACCGGGGTTATGACTTTCCTTCAATCCGTGTGTTCAATAGGATCAGAACGCTCTTCGAGGCATCGGGCGCGCGCCGATCTCTCGATATTAGGTTGATCGTCAAGCCAGCAGGTTCGCGATCGATCCTACCGGCTAGGGTTGCTCGAGCCGATAGGTCAGGGCTCTGACGATCGGGTCCAGTTAGGTTGTAACCTTCTAACCTAGCCAACTGACCCCTCACGGATGATCTGATCCTTCATATCGCATACCTATATTGGGGTTAGTAGTAAGGCGCATGTGGATAGGAACGGACGAAAAATGCGCTTATGAGGGAGACGGACTCAAGGTGCCGGTGCGTTGAACACCACATACGATGACCTTCATGGGCACCACCCGGTCAAGAATTCCTGCAGTCTTCATATTGTCATGAGAGACCAAGAATCAAGCTTTTCTGGAACGAGAAGCATTTAAAAAAAAAAACTTTTGGGGAATGTCCGGGGAGTGGTAAGGTGATACGACGGACACCAGTGGTGAGCGTGGGCCGTGTGGCCAGGATGTCGTCGGCCATCGGGAGACCGAAACCGCCGCTGACAATTTCCCGGGACGGATGGATCTATGGATTATGTTCTGTGGGTATATATGTGTTGTGGTATACCTGCAAAAAAGTGTGAATGAAGTGTGCGAGTCATTGAAATAAGGTGTCCTCGCCAACGGTGAGAGCAAAGGACTACAAGAACCATGGCGAAGTAACAAGACAATTTCCAAGCCTTCGGAAACGGAGATTGAATCCGAGCGTTCGCCGAGCTGTTATTCAACCTTCCGAGCTCTGGCTTGTTTATCGGGAAACAGAAACGCGCGGCTGCAAGGATCGCGGCAAGTTGCCTCTTGGAGCAGAAGGCGGGTCTGCAATGCGCAACAACAGAGGGCAAGAACAATTACCCTGTGCAAAAATTAATACGGTAATTTGGTTAATTTGAGAGTAGCCTTTACGTTCTAACTCTTTGATACAACATAACTTTCTGAGTTCCGGCAATTGGAAGGAGCAGGAAGATGTATACCAATGTTCTTCAATCTACCCTAAGTTCCGACACTCCTAACAAACAGTGTACATTCTCTGTGGACAATGAGCAAATGCTCGAGGCAGGGGTCGACCGAAGTTAAGAAAGACCGTTCTATTTAATTATCCTATTTTCATTCCACCCCTTGTTCCTTTGGTCCCTGTTCTGGTCTGTATTGCAACAGCTCCTCTGACATGGATCTCGCTTCATAATTTTTAGCTCAACGAATTAGATCAGCTGAAACTGTACGTACATTTAAGCTCTACTGTGATAAGAGGCCTCGCTTGTCAACGTCTAACTAAGATGATGGAAACAGAGTCAACCCTTCGTTTAATTCTCGTTCTATATTATAGAACCTGTCACATAGGCATATCTAATGTTTACGGGTTTTAAGGAAGTAACGGAGCGAGAATATGTTTTCAAATGAACGCTGGCTTGAATAGATCACGTCCCCAGACTTCGAAAGTTCTCAATTTCAGTATCTGGGTCGATTCCCCCCCAATTCCATCCATACTGAAGCATAATCATTTGATAAGCTGAGACGTGGCGGTATTGTCATCTAATTGGCATCTAAATGAATAATAATGGGTTGATGTCGCACTTTCCAGTAATAAATTGTTCAACCATACGGGTCAACTCCAGTGAGCCATCCTGGATCAAACGCCGAGAGAGTGGCTCTCCATTCTGTTTGGCAATTTGCCTCTGTGCAATCTCGACAGCCTCCCCTCCACGGAGTGCTGACACCTGGGTTTTGCATTTCTTCAATCTCACCCTTTGTGCCAGCTTCCCATGCAACATGTCGGCAATAGACTCCCATTTCCCACTTGACAAGTTCACATCGCTCATGAAGAATCCAACGAGTTCATAGCTTAAGTTCTGGCAAAAAATCTCTAGTTCTCCCTGTGTGAGAGACAGATAACTAAGTGCCACTCGTTGTAAATTTGGCCATGGGGAAGTAAAGATGTTGGACTTCAACGCATGGTACGTTACACCGCGCCTCCTGTTGCTTAGGTGGTAAGGATGAGTATAGTGCATGAGGAATCCAAGAGAGAGCTTCAGGTTTATAAGACGAGGACTAGCAAGCATCGCCCTTAGATAATTCTCGATAATAGGCATGTCTGGTTCTTCAATAGGTCGAGACCATTCGGTGTCTACTTCGCCCAATGGGATTTCGAAGGAGCGTAGATGCTTGGAGAACGCAAGAAGCTGTTCCCAGGCACCCTCTGGTCCCTCATCAGGAGTGTATTCTTCTGGGCATAGTTGTTGAAACGAGCGCAGTCTCTTGAAGATGGACGGTGTGAAACGATCGACTGATACACCTTCTCTGTGTAGGGCGAGCGGTAGCTCGCAGATAAGGCGTGCTGTTTTGATCCCGACAGGAAAATGCAATCCTTTTAAGCCAGCCTACTGGTGCGGCCTAGAGATAGATTTTGCCAGTACCTCCGTGGATGTGAAAATTTGGGGGGTTCGTCTAGTTCCCGGCATATGTGGTATGCCATGCACATCCTTATATGTGTACCTCAAGTGACCGCTATATAATTTCAAGTCTATGGATGATCTCAATTGGGAAAGGCTTGTTGTCAGAGTGTGTGCAAAATGTCCGTGCTGGAGGAGATGAGTCTGCTCTAGGTGTAGGTTTCTGTAGTTCAGGTAGCCGCGGCGGAGAGCGTCGACGTATTGATAATCCTCCCTCTCAAGTCCTGTATTTGCCTCTATCAGCCCTTCGTCTTGGCAAAAGGAGATAGTACTTGATATGAGTATATTCCCCTTTCGAGTGGGCTCAGCTCGATCGTCGATATCCTTATATTCATGCTTACAATAGGAGAAGAAGTCGTTTACCTCGGATCTAACGACCCTGAGGAATCGTATTTTATCCATGGCGATATTTTCAAAGTAATAATTGAGATTCAACTTAATGCCTCGAATCCCACTCCTCAGTGATGGTGATGCAGAGATCCCTCGCAATCGATCAAGAGAGGTACTATCTACGTTTAAATGCAAAATTGGATATAGGAGCGGTGATGCCAGGGTATTGAAGAGACGATAGACAAGTCGCGCATTTTTGAGGGTTTCAAAACGTCTCGATCTCGCATTTGGCTCGTCTCTCTCCTCAACCCTCCAATACATGCCTCCCTGAATTAAAAGTGCGGGGTGTTTAAAAAAGTCGAAGACATTCGCCAGAAGTTCCAAAGGGAGATCAAGTAGGTTCAGCGCCCTGATATCATGGCGCGAGAGCTGGTTTGCTCTGTTCCTAAGGAACTTTTCATGGATCTCAGCCTATCGTCGGATAGCCAGATAGCGGCGGGTGAATCCTGCACTCGTAGCATCATACTCTGCCAGTAGCTCGACCCTGGTTTCTCCTCCCATCGTACCAAAAGACAGGAGCCATTTCTTCCAGTCCGCACTCGGATCCTCCTCCGGACTGTACGTATACTTTAGGAGAGCCTGGTCAAGGTAGCCAAGCACGAGCGCGTCCTCGGCCTCAACACTGAGATATATTAGCGGATACTCGGACTCTTTACCATTCAGGCCCGGGCCCATCCACTGCTGCTCGGTTCTCCGTAAGCTACAGGCACGAATAACAGCCACGAAAAGTTAAAGGCGGCACAGCTCGTCGTAGACACCCGTTAAGTCAAGGTCTCTTGACAGAGGCCAGCTCTCGCGAAAAGTCAGGACAGAGTGTATGCTCGTTATGACGGATAGCCTGGCCGGGGGAAGTTCAAGATAACTTTGCTGCCAGTCAAGGCTTAATGAACAATATACCCCGCTTTGCCAGTATCTTCAAAGCGAATTTATTGGGAGATGAAATTAGCATGACGAATGCCCAGTCAGGCCGTCACTCTATTGTCTCAGCATGATTAGTCATGGGCGTGCCACCTGGAGATACTAAAGCGAACCAGACCGATATCGCGACGTCACATGAATGTTACCCGAGAGCGTCACCGTGTTTATGGACCTGTTCTAGATTTTGTAGGTATATAGTAAGAAGGAAGTATAGATAAGCATTTTTTTAGTACACAATCTAGTCTTTGGATATATTGAATAGAATATAAAAAAAAACCCTGAGGTCATGAAATGAATTCATTTTAACAAAAGTAATTCTAGAGTTTAACCCCACACAATCCAGCTACTGTTCACTACTTAAGCACCATAATAAACCCTTGATGTACAGGATAATACACAAAGATTTGCCGTTAATGAGAAAAATCATTACACTATTCTAGACATCTACCATTGCATCTGATATTGCCTACTCAGAAAGTCTTCTATCAAGTTCCGTTCGATTGTATTATTATCTGACATGATCCGTGACTAGCGCCACTGATAATGGCCCTGGGCGGGAATCAAGAGTGGGATAAGCGGGAGTCTCTCCAACGCGGGCAAGCAGAGATTCCCCGTCCAACTCGAGGCTTTGGGGAGGGCGAACGTCTCAATATAGGTAGATCATAGCCGCGATAACAGCAGATTACGGCCTTCGGCCCTTGCCCTTGCGATTATCACGTCCACGAGCGAAGAGATACTCATCATACGTAAGACCTCTTCGGTGCTTAGGTGGTCTAGGTGGCGGCGGTAGGGGCTTGGGGATTGGCCTAGGGTTCAGCTTCGGGTTCGGCCTCGGGTTTAGCTTAGGATTTAGCCTAGGCTTAGACCCCTCACGCCCGCGAGCGAAGAGATATTCACCGTCATAAGTGAGACCTCTTCGACGCTTGGGTGGTCTGGGTCGCAGCTCAGGTGGCGGCGAGGGCCCAGGTGGTAAAGGCCTGGGTCGTGGTGAAGGCTTAGGCTTTGGCTTCGGATGAGCCCCACGAGCAAAGAGAGAGTCCTCGTCGGGCATGTCTCGAGCCTCTAGCTCGCCCTCTTCATCTCTCTCCTCGAGCTCAAGCTCTGAAAAGCGGACTACAAGCTCAGCGTCAGCATCAAGCTCCACGTCTCGGGAGGCAAGATCAGTAGCTTCATCCTCAGCAGCAAGGCCGCGAGCGACGAGGCCAAGAGATAAGACAGCTGCAAAGCTGAGATTCTTAATAGCAACCATTTTGAAAAGCTACTGGAAGAAAACTGCTCTGGAAAGTTCTGAAAATTGACATATAACTTAGAAAGAATATAAGGAAAAGATAAAGAGAAAAAAGGAGAGTAAAGTAAGGGAGTAAACACTGCGTCCGAAAAGAAATACTGTTGTGCTATTTCTTATTTATCAAAGAACAGAAAACCTAGTTTGTCTAGAGGGTTCAGTTCTTTTATAGTTCTTCCAAATTCTATCAATAACAGCTTCACATAACAAATATGGCCCAAGAAGAGCAGGTGTCCGTGAAGCGAGCTCAGGTACTCGCATCTCACTGGAACATAGCTTGCCACTGCAAGTAGTGATACCATCTAACCTGGTTCTGCGACGTGCAAAGTCGTTCTAGGAATAGTGAAGAGTGACTGAGATAGCGTATACAGCTAAAGGACGATGTCAAGCAAGCCTAGTTCGCCTGACACTCCTCGGTCTCTTTCCAGATTCGGCAAATCGGTCCGTGAACTGCATGCCAACCCGCTCGGCGGATTGCGCTTTGAGTTAGCGCCGATCCTCCAAGTTCAGAGACTAGGTACGTACAACCAAGCGTCAAAGAAGCCTCCCATACTTCGTAGGTCTCTGTTAGGGACCCATGGTCAGGATTTAATGATAATGAGATGTATGTTGTTAGCAGACGGACTCATTCAAGTCTAACTCATTTGATACATTGCAGTGCCTCTGACAAACGCCGGGGAATTGATTCTTAACTTCCTCCTAACCCCCTTAGCAGGATATATCCTCGGATAGATCTAATTCCTCAATTTGAATATCGGAGGGCATTGCAGAAGCTCCTTAGTGATGTTACCATAGCTAGCATATATGATGAGGTGCTCAGCCAATATAGCAGAGGGGTAACAGGAGGGTATCTTGGCGTTCCCGCCAAGGACATACAGGCAGACTTTCCTTCCGCCGTTCAACGGCTCAACCTAGTGAGCCAGGGTCTTATCTTGGGCTAGGTATACGGAGTAACACCTCAATCCATATACGTATTACGACGAAACATATGTTTGGTCTTAGTCACGACTTCCCGAGCAACGAGGGCTAGATATCACGCACATTGTCTCGCGAGATATGTCAAGGTGCCATTAAATGACGCATGGTATTTGGCAACTTCAGTTTCGTCAACTTGAAATTAAGGGGGCCTGGGACATGATCAGCCTTTGCCTTGGGAAGGGGCGGGGAACGCCTATTCGCTATATCTGAACAGTGGCCTGTAAGTATTCTTAGTATTAGATATGAAGTCAAATCTAGCGTCTGATATCCTTGCTATGAAGGGCGAATAATGTTCTATTGGCACTTTCGCTTGTGTTCGGCCCCTTCCTAAACGGAAAAGCGACAGCATACGCTTGTATGGCGACATATAATCATCCTCCACGCCATAAGTTTGTAAAAGCATTCACATAGCATGCATTGCAATGATTAATAACTTAATAATGATTTCAAGTCTGCACTAAACAGAGGATATGCAAAGAATACTTTGGTGAGCCAAGCCCTCGGCTAGAAAAATGGTCTCGGCCATACCTCCTGGTGCAAGATCATCTCGATCCCCATGCCGCGCCATTAAGGCTAAAATGTTACTTGTCTAGGATTTCATACCAGTTAATGTTTCCATCTTTAGCCATCTAGGAACGAGCGATTGTTGAGCTCATGATACCGATGGGCTATTTTAAGCTACTCAGTTAATCCACCTAAATCAGTGTACCTCGTATCAATACTAGACATTTGCATATATTAATATTGGAGGATGTAGGATTCTATATTAACATCCGCCGATTCGGAACGAATCAGTAACTAAGGACATGCGTGAAATAAATTGGCTGCTAGAGCCATTGCAGCACATGTGGCACCACATTGGCGGCGGATGATGCCAAAGTCCCTTGGCCAAGAACGTATTGTCCTTTGGCAAATTGCTCTAGGCCCGACATGAGCAACTACTGGAAACCAAAGTGCTTCCCATCTGCCATAACTGGACAAGGTAAAATTATATCGTCGGGGCTCACAAGAACTTTATAAAAGCTCTCCTCCCTTGACTAGCTATGTACATCTGAAAACATCATCCAAAAAAATCATCCAAAAAACAAAACAATTTCTAGAGCTGGTCTCTGTTCGATTCTTTTCACCCCTTTTACCTCTTTATTTTATTATTGCTGGTCAATATTAGACTTTTCTCTTCCCATTATTCTATTTCTTAATTCAAAATGGTCGCTATCAAGAATCTTTCTATCACCTCGGCCGTCGTGCTCGGCCTTTCTGTTCAGGTTCAAGCTGCCCCAATTGCCAAATCAGACCTCGCCACAAGGTCAGGAACTGACTCTGATCTCGATGTCAGAGACCCTTTCTTGGGTAGAATAGTTGGCTCTATCTTCGGCGGTCGAAAGGGCCGCCGCGACCTGGAAGAACTCACCGAGCGTGACCTGGCTGACCTTGAAGCCCGCGACCCGTTTCTTGGCAGATTAGTTGGCTCTATCTTCGGCGGTCGAAAGGGCCGCCGTGACCTGGAAGAACTCTCCGAGCGTGACATTGACCAGCTTGAGGAGCGGAGCTCCAGAGGGCGTGGCTCGGGGTTAGCCCGCCATGCCATCAGCACAGCCGGACGGGTCGGCGTGGCTTGGGCCAAAAACCAACGCCGTGATCCAGAAGAGCTTTCCGAGCGAGACCTTGATGAACTCGATGAACGTGACCTTGATGAACTTGAGGAACGCGACTTCGATGACCTCGAAACCCGCGACCCCTTCCTCGGTCGAATCATTGGCTCTGTCTTTGGTGGCCGACGAGGCCGCCGTGATCTGGAAGAACTCTCCGAGCGCGACATTGATGAGCTTGAGGAACGGGACCTTGACCTGGAAGACGAGCTAGTCAGCCGGGATCTCGAGCTTGAGGAGCGAAGCTCGCGAGGACGTGGTTCGGGGCTAGCCCGCCATGCCATTAGCACAGCAGGACGGGTCGGCGTTGCTTGGGCCAAGAACCAACGCCGTGATCTGGACGATGAGAGTCTCGTTGCTCGCGAGTTGGAGAACCTGGATGAGCGAGATCTCGAGTACCTCTATACGCTGTATCTGAGAGATATGGAGGACAGCGAGGAGTAAATCACCTATCATCGGCAAACCTCAAGATGATTCTCACGTCCAGTCTCAAATTGTGAATATTCTCAGGGTTTAGTGTCAGTCATCCCTTCGCCCATGATTAGAAAATTCTTGTCATTTTATTTAGAGCGTCTACACAATCATTTTGAATAGAACTACGGTGGTTGAGAACCGAATTACAGATTTTAGGACCGAAAAGTGAACTCCCAATTGGCGTCCCCCATCCTGACCAGTTCAGCTCATCCTCCAAGGATAAGTTATAGTCGCAATATTATCCCTAACAGAGTCGATCATACTAACTTCCCGTGACTGTTAAAGTGCAATTTAGCAAGGCCTCCTTTTCTCATGCCTTCATGTATAATTAGGCGGAAGCCGCAGCTGCCGCTGATGAAGCAGACATGTAACTCGCTGAGATTCCGGCGGCTATTTGGACTTCAAAAAGGCGCACGAAGCTCATGACCGTGGCGAGCTCGAAAACTTCTCCCAACTGACCCCTAGCGCCCTCATTAGTGAAGCGGAACTTGCATTGGCTGTAATGCCAGCGCTCGCCAGCATAGATGGCAACAACAGACTTCCCATAACTGGTGATACCGTCCATCTCCCCATCGTCTCCATCATCAGAGCCACCGCTGCTCGCCGGGGCAATGAATGGGCCACCTAGGCGGACAAGCTTGGCGCCGAATTGGAAACCACCGACGAGGTCCTTGATCAACCTGCCCTTGCTAGAGCGCCATTCGAAAGATTCTTGCTCGCCTCCGGGGCCAGTGGGGAGGGCAAACTGATGCTTCACATGCTGTAGTTTCCAGACATGCTAATGTCAATGGGTTCTTGGTAGGATCCATTGGGCTTGGGGCATGAGCCTGAGGTCAGTGCGAGTCGTCTTGCTGCCTTTCTCAACACTGGCTGAGGCAAAAGGGGCACTAAGCTTGTCGGTGCCGTTGAGTAGCACGATCTCAGTCCAAGCCCTACAACGGTGCTGTAAAGCTGGCCCAGTCGCCATCGATCCTTGACGCTAATCAAAGGCGATCTTGATCTGACGTCAATGGTTTTAAATTCCTGCGGTAGGGAGAGGAGTGAAAAGCTCTGGCTTCCAGCAACTGGCATCAATATTCCTGATCCAGCTTGCTCACCACTCAAACATTTGTCGCTTTACGGATTAAGATGTCTTCTAAAATGTCTGAAAAATCCTCGGGGCCCTCAACAACACTGAGGACGCGGTCCCCCCTGACCCTCCTACCTACGAAGAGGTTGGCAGCACAGTCCCCGCGTACTACGACCAAGTGATTCTGCCGCCCTCTACTTCGCGCAAACCTCTTCTCTCTTCATTAGAGTTCACACTCAGCTACCGGCTGAGACGCTCCCTTTCGTTCCTCTGCGAGACAAAGGATCAGCCCATCTACGCCATCAGGACGCCTCACGTCGCTACTGGCTGGGTTGCTTGTGGAGAGATTGTCTATACTTGTAGGTTTGCTGGACCGCGAGGATTCGGTAAGATTTTAGCTAATAATAGGCTACTCCTCCCTCATCCTGGCCTCGAGAAATTGTAAGCCCAATGACTAACTCGTTATTAGATAGCGGACGAACATGCGTAAATAATAGAGCTCCAAAATAGCAATTCGCCAAGCGGAACTCTTCATTAGGTCTCGAAACTACCGCCAACAGTAAAGGGCTAAACCATACCAGTGGAGAATCACAATACCATTTTCTTCCTCTCACTATTAGGCCACCCAACCCAAGAATAAACAGTAGCGATCAGTATCGTTAGTTTATACTCTGATGCTTGGAACAGAATGCAGTGCTTCAGATGAGAATGAAGTTTCCGAGCCAGGGCTACGCCGAGGATGACGTAACGTCACAGTTGCTCTTGGATGTAGCAATAGAAGAGCGTCTTTTGCTATGAGAAACAAATGAACGGAATAATGGCAAGAAAGCTACTCGCCGACCTTGAATAGGGAAACATGTTGGATTGATATCATTGACGAAATGAACTCGATGTCAAAACACGAAGAGATGCACCTGTCAGCGGAGACAAATTTCATCGGCCGAGTGAGAGGCATAACAAGCGGGTGAGTTTAACCGCCAAAGCTACATAGAGCGACCTGGATTTAGTCTTGATCACGATTTGAGGGAAAGACCAAAAAGGGCATCAGGAACAGCAGCCCGATGTTAGAGAGAGTATCATAATACTATAAAGCAAAGCTTGAAGTCAGAAACATATGACGGTGTGATGAATCGGTTCCCCTTTCCCTTCCCAGCGTCTGAGCCCCGCTTCTGGAAGCATCAACAAGTCAGAGTGGCTGGAGATGTCGTGATGCAGGCATACATGACTCACATGACCGGATATGTTGGAGTGGGGGAGGAGGGAAATGTTGGAGAAGCTACTAGATGACCGTAGATCTGGCACCTCCGGGCCATACTGATCGAACGATGCCTCCCACAAGACGCCGACGAACTCGGACGGGCTGCTTGACGTGTCGCGCCCGCAGGATCAAATGCGATGAGGCTGCCGCCATCTGTACCCAGTGCTTGCGCTCAGGCCTGCAATGTATTCGATCAAGGAATGAAAGCCTGTCCGAGTCCACTCGCTCACAGCTGGCCTTCACAGCAAAGAACAATGACCAGCGGCTCACCCAGGCCGGGACAAGACGTCAACGTGTTCAACGTTCCTGCGTGTCTTGCAAATTGATGAAGAAGCGCTGTAACGGCGAACGGCCTCTTTGCGATAGGTGCCGGAAGAAAAACCAGCCTTGCGTGTACGACGACAACAACCTGCCCAACGACGCCGGGAGTTCGATAGCTGAGGATAGACAGGTTGCCTCAAGCCTCTCGTTCCTCTCCTTTCTATCACCGCCTGACACGACAGTAGGCTTCCCTGATAGGATCATTGCTCGAGATCTATGCCAAACCTTCTTTGACGAGATCGCCCCCTTGCGCTGCCTAGGCTTCCTCCACCGACACATCTTCCTTCAACACATGCAAAACTGCAAGAATAGCCAGGAACCACTCTTGCTCTCCGTGTGCGCCCTTGCCACCAAGTCAATCAAGCACCGTCAATTATGGGAGATCGGTTGTAGATGGGCTCGCACCGCACAGGGGCTCGTCCTTGCCGAAGTCCAGGACATCAGCGTGCACAGGCTGATGTGCATAGTGCTCCTCTACGAGCACGCCGCACGCACCAGCGAGCACCGGCTCTGTTTCATCCTTTCTGGCTTGGCATCTCGATACACGCAGGCCCTCAGCCTCAACCTCGAGTATGACCACGATGTCCTGTCCACCACTGGTCTCCTGTCTGCGGTGGAGCGAGAATCCAGGAGACGGCTGATGTGGGCTTGTTACATCATAGACACCATGGTGGCCTGCGGTCTGAACCATCTCCAAGCGATTGACACTACCACCATCCAGATACAACTTCCCTGCGATGAGAGATACTTTCTGTACAAGGTGGCTCGCATAACCGCGAAGGTACCTGTATGTTTCGAGTCTGCGGCCAACGGGGACGCCCCGATATCAACCGAGAACCAAGACACACACGCATTCCTTGTCCGTCTGTTTCTTATACGCGACCGTATTCTGAGATATGTTCACGACCATGCAGATGAACAAGATCCATGGAGACTGATGGGTCCTCTAGCCGACTTAGAGCACTGGAAAGACTCGCTGCCGCCCGAACTGCAATTCAATCACGACGTCATTATAATACGCAAGGAGCAGTCAATGCTTTCGGCTCTCATCTCCTTGCACGTGCAGTATCACCAAATAAACTGCCTTCTATATCGATGCACAATTCCCAGTATGCTCTTCCCCGCAAGAGCACATACAGGACTATCCAGGAAAGCCTCTATTGAATTCCTGTCAGACAGCCGACGCGGATGGTTTGATCATGCGTGCGCCATGTCCGCCATTTTTAAGGTAGCTCTAGAGCAGAAACCCGAGTCCATGGAAGACCCAGCCGTGGGCTTTTCCACATACAATGCCATAATTATCAAATTCCTCTATCTCACAAACTTCGTACCCCCAGAGGAAAGACTTCTGAGAATGGGGAGTATCTTACCGCTGGTTGACATCGACCTCCAGTTTTTGCGCGAACTCCACGAGTACCACCCTTCCGTAGGCTCTGCGTGCCTAGCTGCAGAGCGCTTAGTCGACGAGGCCAAGACGAAGATCACCCAGGATCCGACTATCATACTGTCTGAATCAGGCAATCTCGTTGGTGTCTTCAACTTCCCTACCGACTCCATCTCCCTGGACCATCGCACAAACCAACTATCTACGATTGCGCAAATAAGGAAGAACCTGCCAGAAATGCATGCTCCCGACTTGGCGTCTATCCCTTTGGGATGTAGCACACAATCACCTGGAGACCCCGGGAGGCTCTGGTTATGGATAGATCAGAGAGCGAATAGCGATTAGCCTGACCCTGCAAGTCAGATATTGGATCAAGGGCTCAAGATAGGCATTGTTAATTGAACATCACTACATACGTAGGAAGAAACACCAAGTTCCAATTCTGTGGTGGCTGGTCCTAATAGCCCATCGCTCCTCTGCCTCTAACCTCCTGGAAGGAGTGAGCCATCTGAGAGCCATCCTTATTTCCTGGATTCTCCACGTCAAAATCCCATCTGTCGGGCATTTTCATCCCGGCGTCAATATGGTTAAAGATAACCCTTGTTGAGATTCCATCACGAAAATACCATGGGTCTTCTGTTTCCAGCTGCCACTGCTCAAGCGCCTTCCTGCACTCGAGAAGTTGCTCTTGATACTCGGGTTCCTTGGCTGTGATTTCGCACCTCCTCCGGATCAGCCTCGAGGTCGAAGAGCTCCTCGGGTCCCCTCTTGATGTAGTTGGCAACAGGCCGCTTGCCAATCATTGCCGGCTCCGCATTTCGCATCCCTTCCCACGATAGGGCGCCGTACAGATCTCCGGGAAAGGGGAATTCGAGCTGCCAAGACACATTGCGGTGGTACTTGAACCGCTTTGTACGCATGTAGCGAGTGGGATAATACGCCGTGAGCTCGTGGAATGTATGCGAGCCGAACACATGACCCCAATCATCGAGCTCTGTTGTTTCATTCATGATGGGCAGAACCGACCGCCCCTTGCGGTTGCCTTTCACGTTCCCATACCCCGCCCAGTCCAGGAAAGTGGGCAGGATGTCGATGAAGGAGACAAGATTTGGGTTGACCACCCCGGTTCTTCCGCCTGGGACTCTGATGATCATCGGGAGACGGACACCCGCATCATACAGCGTGCTCTTGGAGTTCACAAATGGCGGGCCATTATCGCTTGTGAACATTACCAAGGTGTTATCATCCAGCCCGGCCTTGGACAGCTCATTCAACAGCATGCCCACACCTTGGTCCAACCGCCAGACAGCGCCGTAGTACTCTGATAATTCCTGTCTCACCTCAGGCACATCGCTAAGGAAGAATGGAATCGCAACGTCATTGGGGTCATAGCTGAGGTGCTGGACCCCTTTATAGTCCTGCGTATTGCCGAACCCACCCCGCGTCAAGTCCCGATGGGGGTCGATGTAGCCGACAGTCAAGAAGAACGGCTTTTTCTCCTCCTTCGCCCTCTCGAAGAAGGCAGCGGACCGCTCTGCAGTCCAGGCGACATCGCGCGTGTCGCTCTCTTCCCGGACACGCCAGGGGTAGCATTCAGCAGGCCCGACGTGGACCTTGCTGATGATGCCTGTCAGGTAGCCCAGGCTGTTGAACACCTTGGGCGACGTGTCGACATGATCAAAGGTCGTGAAGTAGTGAAGGCCCTGAAAGCCGCGTAGGAGACCCAACTGGCCGGTCTGGTGAGTATGGAGGCCTGACTGGATGACAGAACGACTTCCGCTGCAGGATGCTGTGCTGGCAAAGGCCATGTCGAAGTAGGTCCCCTGGGCCGCCAGGTCATCAAGGTTCGGCGTCTTGACCTTGGACTCGCCGCAGACCCCGAGGTTACGTCCCAAGTCATCTGCAATAATGAGGAGGATATTCTTGTCCATTATGATGTCTTGTATTCACGTCTTGTTAGGATAATTCGTTTGTATTCGGGATACCAGGAGGCAGCTTATTCGCCCTAGGGTAAAACTAAGACGGGAAGGGGATTTTTATCCAAGAGTTTGTACGTCAATTCATCTTGTGTATTTAAACATGACCAGCATTTCAATATGTGACCTTTTTGGACACTACATGTTACGACACGATGTGTCCTTAGCGAGATCCGACAGTCTCAAATCCTAGGGTGCAGAGAGCGAATCGAGATCCGCCGGGGAGTTCTCCCACACCAAAATCTGTAGCGAGATCCGACCATTAACCTTCGTGCTCTGATGCTACGTCGTAACGGGGGAAGACTTAGACCCCTCACGCTCCGTGAGCAATCACCCGGACATCATCCCCATGGGGATTGAAAGCTCCTAGTCAGGTTAATATCCTCACGCCCGTGGCCATAGCGTGAAGTGATTCGACACGTAATCGTTATCATACAAGTACTCACTATGGAGGCCATCGAGTAATAAATTGGAGCCAGAGTACCGCATTTTCAGGTACACTTCCTCACATCCTGAATTTATCACATCCAGCCCTCTGATACTTTGACGAATTGACACAATGACGAAGGGTCCCGAGACAATTCTGTCCGAGGTCAATGACCCAAGTGACGTATCTCAGTCTCGCAGGAGAGCCAACATCGGGGTTGATGCCCAGTTAGCTCGAGATGCACAGACCGCAGCCAATGCCGAAAAGTCGATGACCCTGTGGGAGGGCATGAAAGCTTACCCCAAAGCCGCGGGCTGGTCCGTCGTCATATCTCTAGCCACTACTATGGATGGTTACGACACAGGTTTCTTAGGGGCTCTACTCGGACTTGTGAGTCTTACGCTCCCTCTGACAGCACATTTTACAGGTCTCCGTGGGCTGACCTTGGCTTTCTTTCGTTTCTCAGCCTGCGTTTAACAAGAAGTTTGGCTCTCTCTATAACGGCGAATATGTGGTTCCGGCATCCTGGCAAGGTGCTGTAACCAACTCCAGTTCAATCGGTATTTTCATTGGCGTTCTGATGAACGGCTGGCTGACTGAGAAGGTTGGCCACCGCCAAATCCTCCTGTATTGCTATGTCCTCCTCACCGCCCTCATATTTATACCCTTCTTCGCCCCGTCCCTCGGAGTGCTTGTAGCTGGGGAGATACTCTGTGGGCTGTGCTGGGGCCAGTTCAGCATCACCGCTGCTACATATGCCTCAGAGGTATGCCCCTTGCCTTTGCGGGCGTATCTTACCTCGTATATCAACATAACGTGGATTTTCGGCCAGCTAATAGCCGCGTGTGTTATGCGAGGTGTGTCCGGGCTTGATTCCGAATGGGCCTACAAGATCCCCTTTGCTATCCAGTGGGTTTGGCCGGTGCCATTGTTCATCTCCGTCTTGTTTGCCCCCGAATCACCATGGTGGCTCGTCCGTCAGGACAGGTTAGACGAGGCCGAAGCAGCTCTAAAGCGACTCGTCACAAAGGATAGCAATGTCGATACGAAGGATACTATCGCCATGATGGTACATACCAACCAGCTAGAAGAATCCGTCGAGACCGGTACATCGTACATTGATTGCTTCAGGGGCACCGATAGACGACGGACGGAAATTGCATGCATGGCTTGGGCAACTCAGGTCTTTTTTGGTTTACCAATTGTAAGCATATCATTTTAGCCACTGGTTTTCAACTCACCCTCCCGTGATGCCTGTATGTGGCTGACATTTGAATGAACAGACTTCATATCAAGTATTTCTTGGAGCAAATCGGCATGCCGACAGACCAGGCCTTCAACTTCAACATCGGCAATCGCATCATCGCTATGGCCGGTACTTCGTTGTCTTGGGTGATGCTAAGCTATTTTGGGCGCAGGACTATTTATATGATGGGCATAACAGCGAATGTGACTCTCCTGCTATGCATCGGGTTTGCTTCACTCAGCAGTACCGACGGCGCAATGTGGGCGCAGTCCGTCTTGTTGATTTCTTGGCCCTTCTTCACGAGCATTACCGTCGGTTCAGTGGCCTTCTCCATTGTTTCAGAAGTGGGCTCGACTCGGCTCAGGGCCAAGACCATCGCTTTGGCTAGGAACACATTCAACGGCCTGAACATCATCTGGGGTGCCTCCATGCCGTATCTATTCAACCCCAAGGAGGCAAATCTGAAAGGCAAGGCGGCCTTCATCTTCGCATTTACTGGAAGTTTTTGCTTTGTGTATGTCTTCTTTAGACTGCCGGAGTTGAAGGGTCGTACTTTCGAGGAGCTGGACATCTTGTTCACGAATAAAGTGAAGGCTAGGGACTTCAAAAACACGGTTGTCAATGCCTACCAGGAGAATCTCGATAAAACGAATTTGCATACCGCTGAACACTGAGACTTGAGTCGACGTACAAGTCTTTAGATGATAGTAGGTTGGGTTTGCATAGCTTCACGCATTGAATCGACTCCTTTGGTTTAAATTTTCAACATGAATGCGAAGGCAATAAATCTCCTGAAAATTCTATATAGAAATTACTCTATAACTAGAGGAGATGAAGTACATATTGAACGACAACATCTACGGATCCTTGTGGTAGAGGCAGGCGTGAGAGAGGCGGCAAAGAGTGGAGACGGAGCGGCGGCGCGGTGAGATGAGCCACATGTCGCCGACAGCAGCGGCGAAGGCAACATCAACGTGTCGGCGAGCCCAGTGTAATTACAAATCCAAATCTGAATGCAGAAATTCGGAATCGCTTTTATGCGAGTATACGGGGAATCTGCTATTATAAAAGACACGTCGAGAACATCTTACTTCAATGCCCCTTAGCCCTACACCCGCCTTCAAACAATCTAAAACACCAACCTATTACCGTATCCTTCCATCATCCGAAAGACCAAAAGACAAAACATCCCTAACCATGGCTGGCTTCAAGTATCTCAATAAGCTTCAAGGCCAACGTATTCTCATTCTCGGCGGGTCCTCTGGAATAGGCTTTGCCGTCGCCCAGGCCGCTGTCGAGCATGGCGCAGTGGTCTATATCAGCAGTTCCAAGCAAGCCAGGCTCGACGACGCCGTTACAAGGCTTCAAACTTTTGCGAAAGAGGTTGGCCTTCCATCGGACAACATATTCAGCAAGACGTGTGATCTCTCCAACCCCGAAACACTGGAGAGCAACATCACTGAACTCCTCGACTTTGCCACTGCCAGCGGCAAGCTCAACCACGTGGTGCTAACAGCTGGAGACGCGCTCAACCTCCCTGTGCTGAAGGACGTAACCTTGGCCCAACTCCACCAGGCAAGCTCCGTTCGATACTACTCCGCTATTTTTCTGGCCAAACTCCTTCCCAAATATGTCGTTTCCCACTCGTCCAGCTCTCTTACTTTCTCGAGCGGGTCCAAGTCAAAGCGCCCCGATCCAAACTGGTCTATCATTTCAAGCCTGGGTGGTGCTCTGGAAGGCGCTGTCCGTGGCTTTGCCATGGACCTCAAGCCTATCCGTGTCAATCTGATCGAACTCGGCATTGTAGAGACAGAGTTCCTCGAGCATATACCCGAACAAGTGCGCGGTCCGCTGCTTGAGAAATCCGCCAAGGCTAATCTCCTGGGGAAGGTTGGAGCACCAGAGGATGTGGCAGAGGCGTATCTCTACTGCTTGAAGGATTCTTTTGTGACAGGAACGACGATTGTTACGGACGGCGGGATGCTTGTCGGCGGGAGCGAGTAGGCTGTTAGAATAGGTGGCAGAGATGCCGGACACACCTTGGGAAGACTGTCACACAGCTGGACATTGAATGAAGTTCTATCATGAAATACTGACTTCCTCTTCGTCAGAGTAATCTGGCCAGTGATCACACGGCCTCAGCATATCTAACAATACACCACGCTTCGCGGCCCAACACTGCTCATCATTGAATCTTGAAAAGTAGATAAACCCATTGTAGTATTTTCGTCCCAGCTTCCCCAGAGCTTCTTTGAAATGGCGGAGGGCAAATGCCAGTATCTCGAGGTCATTCCTCACGCTCGATTTGTATGCTGGATCGCAGTACGGATCGAGCGGTGCGCATTTTTCAATCAGCAGGACCCTAACGCAGACAAAGACCAGTGGTAATAGGAATGTGTTGTTAGCGAAGTCTAATGATGTTCTGCACATGTCGCGGAGACAGTTAGCCAGACTGTGCGCTGCTGCGACACAATGAGGCCAATTCTCAAAGTGATCACCAGGTCTCTCATTGGTTTCGCCTTCGAGAAGTGGCCGATGATGGAGTAAGAGGGCAATGCATGCCATGACAGCATTGAGCCAAACAACCAATGAAAAGTCTCTGGGGTCGGCTGCGGATAGTTCAATAGCATGCCGAGGGATTGTTAGCCTCAGTTTGATCAACTTTGACGTAAACGACTGCAATGTGTCTCTATCCTTTTTATAATCAAAGTGAGGTTGGTAGAGTTCCTCTCCAACTCGGCCGAGAAGATGATGCGCGGCAACAAGATACTGATAGACCGTCCTCTTGCGCCTGAGTGTCTGCCGCTGCAATCTGGAGCATAAATCATCTACATCGACAGTGAAACCAATCGAGTTTAAATCCAGCGACTCATTATCCGCCTGGAACTCATCCTCCGACATGGGAAAGTTGACAAGGATATGCCGATTGTCGATGGCCCGAGGCAAATCCGTCGTGCAAAGGCACCGATCAAAGATAAAAAGAGTCCAGAGAGTCCTCCGACATTCCTCCTTCTCGATCCACGAGTCCGTCTCAAGCACCCCCAAATCCTTTGGCAAAACACGGGCCTTGCCGTCGAGTCGCGCACAGCCTGTCAGGACGGCCTTTCTCCAAGCAAGGCCAAGCAACTGCCACGGCGTGCAAAACTCCATCATCTCTGACGAAAGCTGAACAATGAGAACTGCCGCTTGAAGACTTTCAATGACCTTACTCTTGCCAGCTATAGACTCACTCACGAGCTTTTTTGCGACTTCATACCACTGGTATCGACGTTCTCTAACATCGGGATCTGTATGTGTTTTTGCAGAGATGGCGCATATGGCATATAGGAGAGCTTGAGAAGACCCTTCTATTCCGTCTCTCTCTAGCGCATGCATAAATCGCCCTTTGTGTATGATGGGAAGATGAGCATACAGCTTTTGAAAGAAGTTGGAGACTAATTCCAGCAGTACGCTCCAAGGGGGAAGTGAGGCTGGATCTTCCTCTGCAGCATTTAGAGATTAGTCGGCACGGCTAACCACTAGATTCAGTTATGAGTTTATGACTCAGACTTACTCGCTGCAAGTGGTATATCAAGGTCTTGGAGGGGTTCTAGGGTCGGGAAAGGCATTGACCAAAGGTTGAAGGAATCCGGCTCCAAGCTCATCACATCTTCGAGGTTGGTAGCTGCGACATCAAGAGTTCCGGAAGTCTCCGCCGGCCCTAAAAAAGAATCCCATGATGTCACCCCTGTGACAGTGCGATAGAGGCATGGGTGGCCTCGGCGAAGACACGAGGAACACTGAGGGCGTTGGCCCTAGCGGCTGGCTTTTAAGCTAAAGATCGCGCCAAGTCTGGGGGGGGGGGGTATCTTACATCGCATTTCTTCTTCCTAGACCTACATCCGCTACAGACATTTTCTGACCGGGTGAGTGACGGCATGTTGTGCCTCCGTTGATTGGGGTGAAGGGTGCGCCGGAGAAGCGGCGTGGTGGCCATGAGTTCGAATGATCATTGATTTCTAAGCCAATGCGTGATCGTCATTTGACGGGTGGATGTCCAAGGAATACGGTGAGCCAGCCTCACGTGACCTCCATAAGACCAGTCTCTATACAAAGATGCGTCCCTGAACCCTGCATTCCATGGTTTGTTCACTAGTTTCACTTCGGGAAATGATAAGGGGGTTGCATACTTTAGCTCTAAGAATTACATAGAAATGTTCACTAACATCAATAACGGCAGTCTTCTTAACAAAGCAACTCCAGTGCTCGTTCCTTTCCAGAGCAATATCGGAGACAACTCATGATGGTCAAATCATCAGCGTGATATTGTCGCAAGTACATGCATATAGCCTCAAGTTCAGTGGCAGCCCGAAGATCAACCCACCAGATGGTCCTACTCGCCTTGCTATACCACAATGCAAGTAGCACTAATGCTGCGGCGTCCTTCATTAAAAGAAGACTTTTAAAAGAAGGGCTGGTGTAAATAATGAACGCCATCGCTTCGGTAAAGGGAATCTCAAAATCCCGCCATTTGCTCAGCCTGGTGATGATTTCAGCAGCTTCAAAGTAAGGGCTTGTTTCAGGTTGAGCGCATTCATCAAGCCTGCATAAAACTTGAAGCTCTGGAGAAATGCTGCGAATGGTACCAGTAGATTTGTATGCCCGCATCTTCTGGTAGGTGTCCGACATTGAGTAGAAGATGCTATCCGGTCGAGTTGGTTGGGTGAGCTGGAAGAGTTTCCATTTGGTGTCGCCCAGGCGGAGCCAATTCATGTCATCCGACTCCGAGGGTTTAAAGGGCCATGCCTTGGAAGGGTCGCATTCGTCAAGGGCCAAAAAGGATAGAATGCTTAAAAACGATGCAGTAGCCCATATTGGGTCGCGGTGTGCGGGAGAAATCTCATGGCATAACGTACGATTGAGCAGAGTTGTACACTGAAAGCCATGGGCCATCTCGTTCATCGTCCGGCCTTGGCTACTCCGCATTGCCCTGGAGAGATACCGGTCATGGGCAGCACTTAATGCTAATGCAGCATGCATCAGAAATGGATACTGGTAATATCAGCAAAGGTTTTACGGCGATACTAGCTTATATAACATACCTCTTGTGCTAATTGGAATATATCTGCCACGGGGAAAACAGAAGTGAGTTTCATTTGGTGGTAAAGTTGGCTCAGAAGTCCTAGCGAGCTAGCATCTAGTTCAAGCGGAACACTGTGCGTCTCCAGAGCAGCTTCGGTTGATATCAGGTCTTTCAAAGGCACCCTTGGGGAGAGTTCCTGCGCCAGCCATAGATGTTGTAACTCCTTCGGTAATTTTAAGTCCATGACATCCTTGTCATAATTGCATACCACGCCGTAGGACAAGCAGGGCTGGCACTGAGGCTTCGCTTCATTGCACTTCATAACTTAGCTCCTGACTCTCAATCAACAATGCACCTGGAGAAATACCTTAACTTTTCGCAGTCTACAGTTTCCACAGCCTTCTCGCGATCTCCGGATAAGCCGTGTTTTCTGCGCCACTGTGGGCACAACGTCGGTGCTAGTAGATCCCATTCTCAAAGTGTACCGATAGCAGTGAATAGACGCTAACCCGATTTCGCTTTCACAATCAGATCAAGTATTTGTTTTGCCTGCCGCAAGTAACGAGTTCGAAACGAAGAAAAGACACTCGCCATGGAGCTGTGCAGCGGTGTTAGGGGTGGAGATTTCTGATATCTCCGGAAGCCAACACCGCCAATCCTACTCTGGCTTATTGTTAAGCTAACCAACTTTCGCTTGTTGACTGCTACTTGATTGGTTGTTCTATATCTGGTGGTGTCTGGGCCTCCGCAATGGCCTCCCAGACTGTCAAATACACACCCCAAATGCGGGTCGAACTAACCCGTGTTCGCCTATTGTGAAGATCGTGACCGGGAGCACACAATGAACGTCAGTATCATGATGGCAGAAAACGCTATGTTGGCCTTTTTTGTTCAGTTGCCTAAACAGAATATAAATATGAGACCAAATACCTTGAGACCCCGAGTCTAGCATCAACCGAATCCAACATAATATTGCAAACAGCATACCAAATTCCTCGTATTGTCCATCAACTGCAACTCATCTCACTATGAAGGCCTTTATTACTGGCGCATCCGGCTTCATTGGCGAAGCTGTGGTAAAGGAATTCCTCAGCCACGGCCATCAGGTCCTTGGGCTCGCCCGAACTGAACAAAGCGCCGAGAAACTCCAAAAATTAGGTGCTAAAGTCCAGCGCGGGACTCTTGACGACCTAGACATTCTCAGACAATGCATCGCATCGTCTGATGGAGTCATCCATCTGGGCTTCAAGCATGATGAGTTAGCAACGGACTTCCTTCGTGTTTGGGAAGACGACCGCAAGGTCGTCACTGCGATAGGAGAGGCTCTCGAACATTCCGGAAAGCCTTTCATCAATGCTTCCGGTACTCTCATTGTATCGCACGCTGCAAAAGCCACGGAAGTCGACATGCCCGATATGTCCAACCCTCAGTTTTCCCACCGAGCACAATCTGACAAGCTCGTCTTGAGCTTCGCCGAGAAGGGTGTTCGCGCTCAAGTTCTGCGACTAGCTCCGACCAACCATGGAGAAGGGGATCGTGGCTTCATCAACATGATAGCTGCCAAGGCAAGGGAAATTGGTTATGCACCCTACATTGCTGATGGGTCAAACCATTGGCCTGCTGTCCACCGCCTTGATACCGCCAGGCTTTACAGACTCGCATTTGAGTCCGGAAAGGCAGGTTCTGTTTATCACTCTGTTGCGGAGGAGGCAATCCAGACTAAGGAAATTGCAGAGGCGATTGGCCAGAAGTTTGGGGTGCCGGCAGTCAGCAAGACCAAAGAAGAGGTGATTGATCTTCTTGGTTTCGTCGGCCATGCGTTAGCCGCGGACAATATAGTCTCTAGTGAGGAAACAAGAAAGGAACTGAAGTGGGTTCCAACACAACGCGGACTTATTGCTGATATTGAGGCGGGAGCGTACACTGGGGAGTCGAAATATTCCAAGTTTTAATCTTAAGATTCAGTTGTAGAAGGTTTTTACCATAGATCCTTAGAATACAATGTCTCCGGTGTTTTCATTTCCTATAAATAGCACAGTTCCTAGCCTAGAAACTTCTTAAAAGAAGCTTAGAGCCTGAACTTCGTGATCAATCCGAGTGGACTAGCAGCTCCAAACCCGCTCGGGTTAGACGGAAAATAAACTACACTGCTCAGTCGCCGAGGGTAAACCGCTTTCCTTCATTGAGCAGTGTTATCGCCTCTCATTATCAATCCTCATAGTCCTCACTATCCTCCTCATCAGCATCAACCTCACTTGCTTCTTCCCATGCCTTGGCTGAATCACTTTCGTGGTAGCCTCGAGTGCAACCGGCGGATTCTTTGCCATTCTTATCGCAGCATGACCATATGAAGCCTTCTGGATGCTCTTTCCGCATATATTCAGTGTCGATTTCCCCGTGGCAATCCTCATCATGGTCATCCCAGACATGATGTTCCTCATCCACTTCGGACTCGCCTACCCGCGTCGCTTAGCCTACAGACTTTCCGGGGGTTGAGAGATGAGAGCAAGAGGAGACAAGTGCGGTACGAACCAGGATGGAACAAACAGTCTTTGGGTTGGTTATCATCTTTGTAAAATGGTTTGTCGCACTGAGCGCAGACGGCGAGGTCGTCAATGGCCTTTCGCTTACGAGCTGGTCCTTGCAAAGCACCACTCGATTTCGTCAGCGCGTCCAGGCGCGCGAGGGCGATTTTCTCCACATCCTTGTCTTCGCACAGAGCCAGTAGGACTTCTTTGACAAGACTCTCCGGCGCGCGCGTGACCTGCTCACGACAGGCTGGAGAGGAGATGGCACCTAGGCTCATTCTGTGTATTTGCTTAATAGGGTACAATGCGTGCTGCTCCTATAATGACTCAATCGCATGCTGCACCAATAAACTAGATAAGCAAGGCGCTTTCCGCGTCTCCTGAATCTGAACAGGCCGCACAGACCTCTTTTGATGAGTGTTTCAATTTCATTGTCGCCCCTACCCTACATATTGCGTTCAATCAGACTGCTCAACTGTGAGAATCATTAGTTTTTGTGTCTCCTTCTTGTCGATTCTGATTATACTCATCGAATCATCTTCTATTGAATTAAAGAGTTTTTGAGAAATGCTATATGGAACCACAAAGCGATGGTAAAGGTAGGAAGTATAGGGGAAACCGTGGGCAAGAAAGACAACAACATTACTCTTCCGGTAAGGGACAGGGTAGAGAAATATGGAGATATAACTATGGCTATCAATCAAACTACTACTTAGAGAGAACTTCAAAGGACTCTTACGAATGGATGAGTATCACCATTCACCTTGCACGAACCTCTTATTCCAAATGCATTTTGTTGACAATGTACAGACTTGACGCGTCTGGAGGGATAAGATTGATCTCCACTCAACGGACATTGTCTTCTCCCGATTGGTTGCAGGCTGACCCAGCAGATATGTCACCGTGTGGAGATAAACACTCATCATGATTGGCTCTATGCAGACGTCGTAAAAGCGACTCAGCCAGTATCCACAGGTAATTACACATCACTCAGATGGAGCTACCCAAGTTGATCATTGACACCTGTAATCCGCCTCGAACGTTCTTCTAGTTCATCGGATCCCAATTCCTGCTCATCAGCAGAGCCATGTCGGTTTCTACTCCGAGAAGATCGAGGAGCGGAGCTCCTAAAGTCAGGACCGGCTGCGTAACATGTAAGCACATTCTCCGCATCCGAGGTCTCCGCTCCATTGTGCGCTAATCTGGGATATCTGCAGGCAAGTGAGTCTATATCATGCAGTCTCCAGTGTCCTCACTCAACCTAAAATAGGCAGCGCCATGTAAAGTGCGATGAAACAAAACCAGCGTGCATCAAGTGCCTGAGCACTCGCGGTATATGTGGTGGATATCATTTAAACCCACGCAAAAACCAGTCCCGGAAATGCCGTTTGGATACCCTTCCCTCAGACCCGCTGGTCCAACCCTCTACCTCTATTGTGGAGTTAGGCATGGAGCGTCACTTTGAAAATGAGCTCCAGCATCTTTATTTTCAAGAATGGCAGTTTCTCACCAAAGGGAACTTGGGGGGTTACATATCAACTAAATTATGGTCCACGTACCTGCCCCAATTAACTGCCCAGAGCATTGTGCTTCGACCCGCTGCTCTAAGTCTCGGAGCAATGAGTCGAGCTTTGTCAATGCAATGCATTGGTCAAAACCCTTCTCAGAGCGATCATTATCAAAATGCCGTCGCTTACTATTGCAAAGCTCTCCGTCATCTTAGTCAGGCCGATTCCGCGACCGCAACTATCAAAGAGGCGATGCTGCTGGCTATTCTGTTCACAAGCTTTGAAGGGCTTCGTGGGAACGTCAAGTCTGCTCTGAAACACACTTATCATGGCCTCCTAATCATGAGGGAGCTTTGCGCCAGTCCTGAAGCTATGTCATATATTGATCAGCTGGCGCCAGACCCTGGCCAGTTCATCAGTGAGATTCTGGCTCTCTACTGTCGACTGGCTATCCAGACCCAGGTTGTGAGTCAAGGGAGCGCGGAGTTGAAAGAATCTGGATCGGTGAGCGCAGAAAAAAGTAAGGACTCTGAGGAGTTTGACAGAGAGATGGTTAACAATCGCCTGTCCCGGTATCTCCTTCCTCGGCCTGGCTTGTCCGCTTCGCCAAAACTATTCATGCATGTGGATGAGGCACTGGAACATTGGGAGGCCACTACTCGTCGCATTGAGAGACTGGGACCGCGTGTCATTCCCCTTTTAGACAAATTTCTTGCAGGAGATGCTAGAAATCACAGAAAGGTAGAAGAAGCAATCGAGGGGATCCAGAAGGATCGAGAAGTAACTTACTTCTCTGACGAAAGCCAACGCCATTTACGAATTTGGCATGATGCCTTTTGCCCTCTATATCAGCGAACTCTGACCACATCTGAGCCATGTTCCGGGCCAACCATAACTCTTATCTGTCTCCGGATCGAGTACCTTGCCCTGTCAATGTACAGCATGTTTCAGATGCAAGGCAACTATGACGCTGTGTCGGCACTGACACCCAAATGTCGTGAGATCAACGAACTGTGCGAGATTGTTTTCCGGCGTCAGGCCCAAGACTCCAGAGAACCTTCAATGAGGTTCTCTATAAGCCCAGGACTGACATGGCATTTGGTTTTTGTGGCAATGAACTGCCGAGATTTCGTTGTCCGCGAGAGCGCAATGCGGATTCTGGAGACTTATCACCGTCAGGATGGACTCTGGGGCAGCGCATCCTTCCTTGAAATCGCGAAACGGAACCGCAAGGTGGAGGCTGAGAACTGCGGTGAGGGTGATATGAAGCAGCAATGGCTTCGTCTCTCTCGGCGGGTATTTCTGCTCGAGGAGGCCGGAGATCGGCTCATATTCCGATACATGAGCAAAGAGAACGGGTGTTGGGATTACATCGAGGAGTATGCAGATTTTAGCTATACAAGGACCAGCTCGCTTGGGACAGAATGGAAAAGGAGGCCACTCAGTAGTCAAAGATTCACCCTGCAGTGGGGGCGAACGGCTACTACTTCGATGGGCTCGTTGTGGCCAGGTATGGGTTGCTCTGCGCCCAGGCTGGCCGATTCCTGATAACCGAACGTTCTCGTTATTTACTTGCCTTAAGCTTCCATAGAAACAAACCATGTTTGAGTAATGCTGAACATCATCAGCCTGAAGTGGGGTAGATGGACGTGCTCTTAGTTGCACTAACACGACAGGATTTACGACGCCTGCATGATGTGGGGACTCGGGGAGTTGACCCATCCGAACCTGCCACTCGACTGCGATCCAAGCTGTTGCGAGAAGCTACGGCACGCTCATTTTGGAGTTTATGCGGTAGTGAATGACTTGATTTCTTGAACCAATTGCATCGTGGAAGTCCGCAAGTCCGCACATCTTTTAGTATATATACCCCCTATCTGGTCGCAATTCTCTTCGATCCCCTTCCACTCATACATCCAGATCTTCACAGTCTACAACAACATTTACTCTTACTCTTACTCTTATCTCCATTCAAAAAGCCATCATGGGAGTCGTAGCAGTCGCCGGTGGCACCGGAAATATGGGCCGCACTATTGTCGATGCTCTCGTCGCTTCTAAGAAGCACAAGACCGTGATTTTATCTCGAAAGGTTGGCAACCTCTTCATCATTTTTTACACCTACAGTGTCTTACCATTCGCAGCCTAATCCAGATTTGGAAAGGGAGCTTGGAGTTCCAATCATTGCTGTCGACTATGACAACGTCAAGGCGGTCACTGAGGCCCTTGAGCAAAACAATGTTGACACTGTCATCTCTGCCATCATGATGATGCCCGGCCCAGGCGGCGATCCCAAGGAAGTTCAGCTCATACGCGCCGCAGATCTCTCCAAGACTACCAAGAGAATGATTTCAAGCGACTATGGACTTCCCCATTCTGAAGGGTAAGTTATTTTGTATCATCCGTTCTCCTTCCGTCTCAGATACTTAAGTTAGGTATTCTAGGCACGATGAACAGCTTCCCTCTGTCATCTACAAAAAGAAAGCGCAAGAGGAGCTCAAAACTGTCAAAGATCTCGAAACCACTCGGATTATCTGTGGCCAGTTCATGGACTACTGGGGAATTCCTGGAGTTAAATCACACTTTAGCGCCTTCCCTATCGCTCTCGACATCGCCAATGACGCTGCGGTCATCCCTGGCGACGGAAACACGCCTGTCATAATGACCCATACCTCTGACGTGGGCAAATATGTAGCCGCCAGCCTTGATCTAGAGAAGTGGGACCCCGTTCATTACATTGCAAGCGATAAGGTTTCTTTGAACGAATTACTTTCCTATGCTGAAGAGGCTAAAGGTGAGGCAGTGCTGTCTTCTCAACTTCCGAACTCTACTGATTGTGATGATAGGCAAAAAATTCTCGGTCACGTATGACAGCGTAGAAAGCTTGAAGCAGGGTCATTTGACGGAGCTCCCAGGTCAGGCGGCCAACTACAAATATATCCCTAAGGAGGTTTTGCAGAAGCTGCTAGTTGCGTTCCATCTTTGGTACGCAGAAGGAGTGTTCAACTTTGAACATGGAACGACTCTGAACGACAAGTTTCCGGATATCAAGCCCCTCAAGGTTAAGGAGATGATTGACAGAGCTTGGAAGAAAGACTAGCGTGCTACATTCATGCCTCACCTTCCTTTTTGTTCTCAAATGACAAGTGGCTTGTGTTGATGTCATTAGCGCGATAACGACAACATCAAGTGAGATGCAATCGAGAATGAAAGGGCTGAGTTTTCGTATGTATCTAGTTATCAGAAGTGCAACCCGATCTCTAAATGATCATAAACACTAGATACATCTCTCCAAACGCTCCAGATTCTGTCATATAGCTTCCATTAGCATTTCCAGAATCGAGAGGCTTAATGTCACCTTCAGTAGCAGGAAACTTGGTAGACGAGATCAAAGAGTTGGAGCAGGTTCATTTCGACGATGAGCTGACGAAGCTAGGAACATTGCTTCGCGTATACATCTCACCCCTTGCTATGCTTCTGTATGGCCCCGCATAATGAGCCAATGAGCGACACATCTGTGTGTTTCCCTTCGTTGACCTATAAGCATTTATAGATAGGTGACTAATATAATTGATTGAAGAAGAGCAGCTCCTTAAATTCTAGGCTGTACCCGTGGATCTCTTTGGCGGGGCTTGTCCCTTGCACAATTCCCCATCTACTGTCATCAAGGCAGTCGCGAAGTTGTTGAAGGTTCCAGGCCTCGCTCTCCCTTGACTATGTCTTATTCATTTATTCCATGCCGAATAATTAAAGCAAAAATCCCTAGTGCTCAGCATGTGACATGGCGCCCAACTTCTACCTTCAAGTTCAGGTACACTGCCACGTGTCTCATCAGGAATTGGAGTAACGCCTCCACATGCGACAAGGGCACAATTTATACAAATAGGCATGGTGAACAGGCACGTATTAGACTATTGTCATTTGTATTTTTAAGATTGATGCATGTTGATAATCTAATGCAATTATGTAGATCCTATTTAAGGGCCAATACCCGCCGCCGGGATATATATTCGTGCCTGCTGGTAATATCTTTATAACTCGACACTGCCGCGATTTGGCCAAGAAGACAAGCGAAGATATATATGCTTATTATGTAAGTACTGACCATAGGTAATATGTTCTGTCTTCTTCAACTTACGATTCCCACAGCGTCATAAGAGTAAGAAAAAGTCGGCAAAGCAAGAGGGTCTATATGTGCCAAAGGACATCTTTGAAAAGGTCAAATCCGAGTATGAAAGGAGGAAAACCTTGGCAGACGAAAAGGTTTTGCGGAGTTTGACCAAGAACTACCCTAATATGCCACCAGCAGACAAGGCGAAAATTTTCCAGCGTTGCTGTGACCCTGAAACCTTGAAGCCTATGATGTACAATACACATAACGTCGTTTATAGCCACATTAGGGATCGATATACAGCTTTCAAGTCGGTCTCTGGTGACAAGGCAAGCTCGAAAGGAGTAAACGAGGCACATCGACAGGCTGAGGAGATTCTATCGAACTGGAAGGGCAAATAGCTTTCTTTAAAAAGGCTGTTTTCCATCAACCTGCATTCATCTATGAAATAATGTTAGCTAGTACTCAAGAGGAATTATTTCTAAGAGACTACCCTTTCGGACTCGATCCAAAACAAACATCTCGCTGAGCCTTCGAGCTTGATTAGTACATTAACCGCATACTGTCTTCCTGGCTGAGTTGTTGTGATTCATCTCCCGCCGGAGGTGATACGACAGGCATGGTTGCTGGTTACTCGGAACCTGTCGCCCGACCCAATCTACAAACAATTTGTTCTAGATCTTGTTACTACAGTACGTGAAATTGCGAGAGCGGAGCACCGTCTCAAATCAGAAGGCATCCACGGTCGAGACATATTCCTACAAAGCCCAATAATTGGACCGCCTTGTCCGGAGTTTGCGGGACAGAGGATCAATATGCCAACTGTTTAAAACCTGCTAAGAGAAATAGTCTAGACTCTACACCCTGGTTATCTAGTTGGAAAGTAGCTATTTAGAGATACCTACGAACGAAAAAAATAAGTTTTCTGAATTTGGCTAGTAGAAATGAAACGGCCTTTTCTGCTAGCTAAAATCTTGGACTTCGAGTTTGTAATACCTTACATTGCGCTAATGTAAAGACGTCTTACGAATTGCCACACACGCTGACTGACAATCGAAATACTGCACATGTACACCTGTCAAACATAGCTTTATTCATTGTGTTGCGGTGTCGGGTCTGGCATGTTCCATTGGTAAGTTTCTTTTTCAAACTCTCTCACAGTCAAACATAGCTTGTGATTGTTTTTGCGTCTTGGAGCAACTGTTCGATCCCCCGGTCAACATGACGAATGCGTCGCGCAAGATCCTCCTTCCTATCTTCTAGGTTCTTCTCAGCGGCGAGGGCGAGTTCCTCTCGTGCGGCGGGAGATGTGCCACCGGGACTGATCCTAGTGGCTACGAACTCATCGGGGTCGAGGATCCGTCTGATATCGGATGTTGGTATATCGAACCGCATTTTATCGACCAGGTCATCACACAGCTTGCCGTCGCGTAGACCAGCCTTCTCGTGGGCGGCGACGAGGTGAGCGACCCTCTCATGGGCCTCGCGGAAACTTAGGTTGCACGACGCAACGAGAGCGTCTGCTAGAGCACTGGCAGTGGACCAGTACTGGCCCGCCGACAAACGCATTGCTGGCCCATCGATCTCTATGGTGGAAATAATCTCTCGGAGCAATCCAATGGCACCGGCCGTCTCAGCACACTGTCCCGGAAGTAGATTGTGGATATACGCCTGATCGACGTCGGTCGAGTTAGCCGTGTGCATCACACCGAGCTGGCTCGCAGCCCAGCCAACGGCGGTGCCAGCAAGACCACGAATACGTTCCAGGGTCATGGGGTTCCGCTTCTGCGGCATCATGCTCGATGTTCCGCAGAGAGAGGCGTCGATACGCACGAGGTTCACTTCGCTCGAAGACCAGTAGTTTAGATCCGAGGCAAGGCGGCTAATGCCGGAGAGTGTCAAGGCCAGAACGCTGGCGAGCTCGGCGCCCATGTCAATAGCTGCGAGGCCAGCCTCCCGCGCATTGGGAATCGGCTGATCGAAACCGAGGTATATAGCCGTGCTATCACGGTCGATGGGCCATGACGTGCCGCTGTACGCGGCGCCGCCCAGTGAGCTCACGTTGAGGCGGTCATAAGCGTCCATTAGGCGGTCGATATTTCGCGAGAGGTTGTAGTAGTGGGCGTTGAGGTAGTGATCTATGGTGGTTGGCTGGGAGTGCTGCAGGTGCGTGTAACCTGGCATAAGGGCGCCGGCATGGCGTTTGGCTGCTGCTAGGATGGCGGCACCGAGGTCAATAAGCTCCTGGATAACTCCTGTCAACCCTTTTCGGTTCACAAGACGCCAGTTGGTCGCCTTCTGGTCAATACGGCTGCGGGCTCGCTGGATATCACGTCCGCTAGGACCCAGCGTCGCCTCCAGGTATCGCTCAATCTGGAGTCCCAAAGTCCCGGTCCTGGGGTCCGACCTGAGCAGTGCGGCTGTGTCTCCTGTTCGGAGGTCGAGCAGGGCCTGGACAATGTCTCTTCCTTTGCGTGCGTCAAAGATGCCGGTGCGAGTAAGCATGACGGCGTGGGCAAGATCGGTCAGTACGTACTCGTCCAAACTGACTAATTCGTCTTCAAGCTCGAGCCCATTGACATGTGTGATTAAGAGCTGCGACGCCTTGGTTCCCAAGCGATTCTCTGCAAGGGATACTTGGCGCGGCTCTTTGTCGATGTCATCATCAAGGCGTTTCCGCTTGTGTGTTGCCGTTAGGCTCGCCGTCGCTGCTGTTGCCGACATAATGGTCCCCAATTAGCTAGTATCCTTGTCCACAGGTTTCTCAGGGGCGAGGCGGCTGTGGTAGAGTTGCTAATGCAGTCGGAGAAAAATTCACAGAGAATGTCTAAACGTCTGCCCTTCAATGACTAAACTTCATTCATAATCTATCTAGTGGAAAGGGTAGGAGAAGACTTCTTTATTGTAGCCAGCCAAAACAATCTATCCTCCTGGCTTACCTTAATTGTGGTGGGTTCCTTGGCTGGTCCTCCCTAGTATAGCCAAGCGAGCCATGGGCATTCCCGGGGAATGGCGGCAGCTCTGGGGAGTGGCGGCATCATCCTCATGGTGGCCGGGGAGTGTTGGCAACCCTCGGGGAATGGTGGCAGCTGCGGGGAATGGCGGCAACGGCTGGGCCACACAAAGGGTGTGAGAACTAGGGGAGAATGAGATTGGCGCCGATCCACGACTAATTTTACAATGGACGAGAGCTAGACAGGGTGGGTATCTATGAATACACAGTCCTCCCCATCCGAAGATTTATCGGGTGAACCGAGCTAACCCGATTGTATCCCGTGATGAATCTATCCCCATGGGGCCAGACGGCAGCAAAGTTTGCAGACCGGATCCCATCCCCCTGTCATACATGCCTCTAATATCTTGCTAGCGCCAAAGAGAGTCTCTTCCTCTGAATGGCAACTATAAAGCGTATCGCTCTTCACCTCCCCTTGAGCCTTATTGAGTTGCGCAACTACAGATTCGGTAGTGAGACAAAGCCAAGCAGAGAAACACTTACTTACCCATTATTCTTATTTTCGCACAGATCAAGAGCATAAGCAAACATCTATCCAATATGGGATTCCGAAACAGAGCTTCGAAAAGCCCTGAGGAGCTTATGGCTGAGAATATCCGGCTTGTTGGTCGAGATATCGCTTCGGTATGTTGAGCCCTGATCACCGCCATTATGCATAATAATCAGTTACTGGAAACATTCATGTGACTAACCTTGAACTCCTATTTGCCATAGGCCCTCCCCGAGAACCCAAGACCATGGTGGCAAGAGCAGCATCTGTTGCGCTTGAACATGCTGCTTTTGGTGGTTATGATGGCGGCTGCTACAGTTGGATATGATGGTACTGATCCTCTGCCTATCGACTTCTATAAACGCCACCCCTTTGGATTATCAAAGATGATTGATAATCATCATGTGCTGACCGACCCTCTGTCCTATAGGTGCCATGATGAACGCCCTGCAGATCAATCCCGAATGGAAGTCATATTATAATAATCCGGCAAAAGCTAAACTCGGCGCCATCAATGCCATGATGCCTGCCGGAAAGATCATTGGGTTCTTCTTTGTTGCTCCGTTCTCCAACCGCTTTGGGCGCAAAAAGGCACTTTGTCTAGCTTTTGTCATCACTGTCATCGGCGCTGTGATCCAGGCCGTCTCGATAAACCTTGGCCTGCTCATTTTCGCCCGTTTCGTCCTCGGATTTGGCTGTGGTGTCATGTCTCAACCCAGCCCCATCTTGTTAGCTGAGCTTGCTTATCCTACCCAGCGTGGCAAGATCACGGCCTTGTATCATTGCTTCTATGTGAGTGTTGCCCTATCGTCTACGGAAGACCTCTGGAGGCCCGTACATGTCATAGAAACTAACTCATTGATAAAAGTTCATTGGAGCTATTGCCGCAGCTTGGATCACCTTTGGCACACTTAGAATGTCAGGATCCTGGAGCTGGAGAATCCCAACGCTACTCCAAGGGGCTGCTCCCTTGATGCAGTTAATTTTCTCGTACTGGCTCCCTGAGTCGCCTAGGTACCTAACCCGTGGAAATTTCCGCCACCCCTTTGTTATCTTAGAACATACTAGAAGCAATACTGACGTAATTTCGTATTGTTTTAGGTTTCTCGTGGCAAAGGGTCGAGATGAGGAAGCCCGTGCCTTGCTCGTTAAATACCACGCTGCTGGCGACGAGAATTCATCCTTGGTAGAACACGAGATGATCCAGATTCGAACCGCTGTTCGGGACCAACATAACCAGGAGAAGCGACCCTCCCTCAGAAAGATGGTCTCTAGCCCTGCCAACCGCATGCGTCTCACTATATCCGGTATGGTTGCTGTCAGCGCTCAGTGGTCGGGAAACACGGTTGTGTCCTACTACTTGACACTGGTTCTTGACGGAGTCGGAATTAAGAACGCTACGCACCAATCTCTCATCAATGGAGGCCTGCAGATCTTCAACCTCCTGGCTACCGTCGGGTGCGGAGCTATGCTTGTCGATGTTCTAGGCCGTCGTCGCCTCTTCCAATGGTCTGCGATTGGTATGACCGTGTCATACATCGTATGTGAAATCTCCCCACCACATGCTGTATTCTTCCCACTCGCATTGTGTCTGACCAGCTACTTCTAGATCTGGACCATCTTGAATTCTCGTTTCGATGCCACTGGTTCCGCCAGCTTTGGATATGCTGTTATTCCCATGCTGTTCATTTTCTACTTCCACTACGACATTGCCTTAACCCCTCTGCTATATTCATATCCGACTGAGCTCTTCCCTTATGAATGGCGCAGCTGGGGGGTGGCATTCACCCTAATAATCACCAACCTCGTCCTTATAATCGGTCAAGTTTGCAATCCTATCGCGTTGGCCCAGTTGGGCTGGAAATACTATATCCTCTTCTGTGTACTAGACGCGATATTCATCATTGAGGTCTGGCTTCTTTTCCCTGAGACCAAAGGCAAGTCTCTGGAGGAGCTGGCTGATATTTTCGGTCGCTTGGACAGGAAAGCTCCTGCAGATCCCGGCAGTAACGAGGCTGCCATGGAGGAGACTGTCAAGCATGAAATGGACAAAGGGAACGTTGTATATGTAGATTCTCGATAAATGTACAATCAAAACTCCCAGTAACGGGTGGGTGGAATATGGCCCCTGGCTTGTTACAGGAAGCCATTGCCGTGGTAGGCCTGGAAAATGAAAAAGCAGAAGTAACTGAGAATTTAAAAGAAATGTAACTTATATGCATTCCTCTTTCTTGCTACAAATAAGGGAATTCCTAAGATGAGGTTACACTTGAGTCGTGACTACCAAGTATGATAGCCAATTTTCCCCAATGCTTATAGCGACGAACTTTGGCCAGATCATCGATTTAAAACCACTGTACAGGCGGAAAGGGTTATTCCACCATGTTTGATGCATGCCACGTTTATAAAAGTGTACAGAACAAATGAGAGCAATTTCGCTAGATGGGGTCTATGGAAGAAAAACAAGCTGGGACAACCTAAGCCGCTAGAAGGAACGCATTTTTTGGGTTATATGCATAGGTGTAAAGTAAGAGAGAAAAAGAAACTCAGAATTGTATTTTTGTGGCCATACTAGTAGGTCTCATCACGGACCATTGGCCAGTGTTAAGATGATATTGGTGTAGGTTTTGCAAGACGGAAACTCTTGCAGCCAGTAGTCAAATGTAGAAAGCGTCTTGCTAACACCAGCTTCCCAACCTTCCGGCATGGCTAACCCGTTGACTTTGGATGCGGCGAGTAGGAAGCTCGTCTCCTTTAGTTGATTCCGGAGCTGCAGCCACGTCCCGTGGTGTCGATGGCTCGTGTGGCTATGCTCGAGATATTTCAGGGCATTGAAAAGAGCCTTTTCAGCCAGAGCGTGGACAACAGGGCCACAATCTGGGTCGTGAAGGGCTGTAAAGAGAAAAGGCCTATGCATCAGCTCTAGAACCCGATAGTAGCGCCCGCGCGTGTATTGCTTCCACTCCGTATCTGCTGACGCAGGGACGTCTGGAAACTGCATGGCATGGGGGAGCTGCTCGCGAAATGCGTGGACTTGATGCTCAAACTCGGCTATGACTGGTATCAGCTCCTGGATATCGGGGCATTCGTTGGAGTTCAGTCTTTTGGTAATGTGTTCAGCGGCAACCTCTGAAACCTGGTCTGCGATTCGTCGGAGAGCAATCTCAGATAGAAAGAAGTACCAGCTGTCTTCCTCTTGTACTGACCATTCGTCCCGGCCAATGCTTTCGATACGTGGTGGTAGTGGGTACGCATCAGGTGTTCCAGGTCCTGTTAAGGACGGGGGATTGACTGGCAGCTCGGTGATAAGCTCACTATTGAGATGTCAGTTGTGCGGCATACATAAACCAGTGTTTTTGAGGAGTAATCTCACCGTTCTGAATTAGAACAGGCCCAGAAGAGTTTTAAATAGAGCTGATACGTTTCCTGAGACGTGTTGAGACTTAGAATAGGTAATTGTAAGCATAAGAAGACATTATAGGCTTTGAAATTTAGAAAATAACATACCTAGTCGACATTAGGATTCTTAGTGAGGACCCCGCAGCGTGGAATATGCGAGAGGCTTGCATGGGCCTGAGGGTGAACATGTGGTATATCCTGCGATACCGTCAGGATCAGCTTCGGCAAGTACAGCTGACTTACTTTCGTTGGAGTCATAGTACATACCCGGCAAGGCAAAGGCACTGGATCGCCTGCGTACTGACTTCAGTCAGGGCTGGCCCAAGACGTTTCTCCGCTGCATCAAAATAGCAACGACCCAACTGCAGATCCTCGAGCCTCAAGGATGAGAACCGCGCTGGAGCAGCAGGGCTTGATGTTGCATCGGGTGGAGAGTATTCCATTGCAACAGCTCCGAGAGCACAGGTTAGAAGTACAATGCAAGTTTCGAGGTCGAACCGGGGGCCATCCTCATAGTAGTTTTGGCAGTATTGGGTTACTATTCGTCGACTCAGTATCGGATTCTTGTTGTTAACTCTTTTGAAGAAGCGGTCTACAAGCACTTCAATATCTTCCCTCTCGCTAGAGATATGAGTACCCCTGTTCGGATTGGTTGAAAAGTTCCCTGGTGATTGAGATGTTGATGGCTTAGACTCTGTGAAGATATCATCGAGATATGTATACGTTTCCGCTCCGTGAGAATTAATGAATTGAAACCGTTGACATGAGGATAATAACCTTTCAAATATAGGCCATTGTAGAATCTTACCAGTGGCCGCTTTGAAACTCGGCTCTAGGTTGAAGCTGGTCGTGACACAATCTGTATCCGAGGAGTTGCTCCCACGCGTATCCGGCAGGGCCAACAGTGACTGCCATAGCTGTGTGCGACTGCCCGAAGAAGGTCCCTCGCCGAGAGAAGAGGGTATCTGTATATTTCTCACCAAGGCCTCAATGACAGAGAGCTGTTCCATAATTTTAAGAGATGCGGGATCAAAGGCTGATGCATCCAGCTTGGTATATGAACACGGGATCCCCATCTGCTCACAACTCGAGCAGCTTGGTCGTAGATTATCGCTAGAGAATTTATCATGAAAAACTTAGTGTTTGAAACGCATAAGTAAAGGTCTGATTGGAAAACACATACCATTTCCGTTTCTTTTCTCGGCAAGTTAGGCATGCCGCCACAGCTCGTCGACGGGGGTAGCCAGTCCTTGGAAGTACACGTCGACCTTCTTCTTCCATAGCTTTGGCCGTTTAAATACCTGTTCTTAGGAAAAGAATGGAATAAATGAGTGAGGTGGTGTGCGCCTGGATATTGATAGAGAAACTTTGAGTGCGTCAAGCTTGCATGGTCCAAGCAATGTTCTAAAGCTAAGTTTTACGTCACGTGCATAGGTGCTGCTGATATTTACCCAATATTAGTAACTCGCTAGAAATATAGCGCACAACGATCCACATTATTAGATATACTATTTGCAAGTTTATACAGAAAATATTAGAGTAATTATTAGTAGATAGTACTTATAAGTATTTAAAATTAATAGAAATTGAGATACTAAATTTATTTTATATTTTTAGTTCAAGTTAATTTCTTTACCTCTTAAGAATAACTGAAGAAATTTAGAATTAATAATACTAATATTCTTTAATATAGTCTTACTTTTTTTTAGGGGGTTTTTTTAAGAAAAAAATTATTATTAAGCTAAATATATATAATATGATAAAGTTAATATAACAGTCAAAAGTCTTATTTCAATATATAAATATCTTAAAATTACAAATTGTCTCTGATGTTTTAAGTTGTTACATGGACTTGAGACAAGAAATTGGTCCCTTTCCGAAGCCTGCTATATATGTACTTGTCTTCGCCATCATTACTGAAAAGCCACTCAAAGCCACAATATCCAATGATGGCAGAGGCTATCTATAATCCCACTGTAACAACCAGTGGCCCGGCTTCATCGAAGTACCCGATGGTTGTTCTGCAGCTACTCAAAAAAGAATTGTTGCCCTGTAAGCTTTTCACTCAACGTCCACAGACGATCCGCGTCCACGGCATCCCTGGTCCAGCAGTACACCTCCTTGATGTCTACTACTGCACTGTTGGCGAGATACGCGCCATTTTGATCCTTCAGGTCGGGCGAGAACGCACCAAACACATAGGTCGATGCACCTTGGGATGGTGTCTGGAACTTGGGCCAAATCCAGTACTTGGAGTGGCCCTGCTGGTGGTCGAGTTGATCTGTGGAATTGAGTGTGATTAGTCTGCCACCGTCTTGATCCCCATCTGGGGCTGGACAGCAACGTACCCAATTCCTGAATATCCCCATCAGCCATGTATCTGGCCAGATGAGTGTCCATGATCACACCCGGATGAAGGCTAACAGCGGTCAAGTTCCGGTGGCCGAGTTTATCTGCCAACGCTTTGGTATACAGCATCAACGCCGACTTGGATTGCCCGTACGAGAGCCATCGATTATAGTTTTTGCCTTCCTATATCGTATTGAAATGAGCAGCTGAGTCTCGACGATGCTTGAGCTGGCCATCACTCACACCAAAGTCTAGGTCCCCAAAGCGTACCGGGCTGAAGCGACAGCCTTCGCTGGAGATATTGACAACTCGGATAGGTAGGCCCCTAGCGAGCATATCCGGTAGAAGGAGGTTTGTGAGGACGAAGTTCCCAAGATAATTGATTGCAAACGTGCTCTCAATTCCATCGACGGTCTTGGAGAATGGAGCCGCCATGATGGCGGCACTGTTAACGATTATATCAATCTCCTCATCGAGGGAGCGGATCTTCTCAGCCGATTCTCGAACTTGACCAAGAGACTCGAGGTCCAGATGAACGTTGTGGGTTCTGATGGATGGGTTCTTCGCCTTGATTGCCTGTGCTGTTTCCTCACACTTGGCAAGATCGCGGCCGGCCAGGATGAAACATGCTGGTTGGTACTGTGCGATCCCAATCGCAAAGACCGCGCCGAGACTCTTGGGGCTTGCCCCGGTCAGGAAAATAGTCTTGCCGATAATTTCCGCCTTGAGGTCCGCTGCAACCTCCTCGGTGGTTGTCTCGTCGTTGTAAGAAGGCATGGCGTTGGTTTGTATTGTGGAAAAATGGGAGCACAGATTGAAGTCTTGAAGATATCTTGACAGGGTTCAGAGGCCGGCTCCTAGCCGGGATTTATACACGCGTTGCCCTTGAGGCACTGCTATATTGGATGAAGTCTTTTGTGCCGAACGATATCTTTCGTGATCCATTTTCTCCTCTTTTGACCGAATTTGCAAGCAACGACTGCCGATTTGGGACAAAACGTAGAACATCAGTCGGAGTTCCGCGGTGATCAGACGCGACACTTGTAAGCAACAAGGTGTCCATTAGTTTGGCAAGTTAATGTGGGCACTGCAAAACCAGTCTTCCCCTTTCTGGCCGATTTATTTCGTATTGGTTTCCTCTTTGAGTGCTTTGTAATCCTGCCGCTGGGTCCCATCGATCGATTAATGTCCCCTGTTCTCATGCAAATCATGCTTTTGCTGGTCTGTCGCCGTCAGGGAGTCAAAATCTAACCATCGACCCTCGCATAATTTCCAAATTCGATTGAATTTCTAGCAATTGCTGCCCGTTCATGGTCAACGACTTATTTGTTGAGACGCGGGGTTACCATGGCGCCCGCTCCGACTGAGATTGTCTTCTCCCTTGCCCAGGGCACCAACAATACCACCACTAGCCAAGCACATTCTTTCAGTTATCAAAATGGTCCCGTCAAGGTTCCTGGGCCGTGGAAACGAGGACGCCCACGGATTGGTAAGCTCTCACTTGGAGCTCGCGATTTGACAGAATGTAGACTTACCGTCGTCATTAGCCGAGAAGAAGGTTGCAGAGCCATCATTCCAATTTATCGAGACCTCCAAGGAGAAAAGACAGATAGATGCTGCGTCTCGTTCCAAGATTCGTAGTCATGCCAGGAAGAAAAGAGCAGATCCTGAAAGTGAATTGCCCAGAACTTATCACCATGAAATGGAGAAAGAAGCTAATCATTCGGATAGCCTCCCAACTGCCGCCTAGGGGCGTCTTTAAGGGAAACTTGCAACAAATCTCGGGCGCGGATCCCTTTGGCACAGCATGCATTCCTCTAGATTCCTACATGCTCGATCTTCTCTCTCTCCGTACGTAGCATGCTCACCCTTCAGTCTTTTTCCTTGCGGTAAAATGGAGCTCAGAGACACTGACATTCGCAGTCTCCACCAAATTATGGACGTATATGTACTCCTTGGAGGAAGTTGGCGGTTGGAATCCGATTCAAAACTATTGGCTCCCCATAGCCTTTCACGATGCCGCGCTCATGCACTCTTTCCTTGCATGTACTGACTCGTATGTGAAGGGATATGCAGCTGGCGAAGTAGGGGCGTTTGGGTTGCACCATCTTCAACAAGTCATATGTATCGTAAACAAACGCCTCACCAAAGCCGAGACTTCGATATCTAGAGGAACCATCGCAGTTATTTCTGGAATCTCGTTGCTCGAGGTAAATATGGACTTTGAACCCGATATCTTACCGTTGCTCCAACACATTAACACCGTTGTAGCAGGGCCCTGGGCGCCACCGCCACTGGAGGACACATATGAAGGGTTTGAAGGCTTTGGTGGAACTTTCTGGTGGTTTGGACTCATTTGCGTCGGAACCATTGATTATGCAAAAGATATACCGGTGTGTCTGTTGCGATTTTGTTATGAAAAGGCGAGGGCTTGGCTAACCGATCATGTCGCAGGGCGGACCTGTATGGCTCCATGGATGCTGGAGAGCTCCCATTTTTCAGCGGACCAGTTGGAGTTATTGATAATATGTATGGGTTAGTTTCTCGCATGAAGAACTTTTCCTGCTTGGGGATTGAGAGTATCTCTAACATAACTGCGCGAAGTATGGAGAATCGCAACAACCGAGACGACACACAGACTCTCTATCCCCTTCCATCAACCGGTGATGACCGTCCTCTCGCCACCCTAAAAGGGGGGCTACAGAGCGAAAAGCTCGAGCTGATATGCGACACATTTGACCCCGATCTGTCTTTGACCCCTTGTATCCGAGGGCTAGACGAAATATCGCACTTTTGGATAACGAGGAAGTCAACTTCTCCTCAGACCGATTCTGGCAGTGCTAGCACAGGCGGAGATGACCCATCACGTCACGAAATAGCACAAATCAGACGCCTACTGACTGGTATACAATATAAACTTGTTTTGGCCGCCGAGAGTCAGCATGAAATGGACTGGTGCCCTTTCCAGAAAGCAATTTATGAGCTTCTGAGGCTAACTCTCATCATCTACGCACTGACGATACTGAAAGAACGCCCGCAAACGACATCCATTGGAAAGACGGTTTCTAGCTCCTTTCTTCGAGCGTTCATCACTGCTGTTGAAGTGGCAAAGCACGTTCAAGTTTCCCAATCAGACCTGTCGGAGGCTAATGAGACCCGGAAGAGAATCGACACATGCCCATTTTCTCCGTTGCAGGCTCTTGTCCCGATCGACTTTTTCCTGTGGTCGATTTTCCTCGCGGTTTCGCTTCTACCAACAGGAAGTGAATTTCGGGAAGGGAAAGAAGTGAAGACGGCACTTCTGAAAGTATTCTCCAGTCTGGTCGGTATCCAAACTCAGCAACGAGATGAGATAAAGTCCCAGATCTCTCAATATTTATGGATCTCATATGTTCACAATGATATGTTTGATTCCTTTTGGTCTGACCTTGGAGATTTGGAACCGAGTACAACCTAGGCCACTGTAGTCTGTCTAGACCACACCTACTAGTATATCTTTAGATACAGAGTAGTCTTGCATAAATTGCATATATAATATTTTCAAAAAGGATTTTTAAATGCATTAAAACATATTTAAAATTTTCCTAGCTAAAAGTAAGAGTAATAAGAAAAACAGTATTAACTTGAAGCTTTCGTGATATCTTAACCATAGTGAACATAGTAAAAGAGATCGTAAAAAATATAGCATTTCCTCCCAAGAATGGGCATATATCCTTGAAGAGGAAAAGAGAAAGCTACATTATGTACTTCTTTCCACTTTTCCTATCCCGATGAATTATATCTCATATTTGGAACTGTAGGCGAGTGAAGTCATTGGTCTTTTTTCACACCTTGACTATGAATCAATGAACGCGCTTGAAGGTCCACATGTGACCTCGAGAGTCCACTGATGATTGCCGAGAGACAAACGACTGAAGGGTATTATTTTCAATAACCTCGTTCTCGATAAGTCTTCCAATCTCCTGGACCTTTCCATTTCGTGACTCATATCGAACTACTGTTGCGATCTTGTGAATGTTCCACTACGAAAATAATTATCTGACTTCTTAGATCTATTTCCGCAACTGGCGTTAGTGTATGGAGTTGCCTAAAAAGAAGCCAATCCCAATGATAAATCAAGAGAAGCTACGATTGAGCCTACTCGGATCTGAGACCAACTTCGCTGTAGGCTGCCTCTGGACTACCAGGCCTAGAAAATGTTTGATTTAGTAGTAGCAAGGCTGCGCGGACGTCAGAGCACCATGGTTGTTTTGTCTCAGGGTCGTCAGGGGAAAGGAACACAACAAAGAGAGACTTAATCCGGGACACCGGGAGAGCTGACTCAGAGTCAGGCAAGCTGAAGCCTTTAAGAATGGGCATGATGGTAGGTGGTAAGAGGTCAGAGTTGTGGAAATATACTCAAGAAGTAAGAATGCCTTAGAATGGGCGTCTGTAGATTTAAATTCTATGATAGGTTAAGATTTTTTGTACCTTTAAGTCAAAGAGTAACAACCAGTTTTTTAGCAGAAACTCCTCTTCTCAGCGTATCCACAGCCTCCTGGATGTTATCCAAGCCCTCACCGACGATCTGAACCTCTGAAGCTGCAATAATGCCGCCATATTTCAGGGCCTTTGGTAATACCGGAGAGAGTTTTGATAGAAAGTTAAAATAAAAGAAGAAGTCAGACCTAATAACTTAATATAATAAATACAAAAGATTAAAAAAAAGCTTTACTAGCCTAAGGCTATAGTTATACAGTAGAAAATTCTATAAACCTTTATACTAATAACTCGCTTACTATTAGGATAAGCTATATATCGAATAACTATTAAAGCTGCTCTCTTTATCTGGCTTCCTTTATTTATCTTATATTATACTAATCTATATACTTTAATATATTAAGTATAAGTCTTTTCAGATACTAACTAACCTAGTAAGTATTAGTAGTCCCTTAGCCAGAGTACTAATACTAATATACCTATAGCTTTTACTATTTATCCTGATAATCAGGATATTATAGTAGATAATAAGATCCTAGTACCTCTTATTAAAGATAAGAAAATAACCTAATTAATAATATCTAAGCCTAAGGTTAGTACTAGTAATCCTAAGCTTACTAGCTTTACTAAAGTTATTAATATAGATATAGTTAATAAGCTGGATAAAAATAAGCTTAATAGTCTCTCTACTAAGTAGCTTATTACTCTCTATAACTTCGGATAAGATATTCTTAGATATATATCTGAGGATAAACTTAATACTTAGATTATCTTAGTATTAAGAAGTTAGGAGTTAGATTAGTTCTTATTTCTTATATTTAAAGTAGTATTATTCTAGTAGAATACTATTAATAAGAAGAATAAGTAGGGCTACCTAATAATAAGAAGGGAGGAAAAGATATAGAAGAAATCAGGGTTCAGAAGATAGTATTAATAAAAAAAGCTTTTAAACCTTTAATATAATAAAAGATAATACAGTAAGGGCAGGGCCTTTGGTAAGTACTCCGTGAATATATACTTTGCGATGCCATTGCCAATTGTTGGCTCGATATCAACATAAGCTGATGATACACCGTTAAATAGCCCCCCGTAACCTGTAGGCCACGGTCCAGGTTATAAAGGAAGCCATGATTTGAAATACTGGTAAAAATCTTGGCTCTTGATCTGGCACCGGGAACGTAGCTATAGCCACGTGCTTCCGTTCTGCTTTGCACTTGACTAGGACCTCCATACACTTTTCTGCAGCCCCTTTACCGATAGCTACGGCCCCGACCAGATTTTTTCCGGCGAGTTCGTCTGCCATTTCTTGGACGGCAGTGGCATCCTGATAGTCTCATGCGTGTGTAGCGCCTATTTTTTGCATCAAGGCATGGTTGTGTGTCGAAGCGGGAATATATACCTCGTACCCGGCGGCGACAGCAAGCTGGATAGCGCAGCACCCAACGCTGGAAGATCCACCCCATATGATAACTGCCTTGCCAGAAGATGGCCTTGCCTGCTGCTCTGGAAGGTAGAGACCGAGCTGCGCCCTGTCAAACAGTGCAGAAGAAGCCGTCAACATTGCCAAGGGAAAGAGAGAGGCTTCTGGGTATGGGGTCTCTGAAGTTGTGATATTCGAGGTCAGGTCTTCCTATAGGACAGTATAACTTTGGAATGCGCCTTGGGCAGGGTCGTTGACAGCAGCTGATGTACTGCGATAAAGACCGAAGACGCGATCTCCAGGGCGGATTCGGGTGACGCCGCTGCCTACCGAGACAACTAAGTGTAACCCTGAGAGACCTTGTGGAATTTGCACCAGGCTCGGTCGGCCACCGGCGAGTTGTACCTACCCAGCTCCCGAGCCAGGACCGCCATATGCCACATCCAGCAACGATCTCCTGGTCTCCATGGAGGTAAATGACCAAGACTCATATCGACAATCACCCACAAGCAAGGGTCCAACTACCTCAGCGCAAACCGCATATCCTACGAAAATATCTCAAGGTAGAACTTTCCCGTTTCCATACCAGTCGAGTGATTCCGTTCTGACTTCGTTGATATCTTGTTAAGGGATCACCCAACCATCCAGCGCACATGCATTTTTACCAAGTGTGTTGAACAGAGAAGCAATGCTATTTTATAGCGAACCAGGCTTTCTTCAGCTAATTGGGGGACGTGATCTTAATTTCACAAACCTAGGTCAAGAGCCAGAGGCTGTTAACGTGCAATAGGAGGCCCGAAAGGACCTGGAAGCCTACTATAGCATACACAGTTTTCCAATTTAGCAGTGTGTTCAACAGAACCATTTAGCTGGCTACAAGACACCCGGAGAGAACTAGCCCAGAGCCATGGAGAAAATGTATATATATTTCGCTATCTAGATACGGAGACCAGCTGTTTCAAGTAGTGGTAAGATCTTGCGACCAAAGTAGTCGAGGTCTGGCGCAAAGTCATAAAAGTTCATCTGAATGCCATCTACTCCTGTCTTGTGTAGGGCCTTGATCTGCGCTACTACCTGCTCGGGAGAGCCGATGATTTCTATATTACCACCGAGGTTCCGGCCCTGTTTGTGGTTGGGGTCTTTTCGCCCTCGCCAACCATGGGCATCGCTCTTATACGCGTTTGCGTTGTTGTTGAACTTGGAGCTGCCAAGTGACCCGCCACTGCCTTCGGCGATGCTGTCCGCATAAGCCTCTGCCTCCCCCGGCGTGTCGCGGGAGACGATGATAGGGTTGATAAGTGTTTTGACTTTCCGTCCAACTGCTTTGGCTGCCTCCTTAATGGTGGCAATATGTGCGGGCAATGTCTCGAGAGCGCTGTCGATATGAGCTCCGCCCGGTGATGTGATGAATATGAGATCGGAGTACTTGGCCGCAAAGTCAACTCCAGCGGCTGAACCTGTAGCGTTTACTAGAATGGGCCGGCCGTATAGAGGCTTCGTTGTAATCCAAGCATTTTCTATCCGCCAGCCATTCTCAGCTACCTTTGCTTCATAGGTCAGGTTTTCCGTCTCACCCCAGAGACTATTAACGACATCAAATAACTCGCCTGCCATCGCATAGCGTTTATCATGTTCGATCTGTTGTCGACCAAACATCTCAGCCTCAACAGTGCGATGGCCAGTGACAATATTAATCCCCCAGCGACCCTTGGAAATATGGTCTAATGTGGCGCCCCATTTTGCGATGTGTAAAGGGTGCAGCGGGATGGATATTGCTTGGGGTGTATTCACTCTTTTGCAGTATCGTGCTCAGTCGTTTGCGGAGGTTGCCACCTATCGCTTTTTCGTAGGGTTCTTTGAGGCTGGATTCTCTCCAGCTGTACACTATGTTCTTGGTAAGTAAACTCAGCATCTGCTTTCGCCTATTTTTAATTTGACTGACTTGTGAGTTTAAAGGTTCATGGTACCGAGGCCACGAGATAAATAGACGAGGCGGGCTCTTCTATTCTGGGTATGGCTTGGGTTCCATGACGTCCAGCCTCATTGCTTCCGCTGCATCAGCAAGGCTCGAGGGAGTTCACGGTATGGCTGGCTGGCGATGGTTATACATCGTATGTTTTGCCATGACTATCCCCGTTGGAATCTTGGGCTACTTCCTGATCCCGGGAACCCTTGCAAAACCCAACAAAATCCTCCTGAACGAAGAGGAGCTCGAGATCGCCAGAAAACGACTCGAGCGCGACGGCCACAAGGTCGGGGCCAAGCTAAAATTCCATCACATTAGACATACCGTTAAGACGACACGGTTCCGGACAGTCGTCCTGATAGACATCCTTTGGAAGAGCGCTGGTGCCTATAAGACACAGAGGGCATATCTCCTTTGGATTAAGAGCTTGAACCGGTACAGCAATGATATATTCAATGAACTTGGCTCCATCGCTCCAGGCCTTGGGATAGCCTGGGCATTGATAGCTTGCTTCGCCTCCGATCTCCTCATCGGACCAGTTTGGGCCATTTCTTTTCCATCCCTCTGGAACACAGTTTGTTGTCTTATCCTAACCATATGGAACGTACCGGAAAGCGCCAAGTGGTTCGCATTCACTATTTCATTTTAGGCGAATGGAATGTCAGCAGTCTTTCATGGCTGGGTCAACGCCCTCCTTCGAGATTCACCCGAAGAGCGTGCGTTTACACTAGTTACTATCAACACGTTCGCCGAGGCTTTCAGCGGGTTTATTCCTCTAGCAGTCTTCAAGACAGTTGAGTCACCTACCTTTCCTAAGGGGTATCCGTTCTGTCTTGCTTGCGCGATTGGGGTGATTATCTTTACACTTGCACTAAACTGGTATGAGAAGTAAACTACGTAAGTTTCCGAATTGCACAAGAGCCTCAGTTAAAATTACTAATCACACACAGTAAGGAGAGAGCGCCGATCGAGGAAAGTGGGACCAACATTGAAACTGGAAGTGAACGGGACGGAGAGCAGGTTGCTGTTAGTATCAACCCTAAGAAGTAGAATAATTGACACTTCTTTGGGTTGAATTGCCGTCAGGATCACCGATAAAAACAACTGTACAAACTATCTATATAGGTTTTGGCCCATTAATTGGGGTTATTGGGTTATCTCCTGCTTGTTTCATGATAAAAGCAGATAGCATTCATCCATCAACTGTTGGGCTTGCTTGTGGCGGCTGCGCGGAATGCTACTTCGCCTTTGGCCATTACATAGATAACCCCGCCGGTTTTATGATATGCCATCTCGTTGCCACCAATCCTGTAGCACCACGCATAGGAAATATCCTCATTTCCTAGCGTGGTGCCTGGATCGATGGCATGTTTCGTGAAGAGGTTGGGCCTTGGCTGCCAAGACCGAGAGAAGCGACAGTGCTGGATTACTTATCATGTTTAGTCGGTATTAATGCAATGCACAAACAAATGAGACTAAGAAAAAATTTGGAAGGTTCAGATGGTTTAGATAAGTGGAATGTGCATAAGAGAAAGTTTTGAAATAAATGAATGACACCCTTATCCATCAAAGGTGAAGGATTTGGATTTCATTCATCCTTGAGCCCCTATCACTGACCATCGAACTGCAAAGAACGCTTCTGGTCTTTGCGCCTTACTAGATACCACGAGGTAAGGATCATGCAAACACCAACGACGAGGAACGACATGCAAATGCCGTACGAGACGCGATAGCTTGGCCCAAAAACAGAGCTGTAGACATGAGGCCCAACGATGCCGCTAAACTGGGCCATTGCATTAGTCCACCCTATTCCAATGCCTGCAGCAACTGTGCCTTCCAGGGCTCGAATACGCTCGGGCCAGATGACCGGGTACGCAGATCCAGCGCACGAAATGGCCACGATGAGAACAATGTAGCGCACAGTGGGGATAGAAACAGTGAATAGAATGACGTAACAGACCATGATTGTAACTTCGACTGTTAGAATGTTAGTATCTGTGAGCGTATAGTAATGGAGATTAGGCTATTGAAGACCCAACATACTTCCTATTGCAGTTGTCCATGGACGAAGAATCTTTTTATGTAATAAATAGCCGATGATGTTGAGGAATACGCATGCGGCGACATATGGGGGCTTTCACTTTGATATTAATCCCCTGTCAACGGCGAAAAAAAGAGGAGTTCTTACCATATTCATGAGCTGGGTATTCGCTGTCGTTGTGAAACCTAGATCATAAATGACCGTGGGTAACGCAACGCCCACTCCAAATCCTCCAATTCCGTGACAGATCCAAAACACGGAGAAGGTATAGAACGTGGGGTCTTTGACAAGGACAAGCAAAGACTTATAGTCCCAATTTCCCTTCTTTCCTTGTGGCGCGGTTTTCACCAAACGGGTCGTGGCATATTTGCGTTCTTCCTCATTCAGTAGCTTGGCGGTCTCTGGGTAATTCGGTAATTTCCAGAGTGCAACAAATGACAGAATGATCGCCGGAAGGCCTTCTAGAAGGAAGAGCCATCGCCAGCCCGGAAGGCCCCCGAGGCCATCCTACGAACATGTCAATAAATCTTGATAGATTGGACTGTTATTGGGAGGCGGACGTACCATGTATCCAATGGCATACGCAAGCAGGCCGCTAACAGCACCGGCGACCTGTCCAACAGAATAGAATATGGCTATACGCTGCGGCATCTCGCTCGGTTTATACCAAAATGCCATGTGAAATAGGACACTAGGGTAAAATCCTGCCTCAGCCATTCCAAGTGCGAAGCGAAGGCACATCATGCCCTTGAAGCCTTGAACGGCAGAGGTACATGAAGCGCACACGCCCCAGAAGAATATTATGAGAAACATCCATCTTGATGGACGAACAGCTTTGAGCATGATTGTGTTCGTAGGTTCAAACACCATGTAAGAATAGGAGAACATGGATTGCGTCCATGACCACTTTGACGCGTCGAAACCGAGTTGTTGGCGAATGTTGGTGCCATTTTCGAGGTTGATGATGGCTGCATTGGCGTAGTTGGATGAATCCAGGACTCGGAAGATATATACCTGATTTTCTTCAGCGAGTATTCTCCAAGGCTGGTATCTGCCTCTTGCTCACAAACGAATAGAATCCCACCAGCCAGAAATCGGCCTTTTTGAAGAAGCTCTTCTTCACTTGCGGAGTAGGTTCTACGAAGCTGTGGTCCGACGCATCGTCGGTATTGCTGGGAGCCGACTCGACTGCCACAGTCTCCTGACGTTTCGTACAACTACCGGGGTCTGCCATCACATTTGATTCTTTGCTTTCTGGTATTGAAAAGACCTGAAATGAAGAATAGGGGCGGAACCACAAATGCCAAGCGAGCAAAGAAGCACTTAAATATGAGATGAATGATAAGATGAACTAGCCTACACTGTACGGCTCAAAATGCTGGTAACTGTAGCTCCACATACATGTGGGACAGTTGCAGACACTCTTTTGTTATTGTGTTGCTAGCCGAGAAGCCCTTTCGGTCTATGGTGATATGGTATGTGAGAATGTCGACGGCTGATCCTTTAGTGGGGATTTACTACTACATACCTTGAACAAGTAATTATCTCACCAGGGCTTCAAGTGAATATCAAGACATCAGGCCTGATTTGAGTTACACTGATGGTGGGGAGACTTAATTTCCAGACTCTTGGGTTTGCAGTCCTTGGTATTCGAGAATGAGACAATTCACAGGGGAAATGATAACTTCTGTTAATAATAACCGGGAGAAGGGTTAAAGGCGGGCACAAGGAACTTCAACCAGACTAAGTCTATAATTACGACGTTATCAATTGGCTCTAGTCCGAAGATTTTTCCTAAATTTGCTATTTCCGTGAAGGGTTACAGCGACTTGATAACCAGTCCGATGCTCGGAATGGCGTAATCGCCCTAAACGTGCTTGAAGTTATCTCGTCATTGCGTTATGAAGTAATGATGGACAACCCCTCTCTACCAAAGATTGCTTTAATATACATTCAGGCTACATCATTGGTCATTTGGGATAGTACCCCACGTTGATGTCGTCTTCAACCTGACAAAGCACGAATATGCCTAAATTCTGATTGGAAGCACGCAATAGCGTTACCTTGTCTGGCAGCGGATGCTAAGCAATAACGCGGGGTCTATTTTCCGGAGATAATCAGAATATCCAAAGATATTCCCGATTTTCTGGTCCCTGATAAAGGCTTCTTTCTCACGTTCCTGTTGGACTTGACGCATGGATCGAAGGATATAGTCACTTACTAGGATTCTTTACGTTTGCCCTGAACTATTGTAGTATCTTTCACTTTTGTGTTTCTCCCTCACCTTTATCATGGCCCCCATCGCTCTTGACTCGGTGGAAGCGCAGGATCAGGTAAATGAAAAGGTCCTAATCAAAACCTGGAAGCGTCCCGAGGTAACAAAGGAGAACCTTGACTGGGCCGAGTTGCCCAAGATCGATCTCTCGAAGTTCGATACACCTGGTGGGAAGCAAGAACTTGCCAAATCTTTGTATAGGGCAGTCACGGAGGTTGGCTTCTGGTCCGTTGTCAACACTGGCATTGACGACGAAAGCGTGCTCCGCCAATTCAGCATTGGAAACACATTTTTCCAGGAGTCCCTTGAAGAAAAGAGAACTCACCCTTGTAACTTTGCGGAAGGTGAGTATTTCGGGTACAGGGAAAACTCAAGATGGATCGGCGATACTGGAGTAAAAGAAAACATTGAAATGGTGTGTGCGGCCTATTTAAAGCCCTAAACCTACCAGAACTCGGCCTAGCTAACCGATGCATAATAAACAGCTTAACATCCCAAAGCCTATCAAGCTCTTTGAGAATGTAGGCAGACATCGAGTTGTTAAAGAGAATTGGAGTGACATCGCCAAGTTCCACAGAGAACTCTGGGACAAGGTTCTCCGGAAGCTGTTTGTTCTCATCTCCATTATTCTGGAGCTGCCAGAAGACTACCTCGCAGATGCTCATGAATATGAGGATGAATCTGATGATCACCTTCGTTACATGATTGTAAGCTGACGCACCCTCAAGTTTACCTCTTGTTTCTACGATAAAGACACGAAAGCTAATGCTATAAACAGTATAATGTGCGATCACAAGAGGATTGGGATAAAGCTCAAGCATACTCCAAAGGAGGCCATACTGACTTTGGAAGCCTAACGCTCCTGTTTTCGCAACATGTGGCTGGTCTCCAAATCCGTACACCGGAGGGTGATTGGAAATATGTGAAGCCTGTTGAGGGTGGAATCACCTGCAATGCTGCAGACACACTATCTTTCTTGACCAATGGTATATTCTTCTCCGCATATCTCCTTAAACCCGCGCAAGCCAGTAACCCAGTCTCTTTAGGGTTCATCAAGTCCACAGTTCATCGTGTTGTCACTCCTCCCAAAGATCAGATTGATATTCCCCGGTTAGGACTCCTCTACTTTAGCCGCCCTGGAGCCAGTACTCCCATGAGGACCGTTCCATCCCCACTTCTCGATCGCCTAGGCCTGATCCCTGAGGAACACAAAGACCTCAGCCGGCCCGTGCCCAATGGCACTGAGTACGTGCGCGCGCGTGTCAAGGATGTCCACCACAAGACTGTTCTTGATAAACGTGAGGGGACTTCATTTGAGTTTCGCGGGTTAAAGGTTCAGAATCATTATGCATGATGTAGAATTAGTCATGATGTAAAATTGATATGAAGACAATCTTGATCGGTTGAGTTATGAGGCGCCTTTCAGTCTTGCATGTGTATTGTGATGTGTGTGAGTTTGAACTAAGGTAGAGAAATGTTTCCTAAATTTGAGGATAAACTGAGAGTAAATTACTCGAAATGGCGCAACAGTTAAGATTAGCTAACTCATATAAATAGAAATCATGTGTGTAGCTCGCCTCGAGGTTTCAAGGCGACGAATGAAATAATAAAAACGCCCAAGCCAGGAAGTATGGTTCGTTAGGATTCAAGTTCCAAAATGTGCATTGAATTTTTTCGTAGCTTCTCACACATCTGTTCAGAGTCAATATAGAATTTTGTTTCCTTTGTTTACATCATGACGCAAACAGCCATAAACCATCGGCAATCGGTATCTAGAGTGCCCGATCGTCATCCCAATATACATAGTATTGAATATGCATATCAGCATAAACTTACGCAATGACGTACATAGCATTTGTGAGCTTGACAGGGTGGGTCAATTTTATGAAAAAAAAAGGGGGGGGGGGAATCCTCCGTGACTAGAGCCAGCTCAAACCCCAGATGCACTGTTATTGGGCAGCATTCAGTCAGCCTAGTTTGATTTTGCATCCCTGCTCGTAAGCTCTTGTGTCCAGAAATTGGTTCGTGGAAGAACAACCTGTTTGGCTCTTGGCGGCGGGCAGATTCTGGGGCACCGATCCTACCCTATATCAGTAACTTCAATTATCTTTTCAAACACTCAAGAAGATTCATTAACTGTACTTGAGGAATCTCATACCGTCCTTCCATGAAAGATATGAATCACTACACCTCTTGTTACTTTCTGTCTGCATTAAGGGCATGGTGTAAAGTTTCATGCCTCTGGCCTGATCGGACAACGTGGCACAGCAACCCTTTCGTGGAAATCTCTCACAACATTTTGATTCCAGCCACTTTTGTTTAAAAGAAAACCATCGATGGTATAGGAAATTTGTGCATTGGATTATGGCTATGTCAACCATGGATGGCCGTAAGATGATCTGGTTTGTATAGTATGCTCATCAGCTCGCTCTGGAAGCATGTTGCGATTTATCATTTGGCGAACGGATCACGAGGTAGACGTGAAAATCACTAAAGAGACCCTTTAACACAGCGTACATGAAAGTACGCTTAAGATAATGGCCACGATCCGTTGTCCTCCGAGGTGAAACTGTATCAAACCATAGGCGAACTGTCGGGCAAATGGCTTTAGGAATGTTATTTCTTGATCCGAAAATCTATTTCTTTGACGTTCATAATACTTTCGGCATCCAAAAGAACAGCCGAAATCAAATTCCAGACTCTCAGCTCCTGTAGGAGTGTGTACTCTTATTAGTTTCGGTGGCGACTCGCATCTCCCGTCTTCCCCGAGATTCCCGTCTTTCCCGATATTCCGTCTTGGTCGCGCATGTATGTCAACAACCACTGCCATCTTAAGAAAATACATATATAGAGGATAATGGGATGTTGCAAATGAGTTACGAGAGCCCAACGCTTATTGAACTTTGAATATGTCCGCCCAAACTCGAGTCGCCGCCTGCCATGTCGCCGCGGTGTTTTTATCAGCGCGACAGACAACAGCCAAGGCCATTGGCTTGATAAAGGAGGCCGCCAAGAACAAGGCCAATTTGGTTATCTTCCCTGAGACATTCATTTCGGCTTTTCCTGTCTGGAGCTCGCTACGCCCTCCAACCGCCAATCATGACTTGTTCAAGCGCATGACCCATGAGTCGGTGTACGCGGATGGAGAAGAAATCCAATCCATTCGTGCTACGGCTAAAGAGCTGAAGATTATGGTCAGCATTGGTCTCTCGGAGAAAGTTCGCTCCAGTAGCGGAACTTTATACAACTCGAATATTCTCATTGGCACCGAAGGAGAGGTTCTTGTCCATCATCGGAAACTTGTACCGACATTCTTCGAAAAGTTAACCTGGTCCCCCGGCGATGGCCATGGCCTGCGAGTCGCCGAAACTCCTTACGGAAAGATTGGCAACTTGATTTGTGGTGAAAACACCAACCCGCTCGCTCGATACACTCTCATGGCTCAAGGCGAACAAATCCATATATCGACATGGCCGCCGATCTGGCCAACTCGAGTGCGCCCTGTGTCACAAGAGAACTCAACCACTGAGGTGCTACAAAAACCCGACTATGATAACGTCACTGCAAATAGAACGCGGGCTGCGGCCCACTGCTTCGAAGCCAAGTGTTTTGGGGTTCTTTGCAGTGCTGTTCTCGGCGACGACGCAATTGAAGCGATTTCTGATGGATTCCCTCATCTGACACAGGTGCTCGAAGAAGCCCAGCGTGGCGCGACACAGTTTTTGGATCCGACTGGGGCACCTTTACCTGGATTCATCGTGGATGAGTCGCAGAGCCATGTTCCTACCGACTTTTTACAAAGCGCCGAAGGCATCTTGTATGCTGATATCAACCTGGAGGACTGCATAGAAGGGAAACAGTACCACGACGTTGTCGGCGGATACCAACGCCTCGATGTCTTTGATCTTAAGGTCGACCGAACACGTCGGCTTCCAGTCAGATTCACGGAGAAAGAGGACAAGCTTGATATCCAAGAGTTTTAAGTAGACACAGAGATACGCTATTTGCTCCAATGTCATTTTTTTGCTATTGTATATAACTTTCTGAATCGAAGAACCATTTGACGTCATGGTCGATCGAAATATTTGAATGTTTTTTATTCATGTCTGCGTTTGTCGATGCATGCACTATACAGATATTAACACTGAAATAACGGATGAGAGAGTTGGAGTAGAAAGAAAAAAGTAGCAATCAAGATGCCAGACGCGACATCTCAACAAATTGCATAAACACCTAAATAATAAATTTCATCTCGCTATCCACTGCAATCAAGAGGTAATCACCACAACTCTGCGTTTTTTTTTTGAAACGAATGTAATGATTTCAAATTGCTATGGCACTATCAGATGACAGAACTAGAACTGTAAACTAAACTAAACTAAAGCTATTATGCTCAAGGTTATCGTATGTGCAGCCTCATACTAAGACTATTTCCCACCATTCTAGTCATAATATGGCCTGTTCTTCCGGAAGTCGATGGCTCCCTAAACGGTGTAAACGAAGTCAGGCCGTTTATCTCCAGCGATCCATCTTTCCTCCTCTGTCATGTTGTTCCACTTCGTATCCAGTTTGCCTGCTCGACGGCGGGCATTTGACGCCTTAAGGGCGAAGTGCATCAATGCTGAGACACCAAAGAGGAGAAAGGATTGATAACCGAGTACCACTCCATGCCCAGTCCAGAATCGAGGTGACTCTCTAAGCAGATAGATATTGCATGAAACAATGCCATTCAGGTTTCCAAAGCCTGCAAGCATGGCCACAACAATAGCACGCTTGAGTGAGCCCTCGGTATTATTGATAGCCCACGACATTGTGTTTGGTAGCACAGGATATAGACCAGCTGCTCCCAAAAACGTTCCTGCGTATTGGACTTGAGGATTTTGTGAGGAAATTAACATCACAAAGCCTGTCATGCCCACAACAACAGTCCCCATATTCAACAGGCCACGCTGGCGGGTTCTATCGGCAATATACCCAACTGCTATTGTGCACAGAGCAGCGCCAGCATAAGGTGGCACGGATAGCAGTTGAGCCTTGGTCCCTTGGTGGCCCATTCCCCGAAGAATGGTAGGCAGGAAGAGCGAGAAGGCATAGATGGGAACAAGGGCGCCGGCGTTGATCAGCATGTACCCATAGGTCTTCCAGTCACGTAGTGCGGCCCAGATATATCTCTTATCAAAGTCGTCAGCTGTCTTACCTTGCTTATTGGCAAGGATACGACGCTGAACCCGGATTCGGTCGTCGGGAGTTAGGAACTTGGCGGTGTCGGGCCAATCAAACACCATCCACCAGCAAAGACAGCCCACAGCAATGGTAACCAGGCCTTCGATGATGAAGATCCAGGCCCATCCGGGTTGGCCGCCAACCCCATCCATTTTAGCGATGGCCGCTGCTAGAAGTCCGCCAAAGGATCCGGCGAGGGCAGCAGAGGAAAAGAATATAGCCATTCGAAAGCCGATCTCTGTTGACTTATACCAGCAGGAGAGATAATAACTGACACCTAACATGAGAGAGCGTATCAGCAGATGTTCAAGGATGAACGTGAGAAGAGATTGAAAGCGTATAGCCCTGACGTACCTGGAAGCAGGCCAGCCTCTGCCATACCAAGGAACCAACGAGCTGCGAGAATCCCGCTATGGTTTTTGACAAGGCCAGTCAAAGTCACGATGATTCCCCACGTGATGATAATCGACATGAAGAAGAATCGAGGTTTGAGTTGTTTGAGAAGCATATTGGTCGCTGGTTCGAAGATGGCGTAGCTGACAAAAAAGATGGTCAAGGCACTGTTATAGTCGCCGCCCGACATATTTAGGTCAAGTTCCATGCCCGCCAGACGAGCATTTCCGATATTCGTGCGATCGAGGAAGGAGAGGAGATACAGAACAGACAACCATGGGATGAGCCAGAAGTCGATCCGGCGAACAAGCTTGCGGTCCTGAACGCGTGCCTTGGTGAGTAAACAGCAAAGAATACTTGTAGAGTCATGGAACTTACAATGGCTGCCATTTCTTCTTCGCTTTTGCCAGCGTCAGGATCGGGCAACGCGGCTAGTGCTTGGGCGCGTTCGCGCTCAATGTCTGTCGTAGTCTCCCCATTCATGACGCTGGGGCTTTGCAATCGAGGTCGAGTTTCTGCTTAGCATCTGACTGCATGATGGACCGTGTAAAGTGATTTAGTTAGGGATTAGTATTATTGCACGAGAATTTGTTCAGAGAGACTGATATCAAGATACCTGTCGCGAGTGATTGCTTGAAGCTAAATACTGCGACTTGAGACCTTTGATAACACTTGGTATCAATCCAATGACAATGCTTCTAGATAAGACGAGCTATCCGGCTCTACTTCTAGCTCCGTACCCCAGGTTCTAGGCCTCAGCCAAATCTAAGATAAGGTTCAATCCATAACCCCGGATGGGCAAGGGGGTGACCTTGGGTCTAGTATCTCGCCTTGCCATTACCACATTCCACACCCGCTTAGAGTTATAGCAAACCACCATTTTTAGTAAACTCATCGGTATTTATTGATCAATATAAACTACAGATAGTTTCTTAAATAAACATCATGTCGAATTAACGAGACAGAATAGGGCTTTGGGTCCAGGGTGTTTCTTTCCTCTCTTTTAGATTTCCCTTATGCCCGGACAACATCTCTAGTTGCATGTCCGATCTATCCGATCCTGTATCTCGCATATGGAGTGACGGTCTATTAGGCGATACTGTTGTTATCCTTGCTAGTATCGGAATCCAAAAGTAGGGTTGAACGTGATTACAGAAATTGATAATATATGATGGGCTCTGCGGCTGAGTCCAAACCCGTACTATCCGCAGTACCCGTGATATCCGTCGTGCTAAGACCTCCGCAGTATAATAAGTCGCCACCCTAGTCAACGGCCTACCCCCCTCAACGGTCTACCATTAAATATCTTAACCTCTTTATTTTCTATACCTATAACTATATAATTTCTTATATAAATTTTATTCTTTTTAATTAAAAATTATATTATTTAATTTATAAATAACTAGGCTTTCTAAAGATAATATTTAATTAGCTATTTATAATATAAAAACAGGCTATTTATAGTAAATAGCTATAATATAATAGGGAATCCCTTAGATAACCCTATATATATATATAGAAGGTTATAAGATATAGTAATAAGAGGCAGAGACCTGATAGTAGCTCTTAAAGATCTAGAAAGCCTATTTAATAAAATAGATCCTTATTTAAGATTTAATTAGGTTTCCTCTAATCTATATAAAGGTTAGAGATATTACTTTATTCCTACTATTCGAATAGGGTAAACTTAACTCCCTTAGTAAGTACTAGTTAGAGGGATTTTTATACTATAATCTAAAGATCAGAACCCTTTAAAGTAAGAGAATTAACTTCCTAAGAGTTAAAGGAGCTATAATTAACTATATTAAGGATTTCTTTATACTTAAGCTAATTCCTAATATCTAGAAGATCCTTCCTTATAATTATTAGAATATAGATAAAGCTAGTATTATAGAAGGTATTAGTAATAATAGCCTGGTTCTTAGATCTTCTTATAAGAACTAGATAGCTAAGATATAGTCTGGAACTTATTATTAGACTATAATAATTAAGTATATTAGTATAGTAGATAGATATCTTAAGCCTCTTATTATCTTTAAAGGAAAGACTATATAGTAATAGTAGTTTCTAATTAAATTAGATTATCTTAAGTAATAGTATTTTATAGCTTCTAAGAAGGAGTAGATTTCTAATAAGATTATATTAGTATAGCTTAAGAAGGTATTTATCCTATTAATAAAGCTTAAGAATAATAGTTAGTATTTACTTATTATTAATAGCTATAAGAGTTATAAAACTATTAAATTTATATAGGAATACTTTAAGAATAAGATCTAGTTTCTATTCTTATCCTTATATTTATTATATATATTATAGCTACTTAACTTATCTATCTTTTCTACCCTTAAATAAGTATTTTATTATTTTCTTTCTAAATAATAATTATAGATAGATTTATTACTAGTTAGTAAGATAATCTTCCTAAGGTATTATTACCTAGCTCAGCTAGCTATCTTAATAGTTAAGAATATCCTCTTAGATTAGAAAGTATCTGGAATATAGTCTATTAATATAGTAGTACTATTAATAAGCCTATATATACTTATACTTTAATATATCTTTCAGACCTAGCTATTAATACCCCTAGCTATACCTATAGTTAGGTTAAAGAGAAAAGAAGCTATAATAATAACTCTAACAGGCTTATAATAGCTATATAGCTTAATATAAGACTTTATAGATAAGAAGAAGATAGATCTAATAATTTAGCTATTATTCTATAAGATCTATAAGGGTTTTAATAAATAGTAAATATAGCTATCTATCTTAAATACTAAAAATATATAGCTAAAGGAGTTAAATAAGCTCCTATAGCTAAAGAAAAGATATACTATTTATCCGGATCTAAATAAATACTTTATTAAGATCTCTAATATTATTAATATAAGAGATCAGTATAAGGGTTAATTAGATACTAAGATCTTAGCTGTAGAACTTAAAACTTATATTTTTAAAGAGCTATACTTTATCTGGTAGCTTGAATAGCTTCCTTTTTATTCTAAAAAATTTATTATATTAAGAAATATATAGTTGACTTGTATAATTCAATTATCGAAGGTGGACCGTTAAGGGGGGTGGGCCGTTGACTAGGGTGGCGACTTAGTGTCCCAATGCCTAAGTTATGCGAAAGTCATTGGTTCATAAACTTCGGCTAAATGAAGCGATTCCACAGGCTTAGTTTACCATTTTGCCAAAGATACGAATCTTGCAGGTCTTTGAATGTTCAGTCCTTGCATCGCACAATGTCTTGCCCGGCCAGGATTTACCCCCTCCGCAAGCCAAAGGGCCACAAGCTTCCAATTCCAAGGTGGAAGCTCGTCCTAGATAAGGATGTCAGCCATGTCTTTACAGCTTACATTGGGATCCAGCAACATTCCGACGTAGAAGCTGCATCACAGGCCAAGTCCCAAGCTACCGCTGCTATCCAGGCGTGGCTGAAAACTGACACTGGACCATCGGCATTTGAGCAATTCAGCTTGATTGATGGTTGCGACGTTCACGATGCCGCTGTATGGGTGTGCTACTGGACCGAAGCGGCAAAGTATAAGCAAAGTCTCGAGGCCCTGTCGCTTCCCTCGCTCTATTCAAAACTCGAAACCCCTGGTCGCACTTCTATCGGTATATGGCGCGAGGCGTTTGCTACAGAAGTTTCGAGACTGGAGACCAACTACTCCGGACTCAACTATCTCCCTGGTCTTGCAAGAATACCCGGCACGAGCACCACGGAGCATGATAACTCTGCATACTGGGGCGCAGCACGCGATCGTATTCCCGACTCCGCACACGACCTCTTCCCTCCCTCCGCAAACGCAGCCCTTGTAAAGGCCGAAGATGTGCCTCGCGGTCTTGGACAGTACCTTGTTGGAACCAATTCCGAGAACGTGGCTCACATAAGGTCAGGCCAATACTGGGAGAATTGTGCCCAAGACGAAGCCGACGCCTACGAGAAGAAGCTCGAGCCAACCCTCCATGCCGGCCTTTCCTACTTATGGGAAAATCAACAGGAAACGGGCGCCCAAGGGTTACGATACCTCCGGAACAAAGGAACTCTCGAAGGTTCAGACGACAACAGTCGCCCGCCTAAGGAAACCTGCGGTGCGGGCTTTTTTACCAGTCTTGCAGCACTTGAAACGTGGGCCAAATCACATCGCTCTCATCTGGCAATTTACCGCGGCGCGCTTTCTCATTTTAAGGCATTTGAAGGTAGGAGGGAGTTAAGGACATGGCATGAAGTCTCCGTGTTGAGGAGCGGCGATACCAAGTTTGAGTATCTCAATTGTGTCTCGAATACGGGAGTTATTCAAAGTATCCAGCTGGAAGTGAAGGATGATGGTGTGGACAATTTATAGTTTCTGCACAGAGAGCGTAGATTCTATTTTGCATTTGTCGAAAGCAACTAGCAATTTGAGAGCTTTGCATATTAACCAAGTGCTTGTATATTACTAAACATTCTATCATTAGTTGTGCATGGCCAGAGGAGATAGAATTCTCTGGCGGTTGAGGCTCGCAATGATACTGCTCTTGCCCACGAGGATCTACTGGGGTTCCTTTGTTTGTCACTCAATAACAAATAGAACAATAAGCAAGAGGCAAAGGCTGGAATAAGTGAAATCTTACATGATGGAATCAACTTGATCGCGGCATCTTCCTTATATCCGAGATATTAAAAGTTATACAGACAGCTGGTTTAAGTATAGCGTCCAAAACAATTGCCTCTCCCTGTAACCAACGCATACCTAGCTGAATCCTGCCCGCTTCTCTCCTTCTACTTTGCGGCTGTCGCTGGAGCAGCTGATATTTCGGGCATTACCGCATTGGTACATATCCGCGATTTGGAACCAAGCTTTTCCTAGGACAGCGGTTTCGGCTAGCACGGCAGTTCTGTGTATTGAGTGGACTATTGGGACTTTGGCATAACTGAATAAAACATAGAAGGTACTTTAGTTCAAGCTATTAATGTAAACCAGCTGGATTGGTAGATTTTTACTCGTATCCATTAACAACTGGTAAGCTGTCTTAATTTAGAACATGCTGACCAGAGATCTAGGCACTAATAAGTCACACTTGCATGACCCTCCGAGAAGTCCAAATCTTCAATCGTAGTGATAATAACATCCCGAGCCCACTGCTCTGATATTTTGTGTTTCCTCTTGACCTTCAACCCTAATGAATCTTTTGTCATCATTTGTTAAATATGAAGGTCAACCAGTTCTTGCTTTTCTATTGCTTTGCCCGCGCCGTTTCAGCGGCTGGTTCCCACAGATGTAAGCCGCGGCAGCCCACAGCAGCTTCTTCTGGGGCCGCGGCTGTGTCTGGAACAGTGACTTCTTCTAGAACGGCGACTGCTTCCAGTACAGTGACTGCATCTGGAACAGCCACTGTTGCCCTCGACTCGGCGTCTGGCCCAGCGGCGTTCATTGCCAACGGAGTCCATAACGGTATCCCACCAAATGACTTCTCTGCCTATGTGAAGGGTACACCTCCTGCAAAGGCAGCGGTACAAACCCAAATTCCAGACCACTTCTTCGCCGATATCAAGCTTCAAAATGCTCGTGGTGGCCAAGGAAACCTCCCCAAGCCAAGTCGCGGATGGATGTACGGTAAGGAAGAGTATAAGGTATATAAGAAACGCTTAACCTCTTGTTCTCTCTACCTCTGACTAATGTGAGTGCGGTGCTACTGTATAGAACCGTTTTCGTGCGTTTCATTCCGATTACCTGACCACCCGCAAATTTGGTGGAAATTATACCTTGATGCTTGGAAACCTCTTCGGACAACGCAACAAGACTTCTCCGCACCCTGGAGATGGTGGGGATTGGGCCTCGTGGGATGAGTTCGTCACAACAATTTGCTCGGATCTCATTGAAAATGACATCCTGGATGGCCTTGATATTGAGGTCTGGAACGAGCCTGACATTCAGTTTTACAACTATACACCTTGGCTACAAGTTTGGGGCAGAGCTTTCTATCAACTCAAGTAGGCCGGACTGGTTGGCATACGCACCAAGTGATCTTACGGCTAATTGTTTCTTGCCATTCCAGAGCAAAACTCCCGTCAAAGGTTCGAGTTGTCGGCCCCGGGCTCGCCAAACCCCCAGCGGATACCGCATATTGGACCAAATGGCTGGATTTCGTCCAAAAGAATGGGAGCGTCCCCGACGCCTACACCTACCATCACTTGCTTACGGGAACTGATCCAGCCATCAGCTATCCTATTTTCCTCGAGCAACTTTCAAGCAGACATCTCCCAGTACGTCCGGTCTACGTAAACGAGTTCGGAGGACCAGCTGAGCAGAAGCCCTCCTATGACGCATGGTTCATTTCTCGGTTCGAACGGCTCCATCTCTGGGCTGCCCGGGCTAATCGGGAAAGCACAGCGGAGACCACGAATGACTATCTGGCAAATACTCTCGCGAAGAAGGATAACACCTACAGCCCAACAGGTTCATGGTGGGTTATGGCATATTACGCAAACATGACTGGAACACGCCTCCATACAACCCCGTCTAAAGACGGTGATTTCGATGTCTTTGCCGTGAGCTCTGGCAAGGGAATCGGGAGTACTAAGATCCTGGCTGGGTCGCATGGCACCATCAATCCTTACCGATTGGCGGTCACCAACATCTCGTCCAAAGGGTATCCATCTTCCGGGGAACTCGAAGTGACCATTAAAGAGTTCTCTTGGAATGGCTTGCATGGAGCCACCCCGTCGCCAAAGATACATTCAAGAACCAAAACGCAAGTCAAGAACGACCAGGTCAGTATGCATATTTCGCTTATGATTAAATCATTTGGCACTGCTAACATGGAGTTAGATGTTTGTAAATATCAAACCATCTAACGGCTCATTTGCTTATGCCTTCGAGTTCTAAGCCTCCATAAGAAAGAATAGTTGATGGCATAAGCCTAAAATATGTTATATGCTTACAGACCATTAGTGATAAACCTCTTATCCAAGGCTTCTCTAGGAAACTATCTCGTATTATCAATAGAGTAATAAACTTTCTTCACTTTCAATTGTACCATATACTACCTATTTTGGCTTTAGGTTGGTGACAATCGGAATGTGTTCGCAGATATTTCACCGCGGTTGTGCGACGGCGTGTGTGTGGTCTTGGTATTCTTGTTCTGTTGCTCAACGGAGCAGAGTCCGCGTACGACATTCCTGAGCCATAAGTTCACCTCTTAATATTTTCTAATCTCTTTCCTGCGAATCATAGTATTGAACCTTCATGAATGTTTTTCCAAACCACCAATTCCTCTTGTTCACCAGTGGCCAAGCCCTACGGTATCAGTCTCCCTTCATTCCCAATCTCACATATGTAAGCAAGTAGGAACCAACAAAAACACCAAATGCCTAGCTCTTTACAGCGGCATCATACAAAAAGGTGCGACGCCTAAGTAACAAGAATTAGCTAGGATCCTAGTAAGGCACTAGGTTAGCAGAGCGGCATTAGAGGCCTCCAGCAATTCCCAGTCTATCTTCGGTCCGTTGAAGCTGCTTTTCCCGTGAACAAACCATAAAATCATCACGATCGAAAACAAGCCAACCATAACAACGCTTGTGTAGTTCATGGATTGTATGGTGACTGGGATCGCCGGCGGCATGCATACAAGAATGCCCAACAAAACAATGGACAGGATCGAAAAGAGGTTACAAAAATAGCCAAGATAACCAAGTCGTAAATATCGAGTTGGCAGAGTTCTTTCTCTGCCCTGAAATAGGAGAATGCCCTGAGGAACTGCATATGTAATGTTGAGGAACAAAACAGCAGATGTAATAATCGAGTTGAAAGCGGTTGTGGATGCTAAGTAAAGAAGCCCATAGAGGGTGAAAAAAATGAAAGCAGCGATGGTAGTTCGCAATGGGAGCTCCATTTTTGGATTGATATGAGCGAAGTATTCTGGATAGGGTACGCCATTCTAATTCAATGACGATCATTAATCATCCAAATACCCTCACGGAAAACAGAAAGCAGGGGAGGATAGGGGAGGAGAGTCTCACATCCCGGGCAAACGCCCAAGCAAGTCTACCATCAGTGACCCACTGAGAAGGGAGGCAAGCTGGGTTCGTCAGTCTCAATCTTCGTACATCTTAAAGCCAAACTAGTCTGCGATAGACTTACTGAAGTAAGTCAGTAATAGTACCGCAACCAGAAACATTGTGACGCTCTTGCTGCCGGTTCTACACAATGTCAATGATCTGATTCTCCACTGGGACATCCGCAAACTTACGCTTGATATACGAGCTCCATACTAGGCAAAGGAGATGCGATGATGGCATCTAAATCTTTGACGAAAAGTAACAGAGCGACCATCAATGGAAAACAAGTAACCATGCCAATAATCATAGTCATGATCATAACTTGAGGCACCCGCCGTCCGGGCTGCTCCATTTCCTCGCTAATGTGAATCGCTAAATAGGTTTTAGCTGGCACTCGGCACTTTCTGGTATCAGGAATTGGCTGGAAGTAATTATCTTACCACCATCAGTCGCCCCGAAGGCATACATGGCATTCGCTATTCCAAGAAGCCACGCTGTGCTCGAGCTCCACCCGCTCGTGCCAAAGCCGCCATCAGTGAGAAAAGAACTGTCCTTGACAGTGGAATGCATGCCTGCTGATACAAAGAGAAACAAAAGAAATCCGAGTATCGATGCCCATAAAGCGAACTGGACGACCCACGCTAGATGTTTCGATGCAAATATCACAGGGGTCACTAGAAGACTTATTAATATGATATTACTAGAAGCACTAGATTCTTTTACAAGCACTTTCTCACCTGTGGATAGGCCAGTCGCGACATAAATAAGATATACTTGCCACTGAGAGGCTACAAAATCCGGAACCCAGAAGTTAATGACACCAGAAAGAGTGATGGCGAACAGTGACACGCCCGAGCACCTGACAAAAACACAAAGTTAACACGGCATATTACTTCAGAACGTGAATTAGGGAAAGACCAATTTCTTCATATCAATCCAATAGCAGCAATCTAATGGGCAACGGTAGCTTACGTGACAATCCACCATGCGATGACTGACAACCAGCCGATCACGAACGCAGTGAACCTTTTCGATTTCTTGGGGGCGAGTATATAACAGAAGTGGTACTGGCCACCACTGGACTGCAAGAAATTGTTAATGAAGATGGTCAACTGGTTTCCGAAATGCATTGAGGTGTCATTACCGGGAATGCAGAAGCTATTTCGCTCAAGCCCAGCGTAACAATGAACTGTGCTATAAAGGCCACAATCAGTCCAAAGATGGCAGACTGGGGCCCGCCGTAGATGAGGTTTTGGCCGAAACAGCTCTAATCGGGTTGGGTAAGTTCGCTGGTCGCTCCACGGGACTCTTGTCATCTTACAAGATAGCCAACCCATGAATTGGTGATAGAGAAGCCGAGGCCAAGCGCCGAGAGCCAGTTAAACTGTCGTCTCATAGCTGCTTCATGGCCGTTGGCTCGAAGAATAGCATCGTCTATGTTGGCATAACGGCCGGTGATGCCTTCTGATGTTCCATTTTATTGTGCTTCTAGGTTTTTTCAGCTTCAATAGAGGAGTGACTGCGAGTGAACGCTCAAGAGGTGTGAGTTCAACCTCATGAATAGAGGGCGATCGACGCTATCTTAACTTCCAAACGTCCACGAGTAGAGATAACGTGTCAATGCATTCCAGTGCTGCGTTGTCTCAGCATCCAGAGAAGCCACCCTTTATTCGCTAAGCTGCTTCTGGTGGATGTGAAAGAGGAGGGGGTAATACTACAAGCGCGGGTCGCTCAATCGAGATGAACCTTCCTAGTGAGGTAGTCAGTTCAGTTCTAAAACGCGGGTCAGATATGGTCACGTTTCTTCTCCTTGCAACCTGGCACCAAATTGCTACATGACAACACCCTCACGTAGGATTGGTGAACAGGGAAGCCCAGTCAATAGTCATGCATACCCTTACCTAGCTCCCGTGGCGCGTGAGCCGGGATGCGGGGAAGTTGGTTGTATCTCCATTTTAGGAAGAAGTCTCAGCTACGTCCCCAGCGATGACGCTGTCGTTGCAACCTTCCCCTCGAGCTTGATTGCTTAGTGGCATCGGATTGAAAGATAAGCGTTGTCTTGTGAAGTTTCAATAAGAAGTTTGTGCTCCAATGAAGAGGCAGCGATTATCTTTCACCCGATAACTTGAAGCTTCTCCGTCATTAAACCGTTTTATCTCTTACCAATTGTTCACCAAAGTCATGGCTCCTCTATCCAAGTACGGGCCGGAAGTCCAGCGTGTATCCGCTGAGACACCCGTGGAGGATATCATCTATCTTCTTAAGAGAGACGGCGGTGTCTTCATACGAGGCTTGATCAACGTTGAAGATGTGGACAAGGCTTACGATGAGTGTCGCCATCGTCTAGAGAATGATGTGGAATGGAACGGATCTTTCTTTCCAAGTGAACAATTCTTTCAATACCCGACAAAGATATGAATATAGAAGTGCTAACACTCCTGGAAGAGGAGACTCAACGTGCTCCAGGCCTTATCGGCCTTAGTCCGACGTATGCGAAAACGCAAATGATGAATCCAATATACCAGGCAGTGTGCGATCACTTTCTCACAACTCGAAGTTGGTTCTGGTGGGGTAATGAGAAGAAAGAATCCGTTTCAAAGCCCTATGTGCACTCCTGCGTGGCAATGCGAATTGGCCCAGGGGGCAAAGCGCAACCACTGCATCGAGACGACTACATTAGCCACAACCATCATCAGGAGATCGACTCCTGGGACGATGAGCGTGATAGAAACCGGGAGACAGCGGTTGGGTTATTCGTTGCTGGAAGCAAGGTAACGAAAGAAAATGGAGGAACTCAGTTCATCCCACGTAGCCATCTATGGTATGCTTGATCCTGTCATTCTGTCTTAGTGAGGGCACCTAACTCAACTACATATATAGGGGAACCGATCGAACTAACCCCCCTGATGTCAATGAGTGCATCTTCGCGGAAATGGACAAAGGCGATGGCTTTCTCATGCTTGCCTCGGCCTATCACGGCGGCGGCAATAATGTGACAGCGGATGAACAGCGGATGGTTTTCGCCACATTCGCTATTCGAGGCTACCTTCGCCAAGAGGAAAATCAATTTCTCGCTGCATCGCAGGACATTGCAAAGGGATATGATCGCCCTATCCAGGCGTTTATGGGATATTCGATGAGTGATCCAGCCTGCGGCTGGGTGGAAGAAATGGATCCTATTTATGTTTTGCATCCAGAACTTGCTCGCGAAGCCGGGCCCCAGGATTTCTAAAATCTATCTGGAATCAGTAGTTTCCTTCCATTGATCCCAGGTTTCATTTTCCATCCAACCATAGGATGGTTGAATTAATACCAATTGAAACTTTGTTTTATACAGGGTCGCTATGCTTCTGCATTGGCTTTATCTACCAATACAAAGATGAAGAGTCTACTTTATGTAGTCAGCCAATGTGCTGACGGGCGAAACATTCTATAAAGAGACACTTTTACATGCTTGAACTCAAAATGATATTTGCCTTGAAGCTTAACCCGTATTAGATATTTTGATTTTGAATCAACCAGTTGAAGTTGCTCCCCCAAGACTACTGCGACATATGCGCCCAGCCTGTGTAGTCGGGAAGGGCTGTTGGCTCGGTGGAAACGTGACAGTCGTCCAGGAAGTTACCGTCCGCAATGGGATTACTGTTGGGGCTGTGTTCTAAACATGCTCAAGTATTGAAAAAGCAAGAATCGTCACCATCCAAAACTTGGCAGCAAGTGGTGCGCCCCTTTCGATGGTGAAAGAGTATAATAGATAGCTAAGTTCTCCTGAAGCACAAGGGATGAACTTGAACAATTGGAAAGGCATGCCTCGTTGCCCAACCGAAGTGGCTACGATTTATTTGCTTGACGCCCTCAAGATAATTAGCGCCGCTATCTTCATTGACTCTAACAAAGTTTCACAAAACTAACCCTCTTCGTCTAATAATTGCGAGACAAACAAGACTCAGGTCTGCAGACTACATGCTTTAGTTATACAAGCCCCCATTAGCACAGAGCGTGCCACCGGTCGACCATGCGGCGTCTGCCGAGCACAGAAACGCAACAAGCGGTGCAATATCAGAGGGCTCGGCAATTCGTGCGGCTGCCGGTGTCGATTCTATTAGAGGACGCATGTCTTCCCGGAATTGCTTGTCACTTTCGTTCCATTGATCTATCGATGAAAGCGGATGTTAGCATTTCCTCCATTCTAGGTTTCAGAAATCAAATTTCAGCACGGGAAACATACCAGTTGCAACCGGACCTGGGTTCACGCAGTTAACGGTGATTCCGTGGGATTGGCCGAGCTCTTTGGCCCATACTCGAGCAAGTGATTCATTGGCAGCTTTAGTAGCGCCATACACCGTTTGGCCAGCGACGCCCAGCCGAGCAGCTGCCGATGAGACGAAGATGATACGGCCGCCCCTGGGTAAATAAGGGAGCAAAGCTTGAGTCAAAAAGATGGGCCCCTTCACATTGGTGTCAAAATGGCTGAGGTACAGGTCTTCCGTGACTTGATCAAGATTTGCATCTACTCCAAGCGCCGCGCTTAGAAATGAAGTCGCAAAGTTAGCTGCCAAGATACAGAAAGATGAAGCAAAGAAAAAAACACCAACTTGTGAATTAACAGATCAATTTTACCCGACTGGCTGAGATGAAGCGCAGAACTGATGAGCTTGGGTATGTCGCTGAGGTTGGTGATGTTCGCCTGGCAAGTCACGGCGTTACTTCCATTTTCCTTGATCGACTTGGCTATACTTTCAGCCCGCTCACGGCTACCATCTGACACAAAGTTGACAACCACATTGGCACCGCGTTGACCAAGCTGAGTAGCTATCGATGCCCCAATTCCTCTATTTCACCACATAGTAAGTCTCCAGCCAGTCATGTCGCTCTTCCATGGACGGGAAAGGAATGTCACGCCGAAGCGGGCCGCATAAACATACCGTGAGGCTCCAGTCACAATGGCTGTCTTCCCAGTCAGGTCCACTCCTGAAAAGTTGACCATCTTGAAGACAATGAGAGATGCTACCTAATGGTTCTAAGCCAGATTGTGAGAGCTAGTGACGTCTTCGCTGCTAGAGGCTACATATCAGATGCAATATATGTCACATAAAGTCGTATCAGCCAAGTATTTATGATTCTTGGAGACCTTTGATGCTACTTCAGACCCCCTGGAAGTACCCAGATAGAAGCGCCGATCCCATATTGGAGCTGGGAGTATTGCCAAATCAGGCAATAGGTCCCACCTTGTCCGTAGCCAGTCCAATGAGTGCCCATTTGTCATGGAATTTCCCAAATCACGCAATTAACAAGCGTCGAAGGTTGCCTCGGGGCACTGAACGGACGGATAAGCCGCAAGTGACTAACCCTAACTCAGAGCTCATGCAGAAACCAGATCTCATCGTCACCAGCTGACCATTGTCACGGCCCACGTCGCCTGCATAGATGATGACAAACGAGCGGCCAACTGAAACTACCTACTCTTAGGCTGGCAATACTTCCACATCCAAATAGTAGAGCCGCTTTGCAGAAGCCAAGTTATGAGCGAAACTACATTTGTAACTGGTTTCTCTAGTGGAGAATGGCAATTGGAGTAATGCAACCGGCACAGTTCCAATATAAACCGTGCTGATATTGCCTACTACCTGTCATATTCTTCTAGCTTTTATACAAGTAATCAAAGCGCTAAGAGTTCTTGCTACTTACATCTCACACTGCACCAGTCTTATGTTCCAAGGGGGTAGTGTCACTTCAGACATAGCTATCTACACATCCTGCTCGAACATCAACCTTAATCGTCAGCTGCCGCCGTCGGTCGTCCGCAATGGCGCTTTCTACTCCTCATCCTCTTGATCCTCTGACGGCACTGGAAGTGAGCCAGACGTCTGCAATCATAAAGAAAATCTTGGGGAATGAAGCCAGCGGTATTCGATTCAAGGTTATTGATCTCGCCGAGCCATCCAAGGACCTCGTTCTTGACTACTTGCATGCCGCTGCACCAGCCCCCCCTCGGAAAGCTCGAGTGTACTACCACACCAAAAACAACACCTCACTCAAGCGATCAATTGTCAACATAACTACACAATCAGTCGAGAGTGATGAAGAGCTCCTTGGCCTTCAAGGCCCCGTCGATTGGATTGAGTATGCGGCAATAAACGACGCATGCAACGCACACCCAAAAGTGCTCGCAGAAGTTGCGAAACTCAAACTCCCAAAAAGGTGACTTGGCCCCTTTCCTTTGATTCCCATTGCATATTGGTGAAATTGTTTCGCTGACCACAAGTTATTCTCAGTGCGAGAGTCGTCAACGATCCTTGGGCCTACGGAACAGATGACCCGAACGAGGAGCGTCGCCTGTTCCAGTGCTACATGTATGCGGCAATGAACGATGATCCTCAAGCGAATCACTACTCTATCCCTCTCCCTCTTGCGCCCATTTTTGATGCCCACACCCTCGAGCTTGTCCTTTTGGAGAAGCTACCTCTAGGGACTGATACTACTTTGGACAACCCAACACAGCCTTGGGAGCCCGCCCAGGCAGTCGAGTATAGCGCCGAGCTGCTGGGCGATAACGCCATGCGTCAAGACCTCAAGCCTCTTCAAGTGTTACAGCCACAGGGGCCTTCATTCGAGGTCAACAACCGTGCAGTATCATGGCAAAAGTGGAGCTTCCAACTGGGCTGGAATCTCAGAGAAGGCCCTGTACTGCACGATGTACGCTACGACAATCGGTCGCTGTTCTATCGTGTTTCGATGAGCGAGATGACAGTTCCATACGGTGATCCGCGCTCCCCTTACCACCGTAAGCAAGCGTTCGACCTTGGTGATTCGGGTTTCGGCCTTACCTCTAACAGCCTCGAGCTCGGATGCGACTGTCTGGGTTATATCGCATACTTCGACGGCATTCGCAACACTGCCAACGGTGATCCAGTGATCATGCGCAACGTCGTCTGCATGCACGAAGTCGACGACGGCATAGGGTGGAAGCATACCAACTGGCGAAACGGAGGGGCCAGCGTGGTCCGAGACCGACAGCTGGTTGTCCAGTGCACTGCGACGGTGGCCAACTACGAGTACGTCCTCGCCTTCGTGCTGGATCAAGCAGCCAACCTCCACATTGAGGTGCGTGCCACTGGTATCGTGTCCACCATGCCAATTCGTCAGGGTTCGCGGGTGCCTTGGGGCACCGTCGTAGCTCCTGGAGTGCTGGCTGCGAATCACCAACATCTCTTCTGTGTCCGTATCGACCCAAACCTTGATGGGGACCGCCGGAATACCATTATCTACGATGATTGCATACCGGTGCGGAATGAACCAGACTTAGACCCCTTCGGCTGCGCCTTTCGCGTCAAGCGTACGCCAATCACTCGGCCGGGAGGCTACGAGCTAGATCTCTCAAAGAACCGAGTTTACTCGATTATCAACGAGTCCCGCACGAACCCTGTATCCGGAAAGCCTCGTGGATACAAGTTGCATGCCATCCCAAGCCAGATGCTCATGATGGATACACACACATTCAACCATCGCCGCGGCGTGTTTGCATCGCGGCCAATCTGGGTCACGCGTTACCGCGATGATGAGCTTTGGGCTGCGGGAGAATTCACCAACCAGAGCCGTGAGGATACCGGGCTAGCTGCTTATACCGCCGGTGACGAGAATGTCCAGAATCAGGACGTTGTATTGTGGCACTCATTTGGTATCACTCATGTCACACGACCAGAAGGTAAGAATTCGAGCACATTTCTTCCCAAGTCATACTAATACCAGCTGTAACATCCAGACTTCCCTGTCATGCCCGTTGAGAAAATGTCCATGGCATTGAAACCTACAAGTTTCTTTGACTTGAATCCGGCTAATGACGTCCCACGCTCATCTCAAACTATGAATAAATCCACGCTGCATGACTCAAATATTAACAGCGACAGCTCAGTCTCTTGCTGTGAAAACAGTAGCTCGGGTGCGAAGCTATAGACAGAGCATATCGAAACCAATATTGTAAAAATGGATTTGCAAAGGGGGCCATTTAACGTATATGTATGTAACAGGAGAACGACGAAGAGAAAAATGCTGTCACTCCGCAACACAGAGATCAGAAAGTGCTGTGATGATATATTGAGTACTTGGATAAAGTGTTGACATGGCCGCCTGAAGATTCGCTTGATATAATTCAAGAATTTATTGATGCTTAGATCGTTGATCAGCATTTATTTCTTTAGTCCAGCGAGCGGGATGCATCTCCAGGCTCTGAAATGAGAGTACTTCTTTTTGGCCACTTTATGTTGAAACATCATCGCTTGAGACTTAGAAAAATAAATATGCATGCTGTTTCCTGATAGATGAGGAGCAGGTCTATCGATTATGGGTTAGCCACTCATCTTCAAAGTACAATCAGGGACATGGAGTCTCACATATTCCATCCATGGGACATTTAGCTGGCTGTGCGTCTTGACCTTCCTCTCCTCCCACACCCGGTGTAGCAGATCCGTCATGGCCTGATGCTTGAATCCGGTTGAGCGCTCGACTTCTTCGATACAATACTTGACGTAATGTACCTGATGCGGAGAGCTTGTGTCAGCGCCGGCGAGGAACAGCGGGAATAGCAGCCGCTTGTAAAATGGAGGTACGGCCGAAACGCTGGCGAAAGCATCGAGAATCGCCACCACGGACCGTTGTATCCGCACATCTTCACACGGAACCGCGAAGGTATCGGGCCATCGAAGCACCCGTAGAAGGCACGCATGTCGGAAGGCATCCGCGACTGGCTTCCAATGGGCGTGCGCAGTAGGATATACAGCTTGTTCCTGATCCCATTCGCGGAAGAATTTGTCGGCATCTCGTAAGATGATCTTGAAATTGGGCAATGATAGAATTCCCGCTTGAAATCCTTTACCGGCATCGATCACTTGGGCTATCCGATGAAAGATGTCGGGAGGACACCCAACCAGAACATGTAGGTTCGAATTTCCGTGGTGCCGAACGAGGCTGCGAACATCCTCAGAGAACGCCAACTTCTCGGCACCGCTGAACCCACGTAACACGTCCAGCCTTTTCCCAACAATTAGTTAGATAGTCTTGAAGGTTGTTCCGTATCTATTCACACACCATGCCAAGGCCGCTAGAAAGAACATGATGGCTGGAGATCGACTTGAGAAGTCCTCTGACTTTGCTAATCTTGCACACAGGAAGGAGATTCCATCAAGATGAGCACCATGGGACGATATTCCCGATTCGCAAATCTGGAACATATATCAGCTTCGGAATACCGCAAGAGAAGTCTCCACTATAGAATCACATCATGAAAAACCAACAGAAGGACAGTGGCAAATGTGACTTCTTCATCAATTCTACTCAGCTGGTTTGCCTCTTCTTTAGCAAGAAGTGCGACGAGCCCGTGGAGAGCAGAAGCTCGATACTTCAATGAGGCCGTCGTCATCGGTGATCCATCGTCGAGAAAAGAGATATGGCACGCGGTTAGTCCAAGTAAGGCATGGAGAACAACCTCATGATGATATGCAAGAGGTAGAACATGGGATCGAAAGGGATTTTCGACACCGTCAACCACTATTGCGAGCGCCTCGCTGAGCACCCTCTCAACTACCGTCAAAAGTTTAGCTCGCAAGCCTGGGTCTTCGCTACATGATCTCAGTTGACTTCTTACAATGGGCAAGGAGAATCTGAGTTTCCTCCTCCATCATGATGTCATCAATCGTAGAGCCGGTGGCTGATATATTTAGTGTCGGGCTAGAGGTTGGAAGCAACCGTGGGCTGTTTTGGGATTCGCCTTCCCACTGCTGCTCGACTGAAACCGGGATTTTAACTGGGCGGTTTTCTGTCTGTACATCAGATTCGCCCGTTGTTGGCGAGACGGAGAAAGTGTGAATCTGCCCATCAAGATGCTCCCTTTGAGGCTCATCCGAGCCGGAAAGAAATAAGTCTACTTCCTCATCACGAGAGTCACGCCGAGGCTCTTCAGGCCTCGATACAAAATCACAGAACTGGAACTTTGGAGGATAGCCATCGCACCGGAGGCCTTTCGATTGGCACCTATTGCAGAATGGCCTTGCCTTATCGCATTTGCGGCACTTCCTTCGGCAGGTCCCACATGCAGGATCTTGGCGACAAAAACCACAGTAGTTAGCTTTATGATGCCGGAGATCAGTTAACTTAGGGTTAATACCTCTCCGGATTGAGCGCTGCCCTCGAGCAGACATTGATGCGCGTGTTGGATCGATATCTCTCTATGCTTGGAGAAGACGAAACCCCAGAAATTCAAGAGCGAGTCTAGCCGAGATATTTATCTGCGGCTAAAGCCGGGTTAAAGACGGGTTATGTGGAGTCTCACTTAGTGCTTACAGAGCATTATTCATTGTCTTCAGATGTCTTCAGATGTCTTCATTGCTATTTTTTCCGTCGTACTCGAACTCTCTCATCCGTACTTGCAGAGTACAGAGTAAGAAACGGAACGGCAGTAGGGCAATTACATGTAGTTCAACTACGGATAAGCCGCGTCAGCGATGCGAATCCCTGTGTCGCAGGCACGAGCCTATGCACCAATCACAAGGCCGTGTCCATGGCCGGGAGATCATAGGGATGGTGCCTCGCCAGTGGATCCTCTGAGACCAATGTCCTCTACTGAGAAGATATGGAGGATATTTCCTTCAGCTTGGCTGGCGAAACAACCAGCACCCAAAGGAGGGTTCGTGCAGGAATGCGAAGGGTGGATCTTGGACGTGTTGCCTTGAAGAGACCGCATACGCAGTAGACAGACGTGGTAGATAGACGCAATTTTCTAACGCGATCTAGGGGCGTCGAAAAGCCACACGAAGCGATCGTTAAGCACCTCGATCAGTGGCTCGTGTGGCTGTCCTGCTCTGGCAGGAGGCTAACATGAAAAGACAGCCTTGACGGCGTATTTACCCTTCTAGTATTGCAATGATGTAATTCACTAGCCTACTCTCCGTGACTGTTCGCTAATATCGATGAATGACGCGATGCAAATATCACAACCCAGATTAAATCAATTTCACTCAAAGGTAGATATATACTCACCGTAAAACTCTGGCTTCTTTGTTGACGAGCCTACAGAGTATTGTAGGCTGATCCATTGTGCAGGCTAGTACATAAAGGGCCGTCCTACTAGATGGGCTGTCCTGTCATGTGCCATCTCATTAAACGGGCTGTCCCATCACGTGCTATCTCACTGGAAGAGCTGGTACATTGTATGTTGATCCATTTTTCGGGGCTGGCTGAGAATCTGGGCATGGTGGAGACGCCGATGGCGGATTCAGGGAGGCCTCAAAGAACGTTCGAGGTCATTGTTGTCTGTGGAGCTTTGCAATCATATTTACCTGAGGAGGGAGCGGGGGATATCATAAGTTTCCGCGCCCTCCCTCAGTGGGGCAGCGCGAAGGAATTGACCCACGAGTAAAGGTTAGCAAACATGTTGATGTAGCCTGCTTCCTGAAATAGATGGTTAGGCTAAGTTCCTCCTATTTCTGGGCGGCAACCTGTTTCAGGACTCGGGAGCTTTTTATTGCGCCTGCAGATCAGTTTAGGAATATCACAATAAAATTGGTGGCCTAACAAACAATAATTACTATGGAGATTGGCAGAGATAACCGCGAAAACAGCACTTTTGATCATGTTAGACCTAGACTCTTCTAGTACAACACCGGAAGTATCAAGGGAGCCTATAAGGGATCGCAGTTACATGACCTAGAGTCCAGACAGATAGCCTGCCAAATTAGTAGTTAAGGTATTCATAGGTCGACCGTTGGGCTAAGGAGTAACACTACTTGGAGGATGTATAGCTGATTCCGTGCAAATCGGGTCAGCGGTAGATGCTCACATGAGAATCAATCACCAGCATCCTAAATCGTATTATCAAGCGAAGCTTGATGATGTGTGAAGGTAATAGCCAGAGTGCAGCTTCTAGATTCGTTTCTATGATGTCATGTTGTATTAGATGATTGGCGATACTGACTGGCAATGGGTTAATTTTGAAATACCGGCTGCCTATTGGTCTGAGTAACATCATGACTTCATAGTTGCTATCGCTGGCTATGTACGCGCGTATGTTGTTATTTCTTTTCCCTTAATCTTATTTACCTTTATCCTTATGAACACGACCGACAGCTGCAGCCTCGAGCAGTCTCGAGCAGGTAGGTCTGGTCCCATCCACCGTGGCCCTTATACAAACGATTAACAGCTGCAGCCTTGATCAGGTAAATCAGACCCCTCCTCGATTCTATCCACCCCTGCCATTGTGAATGCAATCAATAGCTGTAGCCTCGGGTTGCTTCTAGCAGGTTAGTCAGATCCTATTTGCCGCGACGACAAAACGCGATCAACAGTTGCTGCCTCGAGCTGCCTCAAGCAGGTAAGTTGAATCCCATTCACACTAACTCCCCTATGCAGCTTCGCTTGCCCTTAGGACTGTTTTGCAGGCATTGGCTTGTAAATAACTATAGATTATGTTACGTACACAGCTTGGATCATATTTCAGACAAGCAGCCGTGCGGTTGTTCCTGCAGGATTGCGCTCCCCTGCTACGGCATACGAACTACCACACCCGGAGGAATGGAAATTTCCAGCTGCCGAGGCAAAAGTACTTCACGCCGCACAGTTGGGAAGATGAAAAGTCCTACCATTTGCCGATCAAACGCCAAGAGTCTTCTTTCGTGTTAGCTGGGCCTAGCATAAACGAGAACGAGATTCTAGGCAGCAGGCTAAAAAAAAAAAAATTAGTATTTTGAATGAGCAGTCAAAGCGCGTGGCGGAATATAACTCAGCCTAGCATAAACGAGAACGAGATTCCAGGGAGCAGGCCAAAAAATTGGTACATTGAATGAGCAATCAAAGCGCGTAGAGGAATATATCCCACCTTCTCTCCATCTCGCCCTATATCTCTCATTTCTCTAGACGGTTGATAAACATCCCGAGCAAATAGTGAGATCTTATACACCCACTTCACATTGATACATCACTTATAATACTCCAAAGGGACTGAATTTCATCGTGGTAGAGGGAATGAACTACCGAAACACTACCAGTAATAAATTGAACGTACATCTATTGCATAAGGCGCCAGGGGCACATGGATTTAGTAACTACCGAAACACTACCAGTAAATTGAACGTGTACCTATTGCGTAATACATCAGCGGCACAGGGAGAAGGATTGGGGCAGGGCAGGATGGAGTTGCCTGTCGCTTTGCTCTAGTGCTTCTGTTTTTAGGATTAATATGGAGAGACCGGCAACCTCTGCTATTACAGCTTTGCCAATCTTAGGCCGTTACTGAAAAGCACAACCGAGCCAACTTCTCAGACTGCCCATGTCGTTTCAGGGGCTGACTAGAATCAAAGAATCAAGAACATTTGCACCGCTAGCGGAGGACCCTAGAAGAAGCGCTTAGTGGCAAATTGTGTTCTCGGGTCCAGACTACATCTTCCTGTCTCCGCTCGTGTTACTGTTGTCCAAGTAATCCTCAAGGATCCCCCCCTTACCAATCCCCAAACTTGCTGTAGGGCCTTATCCCGAAGAGGGTGAATCAACTGCTCTATCCAGGGCGACGTGGGTATTCTGGATAAAATTTGTTACTCAAGATGAGGAATGGCAAGGTGCGGCAAGCAAAAGCGAAAATAGGTATATAAGCCTCCTTTACTACACTTTGTTCAAACTTTTGCTCATCTCCAATCAACATCAATATCCCAAGAAGACTTCCATTTCACCGTTCTTTGACGACACTACCCGCATATCAACATTTAAGTCCAACTACAATCCTCAAGATGCATTTCACCAAGACCATAATCTCCTTTCTCGCCATTACCGGCTTTGCTGCAGCTCAGCTTGAGGACCAACACCCCGACCTCGCTGCCCGTGAGGCCGCTCGGGAAGAGTACCTGGAGGCTCGTGACGAATACCTCGCCGCGCGCGAAAACTACATCCTGGAGAAGCGTAAAGCGCCAGCTCCTACGAAGGTGAGCCTCTTTGTCCTATACCGCTTGACTTTCTCTTCTCCTTCGTGCTAATATCACTTTAGATGGGTAATTGCATCAAATCTCCTAACCAGGGCATTATGACTTGCGCTATCAGAGGCCAGGGCGTTTGTGGTTACTGCGCTGCCAATGCCAAAATTGGCTCGACCTGCCGATGCCACTAATACGTTGAAAATATTCCCATGTCTGGTACACAAAATACATTTTTCAGTATTGGCCCTTCTCATTGCTAGGCATGCTGGTCTTTTTTATCACTCAACATATACACTGAACATGTACACTATTCACCTCTATCTATAAACTGTTGAAAAATGAAATATACTGGTTATATTATGAATCCCTTTCCCTCACTGTGCTCTCTCTTATGTGTTTTCAAAGCTTAGTAATGTGTTGTGATACTGGGTATGGTGTCAAATTGTTAAATTCTTGGTGTTTGGGTATTTCCCCTTTTTTCCAGAAGCTGCCGCATATCTGTATAGCTCTCTCACTTACTACTTTCAAAGCTTAAAAAGCACTTCTATTAACGCTATCATCTCTTTGTTATCAGGCTGCCCTACTCATTCTTCTGGAGAACTGCACCTCACGAGCGCCACATCTCCCGACTGCCACACCTCTCAAGCATAGAGTGCTACGCCCGATGTCAAACTTTTACCTCTATTATCCAGGAAACCTTTCTATTTTTCTTCCGCCGTCTGACCGGAACATTGGGTGGTTACACAGGGCACAAGTCATACACACTTGTGCCAGAGCTTTTACGGCAAGGTTAGATTGCATGCGTATTTCTGACATGAAAAATACGACGTCTAAGTTGTAGATGTTGGACAAATGAGAACTGGCGGCAATAGTGTTTGGATCAGAGAACCTAGCATATGGTCGATTTGGGTGGGTGTGTGCGAACTAAGGATAAACGCCTGGCTGACGACGGAAGATGTACCATGAGCTCTTGGGCCGCCGGTGCATCCATCAAAGCACTGCGGCTCGGAAATCGACAAATGTCAATCTAAAGTACCGCATACCAGCTCAACCCTGGTCGGGTATAAGTGGCAGGACTTGTATCTTGCGGCGCGAAAATCTTGCGGCAGTGCAAGATCGTCCGAGGAGAAAACTCGCTACAACATGGAGAATGCAGGGGGTAGACTATGGAGTCAATCGCCTTTCGCCCTTCTAGTTTAGCACCTTTCGATTCTACTTTATGGGTTAATGCAGACCTAGCAGGACGAACGCCCAGGGAGGCAGGTTGAGCTGGGATTTGGGGACAAGCACCGAGAGTAAATGAGTCTGGGAACGGGCAAGCCGGGATCGGCCAAGAGTTACCAAACGCGACGGCCCTACACTGACGAAAAGTCGCGTCGGCGAATTGAGAGTCACTGTGTCCAAGCCACGAGACTGTGCCCCAAAATGTCCATGGCCGCGGAACTATCGGGATGGTGCTCCGCTAGAGGATCCTCTGAGCTTTGGACAATCAGTGACTCAACACCCCTGGATACCGCTTGGAAGAGGGTCTGTGCAGGAATGAGTGCAGCAGGGATGTCGGCACTCGCGGGAAGCACAGACGCGATTCTGAGTCATAATTCCGTGGCGCGCGGCATGTCGCGTATCTTTGAAAGCGACGGTGGAGCATCTCGATGAATGGCTCGTGTAGCTGTTCTGCCTTGATAGAGGCCAATACAGTATGAGAAGACAATCTTGACAACGTGCGGCCCCATGCTACATTGAACGATGTGATCTACAAACTTGGGGAGTCCAACTTCCGTGCAGCAGCGACTAACAACAAATGAGGAACAGAAAGTGTATCTGGAGCTCTTAGGCTTATGCAGGCGTAAGGCTCAGCACATCCTCGTAAGCTGGTTCATTGAACTAGTCTAGACCGAAGACCGTGCGAATTCTGTGTGATTTTTTTCTCTGCCTTGTCTTTTTTCTATCTAGCAGGATTAGATTTTGCCGTTTCAAGTAAAAGCTAGAGACAATCTCCATTCTTCAATTATCATCTGTTAATCTATATGATAAATGTTGATCTATAGGGTAGTTGTGTCTAGCATCGGGAATACTTATCCACCTCACTTTGTCTAATTTTTCATCCGGTTGGGTTAGTTCGGCTTGTCAATTGGGACTAGTTTCGGGGTTACTTCCATGAGATCAGCACAGACCTTCCTAATAATCATAAGATTGGGGTAACATCGGCCTTCATATTTGGTCTGCGTTACTCTGATACACCACGGAAAACACTATCGCGTGCTACATGTCAGATCCGAGACTTAGAATAATTGGCCAAATCAGCACAAAGTACGGGTCTTGTCTTACATACCGATAAGGGCATTCGGACAGCTTACGCCACGTCTTAAGTTTGGTCAGCATACTACCATTTGTTGTGCGGTAACCATGTGTCTTGGGGTTACATGCCATTGAGGCGGGGTCAAATGCATATTTAACACAGGCATCGCACTCTCATATCTCCCTGATCTACTCTTGTTTCATATCCCGGAGATCTTTGTGAAATGGAACCCAGCAGCGATTTGAAGTCGGGAAAACCGTCCCCTACTGAATCAATTGAGTTTGCGGAAACGCAGGCCTTCGATCAACATGCAACTAAGAAACTCTTGAGGAAGTTGGACTGGCATATTATTCCTTTTATGAGCTTGATCTATCTGTAAGTTGTAGTACATTTCTTTTACATCGCCAAATGTACCAATCTGCTGTGTGATGTAGGATACTGACTGGTGTAAAGGTTGTGCTTTCTTGATCGAACCAACATCGGGAACGCCAGACTAGACCATCTCGAACAAGACCTCCGACTAACAGGCATCCAATACAATGACTGTCTTGCTATTCTGTTCCCATTTTATATCGCGGCCGAGATCCCGAGCAATATGATGATGAAACGGCTCAGGCCATCAATTTGGCTGACATTCATCATGGTATGTTGGTCTGCATCAATGATTGGACAAGGCTTTGTGAAAGACTATAAAGGACTCATGGCCACCCGTGTCTTCCTTGGTGTATTTGAAGGAGGTTTATTCCCTGGCGTCAATTATTATATCACTCAATGGTGAGTGTTTGCACTATCAACGCCTTTTTCTTCTTGTTTCTTTTTTTCTTTTTTTCTTTCCTTATTTCTTCTTCTTCTTATACCAGAAGGCTCTAATAGAACTGTGATAGGTACTGCAAAGCCGAATGCGGTTTTAGAATGGCCTTATTCTTCTCTGCAGCAACGCTGGCTGGCGCTTTTGGTGGCATCTTAGCACGAGGCATTGCCGAGATGCATGGAGTCGGTGGTCTCTCCGCTTGGGCGTGGATCTTTATTCTCGAAGGGCTTTTGAGTATCTTGGTCTCGTTTACAGCTTACTGGGCTATCTATGACTATCCCGCCACGTAAGATGAACACTTGAAACTCCACATAGCATTGACTGATAGATAGACAGGGCACGATTTCTCAACGAAAATGAGCGAACCGAGGTCGAAAGACGCCTGCAAGAAGACTCTGGCCACCTGTCCAACGAATTCAATGTCAAATATGTTTGGCATGCAATCAAGGATTGGAAGATCTATATTCACATGCTCATCTGCATGGCGGGCTTCTGCCCTATTTACTCCATTGCACTGTTCTTGCCCACCATCATCAAGAACATGGGGTACACCGCAAACAATGCTCAACTAATGTCGGTGCCACCATACTGCTTTGCTTGCATCTTTACGATCGCCGCAAGTTGGTATGCAGATCGCGTCAGACAGCGCGGAATCTTCTTGATGGGCTTCCAGCTAGTTGGTATCTTAGGGTTCGGTCTGTTAGTCGGCACGAGTCGATCTTCTACACAGTATGCCGGTACTATTTTTGCCGCCATCGGTAAGAATTTGGTGACCTGACCTTAAACGAGGGCAAGACGTTGACTTGGGGCTAGGGATATATCCTCAAATACCACTTGGACTAGCTTGGAACAGCAGCAACATCGGTGGCAGCCTAAAGCGAGGAACTGGAATTGCCATGCAAGTCATGGGCGGTAACTGCGGCGGCATCATCGCGTCGTACGTTTACCTCTCTCGAGATGGGCCGCGTTATGTGATTGGCCACAGCATTCTCATTGGCTTCGTCAGGTAAAAGACCTTTAAAGATGTGCGCTTCGTTGTCAAGCCTGCTAACTTCTTACAGCATGGCCTTCTTCCTGTCCTTGTTCATGACGACTTGGTGTAGGAGGGAAAATGCTCGTCGAGATCGGTTATCTAGTGAAACTGGTGTACGACATTTAACAGACGAGCAAAAGGCACAGGAAGCCGAGCTTGCTGACAACGCACCATGGTTCAGATATACACCATAAGTCCGGCCCTTCAAGTGGAGATTATTGTTTGGATTAGAGCCTTTTGATGTTGAGGTTCATGGAGATGTTGAGGTTTATAGAGATGATTGATTAATAGGCGACAACGCAAACGGTAGCGCGGTCGCCTTCTCAACTAGCGAGACGAACTACTGGAGGACATAAGCATCTGCGAATCTTACAACTCAGGCGGCTGCAAAGATTGCTGCATGTTGCGAGTGTCAAGTTTTAGGTCATTTGTACTGCGTTCAAGATAAAACAGGTTCAATTTCAAATAAACTATGCTATGACATAAAATCTATGAGACTTAAAGTGCTGAGACTTTCGGAGACGAATGGCTTCTAACTTGCTCATGTGCGTATCAACCTAGGGCCCTGTCTATGACTCTATATATTGATTCCACATGATAACATAAGACCTGAAGTCTTTGGCCATCATGCGATATTTCTCGCCCTCATTTTTTCTCACCTCAATTTCCGTTTTGAGGAATTCACGCAAGCCCGACAGCTCTGTTGGCAGAAGCTGACAGTCTGGATGTTCTTTTGACAGAACCAAAGTTACTGAATTCAGTACCACAGCTATATCCTGAACGATACCAAAAACCAGGGACACCAGCAAGTCACATAGAGCTGCTGCTAGTAGCTGGCAGTTTTGGTTACTGCTAGTTGCCAAATTTTCGACTGAGGTCCGTAGGTATCGTGTAGCTTCGTGGCTAGTGTGCAGTATTGAAGTTATTAAGGTATGCAGCTCTGTCGCCAGGAACTTGCACTCCTGGTCTGGACTTGAGAACAGAGTCTGTACTGTGGTTTGTATGCCGCATTCGATTTTTTCCTCGAAGTCGATCTGTCCAATATTCTCCTTACGGGCCCCGAGGACTTCTTTGCGATGCCGACGGCGACCTCGTTTATGCCTCAGATTAAGACTTCTTCGTTCCTTTTTAAGATCTGTACGGCTTTTCCGCTTATTCTCATGGCTAGCGTGGCATAGAAGAGCTTGGATTCTGGCAGCTTCCACCATGCCTTGAATCTTGACAGTCCAGCCCTGTGGAATATGAGAATTCTCGAACATGGCTCCAGTCCGTTTCCACAAGTCTTCTGCCAGCTCCTTTGACAATTTATCATCATGAAAGATATAATGAGCGACGTAGCTGTAGCTGAGAAGAACGACGACCGTGCGTTCACTGTATTCATTTTGAGTGGGTTCGAACTCTGTTTTCGCCGCCTCAAAGGCTTTCTGATACTTGTCGAGAAACTCGGTCTTGTTGAGCTTACTCTTATCCCAGTGCTGATAATACTCTGCCAACATTTCTAGCGCAGCCGGGTCATGGTCTTTCGGACCAAGCTTGTTTGACAATGCCCGCGCTGAACATAGGCAACTGATGCGTAACACATCTCGTAGCTGAACGGGTGGAATATCAAGCAAATTCTGCAGAGCTCGGCGCATTTCGATATTGTGACCCTGGGCAACTTCGCTCAATGAATCATGTAATTTCTCAACGAAGCATCTCATATGATGAGCTTGTTCACGTTCTTTGGGCCCCCCATATAACTGACACGTCAAGCCCTGGAGAACCCGGCAAATGCTCCAAAAGAATGGCAGTGCACTTGGCTTGCAGCCTCCTGCGATGTCTCGGAGAGGTTTGAACAGGTTGTCGTCAAGTAGGTCCATGATTAATGCATCTATTGGCTTCTCGGATCTTGATTGAGTAAAATCTTTTTTCCTTCGTACCAAAGTCGATATCTGTTCGCACTGGCCTAAGAGGCAGCGCCAGGCATTCTGGTTGGGATCGATGTTTTCGTAGGAACCTTGTCTATCCAGGATTTCTTTGATTTGTTGTTGGCCTAATTTGGAGTCGAAGAAGCCTTTTGTGTACTTATCTATAGAGAGGAGTAGTAGAGTATGGCTTCGATACTCATCATGTAATAGAGACTGCGGAATTGAATCGACCATGAAGAAATTCAAATCAGGCAGGGTTTCTGGGTAGTTGGCTTTGATCTTCTTCGGCCTTGTTCGATCTGCCTGACTATGGGCTCCTGTCTTGTTTTTTTTGCAATCTGGCCAATCATTTTTTATTCGATTGTTGAAAGAATTTGCACTGCATTGTTTAGTACGGGTGCGATTAATCATTTCAAAATCAGGGGTGTCGGGTATTCACCTGGCCTTGAATCCATAGAGTAACTCGATAACCATCATGCTTTGATGCAAGGTGCAGCCCTGCTTTATGTAGAGCTCATAAAAAACAGGGTGCACATTTTCCCATACCTCTGGGGGATGAGAAGACTCTCCTGGATTGGGTCGGGGCATTCTGTATTCATCAGAGTAGCGTTGTCTAAAGCGCAGTACTAAACCGATGAAATCCAAACTGGTGGAGTGGAATGCCAGCTCGGGATAGTCACTTATATAGAGATTTTTGCCTGATTGATGTATTGTTGTCTTCGAGATGGTGTTTGACGGAGTGCATGAAAACCTCAGAAGTGTCCAAGCGAAAAAGAGGCCTAGAAGCAGTATTGAGGTTCCAAGTTTGAGAACAGAACTACGTATGACGGATTGAAATGATTTTCGTAGGAAAGACCTTTTCAAACACTGCAGGTGTGGGTATCATTTGCAACAGGACTATTGCAGCTGACCACCTTCGGGAAGAGATGGTGCCTTGTTGAGAAGTATCATTGGATCATCACTAAACTGTCGGTGGGGATCTCACTAAACTGCCGGTGGGGCATTTTTGTCCTCATTGGTAGACGGGGATGGCATCTCAGTACGTCCGATTGGGGGAGCCCTCGCAATCACATGAGTTGACTTGGTAGCTTTGTTATGTTATTGCTTTCAGATGATACTGATAAGGTATACTCAGGAGGTGTTTGTGGCCCCAGTTCGACATATAAATATGCGAGCTTCTGAGCTCAGTATCCTAACTCTACATCCATCGTAAACACTCTCCGATAAGACAGTCCTATTCATTCAAGATTCTACACTTTTAGCTTCAAGTTATCATTAGACACAATTCTCACGCAATGCCTTCTGGTGCATCTCGTTCTTCTACTCGTCGTCACCACGCTGCTCGAGCCTCCAAGTCCTCCTCGGGCAAGCATGTGTCGAAAACCTCCCATGACTCTGATATTAAATTAGCCAGCACCCTTCCCGAAGACCAGTACAATTCAGAGAACAAGTCCCTGTGGCAGGACGTCAAGGCTACGCAAGGCAACCCCCGCACCCTTATAATGACTGTTGTTGCACCCGAGCAGAAGAAGTCTATGAAAGACTTGATTGATAAGAAGCAAAAAAGGATCGGTAAGCCTAAGTATCGTTTCTTGATAAGTTCACTTGATATATAGTCAACCTCATTTTTTATCTCCCTCATATGTTCTGACTTATCACTGCTTCTGTTATAAGCACAATGCACCCGATTTAACCTGCCCTTCAGCGGTTACCGGTCAAGCTCTTTCCAATTTCCACTATGCAGATCTAACATGTGGCCAGAATCATCCGTCGTTGTTAGCACAGAATCACAATTTCAAAAACACCTCAGCAGCGCGATCAAAGCCAACAACACTGGAAAAGGGACTTTCAAGTCACTCTACCTCCTAGTGAGCTCGACAGTTGCTCAGTTGACCTACCACATCGATGGCTTTGTCGACCAAGTCTTCGTTAAGCCCTGTGGGTCAGCAGGTCGGCCGGACGCGCTCTACATCGGAAGTTCATCGACCTTCTGTGGCTTCAAGGCTTTTGCTTGGGATGCGCGCACTGGCGATGAGCTAGTTAAGAAGCAGTTGACGCATCACGAGGGCTGCATATACGACCTCAGAGGTGCCGAGGAGGAGGCCCGGGCACTCGTTAGACAACCGAGAATGACCGTTGACTTCACATCGAAAGAACAGGCCAACTTTCAACAACAATTCGAGGAAGTCACACGTACAAGAGTGAGTCCGAGCCCCGGAGAGTCTCCAACTCCCTGTTCTAATGGAACAGACACGTGGTTCGAGAAATGGAAGAGTCTTCTTGCCACTATCATAGCAGCCGGTGCTGGTGTAGCTGGCATCGCGGGCGGATTCTGGATCAGTGCAGGAGGCATCATGATCAAAGGCCCTTGTGGTTTTTCCCTTGCTGCTGGTTACATCACTGTTGCAGGTTGCGGAGCAGCAGCGGCCGCAGGAGTTGCATCGACTATGCTTGCCTATGGCGCTGTCTACTTCATCCCCTGGGACAAGGTCTGGCAGTTTGTCCGCCGCCAGTTATCGCGGATCTGGGATAAAATTCTTGAAGCAGTCATGTGGATCAAAGATAAGCTGGCACAATTGGCGAGTAGCATTAAGTCTAAGATATTGTAGTCTTGGCAAAATGCGCCGAGGCCTACTCTACTATAGTCGTGATGAAGAATTTTGTCTTGTTTGCTTGTTATTCTATGATAGGCTTTTTCTATTCTTCCTTAATTGGATCTTCTTCGTGTGCGATTTGTGAATACTCTCGTTGGTATGGTGCTGATTAGATACTGTTATGCCCTGTAGACTGTCTCCTCAAATGTGCAAGTGCAGCGACACATTCGGGCATAGAGAACAGTCATTTACGTAGTACCTAATACACTCTTTACTTGTGCGTATTTCTTTCCCATCTATAGAATATGCGTTAGTACCAATTCATAGATCGGGATTGGAGAACATTACATATTGAGGAATAGTTTCCATAAAATGGAGAAGAGAATGCCCTGAAGACCGTTGCATAGAATACGCGTGGCTAGCCCTCGTCCCAACAGCCCGATTATACCGTCTGCTCGAACAACCGCTCGCGCCGCCGCAGCTAGACTTGTTCAGTTTTCGCTCACACTAATTAGAAAGAATTGACTCACAATATGAGACTTGCTTGTCGTCGACTTGGCGGTATGTTTTTATAACTCGTAGCGAGTTGGAGACGGAGTCGGAGACAATGGATGCAACGAATCCAATAAAGGCGAGACGGAGCAACCAAAGCAAGATGTGGCCCTTCTCAGGCTCTTCGATGAGCTCAGTCAAAAGGTTGTACTGCATTCTGTCAGACAAAACCTATGCATTTCCAATTTTAGGATGGGAATTACCGTTGCAAACCAAGGATAGTGTCCCACAAAGGTAGCTGCCGCCGTAGCAAAAGCCCCCCACCACAATGTTCCCACGCCATGCTGCTTGATTCGTTGGCGGAGAAGAGCAACGCCTCCAGATCCTTGGGCCTGCAAAGTTGTTTTCAGGGTGTCGATCGGTGTCAGAACCATACGAAATGCCGCAGCGCTGGGTATACATGTAAGTCTAATACGCTTGCAATTTCTGGACTCTAAGCGGCCACTCACGCCAGCGAGGCAAATATCGTCTTAGCAAGCGACGGAAGGTCCTTCAGGTACGGGTTGGATTGCAAAAGTGCGAGTATTCCCGCATTAGCTGCCGTGTCGCCGAAACGCGCCAAAGGTCCTGTAGATGGAAGGAAATTAGCCAAAATCACGGGCGAATGCTAGGCCCAAGAGAGCTCAAGTTCATAAACTGACCTTGGAAGAGGGCGGCGCCAATTCCCGCATAGTATCTGCCGAAGCCTCCATCATTATAGAGAATTTTGGTTGCTTCAGCAAAGGGGTGGCCGAAGCGATACTGGTAGTTCATAATGGTGCGGAGTGGCTATAATAAAGAATCAGCAGTTGCATTTGAAACAACGGTTTGATGAATCAATAACACGGGTGAAGAATACCATCAATAGTAGAACTTGAAGAAACATTGCGGCAGCGCCACTCAGGCCGCCCCCGAGAGCCTTTCTGAGAGCTTCATGAGGATCAAACTATTGCAGAACATTAGCATTCTCCAGGAATGAAAATTATCAGAATCTCGATCCAACCTTGACGTCGCCACCTGCATCAACCCAGCCTTTTATAAAAACGGCCGCGATGGCAGCCGCGATAATGATCCAGATGATGATCTTGATATACCACCTAGCACGTCTCTTTTTTGCAGGGGCTTCCGGCTCAGCCGCCGCTTCGCCTTCATTTACGTGCTCGCCAAGTAGAGGGCTTTCTTCATCATATCTAGTGGCGTCATTACGGGTTTCTTCTTCGTTGCGGGCCATTTTGTCGTCGTGGGCTCGTCCTACTACCGAGTATCATGAAACAGCAAGAAGAAAGCATCAGAACAGGAAAGCTCAGAGATCGTGCCCGATCCCACTCCGGCGATTACAAATCGGTGCTCGCTGCGGGGAAAATATATCTCCGGGATCTGGATTGGCTGCTTATAAATGATGCCATACCATCATCTATGGTGACATAAAATGGCTCAATTAGTAGACTAAACTATCTGGCGGGTCCCTCCGCGATTGCCGGCTCTTGAGAGGGGGGAACATAGAATGCATCTTTGATGCTCTTATATTTTAATATAGATAGCTTTGGCGAGGAATTGCAGTAGATAAGAAAATTGACTCTATTGACTGATTGATTCGTAAGGAACAAAGCCGTAACTGTGGATTGGCCTTGAAGCCTTAAAAGTAGTAGCATATCATTACTAAATTTACTAGATGACAAGAATTCTCCTGGGAACCTTTCATGTTGTTGGCTTTCCGGAAACAAATTTGGTCGCTGCTCACGTAGGACCAGAGAATGCGAGGCTTGTTGCCGTACCTTTTCTTCTTAAGAGACATTAAAGGTGTCATTTTAGGTGTTGTACGATGGATACGGACTCGCAATATTTTGTAGTTCATAATTAGTCACTAATGCACAATAAGGCTTCCATTCATTCCGAATTCTTAACGACGTCTCAGCTTTGAGCTATTTAGTAGGTCGCTATAGAAAAGGTCCTTTCAGGTGGAGAGGTGTTAGAATGCACTTGGTTGCACAAGTACGCCTCAGACTTTCCGCGATTTACTGTCGAAGGGGCAGCCGCAGAAGCATGAAAGCCACCAAAAGTCTGACAATCGAGGTTCCGGAAAGCTTTATAATTAGGAGGGTATGAGAGACCCTTCTTAGACCATCGGCTCTATCCAGCCTAAGTGCCCGTCTCCGTAGAGAAGGAGTGACGGTTCGAATTGGGCTGGAGGGAAACTTAAATGCGTTTTGACCGACTTCGATGATATCGCGATTTCCTGAGCTTCTAGAATCTTAAGATGGGCCCCTGTTGTACCTGATTAGTAAATTCACATCGGCATTCTACACCGCATTCAAAGTACCTACCTCTAATTTGCCACCTCGTAGCGATTTGTTCAAGGAAGTGCCTGATGGAGCTGATCTGGTCCCGGATATCTCCGTTAGGAGAACGTTGAGAGATTCTCAAAAGAATTGAAACCGCCTGATACATGACATGCATGAGGAAGATTGGTACGATATGAGGCGCATCTGGTACAGCTGGACAGGTGGCGCTATACGAGACGGCCGCTGCTGATAGTCGATTCAAAGCTGCGCGAGATTCGGGCCAACGACTCTCTAATGATAGCCATGGGCTGTTAAGATCATCACGAGGGCTATCCTGATGGGGTTTGTTCTCTTCGAGGAGCAATATTGCACTGGCTTGCGTTAGACTGGAATTTTGTCCCATTCAAGGTTCACAGACCTCAGGATGAGTGCCGATGGAGCGCAGTATTCCAGCTTCCGGACTGTCGTCTCCTTATCTGCAACGGAGACGAGATCAAATAATGTTAGTTGTAGCCGGGCGGTCTCGGCAGGCTGGGCCACATCTCTTCCCGAAGCTGAGAGCGAAATCGACCATAGCGCTTTACTGAAACCAAATGAGGCAAAGTCAAACAACAGCCATTAGATTTTTCAGAGCAAGAATGAAATGATTCTCCGAGTATTCTATAGCAGAAATCTAATAGCCATCCTTTAGCCCATCCCAGTCCTCACCCACGCTTACTCAAACTACCGCCTAGGAGCCCCTTTGTTGAAAAAGAACTACATGGACCTTCAGAGCATCCAGCTTATGAAAATATCTAGTTGTAAAGCTTAGGGAGATGATCCCCAACATTGAGCTCGAACCATCCTCGCGACTCGTCATTAGTGAGCTCCAACGTCTTGTTGATGAGACCCTGCGCCTCCTCAGCCGAAGCAGCACCGAGGTAGCGTCGTCCCTCCTCAGCCAAGTCTTCCAGCGACGGCCGACTCGCATTGCTGACCAGTGCCTTGATATTCGCGATTGCAAGATTTGGGAACAGCGCAATCCTCCTCGCCAGGTCACCGACAAACTCCTCCATCTCGCTGGCCTCCACAAACGCCCGGTTCACCCAGCCCAGCTGCTCGGCCTTCTCTCCCGTGACGTCAAGGCCCGTGAGCAGGTACTCGAGCGCGCGTCCGCGCCCAATGAGCCGCGGAAGATATTGGGTGGCGCCGGCGCCCGGGTTGAAGCCTAGGCCGACTTCGGGCTGCCCAAACATGCTGCTCTTGGTGGCAAAGCGCATGTCGCAGGACATGACGAACTCGTTGCCGGCGCCGCGCGCGCGGCCATCGACGACGGCGATGCTAGCCATGGGCAGCTCCGTGATGTTGTAAAACAGGCGCCAGGCGTTGGCGACCTCATTCCGTGGGTCGTCTAGGGCAAAGTTGGGTGTACCTGTAAGATTTGTTGATTTAGCAAAGAGATATTACGGGAAACGAGGGGTGCTATAGAGGTTTCAGGCTTTCTTACCTTCGCGGGCAGTCAACTCCCCATGGGCCAAGAAAAAATCCGGGTTAGCGCTCCGAAACACAAGGACCTTCACGGTTGTGTCGTTCTGCAGCTGGGTGACCAAGTCATATAGATCGCTCTGGATCTTGTTGTCATAGATGTTGATCTCGGTGCTGTTATTGTCGAAAAGGACGTTTAAGACAGCACCGTTTTGTGAATGTGTTATCGTGCCATACTGCGAGGGTGACTCGCTGGTGAGTTTGGCTTGGACCGGCAGGACCTGGAGGAGAAGGCCGAAAGACAACAGGCACAACTGAGTTATCGACATGATAGAGCTAATTTGTATATAGTTGTATAAAGAAGAGAGTATGGCTTGATGGCATGTCTGGCTTATTTTAGAGCGGCCAGACGATGCTCTTATAGTAATTCCTTAGCCAGCTTATGTCAAGTAGGATGTCTGTGAGACTGACCCGAGCGAGACGAAGCTATGCCTTCCTTGAACTGAGAGAAGTTGTTCAACTCCACTTAACTCCGACAGGCACATGTAAGAAGCTGAGTCATGGTTCCAGGCTGCTGGTAGACTGATCCTTGGCCCTGTCCAAGTCGATAGCTATATAGCGCATTTTTATGAGAGTGGCATTGCGGAAGGTTGCGGTAAATTGCGGCATTTGATTCTGCAATACACCGCAGCACCCGCGCTAGTTAAAGTATCGTGACTGGCCTACGTTTATGATGAATGGGTATAGCAAGGATGAGAGTGAGAGAAGACTGCAGAAGCCCGATGATCCACGGCATGCCGGCATCTAATCTCATTGAGGAAACCAGCAAGGCGTACATCGCTCCATCCTTTTCAGACATGGATAACATTTTGATGGTGATGATGGTGGCACCGAGGAATGGACCAATTCACTAAAGCTCCGCCCTTAATAAAGCGGTAGGTAGTGCTCCAGTTCACTATCTAAGAGGCAGTCCTCATTTATGACTTTGCTCTCAAGCAGTATCTTTTAGAGCCTGTGGCCTCTCTTGTTGAGTCCACTGACCACCTCGCAAAGGGAGCAGATATTGCAGCACCAGAACGACTCGTACGAAAGAGAAAAGAGAATAATATTTAACAGCAATGGAAGCTATCAGGGCCCGACATGAATACGAAAACAGAACGACTCAAGCTTCCCTTCTCTCGACAAAACCACCGGCTCACTTAAAGCTAAAGCTTATATTGTAAATCGTGATGGAGATAGTTATCCGATAATCGTAAATGGTCAAAGCTCGATAGGCTCTCCGACTCTAAGAACTTCTGAGTTGTTCTATATTATCAAAGAGATGTAGTATTCTGGTATCCCACCTTGTTAACTAAAATGGCCTGTTGTGACCATCATATACCATCGGTGACTCACGTTTTAGATGGGCTATAGTAGGCAGTTGGAGAAACGCTGCAACAGGTAGGGATCGATCATGATTCGCCCTAGCATTCGCGTGACATCTTCTCCGCCTCAGACCCTAGCGCTTATTAGTTCCACTACGCCCTCAACAAGGAGGTCATTAGTTGAGATGTAACGTGTTTAACTATCACCTGCTAGATCAAGGAACACCCCGCGTTGAGGCGGATTAGTCATTTCCTAATGTAAGCACAGGCTCCTTTTAAGTCGGATTATTGAGCGCGATATTCCCTCGTAGTTACCAGAGCCGTTTCCCAACATCTACACTCCAGCCTGCCATTTACCGGACTCATCCTCTGGTATGTTAACTCACGATGAAGCTATTTACGCCCAGTTTCATCTTGATTCTATCAACTCATGTTTTAGGTACATCCTTCCTCAACCACGGCCAATTACTGAATGATGTTGAAGACCACGACTGGTTCGAGAGAAACATCCCATTTCTAGATGTTCCCCATCAGCAAATCCAAAACGTTTATTATTACCGTTGGCAGATATACAAAGAACATCTCGTCTATACCGGCGCCCAGTATGGCTATATGCCCAGTGAATTTCTTTATCCAGCAAGCTACGGCGCTCCTTACGGGGGCATAGTAGCTGCTGCAGGGCACCACATAAACGAGGGACGTTGGTTACGCGATATCAAGTATGGAGAAGATACCGTCAACTACTGGCTTTCGGGTCCTGGGCAATTTCCGAAACCTATGGAAGACAGCGTTAATGCGGATACCTCAGATTGGGCACACGAGTACAGTTTCTGGGCTGCTAGCTCGGTGTGGAACCAGTATTTGATTACCGGGAACCGTGACTTTACCGTCGGCCAATTGGACAACCTGATTAAGCAGTATCATGGTTGGGATACCCACTTCAATGAGTCTCTTGGGCTGTATTGGCAGGTGCCTGTTTGGGACGCTTCCGAGTACACAGCTGCTTCCTACGAGTCAGGCGAGGCGTATCATGGCGGAGCTGGGTATCGACCCACGATTAACGCCTACCAGTATGGTGATGCTCGAGCTATTGCCTCCATTGCAGCTCTGGAGGGCGACAGAGATTTGGTTGACAAATACACGACTCTAGCCAACAACTTGCAAGAGGCATTACAAAAATACCTTTGGGACGAAGACAAGTTATTTTTCAAACATCGAGCACGGGACAACAACCCCTCAGAAGCCTTGCTTGTTGATCGTGAAATCATGGGCTATGTACCTTGGATGTTCAATATGCCTAATGTAGATACGCATATTGCTGCATTTTCTCACCTCAAAGACTCCCAGGGGTTCGACGCGGAGTTTGGGCCAACCACGCTTGAGAGAAGAAGCAAGTGGTACATGTATGAAGCAACAAACTGCTGCCATTGGGACGGCCCTTCGTGGCCATTTGCAACCGCCCAAACTCTCACCGCGGTGGAAAATGTGTTGCATAACTACCCGTCTCAAACATACATTACGCCTGATGATTACTTCAAATTGCTTGAAAGATATGCTGCCACACAACACAAAGACGGCAAACCCTATGTGGCTGAGGCCCACGATCCTGACACAGACAGATGGATGTACGATGGCAACAATCACAGCGAGGACTACAATCACTCCACCTTTATTGATAATATTCTGGCTGGACTGCTGGGCTTGCGAGGCCAAGCTGACGATACGATCGTCGTCAACCCATTGGTCCCATCAGACTGGGAATACTTTGCCCTCGAAAATGTGGCTTATCACGGCCATGAAATCACCATCCTCTGGGATCAGACAGGCTTCAAATATGGTCAGGGGAAAGGATTACAAGTTTACCTCGATGGTATTCTTGCCGAGAGTCGCGACAACTTAGGCTTAATCAAAGTCAATGTCGGTGAGGTATCACGATCAAGATCAAAACCATCTGTGAATATTGCCGCAAATGGACAGTCATTTCCCCAGCTCACAAGTGCTTTTGCTTCATACACTTTTTCTCCGGTTGACGACGCTGCTCGAGTTCTCGACGGCATTGTGTGGCGGACTGGAATCCCAGAAAATACGCGCTGGACTTCGTACAACAGCCCAAATGCAGAGGACCATATTGGTATCGATCTCCGCCGAAGTCAAGTTGTCTGTGATGTTCGACTGTTTTTCTACGACGATGCTGGCGGCGTCCGCATTCCGTCTAGCTACGACCTTCAATATTGGACTGGGAGTGAATGGGTCACGGTTCCGAACCAAAGTCGCACCGCCCTGCCAACCACCTCTAATGTCGAGACCAGAATCACTTTTCCGGAGATCAAAACATCTCAGTTGCGCATCGCTGCTCCTAATCACGGTTCTGGGACAGGCTGGGGGCTTTCGGAATTTGAAGTGTGGACAGCAGCCATTTTCCAAATCAGAAATGAGAACAGTGGAAAGCTAATGGGCGTTGAAGCAATGTCAGCTGCAAACAGTGCCAAAATTCAACAATATGAGGATAATGGTACCCGTGATCATCTGTGGCTATTTGTGCTCAGCGCTGGCGGGTGGTGGAAGATCAAGAATCTCAACAGCGGATTACTTCTGGCCGTCGAAAATGCCTCGACACAAAATAGCGCGCAGTTACAACAGTACGCGGATAGCGGGACGGATGATCAATTGTGGAGGGTTGAATCCAAGGGCAAAGGTTTGTTCTTTATCCGCAACAAAAATAGCCAATTGCTGGCAGGGGTAGACGGTATGTCAACCGCCAACAGTGCAAATATTGTCCAATTTGAGGATAATGGAACCAGAGACCACCTCTGGCATTTGCTTCCTGCTGTTTCAGAAGGATGCTCTGAGGGCATTGAGTAGGTAGTGCCACTTAGCGCACTCAATGGTCATAGGTGGACAGCAATATATCAGCTGTTCCGTTCTTTAATGGGAAAGACTGTGCTTCAAAATGCTAAAATATCTTTTATCGGCTGCAGACTGATCCCTCTTTTGATGTTGACTTCGATCATGTCTTGCCTTGTTGCTTTGTATACCCCCTCCTTGATGTTTCTCATGTGGGCGAATTCATCTGTGGTGTAAAAATAATAGAACTAAGGAAATCTCCATTCGCACTCGAGGAAGCGGGAGATTTTCATAAAATGTCATGTTCCATGACTTTGATAGAGAGTGATAAGAAAACAAAGGGGAAGGGAAATGGACGACGAATAGCCCAGTCTTGACAAATGGTTTCGTAAAATCACTTATTGAAACCGAATGTATTCATAACAACTACCCCTCTAGGATCGCTAGGTGTCCTCGGAGATAAGTTATTATTAGAAGTTCACACTCTCTGGAGACTTCGAGTAAAAGAGAAAAACAAAACAGCAATGGAAGAGGCCAGCGCCGTCTCCCCACGACAGCTAAGGTTTACCTTCAACGGAACGTATGGCTCAGGGCGGGTTTGATTTGAAACGGTGCCTCCTCGTTGACAACTTAACATGGGCACCAGCGCAGACACATTCAGTTCTCACCCCAGATTTAACCTGTTACCAATATTTCTCCTTGCTTCTGATTCTCAGTTTCTTGCCCCATATTCACATGAAGTGGGCATCAGGTGAATCGCTTACCCTACCGTGACAAATGTAGGTGTAACAATACGCTACAACTTAAGATCAGCCGTTTCGAAGGGAATTAATAAAAGACTTGGAATTTTTATTACCCAAAGAAGGCTTATGGATAAGCTATTTTTTTTTTCTTGAATAAAGTAAAGTTTATTAAGTCGTACGTCACCTCAATTGGGCTTCACCGCAACACAGTAGCAGCGCACAGCAAGGTAGTATTCATTATTAGGTACCTTACATAAGTTAATCGTCATGATGCAACCTGGGCTAGCAGTCATACGTTTTTGATGTGATGTGGGCGGCAAAAAAAAAAAAAGAGAGTAAAAGCCTATTCTTCCTCTTCTCCTACCTAGCCTCCTTTCTTAGATGCTCTTTCTCCCTCACTTGTTCGGTTGCTCAGAAAATAGATATCGCCGGTGGCGCCGATCCCCCATCAAACATTCCCCTGTCAGAAGCGCGCGTTGAGATGTATTTAGACCTGGTTAGAATTAATTTCGGCTGCTGCGAAGGATACCGCGCGCGGGGTTCACGAAAAAACTCCGAGGATCCTTCAAGGACAATCCTTCAAGTGGGAGCAGACCATGAGCAACAATGGCTGGGTGACTGTGGCGTACCCCCTCTCATACGAACCACCATGATGACGTTCTGGGCTGAGGTAAGACTTCGAGAAAGTAGACTGATGATTCATGCTGCTTGTCAATAACTCATTGGGTCATTTTGGCTCGTGTTTGATCCGCGGATTCCACGAGCACGGGCGACTCATTTCCAATCCCATCACCTGCCAAGAGACGCTGTTTATGCAATATCCCTGTCCCGGCCCCGTTCGGCTAAGTTGATCAGCAGTTGTATTCGTATTGTTTTTTCCGTCGTGCTACAATGATGCCACGTGAAGAAGCAGAAAATTATTACTCGTATTGGAAGAAAGACAGCAGTTATGACGCTTTCAATTGATTTCGCCAGTACCAAATCACGGAAGAGAGCAGGGCTCATCTTCGTATATGCCGAAGCAGCGTCTTACTGTTGTTTTAGAGTGCTGTGCACGAACCACCTCAGCTGCCGTCATGGGTTAGAATACGAAGTAATAATACAGTGGCGTAGGGATGGGCAATGTGTCATCCTTTGCTACGCATCCAGTATAAATATAAAGCTCGTCTGACCGAGATCAAGGGGCAGCATCGACAATCACTCAGACAATCCTCACCATCACTCCTCCTCCTAATACATAATTGCTTCTAACTCACCGGTTCTAATTCTCCAACCCAATTGCCAAAATGAAGTTCGAGCTTAGCATCTCTCTCCTGACCGCCGCCGCTTCCGTCGCGGCCGCTCCTACGGGAAGCTCTACCTTCAAGGTCAAGGCAGTGGCAGCTGGCAGCGCCATCGACTCCAAGACCTTCAACGCCGCCCAAAATAACATCTACCTTGCCCTCGCCGGCCAAAATGCCGTCTGCCAGAACGGGTCCCAGGATGATGCCACGTTCTACATCCGCGATGGCCAGCTCTTCCTTTACGCCACCAAGGCTGCTCCTCAGCAGCTTTATGCCGACCGCAGCGGCATGGGTATGTTTGTTCTTTCCCTTGGTTGAAAGTACATTTAGAACTAATTTCCTTTGACATAGGCCAAGGCAAACTGGGCTACATCCGCCCCGGCCAGAACCCCCCTAAGAATGCCGAGCTCACTGGCTGGTCTGTTGATGAATCCGGCAACCTCAACCTGAGTGGCGCCGGTTTCATCGCTTGCCCTGGCACCGACGCCTGGAGTGTCTGGGTCAACGCAGGTGTCAGCCAGCCTGCAGGCAACAGCGGATGTGTTCCTGTTGTCGCCGAGGTTGTGGATGACGGCCACCCTCTGAGCTGCTACTACTCCGAGTCGTCTTAGGACAAATCATTGATGGATTATCATTTGTGGACAACATAAAACATGTACATGCATAGCGATGGAAATAATTATTCATAGGTCTTGGCTCTTGCGATAGAATTTTGTATAGACGTCTTATATTATACAAATGTGTAATACCACAGCGCCCCGTCCTCTTCATCTCTCCAAAACAGTGAAAGAAACACTGAATAAAGTGTGCATAACTTATGTATAGTAACCAGTCATTTCTCGTCAACTTCAGCCCGAGCTCGCTCAATGTTGGGTGGAAATGAAACGTGAACAGAAAAGTTATAAAACCGTACTCTCTCGGCACACAGAAAGAATCAGGCCTTCTCCCTACTAGCCCTGCCGAGGGGCTTAGATTACAAGAGAAGTTTGTCTTGAACCTTGACGAAATACTCAAAAGCCTCCTGCCTGGTATCATCAGTAACCACCGACGTGGCATTGTCCCTGAGCTCAAGCATCTTCTTACTATCTTTATCCCACTGCGGCCAGTTAAGCAGGCCCCCATTATGGCCAAGCTTGTTGGGATCAAGAAAGTTAACGAAGCTGATGTAGTACTGAAGAATGGCTTCATAGGGCACGGCAGGCTGGCCAGCGCTCATCAAGCCCAGATCTGAGCCATGAAAGGTTCCTAGGAACGGAGTGGCTTTACCATACTTGGAACTGAAATTCCAGATCTTCAACTTCCCAGCTACAGCTTCGTGGAAGGCTCGTTTCTGGAACTGAAAAGCCAAATCGCCTGTAAGAGCAGCGTTTCGTTTAAACCCTGGGTAGAGTTGATTGGCATTCCCAGTGTCGAATGGGGATCCCAGAGATGGCTGGTCTGGATAGAGGCCCAAAAGAGATTCCAAGATATCAGAAGACGCGACGGGGTAGAGTTTGTGAAGCGCTTTGGCCAGGGTAGTCGAGTTCGTGCTATTGAGCATGGAAAGACCGAAAAGTGTCCCTTCGTCATCTTGTGTGCCGGACAACACAGGAATCGGGGCGATATTTTTGCCTTTGAGCAAATCAAAGCTTGAGGAGGGCAAGAAAGCATCCTTGCGGTCGGATCGTGGAACGAAGCTCATCCTGAGTCCGTCGGGGCTGAACATTCCCGGAATGACTGCCGTAGCATTGTACAAGCTGTCATAGGGAACCTTACGGAGGCACGAAAGGCGACCATCAACAGCCCCGTCACATCCCGTGGCGTTCACGAGCGCGTCATAGTAGCTCTGAGCGGTTTGGCTGTCAACTGGCTGCCCTGGCAAAGCGGCGCCCGAGTTCATGATCGCCGCCCTGAAGAGCTTCCGGCCGCGATATGTATTGTCACCGCTGTAGGCGATCGATTGATAAAACACCGACATGCTGCCTGCAGATTCGCCCCATATAGTTACTTTGCCAGGATCTCCACCAAAAGCGGCGATATTGTCTGCCACCCATTGAAGGGCGAGACGCTGGTCCTTCAAGCCTATGTTTGTGTTTCCCTCTTCCTGGAGGTCCTTTCCTGCGAGGAAGCCCCAAGTCCCGGTGCGGTACTGCATGCGGACGACAATTATTGGGTGGCCTAGGGCGACGGACTTGGAAATCATGGGCGAGTAGTCATAGTCTTCGTAGGAGCCGAATTGAAATGAACCACCGTATATCCAAACAAGAACCGGGAGCTTCGCGTTTGGTGCGATAGACGACGGCCGTTGAACAGCTAGGTTCAAACAATCTTCACTGACGATGGTAGGAGTGTGAAAGTATCCCTTCACCGCATCAGACAATGGAGGTGGAAGAAGTTTGAAGATGTTGGGGTCTGTGACAATGGGGTGTGGCGGGCAGCTCCGGGGTGTGGATGTGGCGTTGAAAACTCCAAACGGCGAAGAGAGGGGTCGAGGAGACTTGAAACGTAACTCTCCAATAGGAGGATCTGCATAGGGGATGCCTTGGAATGTGTCGATGGAATTGTTCGATAATCCAATGACAGTTCCATCAGCGATGCGTACTCGCGGTGGCTGGCTGATGCAAGCCGCCAGAACGCCGGAAATGCTCACAAGGACTAGATACCCGATAGAAAGACGCATGATTGGCTTCAACTAGTTTGGATTTCGTGTTTTGAATGAGGTTGAAGTGTATGTTGCAGAGTGAGAACTGCATGATCATTGAGCAGCAATGCTCCTTTTATGTTCATCTCGACAATGGATGAAGCAACGATCAAGCCACGGGAAGTCCGGCGTACTAGAATATATGCTTACACTACCGGACCATTCCATTGGAAGAAAAGCGATCTGCAGCCTAGTCATTCATGTCTTTTCGGGAGAGACAACGTGGACTACGCTACAGGCAACTCGCGGACGTAAGCTGTTATCCCCTGTGTAAGCCTCTTGCAGATTGATGCCGCTAAAGGGAACCATTGACCAATTAGAAGCCGCCAATCTGTAAGCCTTGGGTCTTCCTTAGTGCCCGGTTGGTTCCCTGCAGGAGTGATGTCCTTCAATTAAGTCTAGAAACGAAGATGACATCAGCCTTTCAGCCTACAGGTATTAGTGTGCTGCAATTCAATTTTGGCTTGATATCTCCTGAACTTAGAGCAAAGCACTAATTTAGTGTCGCATCACTGATTGCTATTTCAGAGTCCGATATTAAGGTGGAGGGAGCCTCCGCAATACGGACGCCAACTCGCCAGGACATGCCCAGGCACATTATGCTCAACAGACGAAACCGCCATGCCAAATATTCATAGAATAGTTGAGAATGATTCTTCTAGTGCGAGCTACGTAGTGGGATCATTGCAGCTCAAAGACAAAAGTTAAGACATGCCCCGGGATGCTTCTGATCATTGTCCTTCTCGCACTTTCAGATCAAGACCAAATGGTTTAGATACCGTACGCATCATGCAAAATTCAGCGAAGGCGTAACTATCAGCTGAGAGAACGACGCCTAGTTTGACGGCGATGAAGTAGGACACACTGTATCGAGGGCCATGATATTGCTTCCATCTACTTAGGTCATATTAATTTACATTATTTTGATACAGATCGCACCTATAGACATCTCTTCTTCCATGCCACATTACTATATTGGCTTAGTTGAGAGTCTTGGTAGCCCTGGACTTGCAAGATCGAGTGCGAGTCGAAGTGCGAAGGGTACTCGTAGAGTCAGGAATAGAGACAGATGAAGAAACAGGTGTAGAGACTGGGGTAGAGATTGGAGTCGAGGCCGGTGTAGAGGCCGGTGTAGAGACTGGAGTGGTGGTAGTGCTGTTTCCACCGGGGATTTCAGCGACCTTCTCGATGCGGCCCTCAATCTGGGTGTTGATGGGGCTGGTCTGGTTAAAGTACCGGACTAGAACCTCATCCTGAAGGTCGAGAGGGACAAACCCGGTTTGAATTGGGAAGATGTTGTCGCCGCCACCAGCAACGAAATCGAGCGTCGCAATGACATAGTTGGCAGCAGTATCAATGGGCTGCCCGTTGATGAGAGCACGAACGAGGCGGCTACCGGCTGTAAGGTTGGGGTTGTACTGGACCTTGAGGGTCTTGGAAATCTGGAAGCCCGAGGTAAGAGGCTTTCCGTTGAACTTGCTCACGCGGGAGACGCAGCCTTCCAGCAGGCGGAGAACATCAGCACCCGACATGGTGATCTCGGTGACGGCGTTGCCGAAGGGGAAGGAGGTGAGAACTTCGCCGCGGGTGATGTCTCCAGCATCGATAGCGGCGCGAATTCCGCCCGCGTTGATGAGGGAGAAGTCAGCAAAGCCATCACGGTAGTACTGAATGGCATCGGCCATGGCATTACCAAGGGTGCACTCCTCGGTCTGGCAGGTAGACTGGACGAGCTCTACATTGCTGAAACCAATGACTTGGGCAGCGAGTTCCTCGAAAGGCGCACGCCACTCCTCGATCTGCCTCTGGAGCTCCTGGTCCTGGACGGTAGTGTTATCCAGGTGGACAGGGCCACCATCGTAAGAAATGGCACGGCCCTCATCGTCAAAGGTAACATCAATGTAGCCCAGGTACTCGCCCCAGCGGTACGCAGTGACAATGAAGACTTCGTTACCGGCAGTATCCTTGGTGATAGTAGGATATGCGCCCTGGGGGCTGGAGCCCATGTTGCCGAGCGGGGTGTGCGAATGGCCGCCAATAATCAGGGACAGGCCTGTGGTGGACTGGGCAAGAATCTGATCTTGGTCGTATCCAATGTGAGTTAAAGCAACGATGCGCTTGATACTGGTAGTGGCCTTGATCTCGTCAATGGCAGCTTGAACATGCTCGATCACGTCGAGGAACTGGGTGCCCGGGCCGGGTCGTGAGATATTGATTGTGGTTGGGGTTGTGCAGCCAATGATGGCAATACCCTGCTTCTCAAAGATCTTGTAGGGAATGATTGTTTGATTCAGGACCGGATGCTCGGAGCGGATATTGGCAGAGATGATGGGGAATGTGAGATTGGCAAGGAAGTCACCAAGCTCGTCATCGCCACCATCGAATTCGTGGTTGCCGAGGGTCATAGCATCGAATCCGAGCTGGTTGATGGTCTCAGCAATCTTCTCTCCCTTGTAGTAGGTGTAGAAAAGGGTGCCCTGGAACTCATCACCAGCATTGAGCCACAGCGAGTCCTCATGCTGGGGGCGGAGCTCATCAACTGCATGCTTGATCCGAGCGTAACCGCCATAGCAGCCACGCGAAGGGTTGGTACAGTCGGCACCTGATGAGGCGAACTCGTCCAAATGAGCGTGGACGTCATTGACGTGGAAGAAGGCTGTCTCATTTGATTGGGTCAATATGCCGGCGTGTCGCATGGGAAAGGGTGTTACCGTCACTTACACATCACATAGTCGCCGTCTGCATTGAGCCCACGCTTGCTCAGGTGCGAGCTCACGAGAGAATCCTCATGCACCTTCTCCGGGCTGGCGGTCACGACGCTGGCGGCAGCCAGGGCCCATGCACAAATGCTCTGCTTCATCCTGACAAATGGTGGACGTCAAAACCTCAATCTAGGACCTTCGCGCTACTCACTACGGCTTCGATGTGATCGACACGTCTCAAACCAAGAAGAAAAGAGCCAGGGACATTGTAGAGAGGCGGTGGTGACCTTAAGTACGCAAACATTCAATTGCATGCGGCCTGTGAAGCATGGTAATGGGCAGATAAGCCCGCTGGGGAAACCCGATGGATTGGCCCCTAGGACCCGGCGCCTTTGCCCAGGACAGTTCGCCAGCAAGGAGAGATGCCTAATCGATCCCTTCTCCGAACCTTTGTTGGGCAAGTCATGTTGCGCTGATCCAATTGAAGCATATCTGTGGTGAACGTGTCTGCCCCTCAATCTGGACAGAACAGGGAAAGGCCCTTCATGCTTCATTGCCAAGCCTGCACGTAAGATGGAGGTGACATTTTAGGAAGGTCAGAAACTGGAAGCATCGGCTGGAGCTCGCAGGAGGCGACGCGTATGAGGTGGTATTGATAATGTCACTGAGCCAGAATGTCTGTTTCCTGCCTACAGAGACTGGAAGGGGGGATACTAGCTACACAGCTAGACGACACAAAGAGTAGTACATAATCACCATCATCACAGGGGCATTCTTCCCATGAGGAGGAGTGAGAGTTGGTGAATCGATCAGGAAGCTGGGGGAAACGAGGTCCACCAAATGGATTTCACTACCAAGTAAGCATGTGGACCAAGCTTAACCCAATTAACTCTAATAAATTCGCACGCTGATAACAATTCGCACTAAAGTCAGGGTCAGACATTGGCTGGTCGAGGCATGTCCGAAGGCGGGGACTTGTTCTGCTCTTATCGGCACCCAGACCGATCACGATCGTCCCGTCCTCCTCTCTCAATGGAACGGTGGTAGAGGAGGTAGGCGTCCATTGACGATTAATCTTCGAGCTTATCTAGATTGAGCAAGACATTGCCCTGTGGAAGTGTATTCCAGACCTTTTCTTAGTGTACCTCGGGTGCCACAGAGCAGGCAGATAGATCCAACGGGATGTGGCTCCAAGACGCCGGGCTGGTTGAAAGAAAAAATGCCAATAGTTATTTTTTTACTCATTGAGAACGAAGAGAACTTGGAGCAATGCCTTAAGTCAGGATATCACCAGTCAGTGAAGGACTGACTCTCCCCTTGGGCCCCTAGGACGAAGCGGTTTAAATAACACACCACCCGCAGCATTTGACAGAGTAAAGCCGATTGCATCGATGGGTAAAGGATGCATTCTCACCTACAATAAAATGGAACGCCTACTGTGCAAGGGGCAGACTGTTGGCCGCTTTCATTTCCATGACATCCATGAAACGGTTCCTTCTGCGGGGTGGGTGGACCTTGGCTCTGGAATTCTAGAATTCGGTGTCTTCCGTCCGATCAGAACATGCCAAGAACGATGCCGGGTGTTCCTGCGTTAGTTGGACTGGCCGGGAGGGAACGTGTTTCCAGATGCACGTGTTCCCATCCCAGGGGATTGACCGATCACTGCACTCCCCTACTCATCGAGCCTCAAGAATACATGTCAGAAACTCTATCAAGTAGGCACGACTCGGTGAGCAACACGCGGTAGTCCTTTGCTCCCACTGCATTGTGAAATCTGCTGCGTTCTGGCCCTGGAGACGGACTGGGACAGAAACCACGTTGAAGGGATATTTGAGCTCTGCATTGTCCTAGTGGGAGCACTACTTTAATTATCCTCTAGCGCAGTGATCTTGACAGAAATTGCTTGTTCGTGGGAACAAATCGGCGCAGCAGCTACTCTGAGCTCGATCTCACGGGCCAATCAGCGGGCCAGACGAGGCCACGGAGACGCATCAGCCCATGTGCCAGGGACAAAGTAATGAGAGAGGCAACATCGATTGACAGGCACTGGTCCCTTGTCTAGCCACATAAGAAGTGCACGCGCTGTCAGTTCAATTGCACTGTTTTCTTTCTCGTACTCGTTAGGCGCAAGCTCGGTACTAATTGTTAATACACTTCACTCTCTTTCTGCCTCCAGTCACTCACTAATCATGAAGTTCCTCAATCTTGCTCTGGCGGCCCTGCCCATGGCTTCCGCCGTCAATGTCCGCGCTAATAGCACTCCTGTTTCTTCCAGCTTGGCCACTCCAACCCCCGCCTCTTCGAGCATCAACGTCTGCGAGGGCCCTCATACTTTCATCCCTCTCTCCTCGGGCCGCGCCACTCCAGCCTCAAGCAGCGTCCGCGCTTCGTCAGTTTCCACCAGTGCTGCTCCCGCCAACACCTTGATTGGCGGAGGCAATACCGAGGCTTATTGCCCGCCCAAGGACGATATCCCCAATGGTTTCATTCCCATCGGAGGAAGCTCTACCTCCAAGCCTAGCACTCCCAGCGCAACTGGCACGGCTTCCACTTCTGCTGGTGCCAATAGCGATGGCAAGTCCTCGACCAAGGCCACTGGCGGCAGCGGCACCGTCCCTACTCAGACCAGCGGCAAGCCTGCCATCACCGACCTCCCTCTTTCAACGAGCACCTACACTGCTATCCAGACTTACACCATCACCAAGTGCCCCCCTGAGGTCACCAACTGCCCCGTCGGCTCCGTCACAACCGCTACCGTGACCCAATACACGACTTACTGCCCGGCCATCAGCAGCCCGTTGACTTACACCGTCACCACCACCGTCGCCTGCAAGTCTTGCCAGGGCGGACAGCAAACCACTCCCGTCATTGTCACCATTGTCCCGGCACCCTCCAGCTCCAACCCTGGCTCAACCACAACCCTGGGCGGCAACTCTCCCGTTGCTCCCTCATCGGTGCCCGCCGCCCTTTCGCCCAGCTCTGGTGCCAATCGCCCGGGTTCCAACGGCACCTTCACCTCTGCCCAGCCCTCAGCTAATGCTACCGCCACTGGAAACCGCCCTGCCGCGTCCGGCCCCACCTCTGGCGCTGCTTCTTGGGGAGTCCAGGGTCTTTTCACACTTGCTGCTGGTGCTCTGGTTGCTGCCCTCCTGTAATGAGAGTCTGAGACTCGCCAAAAGCCAATACCTACCCAGCGAAGGATGCACAGCTTGCAATTTCTATACCGCGGCAAGCAGTTAGCCACGTTTCCTTAAGGCGACAATTAATTAAATGATAAATGATTTTTTTCACTATAGCTACTGTTCGAATTGGTGCTCATGCTCGTAAAATGCTTCGTTTCTAGGGGAGCTCTCAGGCCCATCTGTACAGTGAAATGCAAGTGGATCTTGCATTTTCTCCTTCTTCTTTAGGCCGCATGCCAAGAGGTCCTTTCGCTAAGCAATTTGTGGGAATTGACAGAGGAGGATGCACGTGGGATGGAATTCTAGATTCTGGACTACAGACGTGAACCCCCATGCCCTTCCATACCAGGCGCCACATGCCGACTACTTGTCGAGTTAGCCCACTGAAAGGTCCTCCGGAAAAGCAAAGTGAGGCTCTCTTTTTAACTGCACATTGCCTTAAGGTAGTGGAGACGTTGAAGCCAGCTGATGAAGAGTACATGCCAATTAGCGGACGTGCTCACTATGACGGAAGTACCGACAATCCGCCAACATACATCCTTTAATCTAGCCTACCCTATAGCTATCTGCCTGGCTACAACCACTGAGCCGTAGCCTATTAGTTTTTCATTCCTAGATCATAAGCTTCCCAGTAGATATAGCAGGCTGATATGAAATTATATTCATAACAGGCCACAGAGATTCTGTAGGGAAACTACTAAGCCCTTTACTAAATGGCTCATTATTCATGCAATTCTGAATGCTGTGGTGGTGTATGAATGTTGAGTCTTGGCAAGGGTTGTGGAAATTGAATGAACTTATGAAATGCACAGCCAGATATTAAATTCTATTCAAAGTTACCATTTAGATATTAGTCAATTCTATTCTATATCCTCATCCTTCTCTGTTCAGTGATTCCATTCCTCTATAACAGAACGGACCTCTGACGCGTCAGCCACAGGGACGTATTTGATATCCAGTCTATGACAAAATTGTGTTAGTGGTTTGCCTGCGAAGGGGATATATGACTTACCCGAAACCCTCCGGTCCTCCATTCTTTAACCCTTCTCCTGTTGTCCATTGTGAGCTACCGGCAAGAACCACGACGTGGACTCGTAATCCATAACGATAGTCCTGAGTGCCCAGCGCTCTCCCATCTTCGGCATCAAGCAAGCATATCAGGTCGGGGACGCTAGCCAAGGTAATCTTACTGTCCACCTGATACGCAACAATGTTTTCGTTCTGGAAGTCAACCTTGATGTCCTTGGTGGCTGGCGATACCTTCTCCTCTCCTCCAAACGCGCCAAATGGTGTAATCTTCGCAGATCCCTCCGTAAAACCATCTCGCACATGGCGGGAGACGCTGGTGATCTTGCCCGTCAAGAGCTTCCGCCCAGGGTGTATTGCTAATATGCTCTCGACGATGTCTCGCTTCTCTATTCGCGCCAGCTGCGAGGCTCGACCCAGTCTCCATGCAAGTGATATCGATGATTGGGCGGCGTATTGCTTGACTTGGCGGCCGGTGAGCTTGCCGAGCGATATTCCCGCTGCCTGTCCCATTTGCACACATACGGCACGCAACATGGCCTCGATTTCGCGATTGGAGCTCGCTCGGACCTGCACAACAGTGTTTCCTTTGCCATCTGATGCGGCTGCTGGGGTAAGCACGATGTCCGCGTTGTTAGGCGTAACCTGCCAGAGGTTTGGATACGCCCGACCCATGAAGTCCGCATCGACAAGCGGCTTTCCCGTCCATAGGGCGGCTTGGATACCACGCATGCCATTTGAGCCTCCAATCTCGAGGCTCATAATGGCAGTGAGGCCGTTAGTGGTTAGACCTTGGGAGGCTAAGGCAGCGGTTACCGAATTCTTCAGCTCCTCGCCTGAAGGTAGACGTTCGGAAAATGTGCTTGGTGAGCCCATCACCGCCACCGCTGGAATAACACCATCATCCGGTAGCAGATCCAAGGGGATGACCTCTATCGAGCCACCATGCGCCAGAATCTTCTTAGCACTGAGATGGCTTGCGTAGACATCTCCTCCACCGCCGCAACCGAGTATGGCGCAGCCTTGAGCGATGAAGTCAAGATCGAGTGTAGAAAGAAGCCATCGGCTATTTGCAATGTTTGGACGATAAGATGCAACGTCAAAAGTATCTTCAGACACAGTCTCATGCGTTGGGAAAATCTCTGGACTTGGCGAAGAAGCTGTTTTTGTTTCATCCACCTCGAGATCTCCATTACTGTTGGCCAAAGCTGAATCCTCTTTCAAAGTGTCATGGCCAGTCATTGACAGCCTACCAACTGCCCGAATACTGATATGTGATGATCTTGTGTTAGTATATGGCACTGGTAAAATAGTTTCCTCCACAATCTCAGGGTTCTCGGCCCCGGCGAGGCGGGCGTTGAGGATCGCCCGCTCTCGAACTTGAGAAACTGCCTGCTCTTCTGACTGACTGTTGGTGAGATGCACGATTGCGTCTGCAGATCCAGATACCTTTGCCATTGCTGCACCAACTGCGTTTGCGACATGGGCTAGGGGATGCCGTAAGATCTCGGACACGCCTTTGACGGACTCCGGGCAGAGAATGCTGCCTCCTCCCACGAGAATAACGGGAATATCCGTTGCTGCGGTCTTCATCTCATCAATGACTGTTTCCAACAGCACTTGCATTCTTTTCTTGGCCTCCGAGATCACAGCTGCTGGAACATCTGAGACCAATGACTTATCTCCCAGTTCTTCCAGCCCGGAGGCTATAGCGATGTCCGTGGCGGTTAAGACTCGGCCTCCAAAAACTCGGGCCTCAGTGTTGAGGTCCTTTCCTACCGAGCGGGGCCCGACTGTGACCTCACCCGAGTCAGTCACTTGAATAAGAGAGCCTCCCCCAAGGCCAATACTCCGGAGGTCCGATACGGCAAAGTTGGTCCTTACGCCTGCAAAATAAGAGACTGCAGCGGCTGGACGCGGCAAGCCTGATGGCTCTACTGCGCAAACATCAGACGTTGTCCCACCAATGTCCAGGACAAGAGCACCCTGATCAATACGGCCTTGGGTGTTTGCGAGGAATACCGCGCCAGTTAAAGAGTTTGTCGGTCCTGAAAGGAATGTCGATACGGGTAGGCTTGCGGCATCTGCTGCTCTGATGAGGGTACCGTCATTTCTCGTGAGAAATCTAAGGAAGGTGTCAGCAAAAGAGATAGGTCTGAGCTTGCAATTCAACTCACAATTTTGCAGGTATTTCAAGTTCGCGGATTGATCGTTGAAACTGGCCAATTGTTTTCCGGGCAAAAGGTAAAATTGTGGCATTTAAGATCGTGGCGTTCTCTCTTTCGATAAAGCCTATACCGGCGACCTTGTGCGAGAGAGTGATGTTTATATCTTGTCCAAGGACTGAGCGGAGAATATCAGAAACATGCTCCTCTTGGTGTATGGATGTGTCTATTGGGGAATAGATGCCAATGATGGCGATGTTCCTGATGCCTAAAGCCTGGATCTCCTCAGCCGTCTTTCTGACAATGGCTTCATCCACACGCTCTATTTCTCGCCCATCAACTAATAAGATCTGAAATCAGCAACCTGCTGCACGAAACATAGGAATAATATCACCGCACTTTCCAGTCCGCCTGGCAGCGTTGCACTGAAACCTTCGACGATATGTCTCAAGTCATTTGGGAGGCCGGCAGATGGAGGCACTTCCCTCCCATATGGTCCACCAAGGCGCAGCACGGCGACCTTGGCTAATTTCCTGCTGTCTTTCTCAATGACAGAATTGAGGAAGTGCTAAAACTGGGTATTAGTCCCATTGGACGATGAATGTCCGAGTTGTTAGGAATATAGCAAGCTAACCGTGGTGCCAACATTGACAGCAATAACGTCGTCCCTAGCCTTTTCCGGGAGGTCACCCAATATCTTTCTTAGAGCTGTGTTGATGCCAAGGCTGGTGTCAGGTGTAGTAGGAGTCTTTGTCGTACTCAAGATGCTTCGTGCGGGCTGAGTCTCACTCAAAGCAAGATCGATGGCCACGGCATCTGTGTTGGTACCCCCTGGCAAAAAGCGTTACTCTAAGTTCCTGATCAAGGACATTTTAATTATACATACCAACGTCTATCCCAATGATGATCGGCATTTGGATCTTCGGCGTGAGGAACAAAGAGACAATGAGCTCGTTGATCTATCCCATCTGATAGGATCCGCGCCAAGAGTATGAAATACCTGCAAGCTTTGCCGATACCAAGCGAGTGGGAATCAAAATACCGTTGGTTTTTTTTTGCGTACACTCGCGAGTAAGTTGAGCGTGTTTCATCGGACTTCAATTACTAACCCAGGTAGCAAGACCCAACTCACCGGGAATTACCTTGTTCTTGACCCCATTTCCGACTCAACTGATCAAATGATGCCATCGCTTGGCAACCGATGTCGGCTCCCTGAAGAGGAAATTACACCCATTAGATTAGCTTGAGCATGTGTTTCTCCACCATCAAACGGACAATTTCTAATAATCTTCCAATACTACCGGTAGGGCGGGACCCTGCGGGTGGAATTTGCCGCTCCCCAAAGAGGGTGATATTGAATACATTTTGGACCTTGATAGAACCAAACCTCAGTCATGAAGTGGACAGTCTTTTGACTCAGCAAATAGGTTAACTGACCATAAGTTTTCGAGCTGTGCTTATTTTAAGGGAGCTAGATTGATATGTGCCTTGTGGTAATTCAAAGTATGTTGCGAGTAATGTTAGACTCCGGCTTGCCTTTCTCTAGGATCCAGTTGGACAAGATATCACCCCTCTTCAGAAGGCGGCAAATTTCACTTAATAGCCAGATCCACCGGGCAAGAAGCTAGCCGAACTAACTCAACAGCTGCAATCTGGATTGCAAAGAAGACATCAGGCAAGGAAATGTCTGGAGCGCGACAAACCAATGCAGCTGCGTCATAGCATTAAGATATTACCCAAAATGTGGGATCGATATGTTGGAAGTGCTGGACGACATCAAGTGTAAAAGAGTGCATGATTATCTCGGCCTAATCCAAGATGTCCTCAGATTAGTAGGCTTAATATTATCAAGTGTACGATTCTAGATCTAGCTATATTGAAGGTATAGGAAGAAGAATAAAACGGATATATCGATGACATAGCAATGTCAACCAGATAAAATTTACGCTGGCCGTGCATTAATTCTTTCCAAACTTAGGCATGGCTAGGGTTAGGCGCCTGATCTTCTTGATTATCTCGATCCTCAGGGGTCCATGCTTTGAACTCTAGAAGGCCTTCATCGTTGCGTATCGCCTTGCCATTGTTCCTACAACATAATGTCAGCAAGCATCAATCGTATCAAGTCGGAAAACTCACAAGTCCCTCCTAATCTGGAACAGGATCAGGCCAACAGTGACAATTGCGAGACCGATCATTCCTGCGCAGACTTGGTATCCGTAATCGTAGTGAGGTGCTATCAAAATAGTATCAGTATGTTAATCAAAGCGAGGAAAATCTCTCATGTTGGGGCGACATACCATCGACAGCCGGGAAAAGTAGGACAAGAGCCCAGGCATTAATTGCGTAGACCATGGTATTACCAATTGACACAATAAGCCCACGAAGTGCGCCATTACCCTGGCAGACCTCATTCAACCAGGCGATTGTGATGGACTGGGCAGGGAGGCCTGCGGTGATGAGGATGTACCCAGTAAACTTGAGGCCCTCTGGGGCTTCCCATACTGCCACGAAAGCATTTCCGGCCAGACATAGTAGCATGTTTGCAACAATGACTACTGGACGGTTTTGCAACCAATCGGAAACGATTCCACTTATGATTGAGTTGATGAGAGCAGCTCCCTGTCCAGCTGTCGGAATATTGTTGAGCTGAGGCACAGTGTACTTTCCAAGAGATTGGAGCCATAGGTTGAAGTAGCCATCTCCCCAAGAGAAAGCCCCGTAAAGACTGGTGATAAATGAGTCATTTGATGTCAAATTTAGAAGAGAGTAGACGTACAAGTAGCAGATAACGAAGAGGTAGACATGCCAAGTTGTCCAGATGCCCTTAAAGCGGGACCAGGTAATCTTCTGGATGGGTTGACGACCGACACGCTCCATCCTATCGATTGCCAGTGTGACTTCCTGTATCAAAAGCGTTAGATAAGAAATATAGGATGTGATGGGAACCGTACAGCAGGCTTGAGCCACCTAGCTCTGGTATCTCTCGGCTGGTCGGGAAGGGCGTAGAAACCCCAAAGAGCAATGGGCAGGGAAATCAGACCGTCGAAAATGAAAAGCCACCTAAAATATCAAAAGGTCAGAAGCATGCTTGGCTCATTTAGCATTCTTTGCAGACTTGCCTCCAACTAGCCATGCCTTTCCCGTTCATGTTTGTGTAAAGGCCAGCTTGAATATAACCAGAAAACATACCCGCCACTCTCGCCGACACTTCGTAAATGGCCATCCTCTTACCCAGCTCAGAGGGGGTATACCATGAGCCAAGTAGCGCAGCAAATCCGGGGAACGCAATTCCTTGAAAGAAGCCAGTAGCGAAGCGTAAGCCATACACCTGGCATAAACTCCCGTCAGTGGCCAGGAATTCATTGTATATGATTTGGGAAAGCTTACCGCGCCGGCAGTTTTGGCACCGGCAATTCCCATGACGAGAAAGGTCCAGGCGAGCTCACAGGTTGGCAAAATAATGGACGGCCTGACGTGTGTCGAAAGTAACATGAGAGGGACTATGCCAAGTTAGAGACTTGTGCAATCGACGACGGAATTTCACAGACCTGCTCCAGCAATAATGCCACAGTTGAAAGTTGTCGAGAAGTAGTTGAGTTCATTGCCAAAGAGGGATAACTACGACATTGTTTAGAAACCAGTGCAATAACTTTCGCTTGTGAACTCACATCGTCCTTCATGCCAGACACGTAGGCGTTGCTGGAGCCGAGATATAGTCAGTATGTAGTTTGGTACCGACATAGAATGTAAGAGTCGACGCACAAAATGTTGGTATTGTCCAGAGTCTGCATGAAACAAGAGAGTGTTGTGTAGGTCCTATTGAGTATTAGATTGCTGGCAAATTCCCATATTCACCTTCTAGGGTGAACATACAAAAGGAAGAGGTCGAGTTTCCGGACCAGTCTCCTGTCTTCATCCTTGTCGAAGTAACGGGGTAGTTTTATCCCGAGGAGGTGCTGCCGATGTTTTCCCACATGATCCTCCTGATCTGAATCTCGAATATCAACAGCAGTCGTTTGGATATGGTCTCCCTTGGTCGGAGAGACCCCGGAATCTGCGATTGTGGCCATAATGAAACCCAAAAGAAGCCGTTGCCTCGAAAACGACGAAGATGCAGTGCTGGGTACACTCTAGCCTACCTACCAAAGGCCTCGGGAGATTGAATGTTTTATATCAGTCGGCGAACTCAGCAACAACCTCAGGGTATAAGACCAGGGCTGAAACTAGCAAGCCCATTTGAGGAATGGCTTGATATAGTCGACATGCTTTTGCCCCACACGTCGAGCCGCACCACGACCCAAGTATGTGGTTCGGACAAGGGTAGCTGCAAGACGCAAGTTCATTATCCGATGACGTCTTAAGCTATCTGGTGGCATCAGCCATACACGGAGTGCACGCCATACTGAAAAAGGCGGATATTGATAACCTGACGCGCGGGTTCCGAGAAGCGACATCGGATTGACTCGTGAATTATCACGCACGTGGACTTCATGTAGGATTACTTGGCCGATGTGGAGACGTTCCTGCGTTCAAGAGATAGGACGAAGGCCCAGGCCAGCACTTGGCCGACAGGAGTAATATTAAGCGCTCATCTAGCGGATTTCAAGCCTCACAATCTTCGTCCACAACCTCCTCAACATCACCAGCCATCCCATATTCACTATGAGTCAAGCTGGCAAATCAAGCAAGAAGAGAATATATCTCAATGCCTTCGACGCTTGCACTGTTGGCCATACGTGCCCCGGACAATGGCGGAACCCAGCAGACCACTCATCAGACAAACGAAATCTCGATTACTGGCTGGAGACGGCCAAAATCCTAGAGAAGGGCAAGTTCCTATCGTATTTCCTTGCTGACACTGTTGGGGGATTTGATGTGTACAATGGAAGTCGTGATCCAGCCATCAAGATAGCCTCGGAATTCCCAGTCACTGACCCTTTCGTGGTAAGTCTTGCCTTCACTATCAGAGAAGACATCTTACTCAGACGTTTTGTTAGCCCATCTCTGCCATGGCGGCCGTAACGAAGTCCTTGGGCTTCGGTGTCACCGCATCGACAAGCTATGAAAGGCCCTTCCTATTGGCTCGCCGTTTCTCCACGCTGGACCATTTCACAAAAGGCCGTATCGGATGGAACATCGTTACTTCATGGAACAAGTCCAGTGCGCTTGCAATGGGGTTGACCGATATCATCCCTCACGACGAGCGCTATGCGGCCGCGGATGAGCTAATGGACGTCTTGTACCAGTTAGTTTCTCAACGATATCGTGTCTTGTGTCGCAAGTTAACATGCCGTAGGTTGTGGGAGTCGTCTATTGCCGATGATGCCGTCGTGAAGGACAAGGCTTCCGAAACCTATATTGATCCGTCTAAAGTCCGGACGATCAAGCACCAGGGAAAATATCACCAACTCGAAAGCCCGTTCATAGTTGATCCAAGCCCTCAAAGAACGCCGTTCCTCTTCCAAGCCGGTACATCCCCGTAAGTGTAACCCCACAGGCCGAAGCCTCACCACACCACTCGTCTGACTCCTACATCAGTGCTGGATCAGCGTTCGCAGCAAAACACGCCGAAGCCATCTTCGTGGCTGGTCACGTCCCAGGCACCTTGGCCCCGAAGATTGCCAGAATTCGACAGCTTGCCGCGGAACGAGGGAGAGATCCCCAGAGTTTGAAGTTTTTCCAATGCCTCACACTCATCTTGGGAAAGACTGATGAAGATGCTCAAGCGAAGCTCGCTGAAATCAAGAAATATCAATCAATTGAAGGAGGTCTTGTAATCTTCAGTGCCTTTACCGGAATAGATCTCAGCAAATACGAACTTGATGAGGAAATTAAGCCCGAGGATAGCAAGTCTTCCGCTATTATCCAGTCGGCCTTTAGCAATCTGTTCAACGAGGAACAGGGCACTGGAAAATGGACCCCCAGACGAGCAGCTGAGGAGCTATCGATCGGCGGAAACGGAGCTGTCCTAGTCGGAAGCCCCCAAACTGTTGCTGACGGTCTGGAGAGGTGGGTAGCAGAAGCTGATGTTGATGGGTTCAATTTGTCACCGGTTGTGCAGCCGCAATCTTGGCATGATATTGTCGAGCTTCTCGTACCTGAGCTACAGTCACGAGGGATCTACTGGGATGACTATGATGCTCCTGGGGGTACGCTCAGGGAAAATGCTCAAGGTAAGGGGAATAGCCGCTTGAGGACCGACCATTTTGGTCATAGTTACACATATGATAGAGTATAAAAAGGAAAATGACAGACTATGTTTTCATTTAACAAACAGTGGTTTCATATTTTGACACCGATGTGAATCTTTAGACCTGGAAATTGCATGAAGTAACATCGATTTTCTTTTTGAGTGATAAACTCACGGTTTCAAGCGAGCAGCGATCTCACCTAGCGTTCTTAAACATCGAGTGACTGAAGCATCCACTTACTGAAGCATATAGTGCCTATCTACTGGTGAAGCTGCTACTTTTGGCCCTCGCCTGATGACGGATGCTCTACCTACGGGATGCCGTTTCGCTTTTCATTCAAGCAATTTTTTCTCTTTGCCTCGGATGAGCTACAGCCATCAGTTAAAGGTAATGTGATGCAACTCAAGTGCTGTTTGCCTCGCTAGGTATATTGCTCATATATTAAAACTAACAAAAGAGAAGAATTATCATTTCGATTTTGTGCCAAGCAAATACTTCCCGAGCGCATCAAAGTTAATAGGCAGATCACAATTCAGCCCAGTTGGCACTCGAGTTGCTGCCTCTTCCGCGTGCTAATTGACCAAAATCATAAGCTCTTGCTTTGATAGTTTCGGCTAGCAAAGAAAACAAAACCCCTAAAATAAAGCTTGAGATAATAATAAAAACAGTCGATTTCGAGGGGAATTGGGCCCTAGAGCGGAGATTCTTTGGTGCTAACGGACCGATCATCTTTTTCTTCTGTGCAACATTTTGTTGTTCTCCGATGACTCTCGCTCTCTTCATGGCAGGCAAGCCATCCATGCTGAACTGACTGTTTTGTGCCCAGTATCTGAAATCATGTGAGTTTAGGCCAAAAGGAGGTGAGCGTCACGAGCTTACAGATCCATGCTTTCTTTCTCGTTGCCCCCTCTGAACTTTTCATCCTTTTTACGGTAATATTCATTGAGGGTATCTCTATGAGCCTTGAACTCATATAATGGGACAGAGAAGCCACACGATGTTCCGACTTGGTGAATATCAACTAAAATGATCGATCTTGCGCCGGGGATGACCTTGACGCTTTGATCACGAACAAAAGACTCAAATTCCGGAGTTTTATTCTCCAAGACGCGGCCTGATGAGATTCGTCAGCCAGTGGCTCTATGTTTCCCTCTTACACTCCATGTGTTGGGTATACAAATAGACGATCTGGTTTTACCTTTTCCCCATAGCCTCACTATTTTGGGAGCGCCCTCAAAGGCAGTAAGCATGATAGTTATCCGTCGGTTCCCTGTTTCATGAAGATGGGAGAGGGTTTCACAACCACTTCCAGTAAGCTCGAGGAACCAAAACGTCTTATCATCAAGCAGTCCAAAATATTCTCCTCCTTTTGGCGAGACATTGACGTGGCCGGAGCCCGAAAGAGGTGCTGTGGCAACCCAGAACATCCGCTGCTTCAGAATCCATGGGGATAATGTCGCTGGGATGGTCTCGTAGAAAACACCCATATTTCTCTCTCGCTGGACAACTTAGATGTGAAGGACGTTAAGTCGACTCGCTGGTCTAATATCCTGTAGTGATTATTATGCCAGAATATGATTGACGAGGGGAAATGACGATTAATTGCATGCTTACTATGTGTCGGACTTCCTCATACGGATAAGCTCCGCTAGAGTACCTACCGATATCGGGCGCCATGATTCATTCCACGATTCGGCTGAGAAATGGTGAGTTTTATCATCATGCTGTTGGGTCTGATGAAAAGAGTAACATTTTATGGACAATGGTAATTATTTTGCTCATATTTGTTCATCAATATCTAGGACCTTACTAGCATGAAGGCTTCGTTGACAAGGTGGTATTTCTAAGCTCGGGACTTTTCATTGACTCATGAAGTGGGTTTCTGATCATGGCAATTAATTTGCTGGGCAAAAGGAAATTCCTTACGCAAACTTGCTCATTGTAACCCTATATCGTGTAACATTGATACTCCATGGAGCGCTTTTGTGGATAGCCACCAGCAGCAGCTCATCTTCATAAATGATCCCATCGGATTCTACCTTAGTACACATAAAAGTTTGTGGTCTCATCCTCCCGAGCCCTGATTTCCTTGTTCTTTCTCTGGCAGATAATCCTAGCGACCCAGGCCGTAAGTGCTGTAGCAACGCTGAAAGCTGCCGAACTCGCCATGGCAATGAGATACCGGGGCTCATCGCTGGAAGGCCAGAGATAAGGCGTCCAGACGAAGGAGATGTTCATAATCATGGTCACGATACTGATGGCCACAGCCTTCTTCTCTTTTGTTTGACCACAGACGCTGCCGCACCAAGCCAAAATGAGAGAGTTGACTCCGTAAGTGCCAATCGTAAAAATAACCATGGACACATATCGGCCTGCAAGGTTCAGAGTAGCGCCGGCGGCCACGAACCCGATGGTGGCTACAGCCTTGGATGCTGTAATATGCCATGTCCTTTCATTGAACTTCCCGGATGACCAGGAGACCAAGATAGTGACAGCTCCTGCGATCAGATAAGGAGGGCAAGTCAGAACAAGGGTAATGGTCTGGTTGAAGCCTAGAGTCTTAACAACGGTCGGGAACTAGAAAACAGCATTAGCGATCAATGGCGTCCAATCAGCCACCAAGCTTCACACTTACAAAGTTCTTAAACCCATTAGCTGCTAGATGCAGATGTGCCATGAAGGCAAAGATCCACACAAGAGGGTCTTTCGCAGCCTGCTTGAGCCCGCTAAGTGTATCGGTTTCTCCCTTGTTGTCGACAGTATCCAGCTCCATCCGGTTGTAGGCAAGATCTCGCTCCTCTTGAGTGAGCCACTTGGTGGTAAGTGGCGTATCTGGCAATAAGAAGAAACCAACAAGAGCAATGACGAAGGTGACGGCACCCTGCAGAATGAAGAGCCACTTCCAGCCTGCCAGGCCCGCAAGGCCATCCATGCCATGGAAGATACCGGCGGCAATCAGGCCGGCGAATGCAGTGGCGAGGATATTGCCCGTGTAAAGAATGGCAATGCGCGTAGCCACTTCCTTACGAGTATAAAACAGTGACAGGATGTAAACAGCACCTCTAGAGTCGATATTAGTTTAATGCTTTTCACGTAGAACGCAGGGGAATACTCGCGGGTAGTAAGGGCTCTCCGTAAGACCGAGAAAGAATCGAGTGAGGAGGAGTCCGATGTAGTCGTGTGCAACCGCAGTAAGCGCGGACACAATGGCCCAGAGCATCATCATGATTCCCTAATTTCTGTTAGTCTGGGGCATGAAGTAATATGGGGGAGTACGCACCATATAACGACTTGGTCGGGTGCGAGTGATGAACATGTTGGATGGGACCTGACCCAGAATGTAACCGACGAAGAGAATACTAACGCAGGTTTGGTATTCTTTTCTAGAGTTAGTGTACGGTGGTCAAATGCGGGAGAAACTTTGGCTGAACATACGCTCTCCCTTCAGGTTCAAATCTTTTTCCAGGTCATTCAAACGAGCAAGCGCGATGGCATTACGGTCAAGATAGTTGAGCCAGTACATGCTCCACAGCATTGGCTAAGCACTCGAGAGTTAGCATAATTCTCTTCCTAGGGACAGCTGGCAGATCACCTACCATGATCCAACGGTCGAGCTTCTTCACAAGAGCAATTTCCTTTGGGTCGGTCTTCTCGTGTGCTCCCGAGTAGTCGACTTTGTCGACGATAGGCACTGGCTTTTGTGCATGCTCAATCTCTGTGGCATGACTCTTGACTTGCTCAAGAACCCTGGGTTCGGGATTCGTCATTGTGGCCAGTTTGATAAAAAGGAGGATATCAGTGTTTGGTCAAGTTTCAATACCAATGTGTTTGGGATCTTGATATTTTGGAAAAGATATCCTGAATGAGGGTATGGGAGGAGGGTTTTATATACATTTGCTGGAGAGCGAGGAGCGTATGATGAATGCTCATCTCGCTCTCAACGAAGGGTGGGGTAGGGTATCTGGGGAAGGGGTTTGAGCTGGGGACCTGGGGTTACCCCAAAAATCAACTCTAACTCTGTTCGGTGGGACTGTGGAGGAACTGTTCCCAGCTGGTGTTCCACATAGGGAGCAACTGTTGGTTGCCTCCCATGCTGTCTAGTGCAAATTTGCTCATATGTAGTACCGCTTACCCATTCGGCTATCTCTCCATGCTTATCCCCTCCTTTTTCATGCATAGCACAGACCCCCGCAGAGGAATCTCTCCCGGTCTAGGCCTTCCGTTTTCTTCCTTTGCTCCTGGACTACTTTTGTTATTGCCTCGACGAGTGGGGTTTGGTTGTACCCTGGCGGGCGCTGCTGCTAGCACAATGCTTGCCAGGAAGCAGCATTTGGAGATGGAGAACCATCATACTAGCCCTTGTCCTGCCTGGGCAGCCCACTGGAAAATTCAGGTTCGTTCGGATCCGAAAGCGAAGCAAGCCTCATCTCTACAGCACGCACGTGCGCCGCAATAGCCGACCCATGGACATTCATGGGTACTAGCCCATACAGTGATTAATGATAGACCTGTCTCTCCGAATCGTGGTATGAGTTAATATCCTGCAACATCAGTCTGCCAGCTACGTTCCGGTTTGATCCTATAAAGACAGCCAGGAGCTTCTGGTGCGGTGACATCCGGAACAACCGCCACATATTCAGCTCACTGAATGCTCCAATACAATATATGATGCCTTGTTTCTGCAGAGTGCATCACATCCTGATTAGGCAGGTGATGCAAAGGGTTAGGATACGAGGCCCTCCCCGGACTAAAGTGACATTCCGGGGCAAGATTGGATAGCTTATTCGTCTTACGCTTATTATCAAGGCGGTAACCGAGCAGTACTAGACAAGGATGTTTTTGCAGTAAGATGTCATTCCCCAGTTTTCTAGAACAGAGGTAGATACTCAGTTGCCCAGTGTTGCTTATCTTGGAATACTCGGTTGGGTCTAGATTCTCGGTGGCTGATTTTGGCGTTTTTAGGCCGAACTTCTCATGTGATATTCACTGTCTTGAAGGGCATGTAAATAGACAGCGTAGTGTGTCAGCCTAAGTTGGGTGCGTGCTAGCTGGGATGAATATTGATCTGACGCAATGTCTGTATCGCGGTGTACAGCGCAACCGGGCAACTAAAGACTTTAGCTCATACGCTAGAACATTTCACGGGGCTTCTATGAACTTGGCAGCAGCTCAAGTGCGAGATGGGCGCTTATGACCAGGATCTATGATTTGCTGAGGGAGTGACAAAGACGGTGAAAGGCGCAATTCGGCCCTTCGTGCACGCCTGACTCGCTGATCATGACATGGAAGCCCGGCTGGCCAAGACATTTAGAGACATCTAGCTCTGACCCCAATGGAAGCGCCAAGACTCTGCCCTGGGCGCTAGAACTTTCCCCGCCTTCCCTCATCATGCTCCTCGATGCCACACGAAGCATTTCGTGATGCGGGCAGCTTGAGATTCGCCTCCAATAAACCCCGCAACCCCCACACGGTGACATTCAGCTCTGCGGCCATGAAACGACGTGTCGGTCATCTTCCGAGGCGGACCACCACCACTTCCCGAAGGATTCTGGACCAACCCCTCGCCACGAGCCATGATCCTTGATTGGCATTCGGTAGCCTCCTATGATGCGGGGGTTTCCTGAATTGGGACTCTATCATGATCTAATGGGAAAATAAACTATTATTAATTTTCTCCAATGGTTAAAGCTCTGCTTTAAATACACTTAGACGACTGACTGAAAGGAACAAAAAAGATGACATGGAAAACGAGTTTCGGACATCCCCGCGCGTCCAGACACTGAATCAACAGATGACTTAGCCGATTCCGTACAAACAGACAGAGGGCCTATGAACTTAGCAATGGGCATCTGACCTGGAATCGTAGATGGCGCTCAGTCGGCCACTCAAACGCCAGATTTCCTTCAAAAGCCTCACAAGTCAAAGAATAAGCAAGGTGAGGGATAAGATATTTCCAAGCGCGGATGCTCATCAAAGGGAAATATTCAAGGAGTCTTCAAGGGCTGGAGTTTATTCCACACCATCAGCAATTTCCCGCAAACTGCGGGTGCTGCACAACTTAGGAGCGCGCTCCTGATAATCCCGCGCCCGATGGCTCACAATTTTGAGCACAATTGTTGCATTAGAGCATATTTTAGACACAAAAGCCAAGTATGAGTATATAACGCGGAGTCGGCGGCTAGTACCTGCCTCGGATCGATGTGTTCGCCCATTGTTGATAACGAGGACCAAAGTACACTCAGGTCGATTGGGACGCATAAGTACATCTAACCCTATCTTTAATCTCCAAGGAAGATGACTCGCGTATAATTTAACGCAAGGATGAGGTTGAGGTAAATTTTGACTAGATAAAGCTTCCGATGTCAATGCCATGCTTTGACTTTACTGGAATTTGATCCGCAATGTCAGCTCCTCGCTCTTATACAAAAGTACCGGCTGATGCACATTCCTTTCGAAAGCTTATGCTGCATTATTCCTGGCATCGCGTCATCGATGTGACCCCGGGTCAGCTATTCAATAATATTGTACGCCAGCGTAGAAGGGGGGGTACTGCATGGAGAATAACAACCTTTTCCATACCGTCCTTCTCTCTAGGATTCAAGGCATACATGGTGGGGGCCGGATTATACGGCACAGACTCTTCTAGATACACAGTGCTTGCACACTGCCTCAACATTGTCACGATTTACGACGTTTGCTTCACTGTTGACGTGTGCTTTGGCGCCAAAGTTCCGGTACTGCCGCTCAGACTCTCGAAGAATCAAGCCCAGCAGCATTCGCGTCTCGGACAGATGCGCGCAGGGTATGACAGTATCCTACAGGCCCTGTGTGAGGATCAGTGTGTCTGGATATCTGAGCATCGCATCGACGACCAGACCGCTTAGATTTTTCAATGCTATTTTCCAGACTTTGAATTACTGCCTGAGGATATGCGGGTATAAGACTTTACTCCAGCAAGAAGTCGATCAGGTTTCTTTACATATAATTGGTTTGCGTAAGGTCCACCGCAGAGTATGAGCTTATTTGAACGGTCAGCCTTCCCATGACCATCCGGTCGTGGCGCATGGCCATGGAGCGGACCCGAAGACCGCCAGGGCCATTGATGGGGCACTTATCGTTGACGGGGATATCCTCAAATGGAGAAAGGGGAGACAGAAGCAGTGGGATCGGACATTGAGAGATGAAGTCGAAAGAGTAAAGATCCTGAGGCAATTTTTTGGGTTCATCTAACGGGGGAGGAACGAAAGGCCATTAAGGGAACCGCCGCAGACATTTCTGTGCAACGATCGGCCGTCCCTCGTGGAATAGCGTTTCAGGTGCCAAACTAGAAGTAGTAGAAAGATAAGCAAAATCGCCTTATACTTATGATGCATCCAAGTTGCGCGATCACGCCTTAGTCTCTGGAATACAAACTCTACAGGATTGATCTACGCGGATGTCAAATAAATACTGCCTGCATCCGACACCCTCCTACTTAAAGGCCTCCGGCTGATTGTGTGCGTATAACATACCATAACTGTGCCCGTATGCCGCAGAAATATCGCATCGTCCAGGTGGGTGTCGACGAAAGTGTACTAATTTTGATGTGCCCTTATATCCCTTATATTGTGACATATCCTACTAGGCAAGCGGTACTCCAAATCGCTCCGCAGCCCTAAATTTATGGTTCTGTTAAAACTTAAAGGAGTGTTTGATTGGTGTGGGAGGCAAGTTAACAATCCTCAATCGAACAATCGGCGTGGTATGGACAGACACTGCCAATTCAACCACTCAATGATGGGTAACACAGAAGGAAATTAGAGCTAATTATGAACTTGCGAGAATGCAAGGATTGACAAAGACTGAAGAATGTTTTTGTGAGTCAAGGGAAGCCTAAAGCCTGATTCACTATCGACAGGCGTGACAAACTACTTTTGAATTAAAAAATTAAAAAAAAAAATAAAAAAATAAAAATAAAAATAGCCAAACCAAATCACTCATGGCGGTGTAAACATTGGAAACAAGGACGACCGGGAGACATCGAGAATGCAACATGCGGAATTTTGCGCACGACGTTGAGGGGGTACGTAAGCTGCCGGCACAATGTAACAGTAGCTTTGAGCCACCACGGGCCCAGGACCAAGGTTATCCAAAGGCCACTCACTATTTTGAGTGATGATGAGTAAAAGTGGACTTTGACTGGCCATAAGCTTCTTGATCCGTGCGAAGCTAAGGTTAGGTAGAAGGAGAGAAAAGCTTGCATCCCTGTGGACCAGACACTCGGATCTCTGTGCGGATAATCAACGGTCTCGGGTATGGCGACGGTAAATTCTGTTTAATCTAGGAGCAAATCCGTCAGAGTCAATTGAACCCCAACCATTTCTGTAACCAGGTTGTGACAAGGATGATGTCTCGAATCAGTTCAGTGACGAATGCCGCCAGCCGCCCTCATCCCTTGCCTTCTTGGGGCTGCCTGATATCTGAGGGCTTGTATTGCATACACTGTAGCATTTAGAATTCTTCTGGGCCTGATTTACAACTTGCATAGGTCCCTTTGTCTTCTGCTTGCAGGGAATAGCGCATGAACCCCGAACAGGGATGAAACCGAAACGAATCTTTCCAGAAAGCTTATGTGCTGCGTGGTTTGCACTAGTCTCTTGGCGAAAGCTTAGATACAGATACTGAGAGCCTGAGCTTTTGCACCATCCGTGAGACAAACTCCCAGAGTAACACAGCAAAAGACATATACATGAAAAGTAACTGCCGGCCATCACGTCACGCTAAAAGCCTCAAATATCCCCCCCCCCACGATATTCATTATTATTCCACTCGCTAAGCAAGGCCCGAGTCCTCAGCTCCACCAGACACAGGGTCTTACGTATGCTTCCCCCTTGCCCCCACCGAGAGGCCCTTTCATTGAGCCCCTTTACACGATGACGGATTGGACGCATAATGGTGGAGGGCTGAGTGATTTCTTGTCTGCAATTGAAGTGTTAGCACCTATGGAATTGAAGCTCTGAGGTTCGAGGGTTTCACCAGTGTCCACCTGGTTGCCGCATCAGCATTCACACCGATGAGTTAAAACGAGAAAGCTTGTGGGCTGCGTAAGCCTCACCCGAGGCTTGTGCAGCTTTTGGCGTTAGCCTGCGCTGGGGTCGTTCATTCTTGGTCAAAGGCAAGGGATATGCCTGATGTTGTGCTAGGATCATGTCTAATGCTCTCTCCAATCAGAAAATCCGGGATATAATCTGCGAACAGAATTGGCTCGGGAGTTAGAATACAGCCCACACTGGCGGCATCGACAGATCCATCAGGTGCAAAGATTCGTCCCAGAGCTCCAGAATCCGGCACTTCGCCTCGACCCCTGGATGGGTCCCGGCATGTCAGCCGGATTCATAATTGCTAATATCTGAGTGGTGGACACTGCTAGGACACGTCAGCTATCTGTCTACGCAACCACCTTCATGCATCTGCGAAAGGCTGCGAGTTCATTGCAGTCGCCTCTATACCATGTTTACCAGCCACGCGGCCCATGTTATCGACGTACTTCACAGTGATGTGGCATGGGCCGCTATAATTTGAATCTATTTGGGTTGGGTGGTTGGGCCTTAAATTTATAAAAGCAGGATCATTCACATAGCTAAGAAAATAACTCTATAGCTTCAAACCAATCCTCCTTGGTCACATTGCCCAACTACTCCATTCTTACCATTAAAAAAAAAATTCATCATGGTTTCTCTCAATTGGCTTATGAGCGCTGTTTTGCTCACCGGCATGACAGCTGCTCATCCGGGTGAACCTCATGATCCTGAGCAACATAAACGCGCACTGGTTGCTCGCGATTTTGCTGCTAAGCAGCACGCTCGCTCCTACAGCCAATGTTCCAACTCACCACGTGCCCTGGAACGTGAGAAGCGTGCTATCAGTCGACGTATGCAGAAGGTCAACGAACTTCGAAACAAACGTGGAATCAAGTCAAGTCGGTTTGCCCTAGCTTCCTATCTTGAGTACTACAGACTAACAGATTCCAAATAGCGGCTCGCAAAGCAAAGAGGGACTTGGAAGACCTCCAGAGCTGGGAGGCGATCAGCCACAACAAGACTGGCTCCCTTGACTATGACATGTTCACTCCCATCGTCGATATCTTCGGTGCCAATACTAGCTGTATCCTGGCACCCGAGACTACGAACGGTCCTTACTATATCGTTGGCGAGTACATGCGCTCAAATGTCAAGGAGTCGCTCTGGAGTGAGGGCGTTGACCTGTTCCTGGAAATCCAGTACATCGATGTCAACACTTGCGAGCCAATTCCAACCGTCGCCGTCGATGTTTGGAACTGCAACGCTACGGGGATCTATAGCGGCATCTACACTGACGGAAACTATGCCGCGGACGGAGTTAATTCGACCTACCTGCGCGGGATCCAGCTGACCGACCACGATGGTGTCGTCCAATTCGAAACTATCTTCCCTGGCCACTACGACGGCCGTGCTACCCACACCCATATCTTGGCCCACATCAACGGTACTCTGAGCCCCAACGGGACTATCCAGGTCTGGGACGCTCCCATGGCGCACAACGGTCAACTCTTCTGGCCCGAAGATCTACGCGAGGAGGTCGAGGCAACTTATCCCTACACCCTCAACACCCAGAGCATAACCACCAATGATGAGGACATGTGGACGATCGTTCAAGCTGATGAGAGCTATGATCCTTTCCCCCAGTTTGTCTACCTTGGTGACAGTATTGAGGACGGCCTCTTCGCCTGGATCCAAGTTGGCCTCAACGCAACTGCTGACTACACCGAAGACGATTACTATAGCATCGGTAAGAAAAGATAATGTTGCTCCATTGATGGGATATCCCAATAAATACTAATACGTCTGATAGCTGGTTATCTTGATGAGACTGGAGGCCACGCTCTGAGTGGTCAAGTCGGTGGCAGCCCTGGCGAGGGTGGCCCTGGCAACGGCACTGGATCTCAGCCTTCTGGCACTGGGGCACCTCCCTCCGGCACCGGCAGCGCTCTACCAACCTCGAGTGAGACCACTAGCTCTTAAGTCATCTTATGGTTGATGGGCTTGCTTGGTTCGAGTATGGATTTATTGTTCTAGTGAAGAAAACTTAGCGACACATTACTCATTAGGCAATACCTTCCAGGACTAGATCCCAAATATGGTGTACCTTTCTGAGATGTAAGATATACGGATAACGTATTTGGCTCTTTTGAAAAATAAAAGAAAAGCTCCGGGGGTTGAGACTGTTTATGTTGGTGTACATTTGGCTATAGTGGGGTTAGGATCTACTTCTCACGGGTGTTGATGTTAGATGATAAGCCAATAAACACTATCCAAGTTATAACTGCAAAATTAGATGAATATATCTGATATTCGGAACTTGTGACCTTCTTTTCGCGAGGTTTCCTAAATGGAGAAAGTCACCTGCAACGTAGTTTGATAACTCTATATAAGGTAGGTTAGGCAGTTCACCTGGGATAAAACTTCCATCTTCCATTAATGTAATCGATCTTTCTCACATGTAGTTGACCATACCAAGGTTTATCCAATAGAAAATATTTATATTCGAAATAAAGGCTATCCCCAGTTGTAAACATTCCATCTCAAGAAAGCATTAGAGTTTTGTTTGGCAAACTCAAAAGTGGTGCATGGGGGGATATAGGTACACCCTGCGTAGCTGCCATTGATACATTCTTACCACAGGTTCTGCGTTCGTTTTCAGGGCTTTTATGAATATGATTTCAACCTTGCATTTCCATCGACATAGCCTTTATAGGGTCCTTCCGACACTTCATCACAGTTCAACAAGAAATTTCTATCTGAACATCGTGGTTCTTGATTCCAATACCATGGAATTCATCATAAATTCAACAATGTCTGTCTTATTTTCAATCTTTGGGTGCTGGGGCTGCCTCCGCATCGTTGGCCAATATTTTCTCGACCTCTGCGCCCCTTTTGCGCCTTTCCTCCAGAGATATCTCTTGACTAGGTGAGGTAGACCAACCGAGTCCCAATTCAGGATACTGGAGGGGAGTTGGCCCACCACGTGGCAAGGAATCCAGGTAAATGGGCCAGGGTGTGCCCATCCAAGCGTTACGAGTTTCGTGATCTTCACGTTGACTCGTAGTCAGGGGATGAACCAGAATACTAGAATGAGGATCAGAGAATGAGCCTATCTCGGATCTTGTGATACATGGCGGTAATGAAAGCAACCCTGGGAGATTTGAATTGCAACTGAAGTGGGAAATCTCATATTGGTAGACAGCAAGACTCACCTTAGGTTTCCACGATTTGCTGCTAGGTAAAAGAACACTTCAGAAAAGGATGAGTCAGGGACCCAGATTTCATAAGAACCTGCTGGGTGAGGGCCAATAGGGGACTGATTCACGCGGAACAGAGGTACGGCAACAAATGCTCCTATTAACAGTTTAGAAGAAAATTCAGCAGTAGTTATCAAGTTAATTACCATCGCGGCGTAGCCTCAAGACAGCGTCACGAAGAGCAAGCGCAGCAGCTGTCTCCGTCGGTGATTGCAGTAAGTAGTAGATATGAAAATGCCACTCCCGAGTTCGGGCTTCAACAACAGTTTTCAGGTCGTCTTGAGGAGCTGACATTGCAGCGCGGGTAACAATGGTCATAGCTTAAATTGAAGAGATATACCGTGGAGTTACTAGCCTCTGTTCAATTCTCTTCCGGGGAATTGGTTGATGATGAATTCAATCCTCCATTGACTAATTTCTCAACGAAAGCACGTCATGTAGCGCAATTCTTGCCCCGCCTCGCAACAATGAAATAGCCGAGGGCATCACGTGATAGGAATGCCACTGCCCATGGGACTTCATTGGCATCTGACAGTTTTCTTCTGAACCGGTTTATCTCTATATTTCCTATGTAACCTGGAGGTCTAAAGTCAATCTTGACAACGTACTTAGTTAATAAACATTGATGCATGATGGAGAAGGTAGCCATGGTAGGATAGACCCTTGTTTTCCTGGACCATTGATTACTATAGCGTTTCCTTACCTTCACTCTGACCCATCAATATAACGACGTCAAGATTACTTAGGCAGGGCTATGTATAGCGATACTAATATTATTATTCAGAGATTATACTAGTTACAGTAATGTAAGGTATGCTATTGATGTTAAGGGGGGAAGCTATAGGGTAGGCTAATTCACAGGAAAAAGTAACTCCTCAACATAGATTTCCCTGGCCATAAAATTTTTTAGTGGGCATGGAGAGATTGAATATTATATAGCTTTCACGCTGTTAGTTGAGACGCTCGTGATTTTCTAGAGCAGGCTTCACGCCACCCTTCATTCGCTTGAGGCCGCATGTCTACTACGGCAAGTACCGAAAGTATTGATCAATTAATGCCAATTTTGCAGGTTGCAGAGCTTCGATCGAGGCCTTGAACGACCATACATTAGTATATTATTAAACCCCGATTCAGTCTTAAGCCTGAATTTGTCCAAAGTATGTCCCTTCCCATTACACCGTGTTTTGTGACAAGCCACTACTACCTCGTGTTGATCACTTTCAGGTCTCCTGAATACAATTCTGGTTCTCTTTTGTTCTGTTCTGTCTGATTGTTGGATGAAAAACTGAATTGTGTAAGGCGACTGAGGCGTAGAGAGCGTGTATGCGATTCCGGATACTCGTACACCACTGAAAGTGGCCGATTTGCCATAGATTGAACTGGCAGGTCTCCTTTCTCATTCGTGTCTCTGAGTGAGGAGGAAAGGAGGTCTGGCTCCAACAGTGGAAGAGGTTGATACTCGTTATTCAATAAACCGCCTCGGTGAGGATCTGAACAGTCTTTGCTTTGAGTTTTGGATCCGTTTAAGGAGAACCTGTTCTCTTCATCCAAGCACATTGAACTGAATGAATTACCAATGAGATCGAGGTTCTGCACAGACGAGTGTGGTATCAAATAAGCACTCAATCGCTCCGGTGCTGGATGTTCCTCTGGACAAGTCGCGAGGATAGAGAACATATCAAATCCAGTGAAGCGCTTTTCATCCTTGAAGCTGAATAACGACGAAGCAGGACGACGGGACCATCGTCTTGGCGCCTCTAAAACTCGCGATGTCCGCCATCGCTTACCGTTAGTGAGTTTGAGCTGCCGCGGCTTCATTTCGCGTGAAGCGGCATCATCCGTGTAAATATGGCAGCATGGGATGCAAGAAACCACCCTAAGAAAATCCATCGAATTCACCTAGGCTTCCGTTCAATGAACTACCGGCGACGAAATATATTGCTGAAAAGAAGAATTTGGTGTGAAGCAGTGATCACACATCATCCGTGGGTTTGGCGGCCTTGCTTAAAGGAGTAAAATGATAGCACAATACCCATGAATGTAGACGTAGCATAAAAGCGATGATATTTATCGACAGCAATGCTGTATCATGCGAGCATCCTCAATTCCCCATACTACATGGCTTCCTCGGCAGGGATGAGCCCAATCATGCTCTGCCGATCCACTTGCATTGAACATCATGCAACGCACATATCATGATGAAGGCACTGAGCTTTCCAGCTGTTCGATACCATTGTCTTATATTTTGTTGGTACCTACATCCGATCACATTGACTACCAACTGGCTGATTTACCCCTGATTTGCGACTTGGGGATTTTCTCTTGTGCATAGCTTACGTCTTGCTACTGTACTTGGCATTGGTTGAGGTTTTCCATGTATGTCATAAACGCGATAATACGTTATACGAGCATCTAATCTTAGGAAATTACCTTTTGGCTACTTTCCCAAGTGCAAAAAGGAGGTACAAAGAGATAAGTAGAATACGAGTACGCCATGCCAAGCTACGCATAGACTTGCTCAAATGTGCATAAATAGCTGTACAATCCGTAATGAAACCCCAGTTACTCCAATCATGCACTGTCAGGGATGAGCTGGTATCCATGTTTCCGTGCACCAATCAGCCCGAAGCCTGGGAGATGATTAGTCACAAGGGAATTCAAACCTGTCATGGAAATATTTTCGTCTTCCGTCATACAACAAAATCATCAGCACCACTCCAAAGCGGCCGCGGAAGGCTGTATGCTCAGTCACTGACATCATGACAGCTGGTAGGTTGCCTTGAATTGTCTTCTTTCCTTATTAAAGCATCTGATGATAGTTTCCAATTGTGAAATACCGCGGCTTATGACACTCGCTCGCGAGCCTTTGATTACAAGCTTTTTTAACAACAACATACCTGACATTTCGCGTTCTTTCCTCACTCCTCGAACGATCTCATGCCCCTGTTTAGCTCTGACTAATGTCTCTTCTTCAGGTCTTAATCCAATCGCCAACACCCAACGCAGGAGGGCCGAGCTGTCGAATTATTTACAAGAGCCGAATTGCCCACCGACCCAACAATCTCGAGATTACCCCGACTCGTACTGAGTATCATATGCACTTGCCGACAATCTTAGATTAGTCATCTCTGTCGCTAACTTCTTGGAGGACCTTTTCGATGGCTGGCTATCACGATAACAACAACCATGCAGGAGAAAGGCGAGGGCTATCATCCAAGCTTACTCACCTGCTAAGCGCGACAGAACCTACATGGTTGGAGGCATGAACCCGAAGGAATGTTGGCTCGGGGGGCATTTTCGTAGGAGAGCGGTGCTGTCAACTGGTACGATTTGTAGCGGTAGGGAAGAGTGTCGTTGACTCATCACGCGCGTAGTTGCCGTAGATCCCTCCAGTTTTCAATCGCCCTCTGGCCAGACACAATAAGGACCAACAAGGACAACAGTCATTCGAACGTCCGGGTAGTATCCCACTGAAACCTTAGATGCGTCACTCCGTCGCTGTATAGGCAATCGCCAACATATCGCGTAGCAACTTGTGCCTATAACGCTCAAGTAGACGTCTTGCTGCTCCCAAAACTAAATTTCTGCTTGCATATGTATTAGAACACACCATCCATCGGATCCCACTCCCAAGCACCGAACAGGCCTGCACCGAAATCAAAGTCCATGTCAGTATCATGGAACTCCAACTCATCGAAACTCTCTTCGTGAACGGTGATTCCGGCCAGCTCTCGAAGCAAGCCCAGGCACTCGGTGACACGTTCACTGCATGACCTTTCGAACAGCTTCTCGGTCTCATCTTCGGTCAAGTCGGAGTCGAAGGCGTCGAAATGGGCCTGTAGCAAGACCCCAATCGAGTGCCCTTTGCAATTTGTCTCTCCGGACCGTATCCGCGAACGTGACCAGTCGGCATATGATTCGAAAATCCTGTGAAACTCAGGCTCGATCATCAGCGGCATCGTGGGTCTATTTCTCGTTTCGGCCTCCTTCTGGTTGATAATTTCAAGCCCTATGACCAAGGCGCTCTGGATGGGAACACTTCGAAAGCTTCCGGAGCCATTGACGGTCAGCCGACGGAAATCTATTTCTGACTGCTGGGCTGGTATGTTGATGGCGCCATTTGAATTTTCAGGCAACAAGTACGCGGATTGGCAGATCCGGAGGGCTATTTCCATGCATATCATCCGAGAGTAGGAGTATAGAGGGTTGGATTTGGCAAGAGGGGTTATCGGATGGTGCAGAGCAAAGAAAAGGCGGTGGGTGGCCAGCTGGACAAAACGCAGCTGGAAAGACGATGTCTCCGGATGTGCCTTGAGTTCTTTCATCAGAGACTGCAGAGTTTTCCTTAACTCGCCGCTCTGTCTCAATGTTTCCTCATAGATGGTATCAGAACGCAAGTCGTTCACCCGTTTCGCGATAGCGAGACGAGTAGGGAAGGTTCTGAAGAGGGCAAGTGGAATCGTCATCTGGGTAAACGAGCTATCGGGCTTTGGTCGAGGGTATGGCATATCCGTGCTGTCGACCAGACACTCGTCATCGACGTTGGCTGGCATCTCTGTGTCATAATCTGGTATCGAGATACTCGGTGGACCTCCTGCGTCAAGGCTTGACTGAAGGCATATTTCCAGGATCGTGACCCAAAGTCGCCGTCGCATCTCGGCACGATATGGTGTCATTTTCACAAGGTTTTTGGGATCTCTATGTAGTCCCATATACATTGCAGTTGAGACCAAGGAACTCGCCCCGATCCATGTCAGGTCAGAACCGATATTAGCCGTTTGTCGTACATAATGTAAAAGACAGCGGATCTGCAAACCGACGATTGTCATTCTCGATTTTTCGCAAGGTGTGAGAAGCCAGACCATGCCTTCCCAAAACCAATGGATGGCCTGTGTACGAAGTGTAAATAATTCATCATGGAAGGTGGCGCCGATTGCCATGCACAATTGCATCAGAATGAGGAAGTGATCAGGGAGCTCAGTTGGGGTTTTCCAGTACTGCTCGTAATCTGCCTTGAAGCTTGGTATGTGGAGGATACGATGAATAGACTCAAAGGTTCTGAGATAGCAATCAATGAGAGTGTCTGCCAACTCTCTGGTAGGGACGTTTTCACCTATGGTGATAGAATTGAACTTGGGGGTGCGACGAGACTTGATCAGGCGGCCCAGGTTCTTGCATGTTCTGAGGTCATGGCAAATCTGAGACGTCTCATCGGTCTCAAGCTTTCTCGCAATATTTCCCAACCGATACAGCTATAAATTACACCAGTTAGTTACGATATATCGTATTCAACGCTGGAAAAGGTTTTAAAAAGCGCTGGGTACTGTAGAAGGCAATACCATATCTGAATCATGGAGCATGGAGCATACCATATCTGCCGAGTTCATCCAGTGACTCTGGCCGAAGAATCGGGTCTTGCTCACAGAGCCGCGGCTATATTTCAATCCCACTGAAGGAACTAGGCCATCTTCGAGAAGGTTCCCGCCTGTATGCTTGTATTGCCCTTTGAGGTCTGCTACCTGTTGTTCAAGCTGCCTGATTCGATCAAGCAGAGCATCCTTGGGCCTAGATTCCCTGGCCGCTAAAGAAGAAACAGGGCGAACAGGCTGCCACAGGCCAAAGTCTGCTGGACCAGAATGATCATCAGGGCTGGAGTCTGCAATGGAGAAGTGCCCGGCTGTTTGCGGGACAGGGTCATCGTTTACCCATGGATCAGATCTCGCTGAGTGCCCAGGAGTTGGGATGGCCGGCAGCTCCGATACCCCCGAGGTCGCTTCGTGCAATGCAACTAAACCAAACTCCTTGGCGACAGATACCGGATCGTCTTGCTTTGGAAAACCTCTGTCAGGGGTAGCGATCTTCTGGAGCGGGACATAAGTGCAGTCGGCGTGGTTGGTGCGGACACACGTGCTGCACGGTAAGCGACGGTCGCAACGCACTTTGCGACGGCGACATTGTTCACAGGCAAGTGCAGGTCTTCGTCGCTTCTTGTGTCGCGAAGGATCTGTCAGGTCTGTTACACCGTCCATTGGGGCTTGTGCCTTTGATGCTCCGAATGTCTGTCTCGGCTTTTTCTTCAGCTGCACCACTGAGCAATAAACTCCCCAAGGTGAAGATGGAAGAAAACGAAACGATATGCGGAAGTAACGGGAATGGAACGTAGAATCTTATCAGATCATCTGATAAACAAAGGAGTGAGAAATATCATGGCCGATGAAATTGCCGATGATGTTGCGCGTCGGCGTCGGTGATTTCTCGGGCTCGGCGATAAATGAACCTCTCAGCAGCTACTCACATTTCTTATCCCCGAGCTCTGGGCAAAACACCGAAGTCCCTAGCTTGATTGTCTTAGTGTCTTCCAAGGTTAAGTGGGAATCAGTTACTTGCTATGAATAATCCGTCCTGAGCCGTTCTTTAAACCTATCTCAGTCTAATCCCGGCCTGTACATCAGTATGAAAGCAACCTTGCTTCCTTAGAGCGAAATAGATAAGTAGATAGGGTTCATCATGACCTCGAACCACGAGGCCTTTCGATTATATTCGTTTCATTACTACAGCGGAGAAGTATACGCCCAAACATGCTTGGATTATGGTTATACAGTATGGCAAACCATCAAACGACCCTGGTAGCTGTTGGGAATCCTACTCCTTCGGGCTTCGCCGAATATTAGTGACTCGGAGAATTAACAGATGTCCAGTCCTCCTCTCCCGCGTTCTCTGGAGAAATTTTCGGCCAGTAGAGACCTTGCGAGATATCCTGGAAGAGTGTGCTATCGATAAACTCAAGGTCGAGGCTGGGAGGCATAAGCAGCTCTTGTAGAGACTGCCCCGGTAGACTAGCAGTATTCCCAGGCGTCACAATAGAGTTGATAGCAAGTGCCGTAGCCGTTGGTGGGCTATTAAAGGCAGTTAGGTTCTTCAAGATGGATGGCGGTTCATCAGGATCACCACGAGTGGCTGATAAGTTGTCTGTCAAAATTTTGATAGCTTCGAAGTGCTGGCAAAACTCCGCTGCGGCAAGGTGCCCGCTGTCACGTAATTCCATAAGCACGTCTATGGCGGAATCAAACTGCTCGCTGTCCTTCTCAGACTTGTCTTTCGATCTGGGCAATAAACTGGATACTGCCACAATTGTGCCGGCAGAGAAGAGATACTGCGGATAAAAGTAGTCGAAGGTGGGAAATGATCCATCGACCCATCGTTCGGTAAGTAAGTTCAAAGATTCACGTGCACATCTAGAACAGGCTTCAGCAAGACTGGCAGCGGACGCTGGGATCTGCGGCTCAGGTGCGGTTGAATCCTTCCAGGAGGAAGCATATGCCCGAAATATGTAGAGCAAAATGGGCCTCGTTGCCACAATGACACTCTATAAACGCACCATTAGCTTTTGATTCAGCCTTTTCACGATACACTACTTACTTGGTTAAAAGAAAGGTACAGCGACAGCGACGTCGATTTCAGAGTAGAACCCTCTAGTGTATTCTCGAGACGTAAAGAGGGTGGTATATTCTCTGCCCACTCATGCAGGTCCTTCAGAATTCTTTGAACACGCTGCGATAGCATTACTTCTTGTGTCGTGTGGGTTTTCCGGACATAGATGGACTGAACCATACGGCCTGATATTTCTGCCAGATGGATTCGGGCAATGTAAGGGGCGGCATCTGCAAAATCGCTTGACTCAGACAGAGATGGGTCTGGATCAGAGGGCATGGCCACGTCCACAGCCTCATCTGGTACAGCAATAGGGTTCCCGAGATTCAGTGCCCACATCCGGTCAAAGATGTACGCTGTCCACCACACTCTGGTGCGATGCTCTCGAACCAACACATCGCTGAGCTGGCTTTCGGGAACATTGAGATGAAGGCCCATGACAACTGAAAAGCGCACTGCAGAGCCCGCCAGAACATATGCTGAGTGGCGGCGGTTGATTCCTAAGGAATAAAATGACTGATTTCTAGTTAGAGCATGAAGAAGACAGAAAATGGAGTGATCAGACTTGCCAGCAGCAGTCGAATCTCGATAGCGTCAATGTGTGGTCGTTCGCTGATCACAGCAAGCCCTTTGGTCGCCTTGGCAAAGTACAACATGCCAGGGTATCCGTACACTTTGTTAACGGTATGAGCAGAGTACAGTTCTCCGATGGCAAACAAAGCCCAAAGTTTGCTCTTCATGAAAAAGCTGGCCGAGGCGGGGTTCTGCAACACATTGTCCAGGCCTCGCAAGATCTGACTTTTGCGCACGATATGGTAGTGTCCGCTGACATGCCTGAAGGCAACATGAAGCAGCATCCGAGCCTTGGATGCTGGAGGCCATGCGCATTCGGCTTCAGACAGCCCAAGCAACTGCTCGTCTGAAGGATAATTCAGTCTTGGAATATGGCCATGGGTATCGGATAACAATGATTGGCGGAAACGCGTGGCAAAGCCGAGATCAGACGCTTCACCGACTAAAATGGGGGTATGGGGGATATTAATACTCAGAAACCAGGGTTGTTCATCCATCGAGGGTTCTGCAACTGATGGCTCCGCTGCAAGACTCGAAGGTCTCTGCTGAACACCTGACACAGATTCTTGATTTCGAAGCTGTTTGTTCTCTTCGACTAGTCTCTCCAAGTATCTTTCGCCCAATGTTAACACTGAATTAGACGAAGTGGCAGAAGATAGCTTACCTTTGGTCTACTTTGACCATGCGCTGTCTGCGAGGGTATGAACATTCAGATTCCTTCCTGGATTGGCGACAGCCATCGCAGGGCTGCCCACCTGAACATTTGACTTTCCTTGCATGACATCTACGGCAACTTCACAGTTCTACATTTAGTAATAGGGCACGAGACTTGTGGCTGCTCTTTGTTGCGCACTCACGCTGTCGACACCGGCCGTTTGCCTGGCTTCTTTGGTGATAGGACATCCGAGCTGGCATTGGGGCTATTTCCAGCCACCTCGGCTTCAGACATGTCCAGTGAATGGCCTCAGGCCTATGAAGATGCCATATAAGGGTCACGTTGTTGGAGACACGGGATAGAGACCAAAATTGCCGCAATTGTAAAGCGCCAGGGTTCGGCGGCCGGAGGTGATGGCCGAGAAAAAACTACTGGAGAACTCGTCACGTGCAAGGCCATCTCGGCAATTGCTTCTACACGGCCGAGGTCTTACCTGGGCAGCCTTCGATTATTAGCGCACCGACTAGCGACAAAAAATGTAGAGTTTCCTTACTTTCTATTTTTATATATACAGAACAAGTTGGTCAAGTTTTCTTGCTCAGAAAGGATCGAGATTCACTCTTGACGCAATCCTAGATTTTGACCTTGATGCGCTCGTTCCGGAGAAGCTTTTGCTGAATTCCAGGAATCAAAAGCAAAATATGATCAAAAGCTAGGTTAGTCCCCCATGTGACGATAAAGCATGGTACACTAAGGCCATTTTTATATGAGCCTGGGACCTAATTTTCTTATTAAGAATACTAAATATGATAATAAGAAAATGATAAATAACTCCTAACATTTAGCTTAATTTTGTGTTTATTACTAGGTTGACTGTTTTGCTATTGTGCCGAAACTCAACCAAAGACATAAGGAGAGCTCGGAACACAAGTTGTATAAAGGAAGCACAAGGTTGTAAAAATAACGAAAGATCAATTTTTGATGGAGAAGCAGAAAACAAACCTAGAACTCCCAATGTGCCGGTCCCTGTAGGTCCATCATCGTAAGCTTGCCCAGCAAACAAAATAAAAGCAGTAATCGTGGCCACAATTTCCACAATGATAAGCAAATTAGGTGAATCAAGCCACGCTAGCAGCCTACTTTGGGTTGATTCATCGGTAAGAACTGGAGAAGGGTCCATAATGTCCGATTTACGAATCTCAACGGTGTTGGAGCCCAAGCGTACAATGGCCTCAACAATTCGAACGTTGAACATGCAAGCAGACACAATGGTCACCTACAATGCAAAGTCAGTCCTGCAAAAAAACACAAAATTGTTTCAACGTATACTTACAGGGAACACCCCATGTTGCATGTACGCTGGGTCAGTCGCGGGCTCGCTAGCTAGCCATAACAGGCTTTGAATTTCGCTTGTCGATAAGCAGTCCTCTTTCAGAGGCTCGTTGTCCCCGACAAAGCAATTGACATGCGGTTTCCCGGTATCCAAAACAGGATTCAAGATACTGCTACCGCTCAAACAAGGACGAAACAGTGCCTGGGCTTGCCAATACAAGTTGTATTTTTCATCGGAGCCCTGCTCATGAATACAAGTCAACCCCTTCTTTCCGTTACTAGATTGAAGGTCAGCAAAAGGAGACCGATAGTCAGAGTGGAAAACAAAATATCCTGGTGGAGGAGAAAGGAGGGGGCAAGGGGAGAGAGGAGGGGAAGGGATAGAGGAGGGGGAAAGGAAGAGAGAAGGAACAAGGAGAGCGGGGTAGTAATGCCTGAAACATTTCCAATGTGTGTAATGGCTTATGATAGTTTTGTGTTCTGGATCGCCTGTCCCGTTATGTCCCATATACTCTCTGAGGACTCTCCAAAGAGCCAGCGCGTCATGATAATTATCACTCCATCGGTCTCATGTGGAAAAAGGTAAAGGTATGATGAGATCACTGATGACCCCATCGGCACGCCAAGGTTCTGTATGATGAAGAAGTTTGTCCACCTGGTCCCGGGGTAAGGGCTGGAGAAACTGCTCATACCCGGATGGGAGCGTTCCATCCTCAAAGGACAGCTTATCGCAACAGACCTTGATATTCGGAAATATCTTGAGGAAGTCGGGGGATATAAGGCTGTAAGTGCTTTGCGAGAGGGAAAATGGTGCTGAGAGCAAGAGCCATAACGCGTGCTTTCGCTGCAGCTCTATCAGGCATAGGCGGACAATCGCCCCTTTGCTCGGGTTGGCTCCTAGACTGGCGAGATTTGTACATGTTGGATTCGTGAAATGAAAATAGTTGTTCTGGGGAACGAGTGTCTGTGAGACGGATGAGCGTCATGATGGCTGGTATTTAAGGCGATGGCTCGCCTGAGTGTAGGGTTAAGTTGGTCTTGTGGCTTCGAAGGCTGTTCACTCGTTGGTTGATGGATGATGGAAGTGGAAACGGAGCAAGGGGAAGAAGACGGGTGCTTTGTTTATGATGCTTTGGCGGAACTTCATTGAGCGGCGACGGTGCACCTTACCTAGTCTCCACTCTTCAGCGCCTACTGGTGTTACTTCCAGCGTTGAATTAACCAACAACAAGGAGATGATTAAAGATTTCTGTTTGAGAAAAATGGCCCAGTACATGTTCAGTATTAGACAACTCTTAACACGTCACCTAGGTAGCAAATGTCTAAATAAATGATGCGATAAGATAAATTCAATTTGAATGACTGTCTAAATGATTAACTAAACAACTCGGTAGCGAGAGAAGCGGAAAGAATGAGTAGAAATAACCAGTTTGAAGTGAGTGTGAGAGGCTGTGTTCAGATTCTTCCCATACAGTTCTGTAACCTCTCAAAAACAAAGAATCAAACCTACATAACGCTTCTCGTTTTCTTGGTGATATTTAGACGAGATAAGGCAATTAATAGGGCCGACGCCCATAGATATTTCCAGAGGGAGAGTATCGAGCGACAGTGTACCACTCGTTGTTTCCTGAGGTAGCAGTGGCAATTCCAACTCTTGTTGTGGTGCTCCACGTGCATTGTGCTACATATTGTCAGTGCAAACCTCAATCTACATCATTCAGCTTAGGTAGTCTTACTATAATGTCCGTAGGCTCCAAAGTTTCCTTGAGGAATTGGCTCATTGTTATAATATTGTTCTTCGGCCAGCCTGCGTAGTATAAGTTAGTGTGCATTCATTATTTGCAAAGTGTTGCAAATTTCAGAGATCCGGAACTAACCAGAGTCCAGTTCCAGTTGTAATAGGATTCGAAATAGGACGCGATGATCTATGTGTTAAAGAAGATGTTGGCAGTCGAACCTCATCGAACCGACGTCTATTAACACTTTATTCATGAACTCACTTTTGGTAAGCAAGGTTTTCTCCCTGTCCAGGGCGCTGAGAAGAATCAGAGTGTTCGAACTTGCGATCTCTGGCAAGCTGCTGAGCCCATGCCAGAGCGTTTGCTTCCAGGTTGGAGTCCCAGACAAGCGCCCGGACGCCTCTTCTAGCGCGGACGGCGTTGTGCATACGCAAAGCCTCAGATTGATCCGAGTTACTCTGCCTAGCAACGAGCTGAACGATCTCATCTCCATCTTCGAGATCTCGTTTCTCAGATATCGCCAGGTCTGGCTCTCCAGCAATAAGGACTTCTTCCTGTCCGCTCAGATCTGCTTCAAGGACCTCATCTTTAGTAGTGAGAGGACTCGCCAGCGAATGGTGGGCGGCCAGAAAGAGCACGGAAATTTTGTAGAACGAGTTGAATAGCATATTTTGTCGGGGGCGGGAGATGTTTACTGTTAGGTTTCCTTTTGTTTGCTTCAGTTGCTTCGCGATAGGCAAGATGATAAGATTTCTTCCTGGCGGATATAACACCCTTCTTATAGTTTCAACGTTAGGAACCGGGATATCTATGTCAAGGTCGATGACCTCAGAGAGTTTGAGTATAAAGTTAAACAGCAATGGAAGATGCCAGAACTGACACATCAGCACAATGAATACGAAAGGTTAAAAAAAAAACTTCGTCAGCCTAAGACTGCAGTCATGCAAAATGAAAAGTCTGTAAACCTTCATACCGATGACTTGCTTGCCATCAGGACGAGCTGCTCGTCGAATGACTAGTCAAGGTCGATGACATAGTTCTATACTTCTATCCTGTTGTTGAAAAATCATCTATAGTTAAGATCATCGTTATGAAAGGTGACGCTAAACTCGCAACCAACCACGAGCAGATATTAGCAGTTGCTCTACCCCCTATGATGTCTTCTCTTAGTGTAGTCTCTCTTCTTGAACTAATTAAATTTCATTATATGTATGTCGTGACTATAGGGCCGCACGACAGGAATGTTGTAGTCCAACCGTACGGAGCAGTGATATACGTCAACTGAATTCCAAATGACCATTTAAATTCTTTAGTAAATGTGTTCTCGATTGGTTTACTCTAATTATCAGCGGGGGAATAATTCTAATGACAAGTCGGCTCAAAGCAGGTATAAAATATTTCCAATTTGGTTACAGAAAACGAGACTTATATGTCGTTTTACTCTCTTCCTCTTCTCTTTCAAAAATTATATTGAGGTAGCATCCTCTTCAATATGGAATTTCGGGTTTTTTTTTTGAGTGAAGCATCTTGACTTCATGCTTCTGATTAATCGACATGATCCCGGATGGAACTAGGCATGAAACGTTAAATAAGCATTCCTAGGTCGTAACATATTCAAACGACAATGCGGGGGCGCTGAAAACCCAAAATTGCTGAATCATGGCGCCAGACCATATGACGATGAGCCTTTCCAGGGTTTTTGGCTGCGCTAAAGTGGCAGTTAGACAGGCCAAGGAGGTATGAGAGAATCTTAACCAAGCTGGGGATATTCCCCGAGGAATGCATATATTAGTCCTTGCATTAGCTGATAACCGCACGTTATTCGTTATGGAACATTTCCAACACAGACAGGATGGCATGATTCATACTCGACATGGTTTTACATTATGATCTAAATTTAAGCATCATGGTTAGCTATATCGGCGTGTCACTCATTCCTAAGGCCATTTTCTATGTGTAATACGGTTTGTTTGCCCCCAATGGTTCCTCACTATCGCATGATGCAATTGATCTCTGCTAGAGAAGTTTTCATATCAAATGAGGTCGCCACCAGCGCCACATGGGCCCTCGTGACTGTGGCCATGAGCAGCCGCACTTCTCTTGAAATGCTGGGCCTTATCAGCATTCCAACGCCTCTCATTTGAACTCACTGATGGTAGAGAGTCCCAACTGATGGCATACTTGGCTACTGAATTAGCAATGCTTTTCGTGTTGAGAAGGAAGGCGTCATGTGATAGGTTGTTGATGTCATCACCAGCCTTGTGATAGTTGATGTCATAGGCAACGCCGGCCTCGCCTCCAAAAAGCTGGGCCTCCTCTTCCGTTTTAATTACTTCGGCTCCGGTGAAGAGACCACCAGAGGGAATTCCATTCTCGATGAAACCAGCGTAGTCCGATCTCCCTGACCAGATCGCAGGCACATGAGCAACACCATTGCGCTCATAGAACTCTTCAAACTCCTTTTCAATCTCAGCAGAGCCAGTAGGGCCACTAAAGTTGAAAGCACCACCATCGCCATCGTAAATACCGTAGACGTAGTTGGGGCTCGCGATCTGTGAAAGAACCCTTATTAGCACTTGAGCATCAATTGATTCTGCACAGGGGATAGGTGACCAACCATGTCAAAGTTAAGGTAGGCTCTCATTTTTGCCATTTCCGTATCAGAGCTGTTCAATTGTTTGACGTAATAGAACGAGCCCAGTTTTCCGTATTCTTCGGCGCCCCAGAATGCAAATCGAACAGCATTCTTGATTCGGAATTTTGAGAGGGCAATGGCTACATTCAAGACACCGATTGATCCTGAGCCATCGTCGCTATGCAAGAATTAATATCAGATACTATATGGCGCATGTGAGATACCAGACTTACTTGATACCAGGGCCTGCATACACGGAATCAGAGTGCCCTCCGAGAACAAGAACGTTGTCATGGTCTCCGCCCTTGGTCTCGGCGATGACGTTGTAATTAACACGCTGCTCTGACAATGCGGCAACGTCAAAATCTGCAGTGACTTCCCCGGCCTTGATAGCGGCCAGGATTGCCACTGAATCTTCCTGGCTGATGCCAACAATCGGAACGTAATCGAGGCCGGCGGTTCCCAACGTTCCCGCGATAGGACCAGGTTCATTATTGTAGACCACGGCAGCGGCAGCTCCAGCAGACTTGGCATTGAGAGACTTCTGCGAAAAGCTGCAGGTTCCTCTAGAGATAAGGGCAATCTTTCCTTGAACTTCAGAAGAGAAGTCATCCACTGAACAACCTAGATTGGAGACGAGGACAAGGGGTGCAGAGACAGTACCACCAGGTGTGTACGTCATAGTTGACACAGATTCAACCTTTGCGCCGCCAATGCTGAGGGTACCCGATGCTGTGTGAAAGAGCTCAGTGAAGGGCTGCTTCACCACATCAAAGTAGTCCAGTGCGGTCAAGGTATCGTAAAGCCAGTCAACAGTAGCATTGTGGCCTCCGCCACCGAAGGCACGGTTACCGCCGTGGGCATCGGCAATATCCTGGAGTTTTTGAGCTGCGCTGAGAAGATCCTCGAGGGTGATGAGGTCTTGGAGCTTCTCTGAGGTAACGTATGGCTTGCACTCTTTCCCGCTGCTAGTGATGGCCAGTGCCAACGCCGCCGTGATGGTTGAGCCGACGGATCTCATTGTTGAGGCAAGCCGAAAAGCAAATCACTAGACTGAAGTGAAGGTCGACCCGTTGGGGGATTGAGGTAAGCAGAAACGCAATCTACCGCAAAGAGCTGGACGAGGAGGGGTTCTTGTACCGAGTTTTGCCTACAACCTTCGGCATTGCTCAAAATCAATAGTCTGTCGCTTAAGCAGACTATAAGACTTGGTATGGATGCTAGGCATCTCTTGCTGCCGGAATCGGTCAATCAAAGAAACTTGCATGGCATAGAGAATGCAATGTTACTATAACCCCTCGTTCCGCCAAGGGTTGCATGCGGGGACTTATGAACTGCCTTAAGAAACTTCCTCTCTGGGCGAGCATGGAGGGTCGTATTTACTAAGAGGCAATAAAAGCTCAGTACATGCTTATCTCGCCCACCCAATAGTAAGCGTTGATATGCATACCTAATGCGTGATATGGTTCTAGATTAACCAGAACAGGGTTTTATTCGGACTAGAACTTTCTGCTCTTTCCAGTCAACAAAAGGCCCCTACATACATCCTTGATTAGCAGCTAACCTGAGCTTGCCATGAGTTTGAGCTTCCATAACCGGACCGCGCGAGCAAGCTTTGGGGTTCTTATCTGAGCCCCGCTCAATATTGAATCTCGCTGCCCAGCAAGCCAAACCTTAAACAGCTTTGTTGTGGTAGCATATTCATATGCTTAACCGGGGGCCTATCCCCACCTCACCCAGCCTCGTGGGATTCTTCGCACAGAGCAACGATGCGACAGGATCTAGCCAACCTTCTAATTCCTATCTCGTGATGTTTTCAGAATCCGCCCAATTTTCAAGTTCTCAATGAGGTTGATAAGATATCGACTTCACCTTTCTTCAACCCATGGCTTACCCAATCGCTGGAACCCAGCTATTTCCACTGAAAATAACGCCCAATATTACAATACTCTCACTACCAGCTCTCCTCTTATACAGGCATAGATAAATTGAACTCCTGAAGTCTAATATTTGTAAAATCATTATTAAAATAATCTTCACTAGCACCAACTCATCGGGCGGTTGGAGAAGACCAGCTATTGGGTGTTGATGATGGGGGTTCTAGGCTTTGCTCTCTGCCTTTTAAGATGCCGTTAGAATCTGATCCACTAGAAAGGCTAATATTGTTCCGGATCTGAAACATTTTTCCTTGACTCCAGAGCCTCAATTGCTAGATCATAGCGGGAAGAGGTTGTGATCTGGGGCGGTCCTTTAGATTGAAGCCCTGCTCAGGCCAGAAAACATTAGTCATTTGAGATAGACAAAGATTGGTAGTCAAGGATGTCGTAAGCCGTGTCACCCGCATCAACAGTTATTAGGGCCCCTTCTTTGCTCGAAATATAATATGTTGGTGGTCGCGGGCTTCAATGGAGAGGAGGATTATTTTGTTGCACCAAATCAAGAAAAGGAAATATAGGGTTTCAACATTAGAAAATGTAATTTTGAATATATTTCTAGCTTCATGATCCGTTTTTCAATTTGCCTCCTTTCAATTACCCCACGAAAATAGCACTTTTGGGCGTGCTCCACAGGGCTGTGAATCAAAATTGTGCGACTTCAATCTGACTATGAAACAAAAAGCCCGAGGGCAATGATTTGCATCGATGATGTAATATCTGTGTCTCGGCGAGGCCCTAGGCCAGTATTTGAAGGCTAAGCCACGGTGCTAGGACCTGATGCTACGGCGTATAATCAAGGATCGCCAGAGAAGACCGTTGTTGCGAGGACTTCGGTTGTGCCGCCCGACCCGAGTGGATGAAATCCGAGCCATTCCTTCTATCTTTGGGGCCAGTCAGATCCATGCACGAGTGAACTTTCTGACATGGAGCCGGAGCAGGCCAATGAACACCGAGAATATCGATGGGTCTTCCTCTCAAAGGCCAATCAGCGTTTCATCAGGCCACATCAGGAATGCTCTCCTTCGATCACAAATACCTGCGGTGCCTACCTTTTAGGTGTAAACTGGCTGCTCAGTCACAGGCAATCAGCCATGCGTCAAGAATAAATTTCAGACGGCCTCCAAGGTCGCTCCCATTGCCCCTACAACAGAGCCTCCCCACGCTTCCCCACGCCGTCTTCCGAACTCATACACCTTGCGCGAGTTTGCAGAATTACTAATAATATTAATATGGTCAATTCATAAAAATCATGTTCTTGAGCGCTTCGCGGTGGAGACGACTGTCACGCAGGTTCCTTTCCAGCCGCAGATTGGCCCCCATCGCTCTCATCTTCGGATTTGCTCTGGTCTTGACATTCTATACTCTCCATATACAAAGTCTACACGATCCCAGGTTCTATGAGAGAGTTGCTTTACACATACCGCACGATCCTGCATCACTCAGCAGCGGCCTAGCACAGTCTTCTCGCCAGGGGGATCACCTGATCCCACACAAGATCTGGCAAATCTTTCTCACCCCGCCGGAAATAAAAGAAACGCGACCAGAAATTCCACAGAAGCAGCGCGATTTTATCGAGTCCTGGAAGGTGAACAATCGGGATCACGAATACCACCTGCTCAGGGACAACGACACAGTCGCGTTCGTCCAGGAAAACTTCCCCCAACATGAAGCTTTGCAGAGGATCTTTGCCGGCAAGGGAAGCGCAGCCATGAAGTCCGACATCCTTCGCTACCTACTGCTATTTGCCATTGGCGGCGTATACACAGACCTGGATACGGTCGCGTGGATCCCTATTGATTATTGGGCCCCCAGGGAATTCCGGAGCACCGCGCGCCTGATCATCGGTATCGAATTCGATCGGCTCGAGGGCGAGAATTGGAAAGGTGTCCATCACGAGCTGCAATTTTGCCAGTGGACCATTGCTGCGGCGCCTGGCCATCCTATATTCAGCGCTATGGTAGCAAGAGCGTTGAAGCTGCTAGGAGACCTCGAAGAGTCCTATGGCAAGCCATTTGCCGAGATAAAACCAACTACAAACGATGTGTTGACGACAACTGGGCCAGCCGCATGGACGGATGCTGTGTTTCAAGAGCTACAAAAGATGGATCCAAGTCTAAAATCTCTCAGGGACTTATCCGGGTTGAAGAAGGAGAAAATGATTGGTGACGTCTTGATACTGCCGATCGACGGGTTCGGGGCAGGGCAACGGCATTCTGGCAGCACTCGGCTTGGTGTTCCACCGGCCGCAAGAGCTAAGCACAAGTTCCACGGGGTATGGAAGGGTAGAGAAAGTCGTATTTGAAGGGCTTCGCTTTTGGAGAAAACTCTTTTATCAAAACCTGGTAGGAGAGAACATATTATATGAATAAGGATAAGAACGCCGGGCGACTAAACCAGATAGCGGAACCCTCTGCGCATCTGTAGTGCTTCGTCTGTACTGCCCAGAAACTCGACCTGGGCTGTTTGCTCGGCGATATCCCGACGAGTTTCCCACGCCGACTCTCCTGCCTCGAGCTTCTTGTTCAAATTGACGAGGATGAGGCGGAAGGCAAAACACCCGATGATGGTGAGACCAAACATGGACAAAACTATACCATAGCTTTTCCTGTACCCATTCTCTTTCAAGTCCCACACATAGGAGCCCGCTACGTTTCCAAGCTGGCTGAAGGCATTGATCATCGCGATAGCGACGGCTCGTTTAGCAGGTGGCCTGGGGAAGGACGAACTGATCCAAGAATAAAAGACAATAAACCCGGCATATGACTGCGCTTGCAGAAAGAGTGCCAAATATCTTGCTGCAACGTTCAATGTAGACATGCTAATGATGAATCCGATGATCCCAACCAAGATCGGTGCAACAATGTGCCAGAACTACCGTGCCGTGTCAGTACGCTGAGTTTCTCAAATAACACTGAGGACCGCAAACCTTTTCTTGCCTTCTGTCTGAGCTCCAGGAGACTATGAGCGATACAATACATGAGAAAAGCCAGGGTGGTGAGCTCATCAGAAGCGTCGGGACATAGCTGAATCCCAGTGTTTGTGTGAGTGATGGCTACGATTAGAAATCGAGTTAGTCGAAGCATCGCAGGTGTTGCTCCTCCCGACACTTACAAAGAATGCGTTGAATGATAGCCCGACAACGTATGCAGTAAAAGTCAACATCATAAGATAAATCTTATAATCCTTCACGGCCATAATAAGCCCATCAAAGATACCCTGCTCTGAGGAATCAGCATCAGCCTCACCCACGTCTTCGGCCATCCGTAGCTGTGCAATGTGGCGCTCCTCCTCTGTGAATCCGCGTGCATTGTGCGGCAGGTCTGGCAAGATGAAAGCGGCGGATATTGCAATCGCCATAGTAACAGCACCTTCGATCCAAAAGAGCCAGCGCCAAGCCGCATGGCCAAGCGTCCCTTGCATATTTGACAAAACGCCGGCTCCTACAAGAGCAGAAAACGCGTTGGAAATAAGGTTTCCACAGAACAAGATTGCATTTCTCTTGGTAAGCTCGCGGCGGGTATACCATTTCGAAAGAATCAGCAGAGCTCCAGGAAGAAAGGCCGCTTCAATAAAGCCCAAGAAGAAGCGCACTGCAACCATGCCCCCGAAGTTCTGTACACATCCAGATAGAGCTGATATCAGGCCCCATAGAAGCATCGCAGCCGCGATGTATAGACTTGGGCGTTCAATTCGGTTGATGAATATATTACTTGGAACCTATTGGTGTGTCAGACCAAAAAATTACGTCGCCCTCATCGTGAATACAAACAAACCTGCATAAGAATGTATCCGACATATAAAATGCTGAGGCAAGTGGCATATTGGGGATAATCCATGTTGAGGTCATCTTGAAGACCCTTGAGACGTGCTGCTGCGATATTGTTCCTATCGAGGTAGTTCATGATGTATATCAGAACGAATAGAGAGCAACGAGTATCGAGCTTTCTTTTCAAGCTCTTCTCGACTTGAGCTCGATGTTCGGGGTCCATCGCCCCGGCTCGCTGATGGAGGGTATCATCCCCAACAGCAGACTGTTCATTGCCATGGGGAAATTCACCGTTGGGTTTGCCAGTATGATGGCCTTTGGTCAGGTCCGGTGTAGACATAGTTGCTGATTTGCCGTGTCCAGCAGAGTTCTGATTAATTAGCAAGTGGACAGATCAAGTAGACGTACTCATACATAACAACAACAAGAGTAAATCATTCAATGGACGAGGGGGTGCGGCGAAACAGGAAGAGAATAGAGGTTTGTTACTCACGGCGCCGTGTCGTGATGATATAATGCCGAAACGCTTCTCACACTTGGCTGACTGATCTCTGGAAAACCCATTGTCTTATCGTTTCTAGGTAGATCAGCTACGATATACCGAACGTGGGTGAAGGAATACGGAGTAACAATGCCGATTAGCTAGTAAACTGATGGGCGGTGTGGGGGACGTTCCATTCGGCCAACCGGTCGACAAGGTATGAGAGCGTGCACCGTTTACTAACACTGTATCTAAGAGTGCAATATCACATACTTCCCATGTCACTCATGCTTTATTCGCACTGTAGGCTCGTGATTTCATGCGCGGAGTTGAAGGACGAAGATGGGTAAAGAGACCGAGAATGGCCCGCCCTCCCGGTCCAACCTCCGCAAACCCCAGAAGAATCAGTTGGGTGCGATCTTCGTAATCGTCGATGTCATATTCCCGTGTCAGAGTCACGCCCCAGATGCATTTGTTTATTCCTACGTCAATATTACCCCGTATGCAACACATCAAGTTAGGTTACCCTATATCAATCGTGGATCACGGAGTTGTAACAGATTACGCTCTTTATATTCTAATAGGTGTATGTTTTTATTTATCTATATTTACATTCTTCTCGGTATTTTCTGATATAATATATAGTATTACAATAACTTGTATAATTACATTAATAACGAGAAATATAGAGATCTATATCTTGAAGGTTCCAATATCTCGACACAATTGGTGCTGCTGATAACGGGAGCACGAATACGGCATGAGACTTGTCAAAGATATTTTTCATGCGACCATCTCATACAACTAATTTGCTTCATTCGGCTCTTTGCAGGTGACAAGGAATGACCAGCCATGCAAAACTAGTTGGAACGCATATTTCGAACATCCAGTCTTCAAAATGGCATTATGACAACTACATTTGCCCAAACTAGATATCGTACTTAATGGTGCATACTTTAAACCAGAGTTTCCCTAAATATTCCGATATCAGGGACTTTCTCAAGGTTAGACAAGATGATATAGCAAAATTAGAAGGACCAGCCGGCCAGCCGAGAGATGGACAAAAAAGAAACAAAGCAAGAAAGAACAAAAGATACGTCACCAAAGAGGCAAGTCACTTCATTCGCTCAGAAAACATCAGATGCTTATAAAGCAAGTGACACTTGTTCGCCCTAAGTAAGTCGCTAGGACGGCCATCTCAATCTAAGAAAATAACCACTAGCTTCACGTCTTACTTGAGTGCGGCCCAAAAACTACATGACCATAAGTGCGGGCTCAAGTTAGCCCTTAACGTCTGGTTTCCGCGCAATCGCCCGGGCTAGAGCGATTCTCTCTATTGATAAGTTTATGGCAGCGGATGGGTTATCCAGTGTCCCAGAATGTTTGACGACTATTTGAGAGGGTTGAAAGTGGTTTCATTTTTTTTCATTGCTGAATGGGTAGCTCGCAGCATCTTATCCGAGGTGCTGATACTTGGACAGTCTCTAGAACATGGATGATGAGGAAATGCTTATTGCCAAGAAGTATCCCACAAAACCGGCAGATAGAGGCGAAGAAAAGAACTGGTTGCACGTACTGAGAAAACCGAGAGCTAACTAAAGTGGCTTTGCTCAATCTGTGAAACTGGGCCTGGGCTACTCCGTAGATTGATAGACGGTGTTATGTCCCATCACCACAGGACGAGACAAGTTTCAAACATCTCTTTTCGGAGGCATTTTGCGCCCTTTGTTTCTGACGAACAGGGGTCTGTCCAACTAGCGGATAGCCCGTTGGCGATGTCTGACTCAATTTCGCTTCGCGGTGGCAATCTTGGCAGGAGAAAACGAACTCTGCGCTATGTCTCATCTTAATGCTAGCAGTATCGAGGCCTTGGCTTGTCAGGTTGTCTATGGACGTAGTTTTCGGTTGCGTCATTGAACAGTATATTCGTTTACTGCCTGCATATGGATAGAACATGGGGAAAATAAGCGTAGATTTTTTGGTGAAGCTACCTTGCCAAGCCATGCTTCCTATCTCTAGAGGCCATATTAGAACTGAACGAGGCATGAGTGTAGCCTTTCTACTGGTGACCGGTGATGTAGCTATAGCGATGGAAACATTCCTTCATGCTCAACAACCCATGATCCATCTTTCGGAAATCCGGGTGCATGTCCTTCAGACCCAGTCCAGCCAGCTACCATGTAGCCTATGGCCAGAAGAAAACCACCATTCCCAGGAAAATAAGGTGGCGGGGAGGGATCTGGGGTATTAGTTAGCCCTCGCCAAAACCTGAAAAAAGGGGTTTCCTACTTGGTCCGGAGCGATGTGCGAAGCCTTGGTCACCAAACTTCCAGTAATCAAAATTTGTGAGATGATAGATTGCCCGTTCTGGGTTACCTATCCGTGCCGAGTTGATCGCTAATATGTTACGTCCCCAGCCTCGAATGGCAGCATCTCCCCATATATCCCACACTTTGTCGGCTGTTTTTCGCCCGACTTCCGAGTCCACCTACATATGAGGATATGCTGAGTGATATTCCTGTAGCGCTTTGGAAACGGTGAAAAAGGAGTTGCTTACCACTGGAGTATCTGGGAGGATGCCCTGAAGCATAATCACACTGCGAGGATCCTTGTTCAAAGCCGGATCGTCCCACCACGAAGAATTCAAGCCGCCGCCAACCCAGGGAGCATATAAGCCGTCGAACTGAGGCGGAGGTGATAGATTCTCAGCCACGGTGGTCCACTGATCAGGGCAATCTCTCCCTAGTTTCTTAGTCCACTCGCATGCCGCATCCAGAGCCCACCGCCAATACGCAAGTTCGTAGGCCAAATTTGATATTTCCGTTGGAGCAGAGTTTTCCGTCACACCCTGGATCGGTGGCCCGATGTCGTATTTCCCCGTTGCGTTATTGAACCATGCAAACGAAGCCATGTAATCCGCTGTTGCCGTCAAGACACGATCCCATTTCTTCAGCGTGGTCTCGGATGGGTCGGCTCTGTAAGCGAGATGGGCTAGATATACCGGGTGCGGTTGTTGCCATTGAAGGAAAGCCCGGGTCTCACCCGGCCCTATACCCATCTCAACAAGCTCTGTCATTTTCGGCCACCTGGCCGAGGGAAATGAATGTCAGACATGATTCAGTTTGAGGGATAGTGCTGAGTTGTGCGTTGCTTACCTGGCGCCAGCCCATCCCATTCGCTTAGCTCTGTCCTCAGAGCTGGGTAGCAAGCTCTCGTAAACTGCAGGGAAGATTTTGTCAAAATACTTTTGTCGTCCCCAAGTTACCCAATGCGCGCAATGCCAGACAACCATTTCCAGGTGGAATTTCCCCCACCAACCATTGAACACTAGCCCACTCTCCTGGGGAGGTTGCCCTGTGGCAGCGCTGTTTACCCTCATGGCATATTGAGAAAGGATGATGCGACGCTGGAGCTCGGTTGAATTAGGGTTGCTCGATTTTGTGAGATCGACAAATCCGCCTTCCTGCCAGTATTGCTGCCAACCCTGACTGTTTCGGAGGCGAATGTCATTCGGCTGAGCAGGAGTGTTTATTTTGGGACCGTATTGAGCTGTGAAGCTCATGAACTTGCTCTCACTGGCTGATGGTGACAGGGTGAAGCGATGAGCGGATACTTTGTCTGACCCCTTGGGCTCGTTTCTAGCAAGAGAAAGTGGAACTTCTGCCGGCCAGCGCAGATTTACAAAATAGCTGGTCTCATCTAACTGGTGCCGGATATGAGCAGCATCCTTCTCGCTTCGGCATGTGATTAGACTGGTGGTGTGGTTTTGAGGAAACTCATATGAGCCCATGAAAACCTCATGGTCGAAGGTCCCTGTGACTTTGTGGATTGGCGGGTACGGGAAATCAAATTCAACCTGTAATTCCCCCGTACTGATTAAATCAGACTCGATCTTGAGAACAACCGAGTCCGAGTCGAAGTCTCCTTGGGTAGTAACATTAACTCCTTGACCGTCGACTGAAAATCTTGAGGTGATAACCCCATTCCATAGGTCAAGATGTTGATATGGGTCGTCGATAGTCGATAAAGTTTCATTTTTATATTTCAGGCTCATCCGTCCTAGATTGATACGGTTGGGGTTGGCACTGAGCCAGTTGGATATTTCTGGGTGGTCGGGATCCGGTAGGTCGTACACGACCTCTCTGCCATGCGTAATGAGAGGGGTACCTGCATAGTCTTCAGGGCGCTCGCTGTGGTACCATCTGTCGGTAAACAAAGATCAAAGTCGAAGGTATCCAAGAGAGATTCCTACCCGTTTTCAGGGAGCCTATCCTTATGCCAGGCCCAGCTGGATAACACATTAAATGGCACGAGTGTCTGCATACCAGTGTTATCGACATTGAACGCGAAATCTCCATTTCCCACTTGGAGCGGAGTTGTGTCGTTCGTAATTATCTCCGGAACATGGGTTCTAACGACTTTAAACAAGTCTACGATAGCTCGTCTTCTATGCATTTAGCTCCGTTATAAAAACATGAGAAAGGAAGACTTGTAAATTTACATACCGATCAATTACGGCGGTCGCCAAGACAGGAGCGAAAGATATCACCGTCCAGACGTGCATATTTATCAGCTACACGATTCCAGATAATGCAAAGATGGTATTGAATCTATGATAATCGTACATCGAAAGTGAAGGGTCAGTTGTATGCGCTGCTCTTGACATAGACGATGCTGGATATTATACATCTCGCTCTGACAGCTGTCGGGGTAATGATTACCGAGGTCGGGGTCTCTATTTTCCAGATATTTGGAAGTGTGGAGGCATTATGGAGATAATCACAACTGGGTACGGATGAATTGGTTAAAATTAGAGAACATCTAGCCTTTCAAGGCGGTGTGCGTTAAACCCGGGAGGAAGAGTTCGTGATGCTATCCAGCAGGTTGGCACTCCGCGCATAGTATTTATTCATAAGCGATATAGGGCATTTATGGGGAAATATTATCTTCCAGGGTTTGCCCGAGCAATACATAGGTTGCTACTGATTGTTTACTAGATTCTACCTTCAATTTTTCAAGGGGGATGCGCATCTGAGACAAACACTAGCCTTGTTTTCTTCCCCCCTCCGATTTATTTGCTACCCTGGCTTTCTTTATTATGTCTGAGATGAGAGAGAATGAAATATTTGATAAACAGTTGTCAATCAACAGTTTCCATGTAAAGGTGTTCCAGAGTAGAATCCCAACGTCCCCTGGTAGAGTAGAAAGAGCGCCTTGGCGTTTGAAGCCACTTAGAAACGGCCTATCAATTGACGGAGTTCTACTATCAGATACTTTCTCAAAGTCGAACCTCGAGAGGTGGGGAAATTGGACGTAAATGGGTTGATGTAGACTCGCTGGCTTCACAGATTTTGTTGCCATTGCGGAATATGGTATAGGGGAAATAGACGCGCGCAGCAGATACGTCAGTTTGATCATATGAGTGGCTGTGCAGCTGCGTCTTTGAGGCTGAGTATCGTCCACATGATGCCATGCACTGTCAGCAATTCGCTCGGGATAATGCTACTTACTACCTGTCCGACCTTCCCCTAATTTATTTCGGCTTCTACCTGCTCAGGTAGAGTCCCCTTCCTGGGCAAGAGGGCCTTCCGGGGCACAGCCTAACCCATGGAAAATTCCCTGTCCCATGTGGAGGGTCCACTGAGGCTTCGCAACACAGATTACAATGTCGGTTGGGTCTGTGCTCTTCCAATCGAGATGGCTGCCGCTCGAGGCATGCTGGACAAGATCCATGCCGATCTACCCATAGATCTTCACGACAGCAATGCCTACACTGTGGGCAGCATCGGGCTTCATAACATCGTGATTGCCTGCTTGGGAGAATATGGCACCAATAATGCAGCCCATGTGGCAGCAAACATGAATAGAAGTTTCCCGTTGATCAAAGTCCGGCTTATGGTAGGTATTGGAGGAGGTGCGCCTTCAGACGAATTTGATATACGGCTCGGAGATATTGTCGTTGGTCGGAGAATCATGCAGTATGATCTAGGAAAGATTACTAGTAGCGGTGAGTTTGAGCGGACAATCGTGTTGAGCAATCTACGCCTGGAACTCTCCTCTACTATCTCCAAGCTACGGGCAATTCACGAGTCTACTCCCACCTCAGTTCCCTCCCTTGTGCAGGATATGGTTCAAAGAAATACGGGCATGGCCAGGTATTCTTATCCCTAAGACTCAACAGACATTGTGTTGGGGGAAAAAACGAACAATACCACAGCTGTTAGCGAACTTAAAATACAGACTGCTAACTATATTAAAATCTAATAACCTTCTATAATAGCTATAAAAAGAAGGTTTTAAGTTTTATATATATTCTTATTTAATTAAATAGTTTATATTTATAGCTAGTTAATTAATCTATTATAGCTACTATAATATAGCTAAAAGATATATCTTGTATAAGAAAGAGTTTTTAAAAGTAAAAAGAAAAAAAGAAAAAAAAATAGGTAAAAAAAAGTACTCTTTTTCTATAAATACTGAAAAATAGCTAATTTATCTAATCCAGCTAAATTAATAAGTAGGCTCTAACTTATAGCTCCCTGGATATAATATATATATTCTTATATCTCTATTATATTTAAAATTTCAGAGCTATTTCTAAAGCCTAAAGGATTTTTAACTTCTATCTATATATAGAGAACTTTTTAATTAAATAATTATATATAAATTTAAATTAAATACTTACTAAGTTTCTATTTTATTAGTATCTAAAGAGATATCTCTCTTATTACTTAAGAATATTATATTAATATTTATTTAAAATTATATAGTACTAATTCTAATTTCCCTTTATAAATTCAGCTTTATTTATTAGTATTCTACTCTGTTTTACCTTATATATAAAATAAAAGAAATAATTAGGAGTTTATAGCTTAATTAACTATACTAACTATACTTATACTCTTTCTATTAAAACTATTTATTTTAATTCCTTTACTTTAATATCTCTATAGCTATATTACTCTTTTTAGTTAATTCTCTAAAGGAATTTAAAATCTAGTATTCTTATATTATATATAAAACTATTTAATTAAATAGTTCTAGCTTATTTTATTTCTTTAAAAAATTCTATTAAAATTTAATAGTAAATCTTCCTTCTTTATTTAAGTTCTTAGTATTATATAGTATCTTATTAGATAGCTCTCTCTTCTTAAGATAGGTTTAATAAAGTTTTCTCTAGGGTAGTACTCTTAAAGAGAGTTACTATAATATTATTTTAGTCTATAGAGCTTATAAGATTAATAGGAGCTATAGTTATATATATATAGGAGATCTAGTAATTCTTTATATAAGGGGCTATAAATATAAGCTTACTAGCTAAATAAAGAAATTAGATTTTTTATATAAACTTTCTAAATTCCTTAATAATTAATATCTATATAAAGTTATTATTATAGTTCTAAAATAGGTTATTAATAAAAAACTTATTAGTTTACTTCTATTATCCCTTTATAATTTATTATTTAATATTAATAATAGTATTCTAAGTTTTTATTCCTCTAAAAGGAAAAAAATTAGTTCTAAATAATAAGCTTTCTCTTATAATATCTATAATAATAGTAAACTAACTAAATATATAGAATATTTCAGAGATTATTATAGAAGGATAATACCTCCTAGAGGGTATTAATAATAAAGATAGTATTTAATTTATTAAAGATAATAACCTAAGGGGAGGAAGAGAAGATATATTAAGATATATTAGACTTCTAGATATACTTTTAGTATTACTATAAATACTTAAGCTATAACTATAGCTTTTAGATTTATCTCTTATTTATTACTTAAAGTTAGAGTTACTAAAGAATAGAGAAAGAGAGATTCTAGGGATTTTAATTACCCTATAATCTTAAGATTAAAACCTAAAATTAATTTTAGAGATTAGTATAATTTCTTCTTTCTTTTCTTAAACTATTACTAATCTATCTAATTCCCTATAATCCCTCTATTTTTAGATAATATTAGTATATAGATATAGACTAGGTAGTTAAATTTAATATATAAAAGAGTTAATTAAAGAATCTTCTAGAAAGATATTATATATAGAAATCTTAGAAGTAGGGGTAAACTTCTTACCTTCTGAAATAGATAAAAGTACTAGTAGTTAGAAAGTATTTACTTTAGAATATATATAATAGATTCTCTATTTCTTTAATTTCTAATATAGTATTTTAATATTAATAGGAAGTATTTCTCTAAGTTTAGTATAAGCTTCCTAGATAGATTACTAACTATTAAAGCTAGAGATTATAAAGACTCTTAAGATAATATACTTCCCTTCTTTTATCTATTTAGTAACCCTATTAGTTATTACTCTTATATTAATATAATCTAATTTATTTATATAAACCTCTATTATAAGTAGAGATATATTTAATAGGGATTCTATAGTATTTACCTAATAGTTCTAGTTTCTAATATATAACTAGACTATTAGTATAATAAAAGATCTTAGAGATCTAGTTTCTCTATAAAGCAGTATATAGTTATTAAAGAGCTTTATTAGTTTAAGCCTATAGAAGCTTTAAATAACTTACTAAATATAAAAGATTAAGAGAAAGCTATATATCTAGCTACTCTTTTAGTTAGGAAGAGAGTAATAAACTCTAAAGATATTATAAGGTTAATTCTAATTTATAAGAAATATATAAAATATAACTATAAAGATAGTAAAGTAGTTTTATCTTCTATAAGTAAGAGTATTATAGTAGTAGATAACTAATATTTATCTATTCAGAATAAATACTACTTAGTATATTTCTCCTTCTTTATTAATATCTCTAAAGTTAATTATTCTAATAATAAAGTTATAATTCCTAACTTTATTCTAATATTCCTAAGATAACTAGAATCTACTAGTAAAGTTATCTCTTATTACTATAGATCTAGAAATAAATCTTCTAGACTACTTACTAAGTTTATAAAAGAAATTCTCTAGATCTTTAATCTAATTAATAATTAACTTATTAAAAAGCTAAACTATAAAGTATCTAAAACTATAAGTTATTATTATTTATAATATCTAAATTCCTTTATTTACTAATTATTAATATTTATTTATATTAAGTAATACTTATTAAATATCTTATAAATATTAATATATACTAACCCTAATAGAGAGTAATAAGTACTAGTTATTATTCTTCTATATAGATATTAGTTTAATATTTCTAATATTCTAATCTTACTCTATACTAGTATATAATATTTCTTTAGAGCTAGGCTTATTTAGAGGGTATTCTATTAGATTTCTAACTAGTTATTCTATTTATTATAAAAAGAAGAGTAGTTACTAATAGGCTCCTTATTAGTATTATATATAGAATTATTTTACTAAATCTCTTCTAAATATATTTTTATTTTCCTTAATAAGATCTATAGTATTTAGAGGAAAAGCTTTCTTAGACCCTCCTATTATAAAGAGAGTCTAACTAACTATCTTAAATTAGAAAGTATTTATTTAAATAGTTAAAAGTAAATTCTTCTTTATAATTAATAATATAATATTAAAAGAGAGAAAAAATATATAATAGGTTTAAGAGTAGGTTTATACTAGGTATTAGTAAGCTTATATATTTTAATATAAAATATATATTATTATTATAGCTTTCTATATAATATTTATTCTTCTATATTTTAAATACTCTTTCTTTATATATTCCTTTAGAACTCTTTATCTATAAGGGTATTATATTTAGTTAGAAAAACCTCTTCTTCTTCTTATTCTAGCTTATTTAATTAATCCAGTTATAATATAGATTATTTCTAAGATATTAAGTATAATAAACTTTCTAATATTTATAATATAATAATAGTTCCTTTCTATATTAGGGAGCTTAAACCTATTTATAGTTTAAGCTAGAATTAATATATTATAATTATTTCTACTAAGGAATATTCTAAACTTAATTTTATAAATACTTTATATAAAACCCTTATAATATAGTTTTATAGTAAACTTATCCTTAACTACTAAACTAATTCTTTATATAATAAACTTATTTATACTAAGAATAATAAAAATAATTAGAAATAAGCTTATAAGGCCTTCTAGATAATAGTTATCTCTTATTATAATAATACTGCTCTTACTACTATTATTAAGGCTTATTTATTATCTTATTTAGTTTATTTTCTAGCTAAACTTAGTTACCCCTAATCTATATTTCTTATTAATTTTATCCAGAAGAAGCTATACTTTAAGGCTTTACTTATTACTCTTTATAGCTAGTAGAATCTAATTACTTATTATTACTATATTATATCTTTCTTAATAACTTATTCTTAATCTAAATACTATATTATATTTCTATTCTTTAAATATATATCTTTTAGAAACTATTTTTAAGGAATTTATACTAATTATCTTTACTATATATATAATAATTATAAGTATTACTTTCTTAACTATAAGCTTAAGAACTCTTATAAAGATTCTATTACTAACTCTCTTTATAGTTATAAGATAGCTAACTTTTCTCTTATTACTAAAGAGATTCTTTCCCCTAAGACTACTCTATATCTCTATAGATACTAGCCTTCTAAACCTAATAGTAATAAGATACTAACTAAAGAGGATATTACTTAGTTTAGTACTTAGATTAATATAGAGATATAATATCTCTTAATTATAAGTATAGGGTAATCTTAGTCTAGATAAGCTTTTTTTAGTTTTCTTTTAGTTATCTAGTCTTTAGCTATAGGATTTTAATTAAATTAATTCTTTAAAATTAGAACTATTTAATTAAGTAGTTTCTTAATAGTAGATATTAAGATTTTCTTCTTACTGTTTCTTTATACTATTTTATTTTATTTAGATTAATCTCTTTATTATTAAGTATATAGTCTCTTTATATTATATAAGATAAAGTTATATTCTAACTCCTCTAAGCTTTTTAATAGAACTTTATAAGAAGAAAGCTTAAAAATATACTATATCTTATATATAATAGATAATCTTCCTTAATTTATTTAAATAATAATTTTATCTAGGGTTTAGAATCTTTTACTTCTAATAGAACTAGGGGGTTATACTAAGAGATCTCTTTTTTATAATCTTATTATTATTTAAAGCTCTTTATTATTCTTAGATTTATAAACTATTTAATTAAATAGTTTATTATTACCTACTAAAAGCTTTTTCTTATTAGATCTAAATTAATTAGGAATTTAGTAGCTTATAGAAAACTTAGTATTATAGTCTTCTATCTCTATTATTACTAAATAAGAGTTATTACTACTCTACTATTAATCTTTCTTATTCTATTAGAATTCTTTTAAATAATCTAGTATAAAGATACTATAAATAGTTATCCTATTTATTATCTTTAATCTATAAGACTTTAAATACTTATTCTAATTAACTATTCTATATAAGCTAAGCTATCTTAATAGTAGTTTATATACTATATTCTTATAGATCTTATTATATATAATATTATAGACTAAAACTAGACTCCCTAGTTTTAGAGGTTTAATTCTTATTCTTCTAATTAAAATTACTAATCTTATATTAGCTTATTATTTTCTAAACTTCTATATCTTTTCTCTTATAATCTTAATATCCTTATAGAGTTATAGTAGATATTAAGTCCTTACTTTAAGCAGGCTTTAAGTAGACTATATATCTCTCTAATTAATAAATCTTCAGATTAGATATCTTATCTTAAGAAGTAAAATCAGATTCTAGCTATATAGTAAGTAAAACAGATTATACCTATAAAAGGCTCTCTCTAAGACTCTATCTATAAATAGAGTAGCTTTAAGAATCTAGAGCTAGTCTATATTTAGAAATAGTATCTTATTAATAGTTAGAATTAGTAATTAGTATTCTACTTTAATAATCCTATTAGCTTATAAGTTATATATACTAATAATAATATATCTTATCTTAGTTTTAGAAAGAGCTATTTTTATTTCTTCTTTACCCTTAGTTTCCCTATTTAATATAATAATAACTATTATACTAAATCTATATATCTATTTCTAGAAGAAGAAATAGAGATTAAATATATTATACTTTCTTATTATATAAACTTTAATCTAGCTAGTAAGATTATATTAGCTTTCTATAATAAACTTTATTCCTCTTAAGGGGTTTATATAAGTTATATTAAAATAGACTTTTATTATAGGCTAATTTAGAGCTATAAGTATATTTTCCTTAGCTAGTTTCCTTAGATTAAATAAAGTATATATCTTATAAACTATAATAGCTTTAGAATAATTATTCTATATTCCTAGCTAAAAGTATTAAGTTTTTAACTATTTATAGATTATCTTTCTTCCTTTATAATTTTACTCTTTATAGTAGGAAGTAACTAGAGCTTTCCTTATAGTAGGTTTATTAATAATAGTAATAGAGTTAATTTATTTCTTCTTAGATCTTTTCTATAGCCTTTAGTTAGTTATAAAGAAATACTTTATTTAGAGCTTTAGTCTTCTAAACTCAGTAGTTTTTATTCCCTTAGACTGCTTTAGAGTAGTAAGGTATCTAGTAAGAGTTTAACTTTCCTTAGTTTAATACTCCTTAAGTAGATTCTTAGCTTTCTTTTTTAAAATTATTATAATATTTAATTATAAGTTAATAACTTACTTAATATCTTCCTTATTTACTTTATCTATTTAATTAGATAGTCCTTAGCTCTTATAAGAAAGTCTATTAGCTATACTATTTCTCCTTCTAGATATATAGTAGACTATAAAGTTAAATAGTATAATATAATTAATCTACTATATAATAAGTATATTCAGAATATTACTAGTCTTTCTATTAAGCTAAAAAACTAAGATTTAAATATTAGTTTCTAATATAAATCTAGCTCTATAGAGATAGTTATATAATCTTCTAATAATTAAAAGAATATCTTAATACTCTCTCTTAGTTATATTATAAGTTATTTTAGCTTTACTCTAGTAATTAGACTTATATCAGGCTAATCTTTACTTTCCTCTAATAACTTAGAGAAGTATAGCTCTTTAGTCTTTAAGGTTTATATTAACTATAAGAATAATTTCTCTACTCTTATCTAAATAGTTAATTAAGATAAGGAAATCTACTTTAATTAAGTTCTCCTTAAGAGCTTCTATTATATTTATCTAGTTTTCTCTTTAAATCTAAATAGTATTCTTTTAAAGTAAGATGTAAGAGATTAGGCTTTAATAGTATATCTCTCTATCTATATCCTATAGAACCTAGTAGCTCCTAGGAAAGATTATATATTAAATATATTATAATAAGCTATTTATTTCTTTATTTTAATAATTTTTATATCTTCTAATTACTTTCTAAATAAGCTATAGAAGTATTCTATTATAATTATATCTATTTAGCAGAATTTTAACTTAATAGCTAATATTATATAATTAGTAAGTTTAATATTAATTAGTACTTTATTCAGATTAGTTAAATATTCTAAGATATAGTACTAAATATCTAGAATTACTTTCTTATTATTATATATTAAAGAAGGTTCTTATATAGTAATATTATTAAGAAAGGGTTTAGCTATATTAGGAATAAGATCTATAAGAATATAACTAATAATCTATATAAATTAAGCTATTAAATTTATTATTTCTTAAGGAAGTATATATATTCTATATAATCTAATAGGTATTAAAAATATAATTAAGTTTCTACTTATTAGATTAAGAGATATTTAGTTATAATCTAAGAAGAAATTAATAAGTAATAGGATCTTATATATTATAAAGCTCTATAAGAAGCTATTTATATTAGAAGGAATAAGAGTATCTCTAATTATAAATTAATTAATTCTAATTACTAAGTTAATAAATCTTATACCCCTATCCTTCTTAATTATAAGGAACTAAGAGTTTCTATAGAAAATATAAAACTCTTTAAGTATCCCCTTCTTAATATAGTCCCTTAGAATATTTATTATCTTACTTTTTAAGCCTTTTAGAATAGGAATTAATCTAGCTTACTATACTTTATACTTAATAATCTAAATAACTTATAATAGTACTACTATTAGATTAATATAGCTATAATTCTTAAAAGTCTATATAATTACTTTCTTATAATTATAAAGTATTTAAATAAATACTTCTAATTTTTCTTTTATTAAGAACTCTTATACTTATATTAAGATAGTATTTAAATATTCCTCTATAAGTCTAGAGCTTTTCTTAATATCTAAGAACTTACTAGTAATCTACTCTGGAAAAAGATATAATATATTAAGTATTAAAAGAGCTTTAGCTTATTTCTTTTCTTACTAATTAGTATTACTATTAGGTAATAAACTATTAAATAGAATATTATTAAAAGGGTTAATTTTCTTATACTTTAATTTATATATTATATTTATACTAATATCTAGTACTTTAGTATCTCTACTAAGATACTTTTTAAAGTATCTTATTTTATTTTTATAAAAATTATTTTACTTAGTAGCTTACTTATACTGCTTATTATAAGTAGATAACTAGATTTTTAAGATTTTTTAGAGAATAATTTTAATCTTATTATTAGAGATAGGAATAATAATATCTTCCTCCTTAATCTCTATACTTATAATTCTATTAGTATCTTCTAAGGAGATATAAAATATTTATAATAGTTTCTTAGAGTTAGAATCTACTTAATTAAATAGTTTATTAAGTTTTTCTATCTCTTAGAATCTTAGTTCCTCTAGTAATACTAGATTTATATTAAATTATTTCTCTATATAGGGAGCTATAATTATTATTATATAGATATTAGATATATACTCTTATATAATCTAATTACTAATATAAATAAATAGGTTATTAGATTCTTCTATCTTCTAGATTTTTACTTTATCTACTAATATAGAATATATACTTAACTACTTATCTATATAAAGAGCTATAATTACCTTAGGTATATTAGAATTCCTATAGTAAACTCCTTCTATAATAGTAGTTATTATATAGGTACTACTAATAATAGCTTATATAAGTAGATTACTATCTCTATTTCTATAGTTAAAGGAAATCTAGTAGAACCTAATAAAAGATATTTTTAGAATAAATTTAATAGAGAATATCTTCCTACTCTTTATTATATAGATAATCTACTCTAAGGGAATATTTCTAAAGAATACTTTTATATATATTTTTCTAATTATCTCTATTATATAGTTTAAGAAGGAAGTTATAGTTATATTAGATATTAGATAAACTATTAGATTATACTCTTAGACTATCTTAAGAGCTATAATATTAACTTAAGCTTCTATATTAACTAGAGTATTATAAACTTAACTATCTACTTATTATAGTTAAATAGATATATAAAGAAGGTTCTAATAATCTTTAACTATCTATTCTTCTAGATAGTTTAAGAGTATATAGTTAACTAATATCTAGTTAGCTTATATAGTTTCTTAAGGGTTTATAATAGCTTACTCCTAAGTTAGTATCTTTTCTCTTATATTAATTAAATTATATTCTACTTTATTAGAATCTAATTAATTAAATACTTTTAAATATTAACTATAATCTAACTTATATAATTATAGAGTTATAGGTTAAAAAGTAGTATTTTTATTACTCTTAGAAGAATAATTCCTTATATTATTTCTAATAGTATATCTATAAATTTTATTATATAACCCTTAAGCTAATATAATCTTATCTATAATCTATTTAGAATCTTTAGAATCTCAGATTTTAATTATATTAGCTCTAGTATTATATCTTCTGGGTTAATATAATAGGGTATTATTACTTAATAGAGTATTCTTAACTATTTACTTAGATCTATATACCTAACTATAGTATTTCTCTATAAGGAGTTCCCTAAAGATAGGATTAAATTAGATAATTTTAGAGATCTTTAGAGTAATCTTACTATTCTTAATAGTTTTTATAACTAATTACTTTCTAGCTAGTTCTTACTTTATAATCTCTTTATATAGACTATCTACTATATTAATTACTTATAGAGAATTATAATCTATTAGATTCTTATACCTTATTAATATATCTTTAGGTTTATATTATATAATATATAAAGAGCTATTTTTATTCTACTTTCTATATTTTAAATTAACTAAATTTATTTTAATTATATAAGTATAATCTATTTAATTAAATAGTTCTAACTTATTATAGTTTATCTTAATACTTAGATTAACTAAGCTAATATAAGATATTATTATTAATCCTAATCTTTTAAATCCTCCTTCTCTTATTATTATTATTATATAGATTAGGAGATATTTATTATTCTCTAGAGTAGGGATCTTAAGAGCTTAATAATTTCCTACTCTCTTTATAATTTAGTCTATAGCTTTTTCTTCCTTTAGGGTAATTATCTATTTTATTAGGTTAGAGTTATATATCTTTCTTATATACTAAGCTAAGTTAGAATTATAATAAGGAAATTATCTTATATAGTAAATAGTAAGCTTTCTAATATTTAATATCTGCTTATAGTAATTAACTAGTATAAAGAGAACTTCTTCTCTTTTTATCTCTAGATATAAAGTACTAGTTAAGTATTTATAGTAAATAAACCTAGCTTCTTTATTAATTTTAAAGTCTATATATTAATTAGAATAGTAATTAGATTCCCTATAGTACTAGTATATATTATTATAATTATAAGATATTAAAGTATTAATTTCTATTAAATCTATTTAATTAAATCTTTAGTTATTAATTAATTTATTCTATATCTTAATTAAGTTTATATAGCTATCTTAAGAGTTCTACTTTATTAAGATTTAGATTTATAATTAAACCTTAATTATCTTTAAAGAGAAAAGGATTAGGATTTTAATTTTCTTACTTATCTATTATATAGAGATAGCTAAGTTATTTATCTATACTATTAGGTTATTTATAGAGATCTTAGTAGTTTTTTCTTAACTAAATTAAAGTTCTATAGTAGTTTTTTCCTAATAGAAGAATAGTTCTAAGATCTATACTTACTTTAAGATCTTAATCTGCTTAATTAAGGGGTCTTATAACCAGGTTATATATTACTCTTACTACTTAGCTTTATATAGAGTATTCTCCTTATTAATTTATCTATAATCTTTAGAGGTTTTAATTTAGTTATAGATAAATATAATAAGTATTTCCTATAGAGTTTTATATAGGAGGGAATAAAGTTCCTTTATTATAAAACCCTTTCTATTTTAAATTCTATAGAATATCTCTAAAGGTGTAACAGTTGGGTTAACTTATACTGGACGGGGTCTAGGGTAGGTCAGGGTTAAACTAATTAGAGTATTATTCTAAGTAGTACGATCAGGTCGTCTTAAGCTATATAATATAAGTTACTATTAATATATAAGTATTATAGAACTAGTAATAATAGATATATAGATAATTATATTAATAACTATCTGAAGGAGTATCTAAGCTATAGGAATAAATTTAGATATATAGTAAGGCTATTACTTATCTATTACTTATCTATTACTCTGTCAGAGTAATAGACCAGTATTATTAGTTAGTCCTCTTAGCAGGTCCTATATCTATATATAACTTTATACAGCCTAGAGGTCTTTATTTATAATATAATACCCTCTCCCTATTAGTCTTATCCTTAAGGCTATTTTTATTATACTATACTATTATTATATATACTTAATCCTGTATTTATTTTATATAGTAATTACTTACTAATAAAATATCTAGCTATATTTTAAAATAAAAGAAATCTGATTTAGTATATAAGTATACCTAAAAGTCTGAGTATATCCTTATCTATAGTTTTAAGATTATTCTGTATACTTACTATATAGAGAAAGATATTAGTTATTTTATTATTCCGAGCTTAAATTATTATATAATATATATTTATATTAGTTACTTATATAATAGTACTTACTCTTTAATATCTTTAAGTAAGTTCTTTATTCCTTATACCTATATTATTACTAACTCTTCTTTAGTTAAGAAAATTAATAAGGAGTTATTATATTTAGAGGATAAAGAATCCAGGGCTAAGGTAGAGTTAGTAGAGGTATTTATATAAATTTCTTATTTATAGAAGATATAAAAGCAGCTTTATAAGAAGGGTATAGAGATACTGAAGAAGGGACTAGATAATATAGAAATACTAGAAGAGGAGGAATAGAAAAAAGCAGAGGAGAAAAATTATTAGAAAGAGTTAGAGTATATCCAGGCTCAGGAAGCTGAGCTGGTATTCTAAATCCAGAGTACTTATACTATAGAGGTAGTTGATTTTTCAGGGTTCTCT